ATACACTCTTTCATAGTACTGTACAGGGTGTCAAATGGCGTTGTGCCCCCTATCCCCAGCATAAACTAGAAGAGGTACACATGCATACTATATACCATTGGAAAGAGCATTTTATTGTTCTTAGAGTGTGAAAAGATGAAGATGGATGATAGAAAATAATACATAATTTGAACCAACTTTTAAAGAGAGTTTGACCATCCCAAGCAGCTTAAAACGGCTGCCAGTCTGGCTGGATATCAAGTTAAAAGGGCATTGAAAAGAGCAATGTCTTGAGCAGAGATCTCAATACTTTTTGAGGTTCTCCTGGAGAATATCTATGGAATATCTGTTCTCTACAGCTTCAACTTCCATAAGTTGCTCTGTATTATCCATTAATATGGGCTCAATTTGAACTGAAGCATATAAGTCAGAGTTGTTGCTCGAATTTTTAAAAATCAATAAAAATAGCACTATACTGGTGCATTTCAAATGCAATATCTGACCCTGGTCATCTAGGGTTAATTTTATGCAGAATTGAATGCTCTTTCCAATGATATATATAATGTATGTGAACTTCTCCTAGTTAATGCTGTGGAAGGGGGGCACAACGCCATTTGACACCCTGTAGGTTCAGTATGTTATATACAATCAAGGACAATCCCATTTTTGTGCGTGGGGTACTATTTATCTGAGATGTAAGATGAGATGTAAATGTCGTTTACTTTTGATTGCTTCTTGGAAAAGAGCACAACATTAAGGAGGCATCTTCTAATAGGATAGACGGTCTCGACAAAGCTAGAAATAGCATACTAATACAACTTCCAATTTAACAATTTAAGACAAATCCAATTGTTTTAAAGTATTTCAGTGTTTTATGATATGAAATTGTACACATATTTGGTCTTTTTGTGAAGGTAGGGCCATTAAAATGTCAAAGTAATATGGAATGATTTAGATTTAGGAGAGGAACCTGTGATTTCTAGCAATAGTTTTCCGAGACTCGCTCCTATATGTCTTAATCAATCCATCTTTCCTGTTCTTCTATGTCAGGACCAAGACAGAAGGATAAGGACACGAAGAAACGGTAATGGATAAAACGGCTAATAGGCTATTTAGAGGGCGTATAGGTCTGTATCATAAATAAAAGTGATATGTTTTTATCCACTCGTATAATGTAGATATCGATATCCCTCGCTACGCTCATTCGTGCAGATATTGAATCCATTTGTAGATCATATCACTAATAAATCGTATATGATATTTTACAGCGGGTGACAAATGCATACAGCTAGCCTTCTTATTTTCGTATATTTATTTCAATACATGAATAATGATGGTTGGGATATTTAAAAATGATCTTTCTGAGAGATTGTGCTAAAATTATCTGAAATGAAAATGATCAATTTTGTTGAACAAATATCGATTATTTTTTACTTAGTGAGGCAAATTTGAAACGATTTATTAAAGTCCCCGTATAAAGTTTAAACCACTTTGGCTTATATTGTAGTCTTATCCAATGTTTTCAAAGTCTGATATGTGAAACTTTTTATTTTAATTTTAAAAGGTGCTTTTTGAAGGACTTTTTGTTCGAAAAATCGTGAATTTCTTTAAAACTTTAAAACTAACTTTTAGAGGTTACTCGCATCTTTTAATAAGCTATAATTCATACCAATGCACAGCATTCATCCTCGCGTGCTTTTATGCCGAAAAATGGGTTCATAAATAAGCGAGAATTGAAATCATCAATTCAGAAAAATGCATTTCGTGAAACCAATGGTACAATAATACAGGGTGGTCAAAAAATGGAAACCCTTGCACCATTTTCTTGGAACTTTTTTTGAAAAATGGCGGGAAGTTTGAATATTTGAGAAATGAAAAGCTGACTTTTTTTAATTTATTTTTTTTCAAAAAATATATAAAATAACTTTCCGTCTTGGCAAATAGTAAATGAATGATAAAAACATATTTTCAATCATTACACGGGGACTTTAAGTGTACGTGTTAGATATTTACAAATGAAATGAAGGGACGCAGTGCTACTGGGGTACCTCTACATAACAAGAGCATCAGCTGTGTTTCTTTAAGAAACAAAATATTCTTGTAAAATTCAAAATCAAAATGACTTGCAAACCTGGCGCCAGTTTCGTTTGCAAAACAAATCGTACACTCCCATTTGTACGGCGTGAGAATGTGGTGTGATTTATCCCTATGTTTTGACTGTTTTTACAGAAATGGAGAAATAATTACATCTGTTTATGCAGCAGAGATACGGATCGAGATTTAACGAGGATGGACTTACGGGACAGTTAATTATTGGCGCAGGTCCAGCAAATTGTAAAAGTGTAGTGATCCTGACTAAAAGATTGATTGAATTCTCATTAGAACTGAAATTATTTTAACTTATACGAACAGTTTCTATTAAATCAGTAGCTAGGCCTATCCCGGTGGAAAGATCCACATTATACACACACTAGTGGATACAAATGGGAAATTTTTTTTATCTAGGTCTGCTTTGGGGTCATTAAATATATGTTACAAAGTGGCAGTTAAAGCCATTAAAAATATTCTGCATATACCACGGAATATCATTTTAGTTGTAGTTTTAACTGCAAGACTACTAATATTACCCACAAAACACGATTTAAGATGAAACTGTCAACCTCTGAAATGTTTTGCCTACATTTGGCCATAAAACAATTACAAAGTACAAATGCTTTGATAGACTAGATGCGAGTAGAAATAATCTTGATTTACGACATTAAATCTTCAAAATTCTGTCAAAGTGATGTCATATTTGAAATCTACATGTAAAGGTTCATATAGAAATATGGTTTCGACGTTTTTTTATTAACTTTGAAAATTTAATTTTTTTGTTGAAAATGTGACTTCTAGTTCGTGTTGATTCCCCATAGACCCATTGTAACAAAATCACAAAAAGTGAAATATCCTTTTTGTATTGGACAGATAACATTTTTCTTTACTGGACATATTTTAATTTATATAACTATTAGAAACATAAGGGTTTAAAAGAAAATTGAATGAACCACAAAAACAGATGTAATTTAAGTTAAAGGGAACTTTCTGCTATACCCACCATGTCATCTGACCCGAACGAGTCACCTGGTGGTGAAACTGGTAACTGCGTTATTGATTAACTCACTGAAATAGTATTTCATTTGCAAAATCGATAAATTAACCCATTTTGGGAGTTTTAGTGGTTCACCATCGTAAAGTGTGGCCTACATTCGGTAAGCAGGGACGGATCTGGGAACCAACAAGGGGAGGGGGCGAATTTCAGGTCAGAGAAAAAAACATCCGCGGAAAATTTTTTTGGGCCCCTAAAACCCAAAAGTGGGCCCAAATTTTGAAATTTTGAGGCCCATTTTCTTCAAAATTTGGCCTGAAATTAAAAAATAAGGCCTTAAAGGCCCAGTAATGATAAAAAACGCCCACTCTTTGGGGCCTTAAGGCCTTTTTGGGCCAATTTTTTTTTTGGGCCCACCCAAGGGGGGCGGGCCCCCAGCCCCTCCCCCCCCAGATCCGCCAGTGGTAAGGTACAGTAAATATTATCCCAAATTGAGTAAAACGGTTTTACAACATCTTTAACCCTCGATTTACGATATTGGACTATCGTTGAGCCTTCACTTCAGAATGCTCTTTTATCATAGTAATTTCTCACTTAAGTCACTTTATTTTTAGTTCTGGTCTCTTCTAGTTCCCATCAAATAAATGTCCGTAAGGAATACATATACCAAATCTTATGGAAATATTTAAAGGGGCAAATAAAAAAAGAGTATATAATTATCATTATAAAATCTAGTATTGGCCCTGAAGCAGGTTATCTATTGCTCTCAGTTCATTATAGAGATCAATTAGGAACTGTAAAATGTTGATATCTACAAGGGCTGATCCAGAAGTTCTGATAAAATGCTTTCACTTAAAAGATTAACATTTATTTTTCACAACATTTTCAGAGTAACCACAATTTAGATGCTGGTAATGAATATTTCTGAAGTTATGGTTGCTATGGTAACCTCAATAACGCAGCGGGACAGGGTAATATCTATGAAGTTTAGAATTGGTTTTCTTTTGGATAGATGATCAAAACCCCATCACTGGTTACATTATTCTACAAATGGCTGTTTTAACAGTAACTGCTGTTTGTGTCCCATTCTCATAAGTGTGAAATCATTGTAAATTCTGTTTGATACAGAAAACATGAACGCTTTATGATACATTAGACAAGACATGAGACACTAAGCTTTCAGTTCATCCACGTACACAAAGATTCAAACATGTTTGACTAGGACAACACATATACTAGTATTTCACAAATCTGGCATGGTCTACAATATTATTAGCAACGAGTTAAATAATGTAGGTGTTAGGACAGACACGTCTCATATTTTAGAACATTTGTTGAAATCGAGAATGCTGTCAATACCTCACTAGAACTGAAAAAGATGTCAAAGTAGAAATAGTGGGTGGATAGATACAAGAGTGTATTTAAGTAGTGTATAAATGCAGAAGGACATTAATTTATATTTCTTCGTTGAGTTTTATTTCAAAATGGATTGCACAGTGGGATTAAGTTTTTTTCAGATTTTCAATATGAGTTATGACGTCAATATGAGCTCAAGTCCTGGCCCAAGTGTCTCTACCATAGGGTAGGGAAAGTGTGATTACAGAAAGTTTTATCAATAAATCTTTGTGAAAATTCTCTGCTGTATAGGCAAATAAATTATGTAAATTGTGTAAAAATGTCAAGTAATTACCTTTACTTTAGAAAAAGATACATCATTTTTATCAGAACTTCTGGATCGGCCTATGTATATTAAATAAAAAAAGAATAAACAAAATCATTTTTTAAATCAAAGTACGCTGATTATCATCTCATGATCTACGAATGATGAACATCCCCATTAAACTGATTATGCAGTTTATGTTATCTTATAATAGAAACACTATAAAGAATGCTTTAATGCCGTACACAGACTTCGCAAGCATCCTGTGCCATTCATCTAGCTATAGGCCATTCTATGTATAGGGAATATAGAAAAACTGTCTGTCTGTCTGTCTGTCTGTCTGTCTGTCTGCCTGCCTGCCTGCCTGCCTGCCTGCCTGCCTGCCTGCCTGCCTGCCTGCCTGCCTGCCTGCCTGCCTGCCTGCCTGCCAACCGTCAACCTTTGGAGAGTCAATAATTGTAAACAGTCAATGGCCGCGACTGGAGGAAAATGTATTTGATTTACAACGAAGGAATGCATTGCTGGTATTCATGGATACAACATGGACTCCAGACAAAAAGAATGAACAATTCCAATGGATAATATATAACATTGTTTTATTGTGTATAACATTGTTTTATTGTATATAACATTGTTTTATTGTACAGAGTACAAGTTAATTACAAACTAGTAACTGGAACCTTCCATAAGCATAATGCATATACTCAATAATTGTATGACATAATGTGTAATAAAATGATAAATAATTATTTAATTCACAGTATTTTGTGTTTGTTTATACCTGTCATGGGATATGGCACATCAATTAAGACAATGCGGTGAACGAGTGAAGTATTGTACAAAAGATATACACCTATGATCCATCCTTGGTTATCACACACATACACTAATAATACTATAGGTTCTTGAGTTGTCAGTACGAGTTACTAGAGATTTTGAGTCACTCCTATCGGGTGTGTTTGTGAAATCTCCCTACATTTAACTTAACCAAGTAAAAATAAGGCAGTGTATAAAGTCTAGAGTAGAAATCCCATAGCCTAAGTACGAGGTTTTGAATGTAATATAAACGCAGTTCACTTGCATTTATAACCCAGAACTATAAGTTTGAGTTTCACTTACGTAACGAAATCGTCCATATGTCTAAGTATTCACTCTAAAATCCTGACCATTTTGCACAGGAATAATAATAAGAAAGTCTTTGAGTTGACAACATTAGAAAATACTAAATGCATCTTCATATAATCTTATTTTGCACCTTCTTTCATATGAGGAGATTGATTTTCCTCATCTAAATATATTGATATGTCCTTCTTCTTAACCATCTTCACGTAGTCGTTCTGTTCTTTGCTCAGCCAGCCTTTGATGACCTTCCATATGGCTGTAAACACATGTTCATATGGAATTATTTACAGTATTCAATGATATATACAGATTAGCAGATCATTTTGAGTGATATCATTTATCGACGAGCTGATATCAAATATTAACAAGAGTGAGAAAAGCGAATGAGTGTTGATTATTTGATAATATATACGAGGCGATAAAATAATCTTTAGAAATGATCTGATACTGGGTTTATCCAATGATTACGATCAAAAAAAATCATATATTCGTTTATCAGCCGGATATATGCGGCTAATATATGCGGCTTATAAGGACTTTCTGAAAAGTATCACACAGATCTCCATAATATCAAAAATATAATTGACTGTTATTGTACAGATAACACAATAATCACGAGGTGATTTTTTTTTTCGAGGTGATTGTTATTGTACAGATAACACAATAATCATGAGGTGACTGTTATTGTACAGATAACACAATAATCATGAGGTGAATTAGTATGATATAATATCCATTTGTTTAGCTTACACTTCTGATCTGTCTACCTTGCTAAAACGAAATTACATTTCCCATATTGAGTTTACTCACCATTTAATAGGAATGGCATTTCATAGTTAAGAATGTAGGCTAGAATCCCGGGATAGTAGTCCGTAACACAAGAGATTATGAATTTTGTTATATCAAGATCCTGGAATAGTACAAAAATAACATGTAAAGGACATGTAAGGGTCTTATTCTAATATTCTCATAGTCATAGCGGTTTTAGTTGATTTGCCAAGACTGAAGACATTTTTTCCAGAATCCAACTTGAAACGCCATCTGCCAGCTGGGCAAATCAATGACGTCAATATAAGATATCGAGAACTGTGTCTGAACACAATACCCAAAGGGAAAATAATGGTGTAACTACTATAGTTGACCCCGTGGGAGGATAATTCAATAAACGTAGAGTTAATGAAAAAGAAGGGTTACCATATTGCTGATTCCAGCTTCATAAAAGTCAAATATGACAATAATCTTCTCCCCAGGGAATTCCTTGTAGTGCTCATTAAACTGGAATGCAATCATTTTCTTAACATCTTCATCCAATTTGGAGTCCTTCTTGTGCTTCGCAACAGTAAAATGTACTGAAATTCAAAATATGTACCGGTGTGAAAGAAGTGGCCCTTATATATATAGGACCCTTATTGATGGTGGTGACCATGATACATAATAAAAATAACCCTAGAACCCCTAATGGGGGGGGGGTCATTTTGACCTGTTATGTTTTTTCCCCATAACTTTTTATTGGCATCTGGTAGGATCTTCAAATTTTCAGTAGCTGGAGCTACAGATATAAAAAATGTTTTCTGAAATAATCAGCAAAATTGCACATAGGGTAATTGATTAATTATGATGTAATCATCAGCTCCAATTGAAAAACTCGGAAAAAGCGAGCACTAGTTCTACAATACTGTTAGTTGTCTTTAGAATAAAATTACGCAATCTTACATCATCATGTTAAAGTTATTACACAAAGTTGTAGAAAATTAAATGAAATATATTTTGGGAAAGCCTGAACATCCTAACTTTACTAATTTGTTATTAATTTATTATGATGTAATCATCAGCTCCAATTAAAAACTCGGAAAAAGCGAGCACTATTTCTACAATACTGTTGTCTTTAGAATAAAATTACGCAATCTTACATCATCAAAGTTGTTAATGTTACTACACCAAGTTGTAGAGAATTGTATGAAGTATATTTGAGGAGAGTTTGAACATCCTAGCTCTACTAATAACATTTTTACAAGGGGTGCCCTTTTGACCCTCCCCTTGGGTGTTCGTGTGACATTTTTTACCTTAGGGCTTCTAGGGATAATACAGGAATGGATATGTATGGAGAGGATTATCAACACGGCCTACAGTGTATTTATAAAATATCCCGGGTAAAATATAGACTATATGATTTTACGAAGTCTTGTATTTGTACTCTGTGATACAAACCTATAATATAATATGCTGTTGATTGGTATACTGAATCTTACATATTTTATGTCCTTCTTTATCTTTCCCTTTGTAGACAAGTCCGTCTCTGTCCCAGACTTCTTTACTTATACCCTCTCGTGTCAAGTCTAAAGAAAAGGAACAAACGCATAAAAAGCAATAAAACACAAATACGTGTAGTTTATATAATATACCAAAATATGTGTACACTCCCCTCCATTAGTTTGGCAAACCCGATCCAACATTGAAAGCCTGTAAAAGTCCGAAATTACATTATTTATTCCGAAATTACATTAGTTTGGTAAATGAATGTCTTGGTTTTAACAGATGAACCAATAGGGTGTTACCAAACTTTTGAAGAGAAATACGTAAGCATTCATGCAAACACGGCGTGGTCTAAAAGCTTAACCGCGACACAAACACAATTGTGTTGTGGAAAAACAACGTCCCATATTATAATGGAGAAAATTCAAAGTATCTTTAAATTTTGCATTATCAAAAGTTAACAAAAATATTGAATTCAGGCAAGTTAGGATATGAAACTAGATTCAAACTGAGACTGATCGAGCTATGGAGTGGAGAAAAGTGAAAGCAACATCTCTTTTTCTAATTAATGTGATCTTTACCTTTAACTTTTTAAGATGTAAAATGCGGAAATCTGGAGGGAATCAACAAGATCGGGTAAATGTGGGAGTTGAATAGTTTGCAAAAAAAATTCCATTGATATAAAAGTCCCATGACCTTATTTTCAAAATGCATTTAATAATTGTTCCATGGGCCACAAGATAAGTGAATTTTTGTACACATTAATCTGTCTTACCATTTACACCATACTCTTTTCTCCACTTCAGTACTCTTTCTATATGAGTCAGTGTCTCGGGTTCCTTTCCACTATTGCTCCTCAGGAAGTTCTTGAAATAGGTGTCATTCTTGTTGTACACTTCAACATCTCTACTGTCGAATGTTCCATCCTTTATGCTTTCTGAAAATTATTCAAAAAGTACAGTTATGGTACTACAAGAAGCATAAGGGCCTTTTAAATCTTTAATACATGAGATGCTTAACTAATTGTTACTGTTCAGAAATCTTGATTTATACCTGCAAACTGCTCATTAAACTTTTCTTTTAGGGCTGGAACTTGTCCTGAATAATCTGGGGGCTGAAAAATAATGTTGAAATGTGTTGTATAGGATCAATAAGTTATTTAGGTCCAAGGCCGATTTTTGTTAGCCATAGACCCGAATTAAAAGAACTTGAATTGGCGTCAATAATTTAATTATTCCCTTTAAAAAAACTAATCAAGTTGCGCCTCTAACCCATACCACTTAGATACAACTAAACCAACGCATGGTACCGACTTACAATACAATTATGTTTAAAATCAACTCATACTGTAATGCAACCGACATTGATTTTTTGATCTAGATGTTTTGAAATGAAACAGATACATAATTGAAATTAAACAAGCAATACAGTAATTTAATCAATATTTCTCATCTGTTACATGCGACTTACAATTTATAATTGTATTAACAATATCGATTTTGAGTTTCACAGCAACATTTTTAAACATGTAACAAAAAAAAACAAATTTAAAAATACGAGTAAGCTAGAAATGGCACCATGACCAGTTAAATGCAATCGGGATTGTTTCCCTCGTGATCTGCTGAATGTATACACAACTACCCCAATGAAAGTAATCGTGAGATTTATAAACACTTTAATAATATTAGATATGATGTTACAGAACTTGACATGCCGATTCCTAGCTCATGACAACTCGCGTAGCTTATAATACAGGCTACACGTGTATAAGTATGCTATAGGTCGAAGATTAATAAGTTTAACACAAAAATTGTTTAGTTTTACATATTTTGATAAAAATGTAGAAGTGGATCAAACGCAACCATGACATAAGTTATATCTTTTAAGTAAAGATTAATATACTTTTTAAGTGTTTTGTCAGTAATCTATCTTGTAGTTCGAGAGCACTAATGTCTTGGGGGACACTACTCCACTACATGTAAATTAATTATCTACAAGATAAAACAAGGCATTAACAAGAAAAAAAGTTACAACTTGTTACTGCAAAAGGTTACAAAACAGTAACAATTTCCTGACAGACACAGTTTGTCTATGCAGAGACTACAACAATGTGCCACCATTTCTAATTTGTTGCTGATGATATTTTTTATAAAAAGTCAAAACAGGCATATATTACATTTTCATCTACATACAATTTCAAGCAAAGGTGATGCTGCTTAGATGCAGGTTTAATGAGTATTTGACTTTCAAGAGAATTCGTGGTATTCTATTCGTTCCATGAGAAAGTTAAAAAACAAAAGAGGCCAAAAGATGTGATGACTAACCAGAATGAATGTTGATTGGGTTTGTTTAAAAGTTATTGAACACCCTATGGACTATAACCTATTTCTACTTTTAGGCCCTACTGATTGAATGAATCTCTAAGCCTCCTCTTCTAATTTCGTAGAAAGCCCATCAATCATACTCCAAAGAATGGCCATAATTTATTTCATTTACCTTGACCAATTACATGTTTTGAGGCTTATGCACAAGTCTATATAAGGAGAAAATGTCTACAATCAATAGAGCAATTCCTCTTCGCAGAGCAATCATTCTGATTTATCAGAGCCTCTTTACCTGACGCTTGAGTCTATTCCAAAGGATAGTAAAGGCTATGGATCCCATAATGCTGATCTAAGGAAAACTACAAGCTTTATAAATTATATAGATAAGAAGTTGCAATTTAACTTCTTAATGTTTTGTATTATCACAAGAAATATAATTTTCTGCGGTACCTCTACCCCTCCCCACTACAGGCCTTATTGGCCCTACAACTAAAATCTAGCTACTACTGTACTACTACTACTACTGCAACTTCACAATTATGTTATAAAGTTATCATATGTTCTATAGCCTCCAAAAATATGCAAACGTCGTTTTTTGGTTTGCAAGAATATAAGTGTGTAAAGTACATGTACGTATACGTATTGAACAATTTTCTCCACGTCTGATCACAGGAGCACAAGATTCTTAATAAAGTGTTCATTTTTCCGGGATGAAGCAAGAAACATGCTAACAACACTACAAGCTATTCTACTTCTAAGCAATGCTCGCTTGAAATATAAAAAATAAAACTCTGAAAAACATGAATTATTACGTTATTTTGAAATAGTGATTATGGGTTGAACAGGAGCAAAGGTAAAATCTGGAGGAATTATTAAGAATATTAAGGAGAGGGGAAAACCATTAATGACAATGGCCCAACCCTGTATAAATGAATCGGAGTAACTGGGTTGGGTAAGGAGATTCTTAGTTACTTCTTACCACCATCTTAGCAAGAAAATTGGCTATAGATCTTGAGGCGACCCTCTTAACTGGATCTGGCTATGACGAAATATGAAATAAGTGAAGAGTAGATAAGATAAAGATAGAAAATAGATTTATATGAAGCAGAGTCGTGATTAAATCTAATACTGTCAAACATGGACAGTATTAACGTGAAAGTAGAATAATACATAAATAGAATATAACCTAACAAGAGAAGAGAAATGATTATAGTTTAACTTGAAGAATATGAACATCAATGGTGGAATAATGGTAACTAATACGAGAAAGTTAGTAAATACAGTAAAACCTGACAAATATATACATCATTCAAAACTGAACTTGCAAGTTGTGTTCTGATATTGGAGGGTATTTGTTATAGTAAAACTGCACAAGCATTAACATGAGATTTAATATGAAGGAGAGAATTGTATCTCGGCGTTTGAGATGTGTCCACGTGCATAGGTGTTACTGTATTTAAAAATGCAAGAAGATTGAATAAAGATATCATTTCGGATTTGTAATGTCCGCTCGTACAAGGTGACCCACAAATACAACCCTCTAACATTCTAATTTGAAATAATGATTGCCGGATTTTTTTCAGTTCAGCAAAAACTTAATGTACTAAATATACATATGATTTTAAATTAAAGATACAATGATCTCTGTCTATTTATACTCCCCTGTTAATTGCCTAAAGACGTTCAAAAATAAAATAGGGAAATGGGATTTTATTTTACATATTTTGGGTCACCCTGTAAAATACAGATCAGACTATATGATCACCAAACAAGAAAGGTAAATATGCCAATCTGATGAAACAAATAATATAGTATTAAAGCTAAATAAATACACTGGTGAAAATTTGTGCGTAAAAGCAATATTGACATAGGTTTTTGCACCAATGCAATAGAACCAAAATACTCATTCACTGATGTTAACTGTACAAATGACCCATCTGCCATCTAAATCATCTCCAAGAACAAAATTGCCAATTGATCAAATAAAACAAAACAACAAAACGTATCATCTACATGCAAAATGCACATAAATATGCCACAGACAGTTTACTTGAATTTTTTTCTCAATAATACCCGAGATATTTATTATAAATTACATGTACCAGTATACATACCTGAGTTGCCATTTTAGTATCTCATGCAAGCTATGTCAGTGTATATGTGGTTCGTAGTACGGCTGTGTGTGGTAGAATATATGGTGATAATGTGATGAATCAAATTATTGATCTATGACATACGATCCACAGTTCAGCCCAAAGTTCATATCATATTTGATTGGAAATTGAACTAATAATCAGTGTGTTCGTTAATTTAACATTGAGATATACAGTGGAACGTGTTTATAGCAAACGCATGATGTACATTCATCCGGGACATTCATATACTCATGAGGAGCAACATGTGGCCAGTATTCGAAGAGCCTTATATGCAGAGAGTGGGATGCGATGTGTAATATGTTCACACTAATGTTTTAGATAGGTCTTCACCATAGAGGTGGTACATTCAGATCTGAGATGTTCATCAAACTGGTTTTACTGTACATATAGATGGCAACAGATGTCTTACAGCATATGCCCTTCAGCCCTTACAGATACACAAAATCAAATGATGCCTCAATATTTCCATGGCGTTTCATGAACAATTTAAAGATGTCAACTTGCTTCAAATTGACCAAACATTTTTAAATCATGTACAAGTTCTCAGGAGTTCACATCTGACCTCAAATTTGAGATTTGACCCTCAATTTTGAACAAAACAAAATACTCAATTGACCGGGTGCCGGCCGATGAATCGAAGCAAATGTGACCCAGGCATTAGTGAGCACTAACCTTTAATGAACACCTGGAAACTGACCCTAGTGAACACTATTTTGCAGAACATAATCCAATGACCTCTGTATGAAAGGTTTTACTGTTTAAAGACCTCTGTATAAAAGGTTTTACTGTAGAGATATCTGATATTTTTCAAACACATTGTAATGGAAAAATCATTGATTTCAGCACTTCATAGTTTATGAATCCCTGGCATTAGACAATGTTTTGTCCTTTATAATGACTGTAACTCACAGTAGGTATCAGTGATATTATCAACAAACGATTCAGTAGTGACAATTGTAAATTAAAAATATAATACATCTCATAGTATTTTTATTTTTTTCGTAGTCATTTTATAAAATGATATTTTGAATATTTGAGGAATAAAAAAGCTGACATTGTTTTTAAAAAAAATCAAAAATCTCTAAAATAACTTTCAAAGTTATGAAAAATAGTAAATTAAGGATAAAAACAGGGCCTTTAAGTATCCTCGCCCCAAGGCTATTTTTCTTAGGTTCAGCAACAACAAAAAAGCTGGTTGAAAGAGCAAGAAGGGGTTATTTCACAATTAAAAGCTCCAACACAATTTAAATGTGGAGTATTTCTGAAGTTAGGACATTCAAAACAAAGATGACAGGTTTCCTCCATTCTAATTTATCTGAGTCCCTCTATATTATGTAAACCAACACTGTTCGACAGATAGCACCCGGGGGATAGCACAAATTGAGAGGACCTTAAAATTGGTTTATTCAAGTCAGTTAGCTTTTGAGTTAATTGAAGTCATCGGGTCAATTCAGAAAAATACTACTTAATACATAATATTCAATAAATATTTATTAGCAAACTGCATGTTATAATTTAAAAACAGAAGATTGAAATTGTTTTCTAGCATTAATAACATTCAAGAGAACAGCTGTTCAATCTATTGAAATTGCACGTTGAAAATATATTCATAATAAGCAATAAATGTTAAAGTGAATAAAAAGATGGCATATCAGGTCAGAATGGTACTCTTCCAGTAAAAGCAATGATAAATATCCATTAATATATAGATACAATACAATAAAATTCAAAAACACTCCATTTCATTTGTAATCATTTCCAAATACAAAGTGTAAATTTACATTATATGAGTTTTAGTGATGTGAAAAATCAATTTTGGCACAATTATTTCATTTTTAACTAATGCTGCATTCACTGAAACTTCGTTTCATTTCTAACTATGTATTAAGAATTATGAATGATAATGTACTTAAACGTGCGAATCAAATCAACTATCCGAAAAATAAATCCATAGCAAATACATTTATAATGTGTGTTGGTATTATCTACAAATGTCCAATATTTAGCCTTACAAACGCTATTGAATCAGATTTAATTAAAAGTATATCATATAAAATAATATATCATCACCAAATAAATACAAACTATAAACATGATAGATCCATTGATCCATGAAAAATTAGTAAATGTCAACAATAACAATCAATGGCCATTAGGCTCAAGCCTGTTTTAGTCAGAATATCCCAATATTTCATCATCTTGGCAGAATGTGCAGATTTTCAAAAGGGGCATGTCATTTTGGAATTTTCAACAGGGCACAGCACCAAATTGCTCAAATGCTGAGGAAATCACTGAACTTAAATAAAAAATAAAATAAGTTGGCAGCCGATTGATGAGACAAGTGTATGTTTTGCCTTTAATGTTTTGCCTTCAATACTTTCCTTCCAAATGCATTTACGAGTCAAATAAGAATTTGGAAATTTCTGTCATTGACAACTGAAGCCACTGGGCTATAATTCTCATTATTTCAAAACATCATCCAATCCAATACAAGAGGCCTCGATCAAAAATATGATTTTCAACATGTTGTTGAAGTCAAGTCAAGGTGACTCACTTTCACTTGTTATTTTCACCGATCTGCTTCTTACACGCATCTAAACATGAACTGGTTCAGGTAGACATAAACATGAATCTAATTAAACATTAAAATATTTAAGGTTATTCTGTATCAGGATACAGGTTCAACTAAGGTTGAAAACATGACTGCCACAATAAAGCAGTGACATTCAGTTTTTTGTTTTTCAAAATACCTTCACTGAGAGTGAAAAGTGATTACCATTGCTAGAACCAATGTGAGTTTTGAACCATGTTTGTATTAAATGTAATTACTAATATAACAACAACAGTGATTTTGGAAGTTTAACAGAAAAATTCAAGCAAGGTAAGGTACTCTTACCATTTTTTTAGTGACTATGAAACAAAAATATTCATTACTATTTTAGCCTGGTCAGATCTATATTCATTATTCCAGTAAGAAGGCTCCAGTAATAAGGTCCCTGGCCTGTACCCAACTGAGGCTTTGAAAATATGCTTGTGATTAGCTAGCATATAGGCGATAGATTAACCAGTACTGAAGCAGGCCCTTTACTCAAGGAGATTTTGAAAATAGGCCAAATATGTCCAAGTACTGAACATGTGCATACCACCTACACCCAATTGAGATTTAGAAAATAGCTTGAAAATAGCACATAACATGCAGGCACTGTACCAATCAAGATTTTGAAAATACTATCACCTAGTTTTGAACTGGGCACTGTACCAAACTATAGATTTTGAAAATATGCCTGTTCTTACCCAGTATTGAGGCAGGCACTATAATCAATTGAGATTATGAAAAATCGTGAGGTTATTATCAACTGAGATTCTTGCACCTGAGATTTTTAAAAATAAGCTAGCAATCACAAAGTAGTGAAACAGGAACAATATACAATTGAGATTTTGAAAATAGCTAGCAATCACAAGGTAGTGAAGCAGGAACAATACCGTATACAATTGAGATTTTGAAAATAGCTAGTGATCACTTAGTTTTAAAGCAGGAGCTGTACCAAATCAAGATTTTGAAAATGGCTAGCAATTACCCAGTATTAAAGTAGGGGCTGTACCAAACTGAAGATAGGATAGTGACCAGGATGGTGACCATCTTGTTTGAAGCAGGAGCTGTACACAAATGAGATTTTGAAAAAACACTCTTTTGGCTCACAATCACCTGATGACCAATTTGCACCCAGATGAAAAATTGGCATATTTTGACCAGCTTTGGTCAGAATTATGAAAGTTACAAAATTGCTGCCACTTGGAGGGCAGAACACTGTAATTATTACATCATTTGTTGTCTTTATAATATAAACTTCAATTTCAGAAAATGAAACATTTTTATCAAACAATACACTTAATGGATTTGAGATTTCTTTCTGGTTCTTCAAGAAAGAGCATATTTCCCTTTGCTAATGCTATACATGATTATAATATGTAATTTTACACTGCAAATCAAAGACATTTGTTTGGCTGATTGCTTCTAAAAAATCTTGATAACTCTTATGCTGCATACTCTGTGTCTGACTTAGACATGACCCCTAACTCGAATATTAGCATTTAAAAATTAAACCAGGACATGACTAGAAAAATACGACTAGAAACACAGTGCCACTGTTTTCATTACTATCTGCCAATGTCAAAGATTACGAGTCATAATTTTCATCACCACATAAGTAGTTCACAAAATTGAGTCAAATGTCATGTCTCTAAATCAGGAACACAAAATATTGGATTCAGAATAATTCAAAGTAAAAAGTTCTAATTGCCTTGCCACCAGCCAAACAAATACCTATGAAGTACTTTAAAGGAAACAAGCATTCTGTCCCGTTTGAATTGACACTGCAGTCTTGTATTTTGTCACATGATACTCGATTTCTCAAACAATAAATATTCATAAAATTGAGATTCACAAAAATCTATTCATTGAACTTTGACTTGTTTGAACTCCCTGTCTTTCAGCATACGCCACTTGTATTGTCCATTTAAGATCTTAGAAATCTCTTCCTCTGTTCTTTCATATGAGCGCGAGTTAAATTGTAGCCATCGGTAGAACTCATCCGACCATTCTAGCATTTTCGGCCAATCAGATTTGAGGAGAACTGCATTACGACGCACAACCAGCGATTTCAAGCTTTTCGCTTGTTTGGCGATCAACAACAATGTTGCCGTAGAAACACGTTGTCTTACAATGAGTGTACTTAATTTTGGACAAGTTTTCACCAAATGCAGCAGCATTCCATCCCCTCGCTCATGAAAGGACTGCGAACCATGCGACTTTGGCAGACCAGTGTGGGCATATGTAGTGAGGGTTTTGCTATAATGTTCAGAGATATGCATAATCACATCTGGAGTTATACTTGAGTAAGGTGTGCTATAGATGATTGAATTTACCGGTGCACGATCTTGGAAGACTATCTCAGTACGACATTTCCCTTTGCATATCAGCTGAACTCGAAACATTGGATTGAGTTGCTTGACCTCTTTCCAACAATCAATGGACACAGGGACTAGATTGTCAACAAATGTATGTTCATTCTGAGTAATCTGGAGATTCTCAATATTCGTGAACGCTAACATCAACAGAATTTCATCATTTAGATGCTGAGGGCTTATAACCAGTGTACGTAGATTAGGAAACTGGGTCAATTCCCCAATACCGTAGGGCTCTTTAGAACAATTCATCAGACAGAGATGTGTGAGCGAATCCTGGTTCTGTTTCATGATACTCTCCATCAGACCTGGGATCTCTTTGGTGTCAAGCAGTAGTTCATCAAGTGTAAGCGACTTGAGATTCCTCAATAGAGATAACAGATGCTTCAATGTTTCAAGGATCTGGCCCCCAGTCCCATATATGTCCACGCCTGAATAGGTACGGGTTTCACATGCGAAAGTAAATACAAAGGTGTGGAGTAAAGGCATTGGGTATTCATCTTGGAAGAACGCTAAAAATCCGGCCAAAACTCGAATGAAACCACTCAAGTTGTAAAAATCAGAGTTTGGCTCGATGATGATTCTTTTAAAATGATGTCCTACTTTAGCGAGACATTTCTGCACTTTGTAGTGTGCAATATCACGCTGTGAGCCTGTGTACAAATTGAAACGTTTCACAGTGAAGTTACGTTGTTTCACAATGAAATCAGCCCAAACTCGAGGTGTAAAAAATGTATCGTACCAGTTACGGCATACCATAGAGGCGTAGAATCGTGTACGATAGTCTAATAGTGAGAAAATATCTTCCCTGATGATTTCTGGAAGATTGTGCCACCCATCTTCCTCAATGTCCATGATGCCATCGTCAGCATCATCATCATCGACATCAATGGGTGTTGAGGAAGTTATTGGATTTCGCGCCAACACTGGAATACGTCCCTGAAACAAAAAATATTTCCATTTTAAGACAGTATTTTAAATGATGAAGGGATCTTTCTACAGCATCGATTGGGCCAAGCAAACAACAGAAATCCCAAGATGTAATTTCTATTGTTCTTATCTATTTCAATTGGTTAGCTGCAGCTGGTATTTTAATACACTTTTGCAAAACTCATACACCTGCATGTGTTAAAATCATTGTAACTGTAATTTATAGATTCTTTTTTTTGTCTAATAAATCATCAATCATATGTATCTATAATGAAGAAAATAAGTTCTTCATTTCAGATTACATGAATGAAGTTAACATGTGTATGTGATGTTTCTTATTGCTGTATTGTATAAAAAACAAAATATACTTGTACTTAAAAATCCATAATTACCATACTACAATATTATCATCAATATGAAATCATGATTAATATAAAGCATGTATGAAATACAAATATTGCTTATGAAACAGCATGTATTGCACATTCTTAATTAAATTCCTTTAGAGGTTAATGTAAATGCCTATTTCATGTGATCTTTAAGTGCAATTAAGTGTAAAATGCACATGTTGTACAGAAATTGAACTACATTTTGTTAAGCTCCACAGGAACCCAATGGTTTGTAACTATGCATACCAGTATAAAATGACCAATATAATTAATACTAAATGTTCAATATATATGTTTTGTACACATTGTTCGGTTGCTAAGGCGAGGCCATGTGATGCCACAATTAAATAGGCACATTAACACTATCCCCTTATTACTGTCCCTGCTCCTTCAATTTCATTCTCTCTGCATCAATTCCCCAATCCTTGAAAATTATATATTTTAGATCATTTTAAAATTGAATTAAGCTTGAAAAAGTATAAAACTCTTGTCTTTGGCTATAAGGTACAAGACACTAACTATACTAACTCATTTTAATGAATGGTTAAAGAACTTATGGTACATTATATTTGTAAACTATTGTAATAATGTTCAAGAATTGAAATTGTATCATTTTTCACAAATATTGTAATATTGTAAAATGACCTGATGTTTACAAAGTTATAAAATGAGAAAAATATACATGATTTAAAAACAAAACAAAAAATCCCTCAATCCTATTCCCCATCCTTATTCTTCCAATCCCCATCTTTTATCTTTTCCCTTTTTACTTTCCATTCTTGCTACATATTTCCCAGTGTATATGCTACTTCCATATTATCAAAAATTCATAAACCTTAACAGCTCATTATAATCACAATAGACTTATATATACACATGTAATGTTTGTCATGATTCAACATTTAACTTAATTGTCTTACCTCAATTACCATATTGTTAAGTTAGAAGACTTTAATAGAGGTACAGCAACAGATATAAAAACAGCAACTCTTATTGTAATAACCTCTTTTATAGTGACCTCATAATACTAAATGTTTTTCTCTTTGTCAGGTAGATTCTTATTGGTCTGATTTGTCGCAATCAATTTTCTCTTAATCTTCCGAGGGTCCATGTCAAAAGTCACATATTTTGAACATAAATCATCTCTTTAAGAGAATGATAAATAATGAAGAACAATATGTAAAGCATTCAATATAATGTAACATTAAAAGCTTGTGATTTTCTTTCTTCAAAACAAAATTCATTGTCATCTACATCTACTGTAGCCTGCTCATACTTAAATATTTGTTCATATTATATGGCCCCTGTGCTTAGAATGACTCATAATGAGACTTAATGTTTGTCAACAAAGTTGTGGTTTAGCGCTATTTATAATGATAAAGTTTGTGATGAACATGCAGCTGGTGAATGATTGGCCTTGAATGTCAGACTAAACTTCTGTATTGAGCTAAAATTCTAATTTTATACTGATACTTAAATAAATAACATGTTTAGCAATATAAGTTCTGGTCATAATTTATGGATTTAACTATTCTACTTAAAATAGTAATGAACTTTTTCAAACTCTTACTCCCAGTTTGTTTCAACCCCTTCAATCCTTTAACAAATCATTAATAATCATCTTATTTTTCCCTCTTTTGGGAACAAAATCAAATCAATTTGAAAATAAATAGCCAAAATATTTGCCATAAAATACATTATCATCAGATAGGCTATACTGTAAATACATACTTGTTTAAATGTCATTTTCAGACCAATTGACCATAAATATGAGGATACAAATCAAACTATTTATGTACATGTAAACAAATAAAATGAGGATGTGCTAATCAAAGGTTCACATAAGGACGTGCCTAGGGACATGTCTATCACATATCCTAATAAATTATCATTTTATCTCAAGATGTGTACATACTACATACTACTACTAGTATGATAAATGAATAATTTATATCTAATTGTAGGATTGGTCAAACCAAAGTTAGGTGAGGTGGTATTCTACAGTTCATGTAAATACCAAGTTTGCAAATCCCAGGAATTTATTAGAACATAGCGTACATGAATTAAAGGATGGTCTTTCAAGAGAGATATACAGGTATACAAGTATACATGTTCAGAAATTTGAATTGCTTGGAGTCCATGTTATTCTGATATTCAGACTCAGACTCACTCATTCAATATACATGTACTTAGGGGAGGCATCAAAAGTTCGATGTCGGATAGAAAACTAAATAAATCTAGTTAGGGGGGAGGGGGTTCAAACCCATTTCAGTTTGCTATCCGACAAATTTCAACATTTCAAACTTTTGGCAATCTCAACTCAGAATGCCTTGGAATGGTTTAAAAATAAAGATTTTACCTGATGCTTTCTTCGTCAAGATCATTCCAATGGATTATATTCTATCAATAGTTGTTAAAAGCTGCAAATTACGATAGGAATTAACAAAAACTAGATCGTGTTTAGCAATAATTTTTCAAATTCTCAAACCGGAAGTAAGCGATCAACTTTCACGGTATTTAGTTTTGGGGGGAGGGGGGGGGGTTTGTGTCAAAACTAGATTTATTTAGTTTCCGATCCGACATCGAACTTTTGATGCCTCCCCTTAATTGTCTACATTTTTCAGTATTGAATAAAGAGAACATACTAAATGTTCATAGATTATTAGTTGTGGGTTAGTAATTTTCTACATTGTAGGTCATTGATTTTTTTCCCTTATAATTCTAAGTACATTTTTGCAAATCTTTCTGCAAAACTGAAAGTTGTATCTTGACCATGTATGGAATTGGCTATATGTACACCCTAGAAGAAGTGAAGGCCAAAACCTAGCAGGATTGAGGAAATATGATCCTACCAAAAATAAATAAATGCAGTACAATATATTACATTTTCTAAAGTGTTAATTTGTAGACATAGAAGAGGGTTATCTGAAATTGTGCATTATTTGTAAGTGGAAGATCTTAAGGTTGTCCTGTACACTATGTTCAAAATTTTGATAGTCACATGTTATTTTTCAAATATCAATTCCTCTTTCACAACATTGTCTACATCTTTCAATTTTGCTCAGACATTTCCGTGAATCTCCGGAGGTTGTCCAAACCTAAATCATTCTCAAAATTCATTTCGTTCGTTGCGTATCTCGCTCCTAGTAAACTGCCATATTGGAAATGGGTCGAAAAAACATTCACTCGATGAACAATTTACAAGTCTTGATCACAAAAAATGTATTTCAGCGCTCCAATACTTGCACAGATTGATGATACTGATGTTACACACAGTTAGAGACCAAAAGTAAGCCGCTGGAATCTTTATTCATATTTTAAAGGACCCAGCTGTCCAAGTTCGCCGTGGGAAAGCTATTGTATCAAAATCCACATAGCTTTCGCAGGAAGTAACGAGAGTCATTTTAATTTCATTCTAAGCCTAGATAGTTTTACTTCGTATTATGAAAAGTTCAAGACAGGTCACAGCTTTGATACCTAGTACAGGTAATTTGAAAAGTCAATCCAACATTTATGCGGTAATATTAAAAAGACGCGGAATGGATAGTCTATCCAAATTTCTCTTTCATTTATATAGAAGGAGAAAAACACAATCGCAGAATCTTCTTTTTATTGTCTACTATGTAATGGAGATGGTCCTTTGCTGGCTTTTAGCCAGATGTGTTCAGTAATAATCTACTCTTAAAGCTGGACTTCGCTCCGAAACGCAATCTTGGGTTGTTTCGGGGGTGAACTTTATCATTTTGAGCTTAATGAAAGATTATAGAATGATGAACAAATGGGGCAAATCTTGTGTAGAAATACTTACGATAAATGTGTCATTTCAAAGATTTTTCATTGAATTGGCTTCGATCGGAGCCGGCGATATGATTTTGGAAAGGTTTCTAAATGAAGAATGTGACGTCACTTCCGAATCATAGCATTCAAAATAAGTAGCGTTCAGATTACTTCCACTAATCATAAAAACACGGTGGTGTAACTGTAGAATACTCGCTTAGCACGCGGGAGGCCCGGGTTCGAATCCCGCATACGCCTTTTTATTTTTTTAACTAAATGATTGTTCTTTGATATTACGCAGAAAAAAACAATTTTTATTTACATAAACTTTATATTAGAGCTTGAAAATGTAAAAACAATATATGTCAACATATTGCGTTTTGGAGCGATGTGCAGGTTTAATGCAATAATTCAGCACGCCATGGATTGTTGGGGATCATTTATTCAAAGTTGGGGTTGGAATCAAACCAAAGAAAAAAATTATGAAACGTCAAAAAAATGAAGACAGAATTTCATAATTTTTGACCATATGGAGTTTATTTTAGCCTTCGATCGGGTAAAATTATTAATCATATTGATATATCTTAAGTATATGATTCATAAAATAGTACTCACTCGCAAGAAATCGTTGAATAAATCGTATTCACTGTACTCCAGAAATTGGGCGATTTCTTCCATAATTTTCCACACCTCCGATTTTGAAGATTCAATTGTTTGAAGAGCTCATTCTTGGGTAGCAGAGAACATTTCATCTATTGGCTATGAAGAAAAACTGATTCAGACTTTGTGCTATTCTTTTCAAGCTTATACTGTTCAGGCTGATGGTGTTCCTTTATTTTACAGGCTGATAGTGTTCACTAGCAGGCTGATGGTGTTCATTTATGGGCTGATAGTGTCATAGTTACACAATTAATACACAATAAGCAAAGGTTATTATTTATTTAAAAGAAATAAACAATGGTTGATTGTTATGAGGCCTGAAGATCCAATAATGTTATCAAAAGAACCTGTGTTTACATATTGCTATCAATGGTCCTTTTTCCATATAGCTTTGAAATCTCATTAAGTCACATTTTCAAATAGATTTTAGGAGATCTGCATTTTTAACCATAGACTAACGTTTTCTTCTATTTGATGGCATACTTGAATTCTATGTGTAATTTTCTGTCAAAACAACTTTGATTTGCAGTTATTTACCTTTAATCAAATTCTAAAGATTTTCCAGTTTTCAGAAAAAGGTTGGTCTAAATCCCCATTGACAAAATGTTGAAAAACCTTCAAAAGTTCATTTACTCTTTTAAAGGAATATTCCTTGCCAAACCATCTCTCTCCTCATATGGTAGCTATAACCATATATATGCTTGCCATGTTTAGCAAAACACGCAAAAATGTTTTGATATGGTCAAATTTGATCACTTAGAAATGTGATGCTCAATTCCAGTAAGCTGCCATCTTTTAAAAGTTCACACAGAAAGTGATGTCATCGACTCTCAACTTTGCATATAGCATTAGGTGAGGAGCAATTAAGAATTACAAAACCGGCTAAATATTCTTTTTCAACTTTGTATCTTATTTAATCCTTCTGAAAATCTCTTTTTCTATTCTAAGTTGACAAGCCCTGAAAATATTTTTGCACAGAAAGTAATGATCACTTGTCTAGAAGTGATTTTGTGCTACTTTCCTATACTGTTATGGGCAAGGTTATAGAAGTTGAGATTTGATGACATCACTTCCTGCAAGAAATCTTAAAAGATGGCAGCTCAATGGAAATAAGCACTAGATTTTTAAATGATCAATATTGACCATATTAAAACATTTTCCCATGTTTTGCTAAATATGGAAACTATATATATGATTATAGCTACCATATCAAGAGAGAAAGGGTCTGGCAAGGAATATTCCTTTAAGGATCAAAATTCTAATGTGAAATCACAATCCAGATGTCAATAAGATCATATAGTTAGATAAATCAAGAAAGTGACTCTTCCTATAACTTGCCATGTATTCTAGCCCTACCAACAATCATGATGCCATCTATTTTTCTATTTATATGAAAAATGGTCAATTGTACAGCGAAAATTGAAATATTATCTTTAAATATAAGGAATGTACATGTGATTGATATTATTTTTTATTTCAACCATGAACATAATATTGTTATTTGGTATTTGAATATTTAAATTTATTTTTCATTGCATTACATTGCCTAACTATGGCCTACATTAAGTACAACTTTATGCCATATACACTCATAAATGGGTAAGCCTACAATACACATTTACAACTTTATAGCTTCATATATAGTATATACAAGCCTTTATTCATTAAATGTGCTAAAATTCAGTAGAACAATTCTACATCCATATACTCAGTGCATACATGAGGTAATCATACCTGTCAACCCATGTTTAAAATTGGGAAATGACAGATATGGGTACTCTATGTGAACATGCTCTGACCATCAGTAGTATATATACAGTACATACAACAACACAATGACATAACTTTTTAGACCCTTATATTTGATGGTAGATATATTTCAGAAAGTGCCCTACTATATATCCATGATTATTCAACTCAATAGACCTTTCTTGTGAACCTTACTTATTTTAAAAGATGCTAGCGGATTTTTGGCTGGGGCTAAATTCTAGATACATGTATCTGGCCAATATATCCAAGTTTCTTGGGTGGAGCAAAATATAAAGGTTTAAAGGAAAGGTCTATCCAACCAATTGATCTTAACCATTTACAAAATATGATACAGATCTTATGAACACCTTTCATGAGCACTTCAAAAAAGAACTTTGAAAAGGTGAACAGCTGCTAGTCAGACAATTTTAGCCATCAGTCCCAGTGGCATTCATATTAAACAGTTCTTACCATATATTTAAATACGTTCAGAGCATATGGAATATATAGAGTTTTTTAACAGGGAAAGATTGAATATGGATTTTATACGCGGTACCAATAAGATATTTCCAAAGGAACCGGAATATTGTATTGACTGAGGTATAAAACCCATATTCAATTCCCAACCAGGAAATATAAGCATTTTATCCTATGATATTGAATGAATGAAAATGTGAAATATACACATTCTGTACACCCAATCATTGTATCCTAATGGTCACTGTGCAAACAATAACAATCTTTGTGAGTTGATAAAAAATGATTTTTTACACAATTATGTTTCATTCTTTAAGCATTGATATCTAATACTAGTGCTACAAGTTGAACTTTAGTCACTCATTTTTTAACAATTAGTTGTTTAACATATATACATTTTATCTACCTTAACCTTTCAATGAGATAATACAATGATGCGTAACACTATAAGGTACTTAATTGATAACATTACATGTACACATACACTTTACAAGTACTCTGTAAGTTAGATAACATTTTATAGAGCAATTCAGACTACAGGGTGTCCCCTGCATTATATTGTACATCACTACATTGTGGTAAATGTAGTACATACCGTAAAACCAGTCAAGTGAAATATCTTTATATTATCTTTTATTTATCTTTATATGAGGAACACCTTTACAAGTGGAACACCTAACAGTCCTGTGACCCACTGACTTAATGTTAATTAAACCAATGGAACACCTCTTAGTACCACACTTTTTAGCTGAACTATGGTCTTACCGTGGGTGTTCGACTAACAGAGATTTTACTGTATTGACATTTATGGAGGATGTGATTTAAGGATATGATTAATTTCTGAACATACATGATAATCCTATTGTATATTTAATAATCACAATCAACAGATAACAAAGTGAGCAATATTATAATAACATATCCCACTGTTTTCCCACAACAATCATTAGCACCTTAAACCTGGGTTTAGTCAACATAAATTACATCAAACACCTTAATATATAAATACAGATATATATATAACCTTAATAATACAATCCATATGTGAACATCCAAAGCACCAATGTTTATTAGACATGTCCCAAACACTATACAACACTTTTAGCATGTTTATAGTTTTGAGATGATCATTTATTCAACTATTTATATAAACAACCTGCTTACTCAAATGTTGAAATTGATGGCACAAAGGAACTCCAGTAGAGCACACATAACATTGCAGCACAGCCCTTTAACATTATAATGCACAGTTTGATCAGATGTTTAACAATGAAATTCCCAACCCAACCTAATTTTTCCTGATAAAGGCACAAATTTTGGAAGGAAAAGAAATTGTAACCCTAAAATTCCTGATAATTAAGCAATTCTGAAATTCTCAAACTTTTTCAGGGTGAGGAAAATGATTTTGGTTTCCTTTGACCTTTCCCCCTGATATGAGACTTGAAACTTCACGAGTATGATCTCCTAGCAAGTTGGGGATCCATAAGAAATGATGATAAACTCAAAGTAAAAGTTTTGTAGTTCATGTCAATAACTTGAACATTTTCTCTTTCACTTCCTCAAAACAATGTACTTGCAATCCAAGACTTCAGTATTATAAGAGATAATATAACATTGCATTTCAAAAAGTGCAATGTCTTTAATTCACACATAGCTAGGCAGGGTGTGTCCAGTGTCAGCCAATCCGAACACAGTATTTTATATAACTGCACTGCATTATACAACCAATAACACATTATTTGCTCCACTCTTAGTAAGGTACATGTTAATCATAGTGTTTGGTAGTCTAGATTTTCCATAACAAGCTGACAGTATATAACCCTTATTATTTCAAACTCTTCCAGGACATAACATTATTGTAACAAAATATTCTCTCATCATTCCTAGTGTGTGCCGACCAAGGAAACTAAGTACAAAATACTAGACCTCAAATTCAGACCCAGTGATATGGTCACTGGAGATAAATATTCTTGATTTAGGAAGCTTTAACAGATGTGAGATCAAGCATGCCATCATTAAAAGTACTTGCCTCTAAGTCAAAACATATTCATAAAACTAAAATGAACAAGGCATTAACATGCAAAATGTCACCACCATTTCTTACAGATGCCAACTGCTGACCGCCAATCATCGTCACAAAAAACGGAGACCATAACAATATGTCACCACTTTTTGGTGATGACAAAATGCAGAGCCATAAATCCATAGCCAGACCTTTGCATACTCACTTAGGAGAAACAAATGGATAAATGTCCAGCTCATAGTACTAGGCTTTTCTGAATGCAGACGTTATGACATAACATCTTCCAGTGCAAGGATATTGTTCCTATATTGTGGCAGGGTATAACAGTTATACCTCAGTACCTGTATGACAGCAATATATAGCACAGCGGTAAAAAACCGAACGCCAATTTGCGAACGTTCCGGATATTACGTTCGCCCTTGGTGTATATACATTATAAGGTTTACTGTCTACAGGACAAAACTGTCGCTCAATAAGGTCTCCCTTGATTGTTCCATCTTGGCATTCCTCTAGGATGAAACTGTTGTGTAAGCACCATAGATCGTGGGGGTACACCCATTTGTGGTGGTTGGGACCTCAGTAATGGGTACATCACAGACTGAACACCATTATTATTATTTGGTCCAAATTGCCCTTGTTGCATGATGGGGCCTACTAGGCGTGGTCCCATGTTCGCCATGGAAACCTGCTGGAAATAAAATCCAAAGCTGAGTGAATTATTTTGTTTGAATACAAAATGAATAGACGTTTCTGATAAATCGTGCCATCTTTTGATCCATCAGAGAAACCACAATATATTGGCTAGATTGATGGTGTCATAGGTTGTACTTTTATAAAATTAGCAAAAAGTTAATACCATTTTTGAATGGGCAGTTTACTACCTACAACCAATGACATCATCAATCTAGCCAATAAGTAATAGTTTCCCTGATAAATCAAAAGATGGCACGATTTATCGGAAACGTCTATTGGGTTCAATTTCTCTTTAATTGAGTTGATAGTTGGAATAAACTAGTTTTTAAATGTCACCAATATGCAAACTATAAAATACTTTCATAATTGTAGAAGATTTTGCAAGACAAAAATCATAATCAGCTGAACTAATTGTCAAAACTGAAATTATCATTTTCATGCATGGAAATTTAAAATTTGATAGATGACCTTGAGCAAATTGAGAAAAATCAAAATTTTTATGAATTAAGGTTACATTCATTTGATTCTAAATATAGACTAATATGCCTATATTTCCATAGGTCCCTACTATTATAGCTTTCAAAAGATGAAAAATGGCAGCATTTGGTGGAAATGGGAGCTGGGACAAATTATGTAAATTACCTGTATAGAGCCCATACAATTATTATCATGAAAGACAAGATAGAAGGAGGAACAAACCAATTTATGGAAGGATGGGCAGCTCAATAGGCTCATAAGGTGAGCCAAAAAACAATACAGATTACTGACATAAATGTCTCTAGCTTTGAAAGTGACATAAAAAAGCAAAGCGTGTTTATAAAATCCTTAATTCTAACATAAATATGCATGGTGATTGGATTTATGCATTTCCAATATTTCAAATATTTTCTAAAAATCTCAGAGGCAATTGAAACATTATTATTCATTATCATAAACCAACCTCACGGGGTACCATCGAATAATTTTGGCAACGTACCGGAGAACGACATTTTACTAAGAAATGGCAATAATTTAGCACAATATATTTTTTAACTAGAATTCTATTTTGATTTTGACAAAAGTAAGTATTCCATGCAATAACTATTTCATTCATGAGTTTGTAGGAATTCTGTTGGAACCCATTTCTGATCAAGTACGAAGTTATTGAAATCGGCACAGATGGACTTTACTCCGAAAGATGGTTTTTCGATTATAACTTTTCACAACATTTAAGTATAGACTTTTGAAAAAAGTACAGAATTCAATAGTCCTTATACTTTTGAATAATTCTGTTATTTCTGATTCACACGACTCTGATTTGTTTAATTAAAAAAAAAGTTTTAAAAATATTACTTAGGAACGTAACCGGAGCTGGGAACGTAACCGGAGCAGATCAGTTGAATTATTTAATCAAAAAAATTAAATTATATGATTTAAAGCACATATATTAATTTAAAAACATACGGGATTGTTCGAATGCGTATTATATGCTTTAAATCATATATTTTATTTTTTTAAATTATATAATTCAACTGATCTGCTCCGGTTACGTTCCCAGCTCCGGTTACGTTCCTAAGTAATATTTTTAAAACTTTTTTTTAATTAAACAAATCAGAGTCGTGTGAATCAGAAATAACGTTTATGCAATAGTATAAGGACTATTCTGAACTTTTTTCAAAAGTCTATACTTAAATGTTGTAAAAAGTTATAATCGAAAAACCATCTTTCGGAGTAAAGTCCGACTGCACCGATTTCAATAACTTCGTACTTGATCAGAACTGGGTTCCAACAGAATTCCTACAAACTCATGAATGAAATAGCCATTGCATGGAATACTTACTTTTGTCAAAATCAAAGTAGAACTCCAGTTAAAAAATATATTGTGCTAAATTATTGCCATTTCTTAGTAAAATGTCGTTCTCCGGTACGTTGCCAAAATTATTCGATGGTACCCCGTGAACCTACAAAGAAATAAAATAGGCCCATGAGATTTAAGCAAAGAAAATTGCCAAAAGGCCCCAATGCCCAATGTAGTAGTCTATGTTTGATGGTGTAGGCTATTTACCTGAGGATTGACAAAGATTGTAGCGTTGTTGGGTTGTGTGTTGTAAACTAGGCCACCACCCTCATTCTGTAACACACATACACACAATTTCGCTAAAAAGCTACAATTCATTTATTTCCAAGAATTTTTCCTGGAGTCAGAACTTCTACAGTTCATCTACTGATCTATTAATTTCATATTGATTTTCATTCATTATTGCATTTGATAATTATATTGTATAAATCATGTCACAGGTAAACACCATGCACATTTAAAGCTCCATGCACAAAACAGGACACATATACTTAATATATACAAGCTAGTGCTTTTAGTTTTTTAAGTACTTATATAGGATCACACCGGAATAGCCTGACTACGGTTAAGTCAGATACCGTTGTCACAAATGGCGGACATAGCTGCTGCTTCAACTGGTTTATCACTTGGTGCTCATTTCATGGGATTTTATCGTCGCTAATCTGTGCATGCATTAAGCTCTTGTGAAAATGTATTATATGAAATCCCATTTTCGATTACAAATTAGGTCGTAAATCGCCACAATAAAGCATCTTCCATATCGTCAATGACAACGGAATCTGAATGTGAGTAATTTAGAAAGACAACGGCATATGGTAATTACAGTGTCCGTATCTCATTTTGATTGGTTAAATTAAAGTCTTTATTTCGATGGTACAACATTATTAACTGTGCAATGAGTATTAAGACACTTTGATTGATTGTTGTTCCAAAGGAATTTAGTCTAGGTGCTCTTTAAACATACAATTCATGAAAATCTAAGTAAAGCGACGGTTATGTCTGCCATTTGTGACAACGGTATCTGACTTTACCGTAGTCAGGCTATTCCGGGGTGAGGATAGAATACTGTCGAATACAACAATAAGAGTAGTACAATGTATTGGCCAATTGACCTATAAGTCGAAAAAGGGGACAGTGTCCAAATGTGAACAGATGTGGAAAAACTAAGTTAATTCCATTCTAAGTTTAACCCCCCTCTCTGTCTATATGATGAACTCAATGTATTAACTTGCACTTCACTATTTTTCAAATATCAACATCCTTCACCTATGAAATCGTCATTGTACCCCCTTGAACAATTCTTGATATTTAGACACCATCCCTAACTGCAGTTTCATGACCCCCATTAAAATGGGCCTACCCAGTTGACACGGTGTCCAAAACAACCTGACCCAATGCTAATGTAAGTCAGAGTACAAAAACAGCTGATATACCAAAGTAAAATTCCTTTGGAAAAGAACAGTAATAAATCGTCACACATTATTTTGCACACACATGCATAAACACGTTTATTATCTCACTGCTATGTTTCTCATATCCTGATTCTGTGATATTTCAGATTGAGAGTTCCCATATAGGAACAAATGAGTCATTTTGAAAGTATTTCCAACACTTTGTTTTATTTGTCCATTCATATATTATGTACCCAATCAGAAACACAACAGTGAATAATAAAACAAATATTTCGTTCTATTTTTGGGAAATACCCGAGTCATTTGTGAGTTATATTTGCCTTGAACCGTGCAGAATATTACTTGTAAAAATTGTGGTGAGGTATTCCCCTTATAGATTGAAATATGTAAATCACATCACAACACATGCATTAAAGGAAAATAATTAAAATAGGAAACAAACACGAAAAGTATGAATACCAATTTTCAAAAATGATTCCATACAACCACAATTGTGACAATACAAACAAATATTGGTAAATCCCTAAAATGAAATATAATTCCGACCTGTTGTGGAGGAGGATGTAATGGGGGTTGTTGAGTGGGTTCTCCATCTGCCTGTCCCCCCTGCTCCCCCTGGGTTCCACCCTGGGTGCAGGTGGCCATGTGTTTAGGCCAGTGAGACTGCTGACAGGGGTAATCACAGTAGCTGGTGTTCCAGCAACAGTAGAAGATTGCCTCTTTACCACAATTGGCACACTGAAATCAAAAATGTTTCATCATGATCAATCATCAACCATTTGCAGCCACATTCGTTTCATCAATACAAAAACACCACTATAGGACCAGACAAATGTTTGGATTAGAGGTGTTCACATTTCTCAAATATCTGCGTCAGTGAGGATAACAAACTTGAGACAAAGAAAAGTGTTCCCATTGATATTTTACGATAAACAGTATTATTCTTTATATTTCACTTCTCAACTCTTTTCACTAACAAACCTTATGAATAGATACTTTGGGTATTTTCCCGGAATCAGAAAAATATTGGTTAAAACTTGACATCTAGATCAAATCAAAGTGTTTATTTCATTTTTTAAATATTCTGACTAACCCATTGTTTTTTCTTAGTTTCCTCAACAGCTTGCTCCAGCTCTTTATCAAACATACTGCGCATATTGTTCAGGGAACGCTGTTTGTCATTCTCTAGGTTTGCCCTCATCTCAATTATTGTAAGCTCTGAAAGAAAAAAGAACCATCAGTGTAATATTTGACAAGGCATTAACATGTAAAATGCCACAACCTGCCATTTGTTACAGACACCAACCGCTGAACGCTGAACACTGACTGCCATCAAGAAAAAAAGTTAAGAGACTATAACAATAATACAACTTGAGACAATCTTTTTTATTTGCATGTTTTGTCTATTTCTGTATATCTCCATTTTGGAAGGATAAACTTTCACAGTTAGGGAAGGTAAGGGCATGGGCTTTCACTTATCTAGTTGAAAGCCCATGGTAAGGGTTTTCTTATTGCGTACAATAACATTATGCCCATGAGCTTATAGTTTCATTACTTGCATACCTGCATTGTGCTTGAACTCCAAAAGTTCTTGCTGAAATGCCCATTGCATTTTCTCAATCTCTTGTTTGAAGTGTACACTGGCAGCGTTTGACTGTACAACATCAGTGTACATTTCAGCCATGGCTTGCTTCAAAGCACCAGTCACCTAACAACATATTGTCAGATGATATTATTTCCATCTATTTTTATCATTCAATTTTTTGTACACTGGACAAAGGCCTATGCTTTACTTCTACGGCAAGTATAGAAAATTTTTGATTTTTTACGTTAAAATATGAGTTGTCTTCCCGTATTCACATCATGTAAACTTATATTAACTCTAAGTTCTTTTCTGCCATTCGTTTTCAAATGATAGTGATCCTTTGCTACAACTGAATTATTTTAAAACTATTGCAAGTCTGCAAAGTCATACATACTTTGTCTGCATATTTGTCAACACAGATGGGTGGTTGTGTCATAAGCTGCACGTCTGCCATACTTGGCTTGGTCTGGAAAATAACCACAAAGGTAAGAGACATGGTTCACTAACTGAATAAACTGAATCTGGATTATTCTGATGATTTTTCTGTTGTTCCTTTACGATCAGTTTTGATTAAGTTACATCTATATTGTACGAATCATGATATTCTTTATTTGTTTCTATGTAAGATGGTGTTCTACCCTAGTATCACTCCTAATTTTGGATGATCCCATAGTATTTTAGTCATCAATTGTTATCTGAACTTGGGGTCAATGCATCTATTTACCTTAGCAACATCAGGGGTGATTCTTTTATTGTCACCACTTGCCTTGGGATCCTGCATATAGAAAGGTTACAATTTAAAGTTAATATTCCTATGAATGTTCCCATTTACCAACTGTGTTCAGACTCTTTCATACTTTGGTGAAAATGTAACACATTAAAATCCTTTCTCATATCTCTTATAATACAACAAATGAAAGTTCTACAATATACTGTGTAGGACCAGCTACAATATTACAAAATTCATAGAATGAACCAAATATGCAAATGAAGGCGATTCCCTGGTGACTTACTTGTAGACCCTGTGTAATGTTAGTTAGTTTTTGGATTGAACTCTGGTGAATCTGTTGCTCCATTTGCTTGCCATGAATAGACTGTGGTGGGGTCTGAGCTTGACCTAGTGCCTTAGCCTGCCCCATGCTGCCAGGTTGCACCTTTGTCAAACTCAAAGCTGGTGATGCATTCCCTCCTGGTTTGGGAAGGATTGGTTGCAGGGACTGAACCTGTGACTGAAGAGATTGCACTATGGTTTTCTTTATGAGAGACCTGAAAAGTGATGCCAAGGTTATTTTATGAGAAATCTAAAAAGGGAACATCATGGTTTTGTTCAAGAGAAATCTGACTGCACAATGGTATACTTGTGAAATAGATAGCAGGGTTGGTTTTCAAGAAATGACAAATCTTTAATGTACAGTAGTTTATGCTCACATTTTAGTTGCCTTTTCTTTTTCTGCTTCTCGTTGAAGTCTTTTCTGTTGCCACTTCTCTCCATTATTCAGTTTCTGCTCATCATTTTTTGTACTTGGGCTAGGGCTGGATTTTTTATCTGCAGTCAATATATCTTCTGGAAGTGGTGAGGATTTTTTGGCAATTTTCATTGGTGGCTGAGGAGATTCTGAGCTGGTTTCCATGTCAATAACTAAGTGATCAGGGTCAGAATCTTCAGATTCTTCTTCTGCTTCGATCACAAACTTTCCAGCTTGGTGTTTTTCGGATTTATTTTCAGCTTCGATCACAGACTTTTCAGCAACTTGTTTTTCAGGTTTATCTCCAGCTTCAAGTTTATCAATTTGCTGTGTGTAAGCATTGTCTTTCAGTTTTGGATTTTCAGGGTTTGACGAATCAGTTGGTTTTGTGTTTGAATCAACAGCTTGTGCTAATTCTGAGTCAGTTTTAGGTTCATCAACCTCCATGTGCTCAACTGCATTGTCATTAGTAATGGAAGTTAGCTCCTCAGGTTGAGGACTTTTGTTTGATTTACTGGTTTCTACAGGGGGAGAGGTTTTCTGATTTGGAGGTTCCTTTGGGTTTAAGCTCATGGGTGATTCTGTTGTGTCAGTTGTTTCAGGTGGGATCTCTTCAATTGTTTCAGGCATGTTCTCACTTACAGCTGTGACAGGTTGTTCACTAGCAAGGGATGCACTCTCTGATGAGCTTTGCTCAACAAGGTCGGTCGTCAATTTTTCTGGAGATGATTCTGGGGAACCCAAAGTAGCATCCTCTTCTGGAACATACAGTGTAATTTTTTATTTGGTATATTCATTAGTTAGATTTTCTAAAAAGAATTCAAAAATGTATACTGTAATACTTGACAGTAAAACTATTTAATTTTTAAAATTACACAAAAAATTGACTACAGAAACTGCAATGAGATCTGTTCCAATTATTTTTTAAAGAATCAAACAAATATCTTATAAATTTTATCCTTAAAGCTCCACATTCAGTGCGACTTTCAAGATTTAGACTGAGGCAGCAAAAGTGAGGCTTTTTAACTATTTGAGTGAGGAAAGTAGGTGCAGATAAGTGAGGTGCTACCCATATATTAATGTTGCGAAATATTTTTTTCAAAGTATTAGAGAAACATTTAAACAAAACTAGACAACAGAATTTTATGATAAAGAGGAGATATCTTGAAAGAAATCAAGTATATCATTTCCAGGGTTATTTTATCGTGAAAAAGAAAGAACAAAAGAAGCATGCTAAAAACCTTTGTGTGCAGTACCACTACTATTGCTGTGTTCTGATTCCTCAGAGGATGTCTCCCCAGGTGTAGAAGCCTCAGAGTCTTCTTCCTCAAGTGATGCTTCTTCGCTGTCAACTTCACCCTTAAAATGAATCAAGTTCAAAAGTAATTCACTCAAACTGGTGGTACATGTAGATCATCATTTATAAGTATAAGAAAGAACAAAAAATTGAAAGAAATAACGCTATTTCAATACAGTTCAATGTAAAAGGAACAATTAATAGAAGAATAAAGTCTAAGTGAGATATCAGATGTTTGGCAAGATCCTAGAGGAAGATCACAGAATTGGTATTACTTGGAATGTCTGGTTTAATATACCTGGTCACTATCTCCACTCATGCCAAGCTTGGCCTTGCATGATGCTATCGTCTTCTGGAGATTTTCATGGAATTTATCTGCCTTTGGGGGTGTCTTAGTAAGGTCAATACTAGGCCTGATGGTCACATCATCGTCATCTTCAGAGTCAATGTCTGCAGGAGTGACAGGCCTTTCTGGATCTGGGGTTGCAGGTAATGCCTCAATAACTGCTCTATTGTCTGTAGATTTAGATTCTGAATCAGTTTTTATTGTGTTAGAGTCAGTTGGCTTTGTTGGATTTCTCTCTTTATTATCTTTAGATTCTGCCTTGCTTGGGTTAACTTGAGGGTTGGTAATAGATTCTGTGTTCTCAATGGAAGATGTTTTTTGATCAATAGCACCAAATGTCCCTGAAATATTTTTTGATTCAACTAAAGATGGCTCTGTATTCAAAGTCTCTTTTTCATGTTTGACCACCTCACTTTCAGTCTTCACATCCCCACTTTTAGATCTAGTGGCTTTTCTTTCAGATTTTGTGTGTACAGGCTTGGTGATTTCCTTATCAGTCTCAGATGAATTATCAACACTTTCAGTTTCACTTTTAATTCTGTCTTTACCTATACTATTGCCTGCAAAAACAGTTTCTGATTTACTAACATCAGTTGATGAATTGGTGTCTAATTTCATAAACCTCCTTCTCTTGGAGAGTGGTGATCTTAAATCAGTTTTATCTGATGAGCTCTTAAGCACTTTCTTCAGCACAACTTTGGCTGCTTTTACACTGGAAGACTCCTGTACTGGGGAGATTAATTTTCCTTTCACAGATGACAGATCACTGGGAGAATGCACCTGCTTCCTCTTGGATTTCTGGGGAGATTTCTGGATTCTGTTGTAAGAGTAAGGGTAGTCACTGTCATAGGGAGTTCTGTAAGGGTAGTAAGCGAATGGCCCAAACTTCTCTCTGGAAAGATATTAAACGCTGCACATGTACGTGTTGCATAGAAATGTAACTATCTTAAGGTAACCAGACAGAATATCATACAAATTACTTTTACAAAGGGCTGGGTTTTGTTTTGGCTTTGCATGGTTGCATTGCTCCTTTGATCTATTATAAGAACAAAGGCCAAACTATGATCTTGTATCTTTAACTTAAGGATTTATGTATAATTTAATATGAATTATACAGAATACAGAATATCATACAAATTATTTCTACAAAGGGCTGGGTTTTGTTTTGGCTTTGCATGGTTGCATTGCTCCTTTGATCTATTATAAGAACAAAGGCCAAACTATGATCTTGTATCTTTAACTTAAGGATTTATGTATAATTTAATATGAATTATACAGAATACAGAATATCATACAAATTATTTCTACAAAGGGCTGGGTTTTGTTTTGGCTTTGCATGGTTCCTTTGATCTATTATAAGAACAAAGGCCAAACTATGATCTTGTATCTTTAACTTAAGGATTTATGTATAATTTAATATGAATTATGCAAATTCAATGTATCGGGTTACTTACTGCAATCTTTTGATATGGAGTTCTAGTTCAGCTACTGATTCCTCGAAGCCTTGTTTCCGCTTTGTAACAGATATCGGGCACTGTTTAGAGATCATATATATCTGAGATGTTGTCACCCATGCTCTGAAAGTCAAGATTATATATACTGTACAAAATGTATAAATATAAAACAATATATGGAAAAGTGAGGAATTTGTAAACTGAAAATACAGTACTTTGTTATTACTATTTTACTGTTACTGTATATCATTTATATATCACTGATAATAAAAATGTATAGGTTTTATATTTCTGTTTGGTCATTTCTTCAGTTTGCTGATGGGAAATACTTTCTCAACAATCGAAAAGAAATAGACAAATGAAAATTTTGTTTCAGAAACTCTTAGACTAATAATGATAACGTTTATACCACTGAGTTAAGCAATCATAAGTTAATCAATCAGACTCAACATGGCACACCTTCAAACTATTGGTTTCACTTGTGAATGATTCATATCATAACATATTGCATACAAGGCATTAACATGCAAAATGTCACCACCTGCCATTTGTTATACACAAACCGCTGAGTGCCGAGTGCCAAACACCAAACATGGACCACCAAACACTGCCACAAAATGTTGGAGACTATTAATGATATGTCACCACTTCTGGTGGTGACATGAAAAAAAGCACACAACAGATACAGTGAATTTACCACCAGCGAATTCAATGTTAAACACTCACTTTTTACTAGTTTTACATTGCATGCAATAAATACAAAATTGGGTTATGTCATTAGATAGTCTGTTGGAAGTCTATGGTAAAATGAAATAAAGGTTTATACTACAGGATAGCATGACTGACAACATGAGTTAAACTGATTTTAGAGCCATTAATATGCAGTGATACTGAGTGTTTTCTAAATGCTACAAACAATGCTATATATGTATCACATAAGAGAATTAAGAGCAACTATAGTATATATATTCTAAGAGTGCTAAGAGCAGTAAGTGCAAGTGGGCAGGGATATTAAAGGATGGTGTTAGCGTCAGGAGAAAGGATCGGAGATTTAGTAACTAATAAATAGGTTAGGCAAATCTGCATTTAAACCAAACTAGTTTTCACCAGCATTTCTAACTGAATGGTATGGATAATATTACTACATTTCCCCTTACTCATGCTTAATCAAAGCATTCCAGTCACAAGGTTGATTAATATATTAGAAACATGGATCTTGGTCTAAACTAGTGTACTATACATGTCCAGTCTACCATAGGTGAGATATAACTGAAAATCACATGCCAAGTGGAAAACTACTCCAAAGCCAAAACTGCCATGGTTGTATTATTTTTGATGCTCTATCACATAGATTCAGTCTTGTGGTCCAACCAGTATTGCAAACATGGGGGGGATTTTAATGCTACTACATTTATAAACTGCTGTGAGAACTCAAATCAAAATTAAAAATTAGGACAAAAACAATATTCTAGATATAAAATCTTGATTTTTATCGAAATGAAAAAGATAACGATAATCCTAATTGCATCATTCCAAATCCACAGTTGCCACATTGCCAATATCACTTTTTGCTCTTGGCAATGAAATTGGCAAATTGATTACAATTGGGCAATGGAGAAATTGCTAACCTAGTAAATCAAGGTAATCATGTTTTGAGCTTTAGTGTAGAACACTGCCTAATTGTGTAATGACTACTATTTTGTTGTACCTGATGCCTTAATATGCATTAAGGAATACAAATATCTGGATCATATTCATTTCTTTTAAAAGCAGCTTTGAAGTTGTTCTTCTTAAAATAATTCATGTTTGCAATATGATGAACTTATTTAGCATACCTGTCATGAGTGGCAAAGAAGCGTACATCCGCCTGGTTTTGATTCAGATACATCACCTATAGCAACCAAACAGTAGATTACATGGCAACTGAATTGCCATAGCAACCACCAACTATTACCATGGTAACCAAAATCACCTACCACCATTTGCCATATACAACTGTATGTAACCATAGAAATTTATGCCTTGGGTATACCTTCCAATCTGTATGTAAGGTGACATCAGGGCACCACTTCACTTACTTAAATCTTCTTAGAATGAAGTAAAAATAACGTAAAGAAACAAACAAAACACAACAAAACATTAAAGCAAACTAAAGAAGTACCAAACCAAAGGTGTCTTATACAAGTGCACTTTATAGGAAATGCTTTTATTGCTATGGTCAACAGGCTGTATGGCAACTACAGTGGTGGTTGATTTGAAGGTGGTAGTTGCTATAGCAACCATTATATAATCGCCATAAACCAATTCAAACGACTAGAGTACAAAAGCTACTTACTGTGGTACTGACCAAAATTATCATTTAGGAATTATGAACTACATGTACATCGTCATTTGGATTGGCAAATGAAGCGAGTTAACTATAAATATTATAACAATTTCCCCAGTCAGCCATGGTCTAAAAATGAAATGCGTTGAACTTAAGCATGTGCAATGGCAATTATTTTGTTGTATTCAGAAGCCAAAGCCTTAGTTCAACATTTTAAACCATCTGAAGCACTCATATACTTAGGCATTCAACATTTAGATATTTATACTTAATCGGGATTCAATGGATTAAAGAAGACATTGTCTCATTCAAAGGGACATATACAAGAACATCATGTAAGGATTAAACATAATAAGAGGTGGTCAAAATGCCTTAAAAGTGGATTATTTAATAAAAGCTGTGACAATGAAATGACACAGTATTTACCAAATACGATACTTTGGTATAAAACAGTTGCATGTAATCTTGACTCAGACCTATCATATACACAGGCAAGAAAAGGAAGGTGATACAAACACTCAATTTATATATGTCTAAGTATGGTCAGTGATCAGATGGTTTACTCACAGCTCAATTGGGCCTTAATCTCTTACCTATCATAGGCACCAAAAAACCGCACATCAATATTATCCCCTGCTTCCTTGATAACCTAGAATTGTTCATATTTGTGGTAGATGGCAAGTTCAATCTTGTGTGATTTATTACATTTTTTTCAAAGTTGTTTATAGTGCTTTCTTTCTTATAATATATAATTAGAATCATTCAGAATTTATAAATTTTGTTGTTTTTGCAAAAATACAATGTTGATAGTGGTAGAGTATTCTCACCTTTGCAGGCCAGTAGGGGTATCCTTTCAACTTGGCCCAGACAAGAGTATGGGGAGTTCGCTACAACAACAATTAAACTATTAGTAATTGACTGCACAATACTCACAATCATATATGATATGAATGGGAGTTTTCTTTTTTCGCTCAATGCATCTTTGTCAATTTTCAACTCAATTAAGCCCAATATGAGTTATGATCCAGCCTGATCAGGACGGTATAGCTCAGTTACCTTACAATTTTGGGGGTTGAAAGTTTTGACTGCAAAATGAATATATAGATTACAAACATGAATGTAAACAGTTAGAAGAGGACTCAGAAAAGATGGTAATTGCTACGAATCAATGAGAACAGCTTTGACGGTAAAATCAGACACACCCTGGTATTAAGATCATTACCGTTGAGTGACACAATTTAAGAAATTTAAAATCTACTTCAACTTTTTCTCATCTGATGCATCTTCTAGAAAGAGGAGGAATGTCCTAAAGATGGTTATAATGCACTTTTCATAAATTTCTAAATTCTAAATAAGGTGCAAAAAGATTTTCACCTGGGTGCAGGATCATTTCAATTTCTCAACTGGGTACAGCCATTATTTGATTTACCATTTTTAAGATCTTTTAGATTATGCAGACATAAAATATATAAAATATAAATAAACAATAAAGCGTATTTTTAATATTTCATCGTAAAGCCACACATGTGATAAAACTTTATCGTGAGAATATTCTGGAAACAATGTACATGTGCAGATACAATACAAGTGAGTTAAGTCCACAGTATACTTACACATGGTTCACAAAACCAATTGTCATTTCTCTTTATACAGGAGTTCATGTAACAGTCAGGACATATCTCTATCTCATTCATCTACAAAACAAATAAATTCAATATTTACCTATATTGTGACTTTTAATAGTGTCCTTATTTCATTCTAGAACATTCGCATTGAAAATACAGAGATAAGAAGTAAGTTGCTTAAAGTACAAATACATGTACATGCTCAGGGGATTTATCAAACTTTTTAAAGAGGAAATGAATTTTTCTTATCAACAAGTGTTTGAATTGTGTCCATGGACAGTCCACACAATGTTATATGCCTTGTTAGTATTGTAACACATGCCCTAACCTGAAACTCAATCTCAAGGAGCACTTGAGAGGCAGAATAATGATTTTAAGCTGAATGCCAATGCAATAAATCTTATCTATCACGTTTATGTATAACTTAACAAGATTAAAAATATCATTAAAACTTGAAATACAAAGCACAGGGTGAACAATATTGCACACTTAAATTGAATATCGAGGAGGATTTTAAATATACAAAAGTTTGGCAACTAGAGAGGGGATGGTCAAGGTTCGGTTAAGTTCGGTACGATTCTATGTTCTTGTCTCTCGGTTTGATCAGTTCTTCAATCATATACTTAATAAGGTGGGCCTCATGATAAATTGCAATTGATGCAATTGCAATTGACTATTTGAAGCTGGCTATCAAAGCCGCTTGTCCCGTAGATTCCTTTTTAAACTGGGTCTGGTTGGAAGACCTTTTAATATGTTTCATCACGGTAGATGTGTTTCCTGAAAATTGAAATTATGTGGATGGTACAGAAATCCTTTAGTTTGGAATAACAGATAACAGTGCAGTGGGCTAGGTGGGGTGGGGTGGTATGTATTCAACAGACTGACTAGAAGTCAGTCTGTTATGATGTACTACTGTCCTGTGGAAATTGCAGTGAAATTTTTTGCTCAAAATTATCAATTATAGAGGAACCACTTCCTCAACAAAATAAACATTACAAAAATTCAATTAAGTAGTAAAGTACAGTTAAATGCAATAAAAAGTAACACAGCATATTGTCAAGTGGAAACAAAGCTAGTTGAAGTAACAAATGTGAAAATTAATTTTACAAAATCGGCCATTTTGAATAGCACTTCCTATTTTAAAAAAAATATTTTGAATAACCAAACTTTAACATATGTGGCTTATAGTCTGAATATATTCAGACTAAATAGGATATAGATGGGGGGTGTTTACCCAAATTCTCAACCTGACTTAGGACCTGGGGTAAGACACATTAAAAAGTGTATATATCAGTCATAAAAATGTTACTATGAGTGGGTAATAGAAAAAAGTTACAAGAAAGGGGATGAATTGAATTCTAGTAAAGATCGCAGTCTAATTTTTAAAATTAAAAAAATTTACAAAAAGTTTCAATCACAAAATTTGAAAGCCTGCAGCGTATTTCAATGTCGTGTAGTCGGGTAGACATTCTCTCTTCAGAGAAACCGAATACTTCAAAACACCCAACTTAGGCATCGCTGGGACAGGTTCTATTACAGTTGAAATAGCTCTTTGCCTAAGACTTCAAAAACTGTCCTCCATTTTTAAAACACAAGTGTTTTCGCGCGAAATTAATAGAAGCTCGCAAATAGAATTATGTTCCCCCGAGACGTGAAAACGCAATGAAATATCCAAGGAGACAATTTTATTACCCTATGGATTGTTTAAAGTTGTTCAATTGTCGTTTAAATGGTACTTTCATTTGCTATTTAGATGAAATAGAGCTGTAATTATTTGCACAAAAAATTGTGATTCATGTTACACTGCACGAAAATAAAGTATTTTCCATCGAGTGATTGAACCATTCTGGACTCGGAATGTTGAAAAACATATCTTACTGTTGGAAAAGCATTAGGCAAGACTTCACAAACAAGGTTTTGAAACAGAAAGTACAAAATGGCCGCCATATTATTGAATACTATTAAGTAAATGTTACATTTTATACTTGTGTCATGTGACATATTAGCAAAATGGTACCACATTTAATATATTCATCTATTCAGATGTGCTACTCTAGTTTTAACTCGTTTAATTCACAATTAGATGTACTATATTCTCGATAACATAAATAAACACGTTTCTAATTTGTATATTCATAGGTCATTCAGACTTCACTTACTTTTTTATTTTATAATGTCATTAAACGGGAGTAAACATAAAATTAATGCATCTTCTGTAAAATATTCATTTCAATTTCAAGTAAGAGACTTAAATATATATTTCAGTAATGAGTAGTAATAATCCAGATGCGAGTAGAAATAATCTTGATTTACGTCATTAAAAATTCAAAATTCAGTCAAAGTAATATCATATTTGAAATCTACATGTAAAATTACATCTAGTAATGTGGTTTCAAAAAGTGTTTATTAACTTTGAAAAATTAATTTCCTTTGAAAATGTGACTTCTAGCTCGGGGAGATTCCCCATAGACCCCATGCTATAAAATCACAAAAAATGAAATATCTTTTCTTTTAGTGGACAGATAATATTTTGCTTTACTGGATATATTTTCATTAGTATAAGTATCAGACACATAAGGGTTATATGAAAATTGAGCCACTTAAATTGATAATATTCAAGTTTAAGGGAACCTTTCTATATACCTGCCATGTTAATTGACCCGAATCAGCCACCTGGTGGTGAAACTGGTAACTACCTACTCGCATTTGGGTAATTGTGGACCATAATGAATATTCGAGACATTTTGGTGAGTTTTCATGTTTGAATCGTAATATAGACCTCAGAGCAGCTGTATTATCGTCGAAAAAACCCTTATGGCTAGGCACAAAAGCTTTCAAATCCCCTCACTCGCTTCAATCGTTCAGGGTACAGAAAACGTTTGTGCCTAGCCCTGTGGGGTGTATTCGACGATATTACCCCTGCTCTGAGGTCTATATTTCTTAAATATATTATAGTGAATATATTACCTCATGTTTGCAGACCTTCAATATCATCTTGGCAGCTGCAGTAAGCTTATGATGCACTACAATGAAAGATGGAAGAATTTGAAATAAAATCATGCATTTCCATTGCATTTAATCATTCGCCAAGTCTTAAGCAATTAAAGGGCACTTAACCATGATGAGGATCTCTGCAACATCAGACACGAGTAGATGTGCAAATTATGCAAAGATCTAAAATGCAGTTTGCTATTATTTAGCATTATTTAGGTTCAAATTTCCAATGAATGAATTTGCATGGTACCTAAACCTCATTCAAAGTAATCATTTACTATTATGTGCCTCCTATTACTTCTATAGGACAATATCATTTTACAATCTTGTAGACTAGTGAGGCACTGCTTATATATTGATGTCAAAACATTATGTAATGCAGATTCACAGGACAGTAATATTATCCTTACATCCATTGAAAATGATACAGTTATGAAGAATCCATTTGCAGTCAGCCAAGAAAGCCTCTGTGCAGCCATACTGTTTCTTTTTGATATTCTGGAAAAAGTACACACAGGTGATAAGACAAATTTTTCCAATAGGTAACTTCAATATAAAAGTTGCCTAGTTACTCTATTTACTGTTGTACAATGTTTTCTAATGATGCAAATTCCATTTTAATTCTAAACAATACATTCAGTCATCAAGCTTGTCTCAGAAACTGCAGACTGCAGAGGTTTGATATGAGTCCATTTTCAAATCAGGAAACAGTTTTTTTCAGGACCATTCGTCAAGAATAATAATAAAAATAGAGTAAAACAAGGCATTGTCATTGCAATCATGCATCAGGAATGCCAGTCAAATTCAAGCACATTACAGTGAGCTATTTGAGATAAGAGGGGACAAAATAGAGAAGAAAATTAAAGCAGCGCTGTATCATTGAAGCCTACAAGTGAACACCCTGCATTACCTTTTCTATCACTGCTAGGTCCATTGGGTGGAATATGTAGTCAGTGTAGTTTGGCACAAGATTCAAATTGACAGGTGTCTGAAATGGCTCACTCTGTAATAAAAAGAAGAAAATAAATTAATCTGGTAAATTTTGGAAAAGGTATAATGACATAAATGTACAGATAATTATTCAATAACTTTTCAATCGTCAGTAGTGTTACAACTATGGAAAATATGAGTCAGTAATAACATTCTGACACAAAAAGTTTAACGAAAAATGGACATTTTGAAATTCAGCTATTTTTTACAAAAACAGCCTCTCTGTATCCCAACAACATTCGGTGGGATGATAAAGTGAACTGAATGAATGGAACAGAATGTCACCTACCCCTTGATGTTTCATGCGTTGCAGTGCAAACTTGAGTAGGACGCAGAGTTGATCTATGGTCACCTGAGCCATTGAGGGTGACCTTGAATCTACACATTCTGCCTTCATTATCTACAAGTACAGTAAATACAAAAGAGTTGATATATCTGAGTGAACTTTGCAGTCATAATTTTTAGTAACTTGTATTTTCATCATAAATTAAATCAAATAATATAATAATGATGTATCTACTTGATAAAATGTCATCACCTGGTAATTTATCACAAATCATTACAGAATCATTTTTATCGTACAGATGCCAAATGCTGACCACTAAGACTGACCACTGGTCACAAAAATGGTGTCTGTAACAATATGGGCCCACCACCTAGGGGTGGTGACTTAAAATCGTTGTTCATAAATCAGTTGAGTACAATATCAACTACAAAACAGCAAAGTGTTAACCACTGTCCCACTGAATGTCTTGTCAAGGGTCAGACAAGACTGCCCCAGTACATGTAATTTGCTACATTGAGTCACTCCATTGTTTTACAATTTTTCAAAATGGCTGTGATAATCTGATTATTTCAGCTTATCCAAATAGTATGTTACATACCTATATGTTCAGTATCTGTAAAAATCTCAAAACATCGGGTCATTAACACTTTTTCCAAACTTCTAGAAACTCTTACCTTCTGACATTCTGGACACACCCAGTCCCCAGGTGGCTCATGGTCCATTAGAAGACATTTCACATGGTAGACCCTGGGACATAGCTCACAGCATATCACATTGCCTTCCTTGTGGCACACCCAACAGAAGAAATCATTCTGACTGTCCGGCTGAAATACAAGTCGTAGGAGAAATTTGACACGATTGTTTAGCAATTCAAAGTGAGAAATTGGCAATATTTGAAAATTAAACTTACAGACCAGGATGGCAAATACAGTCTGTCATGATTGAAAACATAAATATTTTGGGGTATCAGGTAATTATATAAAAGTTATTCATTTTGATAATAAAATTAGCAAATACATACCCTGCCACTGTCCCTCCTTCTGAGCTTAGGGCCCCTACCTCCCTCACCTCCGGCTGATGGAGGTGTTCTATGTTTTGACGTGGCTGGAGGTGATTCTACAAATGAAAAGGATGTAGAGGTAAGAGAGTGTAAAAAGTTGGAAGCAAAATGTTTTCCAATTAAATATAGAAGCTATTGAAGATTCAAGATGCAGAAATATATAAATTCATCCAAATTTCTTGCACTGTTTTTTTACAGATAATCTTAAAAATTGAAATATTATCCTGAAATAAAGTCAGAATTTTCAGGATTTTTCAGAGAATACATAAAATGAGAGCAAAATTATCTTAAAATTGTGACATTATATTTCGAAACTTAATCTCTACTCATCTGTCTACCTTCTTTCACTTGATGTGGAGTCACAATGGGTAGTGCATTATTGGAGCTATGTTTGTATATCAAATATTCATCCTTTTATGACGAAAAACATATGTTACCTCTTGAAGCTTTTGTGGGAGTTATCTTAGGTGAGTCTTCTGAATTCTTCAGCTTTGATAGCTTTGTTGTTGCTTTTGGGGTCAAAGGCTTTGGATCGGGCTCTGAAAATAAATTGCACAAATTACTCCTGACACAATTCTAAAAAAATGTTAAGAATGTTATGGTTTATTTCATTTAGAAAAGTTATACATTCCAGTGATCCATTTTTTAATGTTTTTCTTTGAAACATCCCGTTTTGAATGTGCTTCTTAGATACATCAGGATGTTTCCCCATTGACTCTTCAACCCACATTCTTTAATAATCATAATAAAAACTTAACAGAATATAAGTTACCTGGTTTTGAGTTCCGTGTAAGTGCAGCAGTGACTGAAGCCATTGTTTCAAGTTTGCTCAGGTTGATCCTGAATATCATGAAAGAACATGTAATTACAGATGATAAATAAATCAGTTTCTATTATTAAATAATTAGTTTATTGCATGATAGATGTATGTATGTACTTATAATACACTGTCTCACTTTTCAGATTTAGAACTTACGATGCAGGCAACTTTATTTCATACTCAGTGGCTAAAAAGTCAAGAATGGGTCAGAATGTTCCCAGCTCTCTATACTACTTGAAAGCTATCACTCAAATATAAAATGTATTAGAAACTATTTTAAAAATACTTTATAGCATATATCTAATTCCTAGTCAAAAAGTATGGCTAATAAGGCAAAAATCAGTACTTAATCAAGACAACAGTGGTCCTACTCTCTAATGTAGGTTGGAAATTCAAGTTTGACATTCAGTATTACTTGGAGATTCCGAATGTTACACATGACAATTTTGATATGAAATGATATTTCCAATCAATAAATCAGAGGTTCTATATTATCTAGCAGATTAGTTTATTACCCTGCTGAGCTTCGTGCACTTTTCCGTAAGGCAAGTGGTTGATCCAAAGCAGTCTTTTCATTCATGGTATTTCCTTTTTCTGATTTGCCAATAAATTTAGTGTCAGCACCCCTCCTGGTCAATTTGTCTGCTTCAGCATCTGTTTTTGACATCTTAAAAGCTTACTTTGTGTCGGTCTGTCGAATCTAAATTGCTATTCACATTTCTGAAATCAGACATTTGATACCTCCCTGTACATTCATACAAAAAGGTGTAATCATAGCTCGAAGGCGACTTCATTTCGAAGTCTTAAAACATATTATATTGGGAAGGCCAAATCCTCAGTGTGAACAATTTCTAGAACATGTAGGACTATGATAACTGAAGTGAAGTTTGTTGTTTGTCTTGAATTTTTGTGCCTTCACTTTCAGGAAAATAAAATACATACCTCTACAGTTCTAAATCATTTACATTGGTTGGAGCAGCAGTAAAGTATATTCTACATTATACCTAGATTTGCCATTGGAACAATTTTGGTAAATCTTACCTAAGGTTGCTCTAATAATTCAACTTTGGTTGAAATCTTGTAAACTTTCCACACTTCTTCTTGTTCAACATTTTGCTTTAGAAATCTAAGACATGCAACCTGATTGGTCCAACCTTTATTTGGTTAAATTATTTTCAGTGGGTTTTCAACTTGCTTGTGGGATTTCTACGTCAATCTATACAATCATTTATATGAATGAGCACATTATGAACCTTGTAGCGCAGACACTACGATGATTCCTGATGTAAATTTGCTAAAAAAGATGAAAATATCAATTTAAGCATCAGACTAGAAAACCAATCAAATCAGTTTTAACAATCCGGTTTTGGCCAAGGTTAGTGACGCATGCGCATAACTACTTCCTTTTTCCTGGCGGATTTCAGTGGCCACATCACAAAATTATTTTGCAGAAAAAATGGGATTGCGACGACCAAATAAGCAGAAAAACCCACCGGTTTTCAGCCATGAGTTTGTCATACAGAACCATGCAGATATTGTGTCATGCGTGGCGATGGTGTTCGTCGTTGGACTAATGTTTCAGGTAAAAATTCAATTTCAATTTTCAGCCATTTTTCAGTCGGTGAACATTCAACAAGTGAACATATGGCATTACTATTTTCAGATGGAGACATTATTAACTAGTTCTGCTTTGTATGCTTTTAAGTTCATACCTAAATATGCCCACTGTACATATTGTACAGTCTATAAACTGCTTCTCCAAAATAAAATCGACCAAATAAAATATAACTTTTTGCACGGATAATGGGAAGTTCACCATGCCTGGGGGGGGGGTCATTCTAAATAATTGGGTAGGTATGTGCAGCATGGGCAATTTTGGCTTAAGGCATAAGCCATGGAACCTGGCCAATCTGAGAAGAAAAGAACATAGAAAATTTGTCAAAGAGAAAGCCTTCTTTCAGTCAAAAATTAGTTTTTCTACGGTAAAATCAGTTGGCGAAGTCTGGGACGAATCACCCAAAAAGTAGATTTTTTAGTTAATATACGAATATTTCAGGAAATTTACTCCCTTTTATAAGTCTGAGAGGAAGAATTCATGGAAACCAATCTTGAGAGGAAATTGACATGGAAAAATGCTTAAAAAAGGGGTCTTTGGCGTGGCACATAGGTATTAAGAGGTATATTGGAGTGAAACCCCCGGGTCTCCATGTAGATATGTATCTATACTGAATACTCGAGGTTTGGTATCTTGAGATGTTGTTATTCACTAACATTACAACTAGCAAATCTGTATTAAGGAAAAGGTTTATACTTATATCTCAATCACCTGTTATGTGTTTTGAATTATCTAGTTATGAAATAAGACCAAATCTTGCGATTTAAAATCTGAAGCGGGAAAAATATTCAAAATGACGGCATTTGAATTTGTAAGTGTGACATCATTTAGATCGACCTATCGCTCACGTCAGGCAGAGCGAGTTTCAAAACAATATTTCCGATTTGGTTCATTATTTGACCAATAAAGCCAGTTTGAGCCAATGAAGTGTTATGTTCATGTTTTAGGCGTGCCAGGAGAATCATGTAAACAAAAAGTCAAGAATAATTTTTTAATTTACCCTATTTTTCTTTTTTCAAACTTCTTTCCGCACTTGTAGTGTAACCTATAGATAACATGGGGCTTCTTTTCACTATGACTTTTTGTCAGTACATGTACATATCAGTGATTTGAAATTCGATAATGTCTAATAGGGTAACGTCTAGAGTCCATTTCACTGCTTCAGTTCATAAGTAGAACGGCAAAAATAAGAAATTGGGAGACCATTGTGCAATAATATATGGAAAAGTATATTCATAATGTACATGAATGACATTTGTATATTTCAGATTTTTTAGTTTTTTGTGCAATAAGCCTGTGTCGTCTTGTAATTTGAAGAATTTCAGCCATGTTAATCTTATTGAAAATAACATGGCAGAGAAACATCCAAATATAAGAGGCCACACACTTTATAAGCCAAACTAGAAGCAATCCAAGATATACAAATGTCATTCATGTATATTATGAATATACTTTTCCATATATTATTGCACAATGGTCTCCCAATTTCTTATTTTTGCCGTTCTACTGACGAACTGAAGCAGTGAAATGGACTCTAGAAAGATGTCCTGTAAGCTTAATGTATTCACCTGTATTTCCTTGAGTACATACAAACCTTTTAAAGTCTCGTCTACATGTTATGGATCACTCTTAAAATTTCAGCGATGCTTTGTAAATGATCAGTCTTCATTATCTAGTTCCAATCCTATTATGGTCTTTGAAAGGTTCAATAGAAGCTCACATTATATTTCAAAAGTAAAAAAGATGGTGCTAGCAATGCACATATTTCTTACCTCAGTCGATTCTAAACACCACCAGAAATATTCTTTCAATGGCATAAAAGACACGTCTGTCTCAAATTGCAGTAATGTACATTAATTCAAGATGTCTGTCATCGGAGGCCATGAATATTGCTCAAATGAAAATTCCAAAGGGTGAACAAATTGATGCCGATCGGATACCTACCTAGAGTAAGATCGAAGGACTCTTCGCCCCTTCTTCTATCTTGTGAAAATAATGACATCCTGACTTAGGGAAAATATCTAGGTGGGAATCTCTGGCTAATTTTACCTGTTTCGGAAAAGTCCGTATTTCAGCTCAGGTTCCGCACAGATTTTCAATATGACGGCATTTAGTTTTATCTGAGATTTTACAGAACATTTGATCAGTGAACACCTGCCAACACTGAATGTTATAAAAGTCCCCATATAAAGTTTAAACCACTTAGGCTTTATATATTGTAGTCTTACCTTATGGTCTCAAAGTGTGATATGTGAAACCTTTTTTTTTTAATTTCAAAAAGTGGTTTTTGATAGACTTTTTGTTCCAAAATTTGTGAATTTATTTAAAACTAACTTTTAGAAGTCACACATATCTTTTAATTAGCCTAAATTCATACCAATGCATAGCATTCATCCTCTCATGTTTTTTGCCGAAAAAAATTAAGAAAATCGGTTCATAAATAAGCGAGAAATGAACTCATCAGTGTATGAAAATTGTTCCGAGAAAAATTCATTTCAAAATTTTAGTTCTCATAGAAACCAATGGTACAATGATATCTAAAACATAATATATTCTTCCTTTTAATCTGGTTAGACTATCAACATTGGTTTATTATTGAAGTCTAGCATATTTAGAAAAGATTGACATAGAAAATAAAATTTCGAGTTTTTCAAAACGTTTTTGCCACCTTAGTGACATCACTAATGTTGCAAAATATTTTTGATATGCTAAAACATTGAAGTGGCCCATTAAATATGGTATTTTATTATTGAAATAGTGTGTCCTTTTTTCAATCTTTGAATTGGTGTTAAAAAGATAATCTTTTTTGGAATGCATCAAAAAATATTTAATGATTAAAAATTTCAACTTTTTATAAAAATGGCGAGAAATTTGAATATTTGAGAAATGAAATGCTCACAACTTGTTTTTCAAAAATCTCTAAAATAACTTTTTAAGTCATGACAAATAATAAATAAATGATAAAAAAATATTTTCAAACTTTAGACAGGGACTTTAAGGAATAGATAATGATAGGCCATTCAATATTTAGAGGTTATGTCACTATCGTTGCATATATGCCCGAGGTCTCAGTGATATATGGCCCGACCTTGGGAGGGACATTGATCTCTGAGAACCGAGGGCATATGTGCCACGATAGTGACATAAACGATTTATAACATACATATGATTATGTAGAATGGTCAGAGAGTACCGTTCTCTAATAGAATTGACAAACAAATGGTTTGAAAATGATTGAAATGAGTTTAGAAAAATTGCTCGCGCAGTTTTATCTTTGATTGATTGGTTATGACGTCAGCGCCTTGACCAATCAGAAAGTTAGCGGGCGCGGGCTTTTCACAACTTATATTGGCCCGCTGTCTTGTGTACACTTTGCACTATGCATCATCATAGGTATGTTATAAGGTGAAATTCAGCACAGTTGGACAGGATGTCGTACAAAGTACGAACCGAAGGTCCAACGAGTGTAGAATTTCACCATATTGAATGGCCTATCATTATTTATGATAGGCCATTTAATATGGTGAAATTCAGCACAAGTTGGACAGAATGTCATACAAAGCATGAACCGAAGGTCCAACTAGTGTAGAATTTCACCATATTGAATGGCCTATCATTATTTATTCAGATTCAAACATAGAAAATGAAAAAATTGTTCAGAGAATTGTTCAACGAAATAACCAAACTTGCTGCTATTTTCACCATGCCAAGGTATGACGTCATTATAGTATACAACACAAAACATCGATTCCTGGAAGCAGATTGACAAGAGCATGGCCATGTATCTATGAAGAAATAGAATAAACAGTCATGTTTGAAAATTTCTACAGGTTTTACTGTACTCATGTTTAGCATTTACTTACTTTGGACAGGCTGTTACTTAGAAAACAATACAATGACATAATATTGATGCACCTTTAAAGTTAATATGATGCACTGTGGCATAATTGTCATTTAATTATGTCTGATTGAAATTGGAAGCTCTAATGACTTAGGTTGATTATAACTTAGTTTTATTCTCTCTGTATGTAATTGCACTCAGTAAGTTATTGCCAAGGGTCAAAAATGTTGACAGTTGTTGGAACAAAATTTTGATTTGATTTTACCCCTTCCCCTTTCTAACAGATGATTAAATCACCTGGTATGGTACACTGTGAGGCAAAACGATTCAAAGCTCACTAAGTATGTTCGATTATTGGTTCCAAATAAAGATTGTATTATGAGAATACTGTACTCTAAATTCAATGTTTGAATTTCAGGCGACAAACCCAGTGGCATCTTTGTTCGTCACCATGGGCCATAACATCACCCAAAATGGTACGTAAAACAAAGCTTATCACATAATTTAGCCCATAGAAAAGTTTTATAGAATAAATGAAATTGTCACAATCTGAATTTTATACCCTTTTGTGTCAATCTAGGAAAATATTATAATTTAGAATCTATTGACATTGTTTCACTTACATTAATTGCCTTACATTGATTGAATTAAATATTTTCTGTGGGGAATGGCAGTTTTTGAAACTGTGTATGGTTTTTTGTTTTTCAGAAACTGAGGGAGCAACCCAGCCAGAAGATATCTTGTATACCAACGGCCTCAAGGATCTATTTTCCATCTTCTTCTATATGCTCATCTGTGTTGTTGTTCATGCCGTCATTCAGGAGTACATCCTTGACGTGAGTTACCTATGGGTACCATCCGTCGTATGTTACAAAAATTTCCCATTCATAGACATATTTTGATAGCTGAACACCTTTTAACTTGAATGACTATATTACTCATTTAATTCTGATGATACATTTTCAAAGTTGATATTACTATAAAAAAGGATTTTTTAAAATGATGCATCCTAAAACCCTTTTTGTTGTCAGAAACTCACCTAGAATTTTTGTTTCTAGAAAGTGAACCGCAAGATGCATCTCTCCAAGGTGAAACACAGCAAGTTCAATGAGTCTGGCCAGTTGGTAGCTTTCTACCTGACCTCCGCTGTATGGGGAGCTAACATCATCCTTCAGGTAAAATATATAGTTAATTAAGAAACTTATTTCAATCTGATTGGCTCTTGCAATGTAATTGTTATTATACCTTGGGATACAGAATCCATATTCCACTTTAACATCAAGCTTTTCAAAGGGTAATACAGATTTTTATTGGAATGATATTTTCTGTATTTAACTGACATATTATTGAATAATTTTAAAAAGTACTTTATGACCTTCTAATAGTGATGTTTGTCAATCATGATGCTTATCCTGAACAAAATTCCCCAATAAAGCACGTATATTAGCAGGAGTTATTTGTCTCAAATGCGAATTTATTTTCTTCTGTAATTCTAACATTTTGCAAATCATCAAGATCCAAGATATGTATGTTACATGTAATTTTGATCAATGGCTTGATAGCAATATCAGTATGACTGAATATAACGAACAGTGGTTGATACTGACAGCACATTCATAGATGATATCAAGAAGAATATGGAGTCTGATTTCTCCACTCATTATTTCTAAAATTAATTTGAAATATGAGTATGAAATTGATTCACATATTTATTCATAGAGTTTCTTCTCAAAGCACTAGATGTAACATTAATAAGCGTCCAGTTTGCTAGATGCTCACTATAGAGCAACCAGATATATTGCCATTGCAGAAAATCTGGAATTTACATTCTGCCCTGTTGAAAATATGTTTGCACCCTCCAAAAAGTGTGAAATATTTTAGTGGAATATTTTAATGAAAAAATCCTGGAAAGATGACGTACCCGATATACTATACAAGTGGTGTTTAGTCCGAGTAGTTAATTTACTAAATGGTCAATTTTTTTCATTTTTCTAATTTTAATTTTCCTAATGACAAGAAACTTCCAATTGGATAACATGTAGATAATATTTCTGATATTTAAATTTCCGAACCTGGCAAAAATTAGGCAATAGGCAAATTAAATGATTAGGCAAAATTACAACTTATACAGTACGTGGAATAACCAATAAGCACTGATGTCAATGTTATGGACGCTTGTCATTTCACTAATATTGGCATAATTATGTTATAGTACATGTACAAGTATGTTATGATCTATAACTTTGATATTGAATTTCAGGAGAACTACTTACCCAACATCAGTACTCTGTGGGAGGGCTATCCTCACTCAACTATGGTGTAAGTTGATAAATTTAATTACAATGAGTTATTTTATTTTTCCATCTGAAATATATTTGATTTCAGTTAGTTAACTGAGACTCTATTTGGATGCAAATGTCTGCAAGAAAAGTTAAAAAATGTAACATTTTGTATGAAAATCTGATTTTCTTTTGACTTGCTGAACATGCAGTATGAGGAAAAATTGTGCTCGTCTTCGATCATCCCATCATTTTGTGACAGATTTGTTATGCCCAAGAGCTAGACGATATAGGATATCATCAATATTTTTAGGGATACTGTAATTTAATTGAAGTTTGAAAGTCAAGTGATAAGCAGGAGGCAACAGGCAGATGAATATTTCCAGTTGTTTTCATCAAAATCACCTGTTGTTTGTCCTGGTTTTTTTATCGTTTTTACATTATACATTATACATTCTCGACAGTTTATTTATTCACTCTGCATGTAACATCAGAAAAAATTCTAATAAAATGCCTGAACCCTTGAAACACTGACACATGCTCATTGTCATTGCCACAAAACACTAAAAAAAGAATTTTAGAATTTTGATTTAGATAATTAAAATCTGCAATGTTTGAGGATGCAGCACAGAAAAATGGAAAGAAACATGCATGATTAAACCTGCATGAATAAACCTGCACATCGCTTCAAAACGCAATATGTTGACATATATTGTTGTTTTTACATTTCAAGCTCTAATATAACGTTTATAAGAATAAAAATAAAAATTGTTTTTTCTGCGTAATATCAAAGAACAATCATTTAGTTAAAAAAATAAAAAATCTAGTGAGGGATTTGAACCCGGGCCACCTGCGTGCTGAGTGAGCATTCTACCGCAAGGCCACCATCATTATGAATGATCAGAATAATTAGACGCTACTTATTTTGAATGCTATAATTCGGAAGTGACGTCACGTTCTTAATTTAGAAACCTTTCCAAAATCATATCGTCGTCACCAATCGAAGCAAGTCAATGAACAATCTTTGAAATGATACATTTATCGTAAGTATTTATACACAAGATTTGCCCCATTTGTTCATCATTCCATAATCTTTCATTAAGCTCAAAATGATAAAGTTCACCCCCGAAACAACCCAAGATTGCGTTTTGGAGCGATGTGCAGGTTTAATAGCTGTGATATCTGTAATATTTTAATAGTCTGTTATGTTTTTACACTGTCTATAATATTCCTAAATTGCCTTTAACATTAGTGAATTGATATGTTCTCTTACAGATTCATGATCAAGTTCTACTTCATCATCCAACTCTCCTATTGGACACATTGTGTACCAGAACTCTACTTTCAAAAAGTTAAAAAGGTAAATTGAATTAAGTTTGTTTAGTGAAAAATGTAATTTACAAAAATTAACGTGATCTTTATGCACCACATCTTGTTAATTTGTCTCCAAATTTTTGTGGACGGTTGTCGGTGTTCATTGTCTGTAACAAATGGTAGTTGGTGACATTTTGCATGTTAATGCCTTGTTTCACTATGCTATATGCACCCTGAGAATTTCATGCCTTCTGGTCAGAACTGAATTATTCAGCATATTTCAAGGAATCTTTTAAATATTCATTCTTTAGAGAAAGTGCCTGCATTATAAGCTGTTCCTTCAAAAGTCCATCTCAAGCCTTTAAAGCAATGAATCCATGTATTTATATTTCTCTTTACATGAGGATATGTCTGGTAGACTCCAATATACCCTGCTGTCCTTTGTATTTATAGCAATGAATCTATGTATTTATATTTCTCTTTACAGGAGGAGATGTCTGGTAGACTCCAATATACCCTGCTGTCCTTTGTATTTATAGCAATGAATCCATGTATTTATATTTCTCTTTACAGGAGGAGATGTCTGGTAGACTCCAATATACCCTGCTGTCCTTTGTATTTATAGCAATGAATCCATGTATTTATATTTCTCTTTACATGAGGATATGTCTGGTAGACTCCAATATACCCTGCTGTCCTTTGTATTTATAGCAATGAATCCATGTATTTATATTTCTCTTTACAGGAGGAGATGTCTGGTAGACTCCAATATACCCTGCTGTCCTTTGTATTTATAGCAATGAATCCATGTATTTATGTTTCTCTTTACAGGAGGAGATGTCTGGTAGACTCCAATATACCCTGCTGTCCTTTGTATTTATAGCAATGAATCCATGTATTTATGTTTCTCTTTACAGGAGGAGATGTCTGGTAGACTCCAATATACCCTGCTGTCCTTTGTATTTATAGCAATGAATCCATGTATTTATATTTCTCTTTACAGGAGGAGATGTCTGGTAGACTCCAATATACCCTGCTGTCCTTTGTATTTATAGCAATGAATCCATGTATTTATGTTTCTCTTTACAGGAGGAGATGTCTGGTAGACTCCAATATACCCTGCTGTCCTTTGTATTTATAGCAATGAATCCATGTATTTATATTTCTCTTTACAGGAGGAGATGTCTGGTAGACTCCAATATACCCTGCTCTCCTTTGTATTTATAGCAATGAATCCATGTATTTATGTTTCTCTTTACAGGAGGAGATGTCTGGTAGACTCCAATATACCCTGCTGTCCTTTGTATTTATAGCAATGAATCCATGTATTTATGTTTCTCTTTACAGGAAGAGATGTCTGGTAGACTCCAATATACCCTGCTGTCCTTTGTATTTATAGCAGGAGCTTACTCACTCAAGTAAGTCAATTAGGTCATTACTCCTTAAGTTAATTCATATATTAAATCATTTGTACTCCTTTACTATCATAATTTATATTTGTAAATTTAATTAACAACAATATTCACTTCAGTTAATTGTTAGATATTATGATGTCTTGATGGATGCTACACTGAGGATAGGATTTGATCCTATCTTTCAGATTAACAAAAACTCCAGATTTGAAAACATTGTTCTGATAACTGTATTGTATGTTGCAGTTTCACACGGGTTGCCTTATGCCTATTGGTGCTTCACTACACTGTAGAGCTGCTGTTCCACTTATCAAGGCTTCTCTACTTTGCTGACAAACCAGACCTGGCTAATACAGGGTAAATATATTACAGATTTTAAAATCAGTGTTTAAATGTATGAAGGCCTACATTTACATTTTCTCTGCTTTGTTCCCCTACCTATAGTCCAGTCAGAATTATGTCTACCTTATTTCAATCAACCTTGACTCTGTGTTGCCACTCCAGCAAATACATCATTTCTTAACTTTATATCCCCATCTGTATGTCATGTCTTGCTTCAGCTTTATATCCCCACTTATACCTCATATTTGATTCCTATATTATGTTTTGCTACTTATTTCTGATGCTATCTATTTTTGCACACTTTAAGTTCTCCCCTAGTTCATTATTGAGAAGTATTTGAAAACGTAAAAATAATTGGCATTTTTGTTTAGACCTCAATGAACCTCTGATACTCCCTATTGGGATTCATTAGCTACTATAACATGTAAATAATTTACATTGATTTTAATAAACAATATAAAACTATGCAGGACCATGATAATGGAAAATAGTATGCTTGATTCAAGCCAGTTGAGAAATATATTCTTTTTTTCAGATTCATGATCTGGAACATACTTTTTGTACTTGTAAGATTAGTCAGCACAACAATTGCTGTTTTAACTTTCTGGTAAGTTTTTTAAAACACCTTGTAAATATTTATCTTATTTAAGAAATAGAAATAGAAGTTATATGGTTAGCTATATGGTTAAGTGATCTAAGTAAATACTCAATACTTAAATAATGTAAAATTTCAGGTTTGGACTAGAACAGAGTAGCCAATCTTCAATAAATTTTACTGAAGGCAACTTCAACACACAAATAGTCAGGTAAGATGAATTGGTAATGACTGTTATTAGCATTAGTAATAGCCTAGTTCAGTGATGTGTCAGAAATGGCTTGAACCTTTGTTATTGAACTCAAATTTTCACTTTGCTCTAGTAATAGAGCCTAGTGTTAGTGATGTGCCTGTAATGACTAGAACCGTTGTTTTTGTCTTATAAACCTTTGTTATTGTAGTCGAATTTTGGTTCTTAAATATAATACTAAAGTTATCTTCCAGAATAAATTGCCTAGCTGCCTTATGCCTGGTGCAGGCGTGGATGATGTGGAATTTCTTAACCTTCCAATTCCGTCGCCGACGTGAACGCTCTTCCCCACCAAGAAAACAAGTATTCGCAGCACAAAAAACCAAAGTTAAAGATACTAAGAAAAAAGGTTAGTAGAAAATACATGGATTACACAAAAATCAAATGTGTGCTCTAACCACAATACCACATATTGTAATACAATAAGTATACACCTATTGTTACAATATTGAAGAATTTCCCTTTTTTACCCTGCAGGTAAATATGAAGAAGGCAGCGGAGATGAAGCCCAAGAATCCACCGAGAATGGTTCAGTAAGACAGAGAACCCCCAAGGCCAAGAGAAACTGAGAATACATCATGATTTGGCAGCTTGAACTAAAAGTCTTATATCAGAAACACAGTAAAAGAGTTCGTACAATAATATAGCTTGAAAGGATGGAAAATCTGTTAGGAATCACCACTCTAATATAACTTTACTGTTGACAAGAGATTCCATTTGTCTCATTTTAGTCATGAAGTTATATCTTATTTGTCATTTAGATACTCCTTAATTGTCAATAAGATATCTTATTTTCTAAGATGTATTTTGTTTGTCATTTGGTATATCTTTCTGTTAATAAGGTAACCGTTGTTTGTCAAAAAGGTATCTGTGTCATAATAGTTATAGGACTAATAAAATAACAAGTCGCTAAACTATATCTAATACAGTAATTTTATTTTTCAATTCATGCTTTCTCTAATATTAGGGATCTAGGGATCTTATTAAATGATGATAGTTACAGCACGCCATGCTAGATGTATTGCCCATCAGCAATATTTGATTTCTGACCTCAATTTTCTCTTATAAACCGTAGCTCTTTGGGAATAATGTTGAAGCGTTACTAATAGTGACACAGTCACGAGTCTCAGATGTGATAATCACTAAATCGATTTAAAGTTTGTGATACTTTTTGGTATTGAAACTGCCTATTATTGTAATTTGTTCTAGCTATGTGAGTACATTATCAATTTATTTACATAACTAGACTGTACTTCACTATAATAATTAGGTTGAATTGAATGTGCTGTACCTTTCTATGAGAACCACTAGGGTACACTGCCTTGGTGCAGTAAGCTGTGCTATATTGCACTATGCTAATTTGTATTCCATTAAATGTAATACGCTTAATTGAATAGAAATGAACTGTACAGAAGAGCTCCTAATGAATTGTACTATACTGTACTGTACTGTACTGTACTGTACTGTACTGTACTGTACTGTACTGTACTGTACTGTACTGTACTGTTCTGTACTGTACTGTACTGTGAGTTCTTCTAAGCTCTTAAGACTTTAACATCTACCATTTTTCTTTCATTATAATACACTTTTTGCTTAATATTAGGTAAGAAATGGTTGCGGTTTTCTTTATCAACTAAATGGAATGTTCACAGTCTTATGTTCTCATTATTTGATGTATGTTGTAAATATGCTTCAATGACTCACAGATTAATATTCCATTGTAAATTCTATGAATAGTTTTGTTGTGTATATAAATACAAATTGTAAAAAAATAAGCTGCATTTGATACTTTGTGTATGGCAAATGGTGCAATTGGATCTTGATTCTGTTTTGACAATTTCTTTGTATAATATATCGGTATTAATCAGAAAAGTTATAGTATCAGGCTTCAATTGTTCTTCAAGGCATGTTGTTAGGTGTTGTGGGAGGGGGAATAAATAAACTTGTACAGAAAATATTTTCAATACAAACGTTTTAAAACAGAGTGCATGTATCATTCATTTCAATATTTTTGGTTTGAAATGATTGAAACAATTTATTCTGTTGTCATTGTAAATGTACATGACACTTAGATGCATCATTATGTTATTTATGCATGCCTGCCATTCTCCTGTATCATAGGTGGCGCTTTATAGATTGTGGCACATGTTAATCGTGTGACCTTGTCACCTTATTAGTCTAAGGTTCCTAAGTCTGCAATGAATTATATAACCTAGTATGCTAGTGCCTTTCTATATGCTAGTACTTAACAGTCTTTTTGTGAGTCAATCAAACCTAAATAAATAAGCAATCAAAGGACCGCAGTGGAATATTATGTGAAAAATACATTCTTATTTTCATTCAGAACTCTCTTATTTTGGATTGTTTGTGGTTTGATTCAGATCTATGTGTGCTCTTGAAACATAACTTGGTTTTATGTTATGTGCAGCTTACTGATTGCGTTTTAAGGTTTGATTAACTCACAAAAAAACGTTGACAAACTGTATGTTAACAGGGAAACACCAACAGGGCATGTTAATAATTCACAGATCAAGTGTGCAATAGTATAAATAGCCCTCTTGGTGAGAGATGAACCCTTTTGGCATGTACATGTAGCTCCATAGATGAATCAGCTATGATTTTAGCCTATCATAAACCTGTGTTCTGTACTTCTTGGATATGTTGATAACTCGATGGCATATGCCTAATTTTGTAAATACTTAATATAATGCAGCATATTTTCCTTGTATGGTAGAGGTTTATGATATTAAATATAAAGTATGTGTGAGGACACCAGAATGTATGTATCACACAAAATAAAATGAAATACATATAAAACTCGAAATGTGCTGTTTGTTTCTAATTATTCTGGTAACAAGTTAAAGGCCCACTTTGTGTATTTCCAACGTTTTTGGGCAAAATAAAGACTTGCATTTGAATTTCCAATGTATTGATAAGAACCTTATCTTTCATTTGACACCCAACAACAGCTCAAACGGACCACATCAAAGGTTACAATAAATTATCAAAAAAACAATTTTGATCTGTCCAGCTTTATATATCAGTTTTTTGTCAATGTCATTGAAAGATGGCGAAGTTGTTTCTATTGCATGATATATTCATTTCTATAGAAGTGTCCTCATTTAAATCAAGAGTAATTTAAAACATTCACTTTGTTTAGCATGGTCATGCACTACTAATGATCAAACTTCAAATGCTTTTTTCTGTGTGAGTTATTTTTTTCTTGGTTCAATATAAAAGCAAACCAAACTTTGTGTCATATTTGAGCGAGTGGGTGAGTAACATGTTTCAATTATTATTCTTTTCTTCTAAATTAAGTATAGTGGGCCTTAAAGCGTATATACCTAGAAAAAATGTTGCCTAACTTTGGAAGGGAGGATTGCATCTGTTGATGATCAGCCGTTCGTGCCAGCAATTTTAATTTTTACATGTCACAAAACCTATTTGAGAGAATCTATGGGTTCTTAACATACGTCCCGGGTATTATTGTACGTTGACAAAGCATGTAAATGTTCGTTTATGGAGTATTTTCTGTTCTCGGATTCAATCTATTCCAAGCGATAAATAAATTCATTATTATAGATTTAGCTTAATTTGCGGATGTTTCAGTCGCATCATGCAGGGGTTTCCTCGGGATTTTCCATGGGAAAGATCAGTCCCGTTCTTTTATACATGTATAAGCTATCATCCTTTATTAGTTTATTTCCTCATCGCCCATATTTGGTCATTTTGAGTTTACAAATTACAAATACAAAGTATTTAAAACAAACGTTTCACATTACAATAATTGTATGTGCGTGTACAATTGTAATCACAACTAAAATTAACAATCTTACCATAATATCACTACACTATGAACTTCAAATTCATAAATGCATTTTCAACACTTTATTGAGATATTAAAAATATGCCTCACACAATATGTAAATGGAAACATTTACAAAAAGTGATATGATGCACAGGGGTGTTGAAAACGTGTAGCTTCACCTCTTTCGCCAGAGCAGATACAGTTCTTTCCTCCGAGTCTCCTTATCCTCAGCATAACGAACGACTTCCCCGGGAAAATGAACTCAATATTTGCCCAGAAAGGGAGAACTGGCATGATATATCTGTTATTTGGCTTTATCCTAATCATTGATGTAAATGACAGTGCCGCTGATAAAGTTGTAATAGGTGTGTTTTTGAATTGCCCCTTGTACTCACTATGGCAACATATGTCTCAATCATAAGTAGATACAAGTTGATGCATTCTTTTTTAAAATGGGTGGAGTATGGGTCAATATGTATATAATCAAATCGTTTTGACCTAAGATTTGTTAAGGCCAAAGTAGTTTAATCTAAAAGATATACCGATATGTCTTATTACGACACGCACGATCTAAGATACATGTAAACGCGCTTCCTCTATGTTTAATGCAACATAGATCACTTGCAATCATGTTTACTCTTTGAACGAAATGAAACTGTTGGAATTTTACATTAGCCTGATTGTTTGTAAAGCCCTTTCTAAAAAAAGTGTGAATCAACGACTTTCTAAAAATTAACTAACTTGATAAGGCCATACGAAGTAGTTATGTTGTTCAACGTCATATGCATGATATTTGGATGTATTGGATGTCTTTTCTAATCTACTTAAAATCACACAAGCAGCGGGCGTAAAATAAAGTAAAGCGGAATAGATATCACTCCCGACTGATTTGATTCAAATTAAAACATTATATTTTTGTGTTGGCCTTAAAGTATTGCTTATCTTAAAGGCCCCGTGTGAAGTTTAAAGTACTTTGGCTCATACAGTCTTACCAAATGTAAGTAAATTCATTTATTTCAAAAGTTTTTTCTGTTTTGAAGGTCGCATGCATCTGTTATCCGAGTAAGACATTGAGCTATAATCAGTTTTAGTATTTATTGAAACAAGAAATTGTAATAATTTAGTGGAGGACACGGGGAAACGACTTTTTCCCAATATGACCTTCTTGAGATCACAGCGTTCTTCGTAATAACACAAAATTGCTATACATATAATCAGGTTTCTGTATTAGTGAAAATTGAAATTATAAAATTAAATAGAAAGTTAAAATTAAATTGAAAGGTTGCATTAATGTGCATGACCTAAACTTAATCTGAATGGGAAGATTTAGAAAATAATATGTTTTTACAATGTACAGAGATTTGATAGCGGCAAACTCATGTATTTGAAAATTTTAATTTTTTAAATTTAATTATTTTTTCAAAATGTCTAAAATAATTTCGATTACATATGCGAAATAGGATTTTAACTAGATGGGGTCTTTAACACTTGATCACTAGATCACGTGAAAAGATTCGATCAAGACCACTACATGCAGTAACTGTCAGTCAACTAGTTTAGTTAATCACTTACTAATTTCCAGTTACCCGCCATTAGAGTAGGCCTAAAGGGGAACACCTCATTGGATTGTTTGAACCACCCTGGACGCTTGGATACATTAGTCATTTTTAGATGTGCTCTAGAAAATACACGGACATAAAACGATACTAAACATGATTTATTAGAGGGAGGAAAACCTGTCAAGTGTTAACATAAAATCAAATTAGCAATAACTAGAAATTGCATGATATAATTTGCATTCAGAAACATATAGTGATATCCATAGGATATGGGTTTTATATGGAAAGAAGTTTTCCGACTGGCCATCATTTTGGGAATAATTTTAACAAAGGTAGGTTATTGTTGATATTCTATTTTCACAACAAAAAAGGAAAGTGACTTATTTCCTTCTTTTTACAACATAATGAAGCCTTTTTCCTCATACAACTGTGTTGACCGTTTTATCATATCAGAGAAAATGGTTCTAAATTCAATGAAAATGTGAAATTGATTTAGATCTACTTTTAAAACACCTTTAAAATGAAAAAATCTCATTAGTCGTTATTTTAGGATCACAACGACCATGGACATTGCTTAGTGAACTATTAGAAATCATTTATAAACTTCTATCCATTTGTCTGGTGTAATTTCATATATAATTTTACATGTCCATTTCGTCCTTTAGTTTTCTTGTCGAATGTTTAGCCGCAGTGGTCCGACATTTCATTGCATTTTGATGTATACAGGGATTTGCAATAGGATGTCGTACGATGTATAAGCAAAATGGAATAAAGTAAAAACATTATAAAAACAAATTATGTTTTTTATTGTCTCATGGACATCGGGGTTAATAAACTGCACTTCTAGATGCTTTGAAATGGACGCAAGCTAAAAATTGTGTTCGGGTTCATTAACTTCTGCTAGAAATCCGTTAGATCTTTCACATTTTTCAAGTCTGTATTTTTTGGTAAAGACATTCAGGACCACAGAGAGTAAAGCCCTGTATAACATTGTAGACTGCGTTTCAATCGTTTCAATGCATGCATCATCTACCTCCGTTACAACAATGCCGGTGCGCCGGCCGATGAATCGGAGAAAATGTGACCCAGGCATAAACGGAGAGCAACGCAAGAAACGAGCGTTCGATTTGCTAAACGATATGCGTCACCCTTTACGAGGGACCATGGAGGGACTTTAAAACGCAATCCCAAAACACCACTTGTTTTCTGCATGTGTTAACCGGTCGATCCGCCGATTTTCTAGGTAAATAGCCAGCAGCAGGAGCATGGTAGGATTGCAGTCGACATGATCAGATTTTCCAACCCAGGAGGCTTCCAAGCGGACGGTGCCTGTTGTAATGGATTTAACATCGGGGGCATTAACAGATGTTCAGAGAGCTGCAACTACCTGTTCAACCTCTGCTTTGATAATTACAATAGGTAATGAATTACATTTTATTTAACTTTTCCTCTGAACCAATTATAATTGAAAGCTGACTTTGGCTAAATTGACCATTTTTAGTAGTGTGTGTATGGATTCATGTATTGGTCGAATGAAGTTAACTGTGACCATGGACCTATAGGATTGAGGTCCATGTTGTGCCTTAAAACACCAGAAATAAATTACGCTGACAAAAACGCACGTGTTCAAAGCATTGACAGCATTTCTTCGAACATGGCACAAACACGATAGCACTACAAATGAGCCAACATGAAGTACATGTAGTTATTGTTTGATTTCTTTGTCTTAAGAAGTTCATCTTGAAAATTGAACTTTAACTTGATGAAGTGTTTGTACCCACTCCTTGCTTTCGTTTCAGTACGTTGGACCATACAGAATGTCCAATTGGCTCTCAAAGCCTTGGTCTTGTAGGGGATGGAACAGATGAATTCGACTTCCCTCCAGCATTTGTCTCTGGTGTGACTAACCCTGTTCTTGTTGCCTTCCAGGAATGGACGGTATGTTTTATCTCTACACATATATCATTTTTATCCCAGGCCAGGAATCCTTAGTCTTGCTTCAAGTCCCTAAACTATATACTCTAACAACTGGGTCACATGGGGCTTGTAGCTATATATACTTTATATATAGGCTACTTTATAAGACATAACCAATTATTTATTGATAATAACACACTTTGAAAGCTACTAACCTAATTAAATTACAACCATTGTATGTTGTTATTTTCTATTTTGAGAAGAGACAATTCATTATAAAATATATCGAGCACATAGCCGTCTAAAGTGTCACCGTTCCGGCACTCCTCACATCTCTTTTGGTCCAGGAGGACAGAGATGGAAAGGGTGTACCTTACCAGAACCGATAATACTAAATGGGTGTTGATTTACAGCTACCCAACCCTTTTAACAACCAAAGAATGCGCGAACATGATTCAGGTGCGTTGAGAAAGACAGTTTAAGTAGCTGAGACATGTACGGATTATGTTAACAAGTAGTAGGATAATGTCAAGAACATCGATCATGATTTATGATAACCTACAAATTAAAAATAGATGAATGTATAGTACCAACAAGTGAATCAATAGCAATTTCCTCATTCAGAAGGCGGAATATATATTCTGTTATAAAGATATGATTTAGTGCATCGAGAAACGACTTTACCAGACAAACATCTTTACCAGACAGACATAGCCATAAACACGTTACGTGAATCAGTCATGTAGATCTATCTTATCGAAAAAAATGTTGGATCCGACTAAAAAATCACTGTGAATGCCCAGCAACGTAAATAGCCATAAATCTGTCTCGGCTCAAGCATCAGGACGTTCATACAACAGCCCTGGTCGTGAAACGGATGACAGACTGATCATCAATTAAACTGGTGTTTGATTCTGACAATCCGTAGTACGTATTTTGTCTGGTGTTTCATTCTCATAAACCATGCGTATTTTGGTGCACTGTAAATGTGCAAGGATAACTAATACAATAGCTAAATACAATAGTCATTTTTAGAATTAGTGAAATTGATTACCCTCATCCCCGGGCCCTCATCACTTTCATGATTTAAGTCGGAACTTGAGTGAAAAACTAAAAATACACGTTCTCTAATGTACATTATTAATGAATAGCCAAGAAGGGAATGCAAGTCAAAATGTTGACTTTGCCAACCATTGTATTTCTGATTTTTCCTTCTTCAAGTCTGAGTGATATTGTACAAAATTCTTCACAATTGTTCAAACTTAGGACTTAGACTCTTTTGTGGTCAATAATCCCTCATTCATTTTTTAAATCAGTTTTTCACACACGTTGATATACTTTTATGTTGTTTTAACCAATGTTGCAAGGGTTGATCTTTTAATTCCAAAACGTTAGTATCAGTAGTATACGGAACCAACGTTGTTAACATGTTCATATCAACTAGTTTTATCATGATCTGTCGTTCTTGCCAATGCATGCACAGTAGTCGCTTGCGTTAGTTTAATGACACCATCCATCAGAGGAAGAGGACGAACATATAAGTCCCACTTAAGAGATTACACTTCCCTCTAAAACGTTAGCAGTCGGGCGTCACCTTTTGGACCATGTCAGAGTTATATCCTAACTTGAATTTGTAACAAAATTTCGAACTTATTGAGAAAATATAAAGATTCACGCATAAGGGGTGCAAGCCGGCTCTTATGTACAAAAGCTTATGTATGATTTATGCTCGTAGTCGGTAAAAACAAAAGCAAATATGAGTTTTTTATAACATTTGAAAAGTGCTTGACAAATAATTTAATGGTATTAGAGATCATGAGATTTATTGATGATGATATAAAATTGTTTTATCGTTAGGTCATCGGGTCTATAATAAATAATATAAGGCATAACCGCGAACTTATGATCGAACATGCCGAGACCAAATCCATCCTTGCACATACTATGATCATAAAAAATGGAAGAGATTTAAAATATCAATATGGTGGTCTAAATTGTATATTCAGTAATCACGAGTATATTTTGTGTATATTCAGAGACATAATTGAGGCAAAGTGTTATTATACTTTAGTTATAGCTAAGAGCTAATTTTTTGCATGTGATTTTGTTAGTTTTGTAGTTTGTAAGTTTGTTCGTAATTTGGTAGAATCTGAGTCCCAGGTAGAATGCATCTCTTATCTGTTATTGGGCGTAAAAGAATATACCGATCATGTGGGTCTAAACTAAGACGACGCATTGACTGTTGGCTTTTTTACTTTCTTTAAAATTATTGGATTTTTAATCTTGCTTGGAATCAAAACCATATCAGATCATTATTGTCGGATTTACACCAAGCCAACCCCTTCGGTTTATTGATATTTCATCGGTTCAAGTTAACACCTTAAAGGGGAAACAAGGCCTGTAGAGAGAAAATTCGAAAAAATCTCTCTACCTTTTCTAAAGGATAGTAAAGACTGGAATCCAACAATGGGTCATTTTTATTTCAATGTAATCTGTAAGTTTTGATCTATGTCATTCATATAATGCCAAATGTGTGTGGAATGATTCTACTAAATTAAAAATTCTTAGGATTCTATATCATTCTAGCTTTTCAAATAAATCAACTATGTCATAGATTTCTAATAATATAGCAATTCTTCGAATTCTAAATAATGCAAGGTTTTCAAATACGAGAAATCCACAATGTCAAAGACTTCACAAACCAAGATAAATTCCTATACTTTCAATGTAGGTTCACGACAACACACCAATTCATTTAATTTTACTTAGTAGTTAGTCATGATGAGATACACAAATAGTCTTATATTAATTGATTAACTAAAACATGAGGTACCCTAGTGTATATTTTTCATTTTGGAAGTAAAGTATAGCTCAACACATATCCAGAAGATGGATGGAAACGTGAAATTTTACAAAAGGGTGAAATACAAATCTAACTAAGTAAATCATCATAAGTCCACTTTTAGTTAAGGTATATCTTCAAGAGAATGAACACAAATGTAAGATCAAATAAATATCACATCAATCATACAGGTTTATCTTGAAGGTTTTTAATGTTATCTAAAAGAATACTAGAGGCCAATGTACTCTACATTTACAATTAATACTAAATCATCAAACAAGAAATATCGACATGAAAACAACAATAATTGCAGTAGGTACCTTAACAGTAAAACACACAACTTCAACTACAATTGTTTATGAGGAAAGTCAGAAACCCAAAACGGTAGAGATTTGCATACTTGTATATACGTTTGTAGGTTTAAAGTTAACAATCTGAGAATCTCTTCAAAGCATACATTATATCTTATGTCCACCAATTCTATAGCCGATTATGAAATCATGAATATACTCTGCATATATAGGGGTCATGCACTGGGAGGTTTTGAATACAGGGAATATCCCGAGGGATATAAAATATATCTCCCCGATAATTTTTTTCCACAATTTTTTTCAAATTTCTATTTTCAAATTTTTTTCCCGAATTTATCCCGAACTTTTTTTGAGCGGGACATACGATTTATATGTCCCGGAACTCCGTTGGAGCGGGACATACGAAAAATATTTGCCCGGATATGGAATATATTCCCGGTTGATATGTCCCTGAAACCTCATCAGGTATGGTACCATGTCAAAAGAAATATATAGGGAATCTAAGCATTTGTCTTCAAGGGGTATTCATGTATTTTGATTCTAGAGGCGCGCCCGAATGACTAACAAGGTACGCTTTAATGATTTACAAGAAAGGTGAATGGAGAATTATGTAAGGCATTTTTTGAACAATATCCATATTCTCAAAGCGGGTGCCATTTGATCGCACTGTCACCTCTTTAAAACAACATTGACAAATATTCAATGATCTATATACTACAGGCTTTTTATCAGCATTTTCGAATTATGTTTCAAGGGCTCTGGTCAGCTTAAGGTGGTTGCCAGCAACCAGAAGAGCGTCCCCGTACCTCCCTTAGTGAATTACTTCACAATAAATCACAAACAGGAAGTTGCGTCTCGGAATGCCACAAGCATTACATGGACAGATTATAATGTTACTGGAAACATGGATATTCCCAACACAGATATTGAGTCCAGGTATGTGTTAATGATGCCCAACACTAACTTCTCAAATGAGAAGATTACCAAAAAGGAATTTATGAATTACACAAGCAAAGATTATACATACACCGTACATGTATGTAAAACCATATTTGTCGAATTTTCAGAATTTTCCTAAGAATTGGTGTATATTGCGAGCTGAATTATTACGGGAATGGCTGTACGAAAAAATGTGTCCCTACAAATGACTGCACTGGTCACTTTTACTGCAGCGACGACGGTGACAAAATATGTCAACCTGGGTGGCAAGGTGACAATTGTGACATCGTGATACCCGGAGAGTCTGGCTGTCCATCAAGTAAGGCCAACACCCATTTCCAAATTAAGCTTACGTACTCTGCTACGTACGTGTAAAACACACACAAATCACCAAGTCTGAAATGGTAGCACCACCCTTATTAATTCATCTTTGTGATTGTTCATACTCATGTTTTATCACTTGAACGTTAATAAGAGTGGTCATTTATACGAACTTTTAATTATATAAATAATGAAAGTGAAGTAGTATAAGTATTGGGTGTTTCTTAAGCTATGAGTGGTATAAAATCTCAAAATGTCAAAGTGCTTCAATAAATTGAGTAATAATGATACTTTGCTCTTTAGAGTTAAACGTCAAGACGCCTTCAACTTGATTTATTTGCTATGCTTTAAAGTTTAGGTTGACCCCATTACTATTATATTTATTCATAGTTTTATGATGTTATAAATTGTTACTTCCTACAAACATAGTTGATGAGTTTATCAAGAACAATTTATTTATTTTTCATTTTAAATCATTGTAAATATAGCTAATAATTTGATAAAACACTATGGAATTTTCTCAATAGTAAGTTACTTATAATCTGAAATATCAAATCCTACGCTAGGGTCTGATGTGAATATAATCAGTTTTCTTTTTCTAATTTTTGAAAAACACGAGCTTATGGATGAATGTTCGGCTGCTTCAACATTCCCTATGACACATTATAGGTTTCCGTTTTAGTTCTGGCTAAAAATCAATCATATCTTCGTCTTTATAGATAAATTCTTTAAGATGGCAGGGGTGTATCACACATCGTTATTATATAACATTATATAATTTTTTATCTAAACATGTGAGTTTATGAATTTGAAAATATTGTTTTTTACCATTTTTGATGTAAATATCATTACCAAGCTGTCATCACTGTTAAGACATGATGGATTCACCTAACCCTATTTTGTCCGATTCTAGACAACACGTGTATGCATAACGCGACCTGCTTCAGTCATGACCAAGGCGGAAGAGGATACATCTGTTGCTGCAAATCCGGCTGGACAGGAGACGATTGTGAGTTTCTCGTGGACTGCAGAGGCGGACCCGACTACCAATGCCAAAATGGAGGAGAATGCGCGGATATAGGTTCTGAAATGTTCCAATGCATCTGTCCACCAAAGTATGTTGTTGGTTTTATTCATCCCAGCAACTATATCTGTTTTCTTTTAATGTCTGGATGGTAATACAAACATGAAAGTGAACATTGTTTTGCAGTTTCTATGGGGAAAGATGTGAATATGATAGAAGAAATAACAACTGCAGTCAGGTGACCTGTAACAACGGCGGCTCTTGTTTTGACACGGAAGATGGATTTGTTTGTAATTGCACCGTAGGTTGGACGGGTACAATTTGTGAAGTCGAACTCCCTACAGTCCCACCTATGAGTAATTGCACCGAGGACTACTACGGACTCGACTGTTCCGTGTACTGCAAAGCAGAGGATACATGCAATGGTCACTACACATGTGAACCATTTACAGGTGATAAATTGTGTAATGAATACTGGACAGGGGAGAACTGTACAATTAAAACAGTAGATCCACTACAAGACCCCGAATGTCCTGATGCGGGGACGTGTTATAGAGGGGCATGTTTTAACGGGACATGTTGCTGCGAAATAGGTTTCGTAGGAGACTTATGCCGTGAAATCGAGCACAAATGTGACTCCCAACCGTGTCAAAATGGTGCATCTTGTATACACGCAGGAGAGGATTATATATGCGATTGTAAAGCAAACTATACTGGTGTTAATTGTGAGACGTACATTCCTGATATGACAACGCCCATACCTCCCACTACAATAAATACCGCCACAACGGCATTGACCACTGAAATGTTCACCACAGAAATGACCACTGAAATGACTACTGAAATGACCACTGAAATGACTACTGAAATGACCACTGAAATGACTACTGAAATGACCACTGAAACGACCACTGAAATGACTACTGAAATGACCACTGAAATGACCACTGAAATGACTACAGAATTGACTACAAAACCGACCACTGAAATGACCACTGAACAAGTCACCACTGTTCCATCCACTCAGCCTACAACGGAAGATTTGACAACAACTCCCGATACAACTGTAGCGATAACAACCGTGTCTCCAACAACCATGGCAACCGAACCTGAAACAACTCCAACAACAGGTACACTTATTTATGTTGTTAGACAAATACTTGCAATTAATGTTAGTGCAGTCAGAATGTGGGTTTCGGCGTGCGTTCAGAGGGATTTTATGGGACAGAATTTTTCATGTTACTACTATGATTATACATATTTGTATGGATTATTAGATCTTAGTTTTTCAGCTTTTAGATTTTGTGGCCATTTTACCCCCCATGGGCTAAAATTTGGACCCCTACTATAAAATTGGGCAAGAACTCAAAAAATACTCAGTGGAATGTTTCCAAATTACTAAGTTATATTGGTATAGGCTAACTGAATATATGATAAAAATTTCATGTCACATGGTTAAGTGGTTGCCATGGAAATGGATAAAACATGCCCTTCGGGTGTCAATTTTCAGGCCAATTTTTCAGGACTGACAGAGTCATATCATGCATATTTTGTCACGTTTGTGTTAGGAAGGGTTAAAATATAAATAGAAAACTTCTATAATATATTAGCAACAATTGTATGTAAAGATCAGTCCACAAAACCTCAGATTTTGGCCTTGTATTGGTCCATGACTTATACAGGGGTCTATTCATAGACTCGAGCTCCCACATTGGATGGATGCTATAACTTTTGAAATAATGGAGATACAGGTCTCATTTTTTCAGATATTCATAAATGGTTAGTTTTAAGTATTTTATTTTACTTTGGGAGCTGACATGTGATTGGTTGCCATGGTAACCAGGGTTTTAGGGAAATTCTGACCCCCACATTGGATGGATGCTATAACTTTTGAAATAAGGGAGATACATGTCTCATTACTTCAGATCTTAGACAATGATTGATTATAAATATTAAATAAATATTAAATTAGACTTTGGGAGCTTAAATTTGATTGGTTACCATGATAACTAGAGTCTTATTGAAATTTGGACCTCCTCAATTGATAAATGCTTTAACGTTTGAAATTGAGCAGATACAGATATCATCATTTCAGATCTTAAAAATTAATTAGATTTGTGTATTGAATTAGACTTTGTAGCTTAGCATTTACTTGATTGCCATGGTAACCATGTTTCGTCGTCATGGTACCCCTAATTTTTTATTCAGGCTTACCTTTATTTGAGAATGGTCAATTCACAACATGTTATACCAAAATGCTCAAAATTATCATTTTGCTCTTAATTTTAGCAATTTATCCTGTATGTCTGACAGTATAGCCTCATTCCATTCTACTAGTTCTCACACATATTCTGACACCCAACTTGTTTTTACTCATCATTATCATTTTCATCTTCCACAATTGTCTCTTAATTAAAAATATCAACTATTTCTGTTGGAAAGAAGGATTCTTTTGACCATTCTTGTGTTAAAGATTCGTCCGGGAATTCACAGTTCATTCATGCAGTTTGGGCATAATGGTAGAGCTGGGTTTAGGCTGGTGGGAATGTGTCCATACATAGGTTTGATAATTTACCCTCTTCAAATGTGAAAGAAAATGTCAACACCTTCATAAATGAGGGCAGCACTGTTCTGTTTTGTTCTGTATCTCATGGGAAACAGCTCATCTCGTAATCTATAAGTAGCAGTTATTTTTCTATTTCTGCTGTATTTTTGCAGGTGAACAATTCAACTTTCGATTTTATGGAAGCGGGAATTCCTATATTGTTTCCTATTGAAGAAAACAACTTTAAGAATTGTTTGTCTTCCGTTTCAGTTGATTTACTTTTCCTTTGTTCAGAAAGGCACTGGAGGAATCTGATCCAGTAAACGCATTGAAGGCTAATATAGCTTCACACAGGACTTGGTCCTAGGTTTGCAGCTACAGGGGTTGGGTTGAGCCTCTGACATCTAATGGGACAGAGTTCACATCAGTTGAGGTTCTTAAGGTTATTTTCTCTTCATAATAGGAATCAATATAGAAATTCCTGACACAATAAAATCCAAAGTTTAATTGTTCACCAGTAAAAGTACAGCAGAATTACAAAAATATATTTGTAACTTACATCAATAGATAACGATATGAGCGGTTTCACATAAGATATTCTCCAAAACAGAACAGTCCTGCCCTCACTTATGGAGGTGTTGACATTTCAACTCTTCCCATCTTTCAAGATTGGTCCTTCACTGCTTTCATAGCAGCTAATAAAATGCAATGAATTAAATGATGAACTCTTCCACCTTGTAATGATTACTCATTATAACATTTGAAGAGGATGGATGATAAAACATAAATTTGGAAGGGGAAACATTACTAAATAAACAGAGGTCTCCCAGGAGTTCACTGTATATAAACCTTGAGGGGATCCTCAGCTCAGGTGGGTTACTTTTAACATTTGATATGGCAATGGACCCAAATTTTAGGATCTGGTATGAGAATGCTCTCCCAATTATGACTTGAGAGGTATGGCATAAAAAGGTCGGATTTGGGAATGGTCGTGAAAAATATGTTGCCCCTCACTTGTTGTACATGTATGGCATTGATCTAGTATATCCTTAATGTGAGGTTGTTTTTGGTTGTTTTCCTCAATGATCTGCCTTCTTCTCGAGGCATTAGAAATTTTGAATGGCCATGTTTTCATATCTTGATATTTGGTATGGCACTGGTCCTATATTTGGGCATTTGGTATGGCTTTTTGGCATTATTTTGGTTGATATCGGAACACATTTGAATTTGACAGATTGGATGGGAACATATTGATAGCTGAGGGTTCAGCCTAGGATCCCAGCCAAATTTTATATACAGTGAACCCACAGGGACCAGTCTTAACCCATTCTGCCAAGTCCAATACTGCATGAGTGGACTATATCCCCTGAGGATCCTTATCTCAAGAATGGTCAAAACAATCCTTCATTCCAACAGAAATTGATGTTAAGAGGAAATTGTGCTAAATGAAAACAGTAATGGTGAGTACAGATGAACAAATTAGGAGTCAGAACTTTTGTAAGAACTAGTCGTATGGAATAAGGCAATATTGTCAGACATACATGTATTGTTTACTAGTATTTGATATTTTATGAGTCAAACAATGTTTGCATCTCTAGTATTATTGAGTCATGAGCATGTAAATCATATAAAATAGAAAAAAATCCCCAAATTAAGAATAAAATGGTAACTTTGAGCAATTTGGTATTTTATGTCATGTGACCTATCTAGAATAAAGGTGAATCTGAAAACGAAAACAGCAGTTACCATGACAATGAAACATGGTTCCCATGGCAGACAAATAAATCTTAGCTTCCAAAGTCTAATAAAATACACACATATTATTATTATCTTACATCTGAAAAGATTATATCTTATCTGGCTGTATTTAAGAGTTATAGTGTTCATCACTTGTGGAGGTCTGAATTTCAACAAAACCCTGATTTCCATGGTAACCAATCAAATTTCAGCTCTCAAAGTCTAAATCAATACTTTGAATCAATCATTGTCAAAAATCTGAAAAAATGAGACATGAATCTCCCTTATTTCAAAAGTTATAACATCCATCCAATGTCGGGGTCAGGATTTCCTTAAAATCCTGGTTACCATGGCAACCAATCATATACCAGCTCCCAACGTATATTAAAATACTTAAAACCAACCATTTATGAAGATCTGAAAAAATGAGACCTGTATCTTCCTTATTTCAAAAGTTATAGCATCCATCCAATCTGGGGGTCAGAATTTCCTTAAAACCCTGGTTACCATGGCAACCAATCACATGTCAGCTCCCAAAGTAAAATAAAATACTTAAAACTAACCATTTATGAAGATCTGAAAAAATGAGACCTGTATCTCCATTATTTCAAAAGTTATAGCATCCATCCAATGTGGGAGCTCGAGTCTATGAAATAGACCCCTGTATAAGTCATGGACCAATACAAGGCCAAAATCTGAGGTTTTGTGGACTGATCTTTACATACAATTGTTGCTAATATATTATAGAAGTTTTCTATTTACATTTTAACCCTTCCTAACACATTGGTGATAAAATATCCATGAAATGACTCTGTCAGTCCTGAAAAATTGGCCTGAAAATTGACACCCGATGGGCATGTTTTATCCATTTCCATGGCAACCACTTAACCATGTGACATGAAATTTTTATCATATATTCAGTTAGCCTATACCAATATAACTTTGTAATTTGGAAACATTCCACTGAGTATTTTTTGAGTTCTTGCCCAATTTTATAGTAGGGGTCCAAATTTAAGCCCATGGGGGGTAAAATGGCCACAAAATCTAAAAGCTGAAAAACTAAGATCTAATAATCCATACAAATATGTATAATCATAGTAGTAACATGAAAAATTATGTCCCATAAAATCCCTCTGAACGCACGCCGAAACCCACATTCTGACTGCACTATTGCAATTAATGTTGGTTATTGGAAGTTGATCATCTATAGTTCAGATCACTAGACTGATATTTGCTCATTTATATATTATGTCATCTGTTCTCATTCACTTAGAGACTCAAGAGGTGTGATCGAGTAGTAGGTTAACATCAAGATAACTTTTAACTTTAAATAAAGTTTATCTTATATAGTTCCTATATAGCTCTATTTTTATCTTAAGACTTCTTTGATAAGGTTAAATGCTATCAATGTTTCTTCTTTGCATTTATATACAAGCATGTAGCTAACTTCTGTATTAATGCATGGGTATTTGGACTTGTGTACCAGGGATGTTGGGTATTCTGCACTTCACTTCTTGCTTGAATCTCAATTAACATGCTTTAACACATACCGCAAAAATCTGCTCTTGGGACACACTTTGCTTTTAAGTCGTGTCATTGCTTAACTATGAATTCACCGGCTACAGCTATGTTCTTACATCCTTTTAAATAAGACTGGAAAGAAAAGAGACAAACAAACAAAAGGTATGTATACTTGTAGCAACATTGTAGACCACCTCTACTGGTGACTGGTACACGAGACCTGAATTCAATAATTTCACCACTACTTTTTCACCATATTTTAAGACCACTCTTTCTTGATATTGTTACGCACTTTAGAATTAACTTTGAAACACATTTCTAGATTTTAGACTTCTATATACATGTTCACTTACTTACACCATATATATAGTCACATACAAAGGAGTATAATCACTTCCCTCGCAATTTCAACTCAATGTCAAAATAATGTTATAGGTCATATTAACAGTACAATATCAACAATCGAATATAGAGAGATGACGATTACTACTTCACCGGCAGCTCCACCATTTAACAATACTAACACACACGATCCAATCATGACACCCCAAACTACAGTCGCCCATATGACTGATTCAGTTACAGGTCCTTCTGAAAATGTCATCTCAACTTCGAAATCATCTGTATCGAATTATGTAACATTTTCGCCCCCTTCTGGCAATATCACAATTACAAACACACAAATATACAATAATGCCACTCATTCAACAACTTCATCTATCAATGCCACAAATATGGCCTCGTCGTCATTTTCGATTACCACGCCACCTTCTAAGAATGAAACAACATTGAGCGGTAAGTTTTTTTGTTATATTTCCTTTTATGTATTGCTTTGAACCTCCGTCAGTGTTTGTGTTTCTGTCAGGCATTGTGCATGTCAGCTCTCTAAAATGACATTCTAGCGACGCTTATGTTATCGAAGCAATTATTTACAGAAAATGTTAAGATATATCTCTCCGCCGCTCTTTTATGTTAATGATATAGTGTGTGGCTTCATCCCATGTGCCTTAAAATACCTTAATTAGACATGGAGACAACTCAAACCACGGTTGTATTGACATCGGAACCTACGACTGTTGCTGCAACTACAGAAGAAGACACAACTGTTGGTACAACAACATTGGAAGACACAACTGTTGGTACAACAATATTGGAAGACACAACTGTTGGTACAACAATATTGGAAGACACAACTGTTGCTACAACAACATTGGTAGACACAACTGTTGCTACAACAACATTGGAAGACACAACTGTTGCCCCAACTGCTGTCCAAAGTACAACTGAATATACAACTGTTGTCGAAACAACTGTGGAAGAAGAATTAATGACAACAGGTAAAGTATAACAGTTAAGGAAGCTTTCCCTGGGAAATTAAGTAGAATAATGACAAGAACCGTTATTAGATAAAGTGTGTTACCCCCTCCAAGACAAAATTGTGTTTGTTATCCTGTGATAAATTAAACAATCCTATGGTGCTGGCTCCCAATGAAGCTACGTTATATACAAGAATTTGTTAAGGCATACCATATGAATTCTCCCCATCGCTATATGTATATGCCCGATAATGCGATAACAAAAACTATATGATATTCATTACTTGATCACGACATATTTGCAATAACAGTTACATTTGTGCTGATATTTCTTATAATCAGAAGTTATAACTACTGATAAGACAGAAACACAAACAACTACAATTGCCGATAAGCCAACAACAGGCAAAACTCCTAGTGCACCTCCCATAACACTAACAAGTGGGACAGTTGGGACAACTGGTGGAACAATGGAAGTGACAGAGGCAACAAGCTCGACACCTGAAACAGGGGTAACGATGGGGACTGGCAGTACTGACGGAGTTGGGATTACTGATTCAACGGATGATGAAGTTACTCCGACAACCGATGGGGCTGGTGCCACTACAACTGCAATTGATATTACTGACTCCACTAATGGGGGTGGCGTAACTGCTGTTACAGACTCTACTGGGGTAACAAATGGAATAACAAGCGTAACTGTAACAGGAGAAACTGGAATAACAGTGGAACCAGGCGTTACAATGACAGGAGGACCTGGCGTCACTGGTACAGAAGAACCAGGAGTCACTGGCACAGGAGAACCAGGCGTCACTGGAACGGGAGAACCTGGCGTCACTGGTACAGGAGAACCAGGCTTCACTGGTACAGGCCAACCAAGTGTCACTGGTACAGAAGAACCCATTGTTACTGGCACAGGAGAACCAGGTTTCACTGGAACGGGAGAGCCTGGCGTCACTGGTACAGAAAGACCGGATGTCACTGGTACAAGGCAACCTGGAGTCACTGAGGGAACAGGTGTTCCGCCAATAGGGCCGACTATGAATCCAGGTGGAGGTAAATCTTTATCCCCTTGTCACATAATATTGCTATCTATTAAATTACATATAGTTTTGCATTTATCGTTAATATCCTGCGTTTTTTCTCTAGGTTCACATGGTGTCTACATCAAGCAGTGGTGGGATGGACAACATGGGAGATATCTTAATGAATCTGCAATGATTAGCATCATAAAAGATGCATGGACAAATGCAAATCCGTCATCAGGTTAGTACAAGCGCACAATGACAAAACACACACAACAAACATTATTGTTATCATTATGTTCATTCTCAAAGTTTCCATTCTCTGATTTAAAGGATCCAGCATGGCAAATGCAGAAATACAACTGACTGGCCAGGAAAAGTATTTGGGGTCACCTTCTGGGTAAGTTCCGGTGATTGTCCGGTTCAGCTTTTGTGCTATTTACATGTACGTACGTACAGCATTGGTCTCCTTAAGGTTATCCTTGGAAATAAGCTAATGTTATATATGGTGACTTTTATTAACAGATTTGATTCTTTGAGCCGGGTCCTATATTTCAGGGAACAAGTCTCTCATGTTGGATACAGCATCAACAACATTGATATCAGCCAGTTGACAGAACCAACATTACAAGATTTCGAAACTGCAGCTAATGCTAACGAAAATGCACACGAAATTTATGTTGGAACTGAATTGTGGAAATTCAGTGATAGATACGAATTCATGTCTACTGATAGAGTCCTCAGAAGACTTGACGGTGATTTTGCTGATCAGATTGAAGCAGCATGGAAAAGCGTTAATGAAGGTAAATTAGATCAAACATGCATGTCTGTTTTAGGGTACGTTAATTTGTATTACTTAGGAATCAGTATGGAATAAGGTAATGCATTTTCGTTTCCAGATTATAAAGATTGCAATTGCACAAATGCAACCATAGTTCGACTGGAAAAGTTTATAGGTGTAAATAGGTTAGTGAACTTTTGTTATTCAAAATATCCTTAATGCAATAATTTATCAGTTGTTTGCGCTTGCATTACAATCTGCCATTCTCATTTATTTTTAAATTTGGATTCTAATAAAATTAAAACAAGTAGACAGCATCAACATCTAGAATACGTAGTTTATATTCCAGGAATGAAGTTACTAAAGTAATCTATTTTCTAAAAAATCAATCAATGACAATAAATGGTGAAGAATCTCCTCCTCCAAGTGGCTTCACACAACAGCTCGATACGAATCTCAAAACTATAACAAAAGTAACTCATCGTTACTATGGACTGTACCAAGAATCAAAACTGCTGGATTTTAGTTACCACTATAGCTTAAATGTTGTCGGACGAGTATTTGAGAAGGATATTGCACAGCTGGAGAGTGTTATCAAAACTGCTTGGGAGGATAATGATGCAGGTGAGAGGCTAGAGAGAGAGTTGAACTTAAAATTTTAGGTGTTATATTGCACATGAAAATGTAAGATAGGATAAAGGTAGCGCATACTAATACTAATATTTTGTTCCAGAGCTTAAAAATTGTCAAGCGTGCAATTTGACAATTTCCGTCGAAGCACTCGAACAGTATGTTGGAGACGCAGGGTAAGATATACCATGGTAAACGTAAAATGTCAATTTTCAATTACCTGAAAGACACGAGGCTTAATCAACTTGCGCACTCTAAATACTGTGTACCATAGCGAAAGGTCTTGTCACTGAGCTAAGTTTGAGTCGCAGCGTGCTCTTGTAACGTTACATTTACACCGCTGGTTCCTTTCTTAGCTACATTTCATACAATTTATTTCCAGAATGATGACAACTAAGATAGTGTACTTTATCTACATAAACAACACATTGTCTTCTCCCATCATGCGCCCAGCTCCATCCAGTATACCATTGGCATCCTTACCAAACGTTATGGCTTATTCTGGAAATCTGATTATGCCATACAGGACCAGATATTCTATATTCGTTACAGGAGGTTCTGAACATCTCGTGTATGATAATTTGAGGAAGTCTTTGATTGAATCATGGAATCAAGACATGGCCGGTAAATATTCATTTTATAGACTAAATGGTGATAGAAATAATTTTCACGTAAACCGGAGGCCGGTCAATCTGCGTTTAGAGAGAAACGGTTCTACCGATGCTGCCATCTTTATATGGGGCCAAAACCCATGTATTGAATTGTCCAATTATTGCATATGCAGTACAACCAAAATAATTCAATCTCCAAGCTTGGGTTTGTCATAATTTAGGTTTCATTCATTAAAAGTCATCAAACTATGTTCCTTGGCAAGATGTGATTTATTTTCCAGATTGTCCATCATGTGTGCCAACTATAGAGTTCTCCCTGCCAGATGAAGTCAATGATCAAACCACTGGGTAAGAATTCGAATTAAATTGTAATGATCGTACCATCAATTGTGATAATTCTCAGGTGAATCACTTAAATTCTAGACCACCAGATAGAAATAGCAATCTTATTGACCTCGTGTAAAGAGTCTCGTTTTACGTTACGTTACTTTTTACATTTTCAAAATATTTTGTTTCATTTCAATTAAATGTGTTTAATTTAGGAGACGTAACACTTATGATTTATATATTAATGCTAGTATCAGAGGAATGAAATAATGTTAAAAGATCCACACTAAAATATCTCTACGATTTTATCTATCCCACATCATTTGAGACTGAGCAGTATCTACAACTATTTTTGATATTATGAGTATTGGCTATCAATTTTTCATTTTTTTCTTCAACATGTATTGTAATGACTTCAGTATGAATGAAATGTCCCTTGGTGTTTTGGTCCTGGATTGTGATAATGGTTCTCGATTGGAGGGGGAGGGGGATGGTTAGACATTGTTTCTTTTCACGTTAGATCATGGTTTTGGGATATATAGGGTCTACTTTTCTTATGACAGATTTACACTTACAGTTTGCTTTTCTTGTTGGGTTTCCTTAAAGTTTTTAGTCACCCTTCCCTTTTGGCATTTGTGCTTATATATTATTATTGTATCATTTTGCTTGTAGGACAAATTCTACAAGAGTAAACTATTTTGTATTCCTGAATGGAAGTCTGATTGATGGTGAGGAAATCGATGGCCCAACGCAAGAGACCATAAACAATAAGTTGGAAAGCAATGGCATAACTCCCTGTGCTTGTAATGATGTTAGACGACTATACTATATTGATGTCCTAAACTGGCTTTGGGCCCGGAACATATCATCATTCGAGTCATCTCTTCAAAGTGCATTCGGCGAGAGGAACAAAGGTTCGTTAAAACGTATGATATTAATTGTCCAGTTTATCTTGATCAATACGAATAAAATTATCTCTCTCTCAATACTCTCATTATATTTGTAATTATATTTGTATAACTGGAGCCGATGCCTTTACTATTTCCAAATGCCATTTTTACGTTTTTCTTTTAGATGTGTCAGCTTCTGTCGTGGTTTCAGTAATGAGACGAGAACAGTTCACGATACAATCAGGGTAACTGAAATTTAGTCAAAGCCAATCGTCCTAGTTTTTGAACAAGTTACATTTTAATCGTAAAAATCAAAAAGAAAATTATTCAAGCTAACATAATATTTTTACTTGTTCAAGTATTAAATATTAACTATGACATGGCATACGAATATGGCATAACATACGTTAATATGATATCATTAGGCTAAACAGTGCTTTTGAGTGGGATCTGATATCACCAAACCAAATGCTTTAATAAACGAGGCATCTGTCAACAATCAAGTATTAATTAAACTAAAAGAAGAAAAATATACCTGATGAAAGTTGACTACAAAAGAATCAATGAACATAAACAACTTGATAGTATGAATATGACATTTTTATAATTTGATCGTTCAGTATCAACTTTTCTATTCTGTAGACCAGTAACTAGAGTGTTTTGTACATTACACACCAATGGAGTTGATCCAGAAAATGTGCGGGGATTATTTTGGCCGACGGAGACACAGCTGCGAGAAAAACTCCAGCCAACACCGTGCGAATGCAACCCTCAGAAAGTTTACACAATATATGTGGAAGGCGATCAATCAAACAGCGTTGCCAACATCCAGAATGCTCTGACCGCTGCCTGGTCGCAAAGTAACACTGCAACACGATCTACAACAATGGTCCGAATCAAACGAGATGTTTCTACGATGACAGTCGGTACCCAAGTTTCAGATCTAAGTTCTGAATATTTTACTGATAAAAGGTAAGTTTCTTACAAACAAGTCGAAACCAATTTATACTGAGTTTTTAATATGATACCTAATAAGTGTTACTTAATGCCATTACTTCTTAAAGGCTTCAAGTAACGAAGGCTGAGTATTCATCAACGTTCTCCGATGTGGACTCAAGCATGGTTATGTCAAGTGCACCGACATCAACAGTAATTAACGCTGAGCTGCAGAAGGAAGATCTTACTGGAACAAGTGAGACAGCGAGACGACGGCATGTTGTTTATGTCACTGGGGCTATGAGTGATGCAGTGAACATATCATTGCAAAATGCTATAGCTACAGCATGGGCCTCAGTCAATCCAGGTAACTTTGCAACTGCTTAGACTTTGATGGATCTTGCAGAAGATTAAGTCAATTCTCAAGTACATGTATGTTATCCAGTAAGGATTTCAAATAGAATGAAATACATCCATTGATATATATTGCAAATGTTACATACCATTTTATGTATGTATCGTGTCTTAGGTTACTCTAATACAACCATGAGAACCGTGCTGATTACTATCAATCCAAACTATAAAGTTGCGGGTGCCAGCTCAAGGTATGGATTTTAAAAAGACATTGTTTTAAGAACATCCGATTTGATGTATATATCTGGGTGCACAACTTAGAAACCTAAAATGTATGTGATGAGTTCTTCAAACTGTGTATGCACAAGTGCCAAAGGGAAAGAACATAGCAAGAAAGAGAAAACATCTAAGAGTACACCAGTCACAAGGAAAACAAACCCCAACTTTAGCAAACCATGATTTAACGTGAAATGCAACAATCCACAATGGTCATTAGGAGAAATGTTTTAAAGGGACAGAGATGAGGTTCATTTGTCACCGTCTCTGTGATTTTGATCATTAACTAAGGTTATTAGGGTTTGTTTTCTTGTTTCTGTTTGTGGTTGTCGAATTTCCTTTTTTGATCAATAGGTTTATTTCATAAATACATGCATATAGTGAATAAACAGGGTTGGGGCAAATCAAATTATGGTCCTACTCTCCATTGATTTATATAGTAAGCTCTTTCCCTTATTATCTTATATACAATCAGTGCCAGTAAGGGCCGTTAAGAAGGGGGACCATAATTTCTTTCACACAGGTGTAAAAGGGTAGATGGTCCTATCAAATTTTGGTCCTACTCTCTATTGATTTATATGGTGACCTAAATACAACTCTTTCCCTCATTATCTTATACGCAATCGGGGCCAGTAAGGGCCGTTAAGAAAGGGGACCATAATCCCTGGGGGACCATCATTTCTTTCACACCGGCATTTCATGTATTGCATGTTTTCCTTTTTGCCATTGTCCTTACATATTCATAATAATACGCTTATGGAAGCAATCACGCAGTGTTTTCATGATGCACCATACTGTATAAGTGGCAATTTCTAAATTGTAGTGACAAGGTTGCAGAAATATTTTATACAATTATTCCAAATGTGAATGACATGACTCGGACTGCCGAAGGAGATGAGTTGATCATACCAAGCGACGAGGTCCTCAATAATACTATACGACAAATAGGTCCTGGTTATAAAGTGGTACCAGGTGATCGAGCTGAACCAATAAGAACAGAACAACAGGTGAGTGTATGTAATAACTTTGGACATCATACACTCCGCATGACGGATTTTAACTATCGCCAATAAAATCAACATGATCATTAGTAAAACCTCTTCCTTATATAATATCAAATCATATATAATATACATATATTATAGTTATATGCTATATGGCATATACTATTACCGATTAATGTGTAAGTTTTGCAATTTTGCTTTACTCTGTTTAATGTTACATTTTAGAATCTTTGGTGGATTGGCCTTATCATTGCTGGTATACTAGTCTGTATTATAATTGTCGTTGCTATCATTGCGATGATTATATCCAAACGAAAGTAAGCACAAAACATTCAGCAAATGCATTTTAAGTCCTAGGCTGTAGTACCGCCTTACCTAGAACATAACTTCGATATACTATTCGTAAACATATATTTTTTAATATGCCTAATATCAAGGTGTATTGATAATATTTTATTTTCTTTCAGAAATAAAATGAACAGAAATCTTGAGAGGGATCCAAGAAAAATGACAGCTACTAATTATGATAAAGAACATTTTACAACAAGTCCTGCGTTGTTTGATAACCCAACCTATATTCCATCAGATGATCTAGAATCGTATAACAATGGTAGAGACAGCAATAATGTTTATATGGTGACCTGACCTAAGACACCAATGGTGGTGACCTGATCTTATAACAAATTGTTAATGTACATATTCGATATTTGCTCAGAACAATAGGGGCGATTTGGATGGGTCTTTTGCCAAGAGGGGGGGGGGGGGCTTTTGACAGTTTTGAATAAAACAAATCATGCGAAATTAAAGTGCTCATATTGGTGAAAAACTGCTTGAATTTGAAAGAATTTCCCAGCTACCCCCCCCCCTCCAACCCTGGGTCGGGACACATGGTTTGTAGTCGCACATTGAGGGAAAGAACTTCTCCAATTTTAGCCTCAAATATATGTTTAATAACAACACAATCATTCAAAACCAAGGTGTGCCCTTGATATATGCTCAGTTTTGTAAACCTTGCATTTATTTTCCAAAGGAAATGGTGGGAGATTTATAGATTTAATCTTGCCTGTTTCTTATATATTCCTAGTAAAAGAGCACTTAGGTTATCGCAAACAATTGCAGACGATTCTAACTTGAATATTGAATATTTTCTAATCATGATCATGAACATGGGTGTATCTTTTAGACCCATCTGTCATCATCAAGAAAAGTAGTTATAATGATGATTTTGTTAATCATACATAAGTGATATTAAAGGGGCAATGGACCAATCAACATAGCTTTTCAAAAATGTTGACCTAATTTTCACCAAAAATGCAACGTTTTGTTATATTGTAGAATGAATAATTAGAATGTGTTTTGAGACATGTTCTATTTCCTAAAAGAAAAGTTGATTGCTCCAGGTATTTTAAAAATACTGAATTTGGATGACCAAAATATACTGAAATCAATGGATAGCATGAGCTTTTTCACTGGAGAAATAACATGGGGAACACTAATCTTAGAGCAATTCAGTTTATCTTTCAAGATCTATTTGATACATCAAAATAAAGAATAGTAATGCAGTAAACATTGTAAAACATTATTGCATTTTTGGTGAAAATGGGGTCTTTGAAAAAGTGTGTTGATGGGTTGATTGCTTGTTAAATATCTCAAAGTCCGTTTGACTACCATCATTGTACATAATTTCCTGAAATAGTGAATGGATCGAAAAGATATACCTGTCTTCGTTGTCAGAAAATAGTCATGATATAACTGTCTAAAATTGTTTGCGAACCTACCCGAACCATTGGTGCTAGCTTTGCAAATGTCAACGAATATTACGTGTGTATTTATTGAATCAACCACCAATGTTTTCCTCTATAAACATATTTTATGTTTTGTATTAAAATGATATATTTTCTGTAAATATTGCTTCAAATAATTGAAATATATTGTTTTTCTATGTCTGTACACCGTTTTATATATTATTTCTGCATGGTTATGGACGTTTGGGATGTGACCCGCATATCTATACAAACATAATCATCTAATTCTCGATGAACGTGAAACCTTGAATATGTTTCGGTGTGTCATTGACATAGGTGAGGCATTCTATGGACGGTTACAATGCATCTTGTTTTCTCCAACACATGATGCATATGCCATTGCGTGTGCGACATAACTTTGTTCCTGTACCCCATAGAATAAATGCGCCATGGGACCATTTGCCATTACAATCACGTCCTCTCCACTGTGAGTCTCGAAGCTTCTTGGTACGGAACTCTGTTGGCGATAGTTGGAATCACCTATATTATTAGAGCATACAGTAAATAAATAAATAAGTGTCATGCATGTTTTGCATTTGGATGTAACTTTATTTCTGGTATAATACTGTACCTACAGTGTCTCAGGCATACTGTACAATGGAATATTAGCCAAGTTGTCACAGTCGAGGGGCAAGGAGAATGAATAATGATTTTGGACCTTCTTTCTCCTTTTCTTTCAAAAACTGAATGAAAACAATATATAATATCCAATTATGAAAGACTCATGACAATGTTGCAATTTTTAACCGAACAGTAAAATTTGGTAGAAATAGGCTATTGTTCGCAAAATTGATGAAAATTGAAAAGGTGTTTTTTGACCCCCATGTCACATAAATGGTTATATCTCGAGCCAGGGTTGTTGAAAATTGTTCTATTATATATCATTTTGTTGTAAATTAAATTATCTTTAAAATGATATATCATTGTTGGTGATATGTTAAAAAAATGAATATTTATCAGGAATATCGGCTAGGGGGGTGCTTTTTTGGCCCACCCTGTATATTCCCTCTTTTCACACGTTGTTTTCACAACGTTATGAGCCAATACAATGATAAAATAAAGTTTAATTATAGACCAATCGTTTATGATACTTTTTTCGTTCAATCGGACGTAGATTTGATTGAACATAGCGGTTGAAAAATAGGTATGAATATCCACATGCTAAACCGATGAGGGAAAAACAAAGAACTTGTCCCCCCCCCCGAATTGCATCATGAGTAATATTTTGTCCATATAGGAAAGACTTCCGTGTCTCCTCGTTTGAAGAGCGAACCGCGAACGGGATAAGGTTTACATAGAAAAGATCCTATTGCGTACTTGTATCGACATTCTCGAGATCTTCTCGAGTCGTTAGATCCTCAGGGTCAGCTCCAGTGTAATTGTAAACACCTTGATATCCTGGACCATTACCATACGTCAGAGTTGTGTAGGGTTTGCCATCAGCTGCATCAGAAAGTGTTTTGCCTGGAACACATTTATTCGGATAATTTATTATGAACAAAACCGCAACAAATCTCAAATAAATTAATAAAATCCATTATCATTATGCTGTGAAGTGTAAACTAGGGGTTTAGGATGCATAAAACATACACCTTGGTCTTTTTGTATTGTACGATGGAACAAACCAAATCTCCAACAATTTCTATCACCTACACGGGGACTATCTAGACCCCGCTGACATCGCGAGCAATGAGCTCATGTTAGAAGCGGGGCCTTGAGAGATAAAATAAGATAAAATTGAAATATAATTTTTTCTCTGAAACTTTAATGAGTAAAACTCAGTACATCTTTATTCCATAGCACAATGGCTATTTCAATTGTAGGACAACGACGCTCATCAACTATAACTATGTTTTATCACATCTCTCAAGGCCCCGCTCAGTTCTAACACGAGCTCATTGCTCGCGATTTCAGCGGGAATTTGCTCGCGATATGCAGGACCTGGATAGTCACCGTGACCTAGCAGCGTGTATTTGATCGATATCGGATTTATATCGAGCAGATTATGACATAATCTGCCTACCCAAAATGGGATTTCCTCTTTCACTGTATCCACCAAATGCCATTACGTGTCCATGATCAGCAGTGACCAAAATAAGAGTATCATTTTCGCTGGTCATGTTGACAGCGGTCTCAACAGCACGATCAAGGGCAATTGTCTCTAGAAGGGCACGTGCTGCCCTACCGGCATGGTGTTCAGCGTCAATAAGTCCACCTAGAGAAAAAGATAAGTACCACGTTAAATGAAAAGACTATAGGGAAGTCTAACGAAATGTATCAATGGATTAACTCTGGTTTCTGAACACGATACAAATCCTAACATTATACTATGATTACATACTGTACCCTCTACTAACAAGAAGAATCCATTTTCATTTTTGCTTAGTATTTCGATTGCTTTTTGTGTCATTTCAGAGATCGATGGCTCTCCAGCGATGTCACCACTTATTCTGTCAGCATCATTATGCATGCTCTTGCGTTCAAACAAACCTAAGAGTACAATTAAAATTATATTTAAGATTGTAAAGTTTGTAAAGATTTGCCCTCACATCGACATTACTTTGTTTGTGAGAATGAATTTCAGAACAGAAACTCTTTTTGTTCACTGTTTGGTAATTATTGAAGGAGAGGGGGCAGATGACATGTATGATGACATGTATAATGACATGACGCACAAATGAAGGAATGGATATCAAGGCAAAAAGTGACATTATGGGAAGTCCTTTACCCATGAGGTAATCTGTGTTGGCTGGGTCCACCTCATTGAATGCTGATATATTCCAAACATAGGCTGGTCTCTGATTGATACTCAACTTATGATCGTACCATTCCTAGAAATAATGCAGCTATTATCACTGTTCCACACCTGGATGACTCTAACTGCAGTTAGTATCATTCACGATGGTGGTCAAAATTATTTCGTCTTTGATAACCCAACGACTTCAGCTAAACTATTTGAATTTGGATTCCAAATGTTTCGCTATGTAAACTAATAAAGTTATGATTGTAAACAGTCACAAGAAAAATTTTGGAGAACCCGCGATTTTTGGAGAAATTTAAAGAAAACTTCCTCACTAAGAATGACTCTAATTGAAGTTGGTGATGACGTAGGAACGACACGTCATCATCAAGTTCAGTTGGAGTCATTCTAAGTGAGACCGTTTTCTTGTTACTGTTTACAATCCTAACTTTATTCGTTTGCATGGTGAAACATCTGGAATCCAGATTCAACTTAATTTAGCTGAAATTGGAGGTTTATCGATAACGGAAGAATTTTGGCCATCTTGAATGATACTTACTGCAGTTAGAGTCATCCAGCTGTGGAACAGTGATAATATGGCAATATCATGGTAATTGTATCTGTGCACTCATTCATCACGCCTAACCATCGCGTAAGCAGGCGTCACCGTACAGCGTCAAAAAATACAGTAGTACAGTTTTCTGTACGGTGACGAAAATTAACTGAGTTGAAGCAAAAACTATAATGAGGGTTTTAAAAAGATTAATTAGATGAAAATAAATACGATTTCGGGTGTAATAAAAACAGCATTCTCTTAGGAATGGTTTTAACTTTCTAATTATGATAAAAGTTTTTCGAGCACTGCTCGGATTTTTTCTGACTGGATCGGCCCACATAATCGACTCGAGAGAAAAATGGTGTTTTTTCACTTTTCGTTTGGTTATTATTTTCCCTGTCGTCTGAGAGTATGGATTATTTTTATGAGAATATGTATTTGTTATCTACACATTTTAGAACAGATGAATATTCGGCAAATAATCATTCAGTGTATTTATTTAAAAAAGATCAGAACTGTACTGTGACGCATCAGCTGTACGGTGACGCTTCCATAGATTTTATGAAGTGCTCTAAGCTTACTGTTCGAACAAGAGGTAAAGAAGCGTCAGATCTACATGTACATTATCACTGGTAAGTATCAAGCGAAGGTTACAGCCGTCACCTTCGCATTTAAGATGGCGGACAGGAAGTATTAATTTCCATATTTTTAGTTTTCATGGAATTAAGTCAATTAACTATTTGAAAGTTGACGTAATGCTTTGGTATCATTTGAACTAAACCAGGCTTTTCTCATATGACTAACAAAGATAGCCTACATAGCCATCTTTACCCCATGCAAGACATTGCATCTTTCATCCTAAAAAGTCACACGTGCAAGATGAGATTTACTTGTGACATCCCTTGTTTTAAAACATCAATAACATAGCAACAAGAGAGTTTTTGGTTTCATGATCTTTACCGTATCATACATTTCCAGTAACCTTCCATTAAGCTGTGGAAGATATCGTTGAACTGTAGCGCCCATGCACTATATATAAACAAATGATCATACTCCAGAGTTTCCATTTCATACAATCTTAGTCTCATTTAGTTCATCAAAGCATAGCGTCACCGTACAGTTGGTGCGTCACCGTACAAATTTGATATTTTTTAAATATACATAATGAATGGTTGTTTGCTGAATCTTCGCCCGTTCTAAAATGTGTAAGTAACAAATACATATTCTCATAAAAATAATCCATACCCTCAGACGGTAGGGAAAATAATAACCAAACAAAATGTGAAAAAACAACCTTTTTTCACTCTGGTCGATTATGTGGGCCGATTCACTCAGAAAAAATCCGAACAGTGCTCGTAAAACGTTTATCGTAATCAGAAAGTTAAAACCATTTCTAAGAGAATGCTGTTTTTATTTCACATGAAATCGTATTAGTTTTCATCAAATTAATTTTTTTAAACCCTTGTCATAGTTTTTGCTTCAAAGCAGTTAATTTGCGTTACCGTACAGAAAACTGTACTCCGCTATTTTTTGACGCTGTACGGTGACGCCTGCTTACGCGATGGTAAGGCGTGTTCATGTCATTTACTGAAGATACATGAAAATGTTGGTTGTCAGAGGATTAAACCATGGTTTTAAAGAATTTTAGCATAACACCAATGGAGATTTGGCCCAAGTTTTTTTACAATGTCATGGAGAATGATTTAAATGACATAAATGTGCAAATGAAAGCTATTATTGTAGGAAACATATCACTGAATTCAAATATGCTATCAAAAAGAAAGAAAAGTAAGTCATTAGAGGTAAAATGTGCAAATCTCTTAAAATCTCATGAAAAAACGAGAATTAACGAGATTTCAAAATCATTTAGAAACTCCTCTATTGGACAATACAATTACGTTTGCGAACTGATCTGAAGGGAGGATAAGACACAGTAGAGAGCTTTAGATGCGTACTTATGTAAAGATAATACCGCAACGAAATATTTGTAGATTTCTTAAAAAACTAAGAAATAAGTAAGTAAAACTAAAAAAGTAAGGCCTGCAGGTCCAATTCCCCCTGGTAGCATTAACATTGGTCCCGTATGAAAGTCATCCAATTAATATTTGTATCCCAACTATTATTCAAACCTATGATCGGACATTAGTATGATGTGTACTTCAATGTAATATTGATAAAGTAACATCATACATCATAAGTTCGAATGATAGTTGTATTTCAAATATTAGTTATATGCCATGTATGAGACCAATGTTAATGCTACAAAGGGGAGTCTGACCTGCAGGCCTTACTTTTTATACATGTTTTTTTTCAGTTTTGAAAAATTCGATATTTGATATATATTATTAGTTTTTTCAAAAAAATCTACAAATATTTCATTACGGTTTTATTTTTACATCGTAATTTCGATCACCGCCATCACTTTTCGAACGAGCTATCTTGAAGTATCAAGAAGTCATGCTATTCTCATACTTATAGAACTCAATGTTAGTGTCCTTGACCATTTATTAAGCAGTGACAATTCATTCCCTTCATGGGCGACAAAATGTTTCTACTTTCCTGGTGAATGTCGAGTCTCGCATCCTACGATCTGTCTGCACAGGGTGTTGTTGCTACTGTGATATGAGCATTAGCAATATTAGTTTTACAATAAAAACGGTAATGTGGTACGCGTCTGTAAGGTGGAACACGTTCCCGGTTAGTGAAACACAATAAGGTCATGAGACCAATTAGCTGACGTTTAATAAGCGTCTGTAAGTTAAACGCTCTCAAAGTGGAAGCACCAAAGACGTTCCAGTTATAAAATATATACTGTGCTAAAGATTATGAAACGATTGGACTGGCCGTCATTCGTACGTATGTTGAAGTTTATTGGTTTGGCCTACCTGAATAAGATCCCTGCCGTCCTCTCTGAAACCGGATTTCAGGGGATATTCCGGGTCCTCTTGGTTCTCATTCATGAAGTACGAACGTCCGCCTCCCAATATAACCTACAGGTGAATTTTGAGTCAGGAATAAATTTAGGGCCCCAAAACCAAATTTGGGCCCAAATTTGGAAAATTTAAGACCCATTTTTGATAATTTGCCTCATATGGATCCGCCAGTGGGTCTTGTATGATTTTTTAACCGATTGGCTTCGAATGAGATCTTTAAAAAAGTTGCAAACATCACCAGAAAGCCAATGTCTTTGCTATCATATAAATCAACCAAAGGTGATCTACACTACCTGAAATAAATACTTATACAGTTATTTGTAGCCTGGACAATTTTCTTTATGTTAATAAAATTGTGATAATATTGTGAATTTTCGACATTGAAGCTAATGTTTAATAAGCATCTTGTTTGAACTGATCCGAAAGGTATAGCAAATTATTTGTAAAAAATCGTTCATATTTAACCACCTAATGATCACTACCTCAATATCAGTATTATTGACAACGAGTTGCTTTGTAATATCAGGACACTGTGTCTCTTCCGACTCTGGTACTTGATGGTCTCCTTCCCAGTATCGATATGGGGAGTGTGCAAACGCCGCAGCTGGGGTGGCGTGACTCGGCCTTGTTGTCGTGATCAAGCCAGCTGCTTTACCTGTATGAGAACATTTAATTGAAGTTAAGATTCCATGAGCGGGTTAGAGGCAGACTGACAAAAAAGCGTCCATTTGGGTCCAAGCACTACGTTTCATTGTTTAAGTCTATGAACAATCTTTATCCAACCTTTCTATTTATACGGGATGTGGTAGTGGATATGGACCTATCATACGTATTTAACCATCACGTCCTTTCCGGCACGTAGAACGGACGGCAAATAATAATGATCCCAAGCTCATAACATTGACGAACCTTCTCTCTTTGACCACCTAAGAATTGAGTCCACCTCATGCCCAGCGACAGTGTCACACATCTGTGGGACTACTTCCTCATCTACTCCTATCACATAGTCGCTCGTCTTTACACCCGTCAACATAGCATTGGCTGTTGAGGCCGAGTCTGGGGTTTGTCCATTCACTGAATAAGTCTAGATTGAAAAAAATTATTTTAGGGTGATGTAAATAACCAGAAGACAGCAGCTACGATGAAGATATGCATTACTAAGTTTGTTTTAGGGTGATGTAAATGACCAGAAGACTGTGCACCACCTTCGTTTCATTGAAAGTTACCACATGATGAAAAGAGGGTCATTTTTACACGAAGGCAGGTTCTAATTTTTTAAAAATGAATTTTTCATCCTCTGCCATTATCATGGTCAAAATTCAGGTAGAATGAGTACAAAGGGTCCTCTGACTTTGCATATATTAGACCACTGATAGTAAGAACCATTTCCCATGTGTTAACGTCTTGGTGGAAACCACGTGTACTGGTTAAGCAAACTTTTTATGTTTCGTGGCTTCATTCAACACTTATTTCGTTTGGAATGACCTTGAACCCTTGTGCATTCTGGTCCACCAAACGAACGAACATTAAATAAGGAATTAGCGCACTCGGGTTTGACTGTAAACCTCTTGCTCACTGTCGTATAAATTATGAATGTAGTTTCGCACGGGTGTCAACGGAAAGAAACAGTAAATCCTGCTTTCCCAAACCCGGAAGTATGTCCTGAATTCGCTTCGCATGCCTTTGACTCTTTCTCCACTCTTGGGAGAAACCAGTGCCGTGGAGAGATCTGGAATATCTCAAAGCGTGTTTTAATCACCCCCTAACGCACAATATTGGTGCTTTGCTAAGATTTAGGCCTACTTTTAAAAATGAGAGCCCAACTTATTACCAACTAATTTACTACTAATTATCAACAATTCTGCTGGCAATTGGAATTAAAGTTAAGTGTTAATTAAATCAATGATAATTATGGCCTAATTATCAGTAGCAAGTTCAACGTAAATTAACTTTAGTTGATAATTAAGATGAAATGTTTGAGGGTGATAGTAAGTGGTAAATTAAAACGTTTTTGTTCTGAAGTAGATTATTGGTTGATAGTTAACATATAGGATGATTATAATGATAATTAGTCGTAAATTAGGCCCATGATTTAGAAATACAAACCCCCTAAGTTTAATTTCAAGATGGTGGAAAAAGAAAACATGTGAGAGATACCTCTCATAAAATTGAGAATTACAACGGGAATGGTGCGTATACTACCATTAAATTTGGTCAACATTATTATAAGGGTATGTAGAACATGAATACAATGTATGTTAAATCTTATTCACATTTCTGTCTGAAATGTTTATGAATTTGAAAATCTTTTTGAATCAGATCATACAATATTAATCCTAGAATGCGATTTAGGTACTAACATGGGTTACCTATATTTCACAAGTAATCCAAATGTGCTCTTCTAAATAATGATTGTTAGATCAAAGACATTTCAAAACATATTTTTGATTATATCTGTTACGTCCTTATTATGTAACATTATAGTCCAATGGAGGTGTGCGAAGGAGAAAATCATATGTCATCAATTGAATCATGGGGTTTTCCCTCCTCTTGCTGTGAAATTTCAATAGTTCAAGTTCAATGTTGTCTATTCTGAAAGATCCTAATTAAGATGAATATTCCGTCACAAAATAGTTCAAGATGAAGCAAAAATCTCCGGGTGAAGGGAAGCAAAAAAAGAAACGAGTCATTTTTGAGAAGTCACAAATCTGACTTAAACCTAACTTTCAACTAATTATCAATAGTAAGTTAGGTGATAATTAGAGATTAACTTACATCAAACTTACAATCAGTGACAATCGACCAATATATAGCTCATTTGCATGTTGATGGTAGTTAATCGTTAATTAAGTTGCAAATTAAGCGTTAATTAAGTTGATAGTTAGCTCATTTGCATTTGAATTTTTACACCGAACTTTCAACTAATTATCAATAGTGAGTTAGGTGATAATTGGAGATGATTTTCCATAGGCTTTTTTCAATTGGGACAGGCCCAATTTCCCTAAATGGCCATACTCAAAAAACGAGGCACTGCCCGACCTCCCCTTCGGACTCTACAGTGTAAAATGTCATACTTTTGCCAACATGCTGTGGGAAAATTTGTCCCAGCTTAGTTGATGTTCTTCCCCAGTTCCTCCTAACTGTTGTCCTCTGAGAATCCTAGCAGCCGACATCGTGGTGAGACCCATTCCGTCGCCAATAAATATGATCACATTCTTGGCGAGATTCGTATTAAGACCCCGGTTTGCGGCGTAGTTGACTGTGTCTTGACCCTTTCGTATCCACTCAGCAGATCCAACCGACTTCCCTTGCATTTTAGCTTGTTTGTTCTCTTCATTCCGCTTCAAAATGTTTTCTTGGGACATGCGAATCCGTTTACCGTAATCGTCATTATTTCGAAAATGGGTTGGTATTCCTGAATATTAAAGAGGCATTCTTTTTTAAAGGTGTTTAAACAATTTTTGTTTTTCAGTTCTCATTCCTCACATCGATCATGATGTATTCAAAAACAATCCTCGTCCACCTCATATCCCAAGTATAGAGCTATTTATTTGCTATGTCAGTGACATTGTCCCAGAAAATATGAATTTTGTTTTAGATAGCCTTAAAAGACACATAGATCAAAATCAATGCTATGTATAGGTCAGTCGTAGGTTAAATCTCAAATCCAAGGTCATACATAAACTCCAGGCAACTTGTAATTAAATTTAAAGCGAATTTGACCTTGGAATTTTTTTAATTTTAATAAACTTTAAAATGCTAATATATATGTAAGGCCTTTAGAGGAATTCATATCCTGGCTTTCAACGAAAATTATTGTCGTACTAGAATAAAACTACCATGTACACGTCCATGATCAGTTTTTTTTTAACGTAAAGTGCCTCTCAATTAATAACAAATTATGAAAAGCAATTACTGTCTGCTAAATTTGCGTCTGACACTCAAAAGCAGTATTGGCGTACTTAAACTCACCTATGTCACAATTGTCACCTGTATACCCAGGTTTGCATACACATGTATAACTATAGACTCCATCAATACATGTCCCTCCAGGTGAACAAGGGTCCGGTGAGCAATCATTGATATCTGTAATGAGGGAGATGTTTATTTACTTACTAAATTGATACAAACTTTGATTCAGTCTTGCCACCCATCCCCCCCCCCCTAAATTATTTTTATTTACAGCAATTTGATAATGAACTTGTACCCCATAATATTTAGACTAGGTAACAGATGTATTATCAGAAGGGACTCTGCGGGACCCCATTGGACTCGATGTCGCACCATAGGTCAAAGTCGCACTTCCACGGAATTATGGATCAAAATGGCCGCATGCAGCAAAACCTTTCTGTGGGACACGACAGTGCAAGGTGCCTTGAAGGTGGGGCTCGATGGGACAACGGGGACAGTGTCCCATGACAGTTCGTGAGACTCGATCAGGCACGGTGGGATTCGATTCATATGCGATAGGTGGGACCTCTTTTGTTTTGATATTCTTAGTACCATATTTTTCAAAGTTTCGAAATTTGGTCTAGAATCATCTGTAACACCCCAGTCACATTTCCTACGGCGACCTTGCGGTCTATCATTTCTGCGGCCAGTAACATTTCTACGCTCGCCGTGGAATTTCTGCGCTCTCATACTTTTGCAGTCACATTTCCCACGGCAGCCGCACCGTGAATTTTAAATTTCTGTTGATAAATAATACTTTTTATTATTTTATTTACATCAGGACAATTTATAAAATTTAATGTTATTCATAGTGCTAGGATGTAATATCAAATGAAAAGTGACCATGAAACATTGACAAATAATGATTCAAACTTGTTGAGCCAGTTGATTTCTACGGGGACCTCAGAAATGAACAAATATTATAACTCCGAGTTATAATTTCTACGGCGACCCTGCGGCCTGTAAAAACTGAATACGCCGTACGGAGGCCGCAAGGCGAGCGTAGTTTTCCTACGCTCGCCGCAGAAATACACTGATTTAATTGATCTGCGGTCGACGCACGGAAAACTCTCCGTTTCAAGAAAACAAGAAATAATTTTCAATAGAGTGCGCTGTGATATCATTATTAAGGCTCACCTTTACGCTCACAATTTCACTAATATAAACTCCCCCATGCCATTTGCCAGTGTGGAATGGATGGTGAAACAACCAATCACGTAATTTTTCACTGTAATCTAAGATCAACATTTTGGACAGAATTTGAAAATGAATTAAAAAATATGAACATAGAATATTCTACTAAATATAGATCACAACGAGACAAACTCTCCCTTATCCTCAATGGTGATAAAAGGCTACCTAAAGCTGTAAACTTAAATATCCTCAAATGTAGTGCCATCTTTTTTGAACGATGTAAACATGTCTAGGTCACCCCCACCACTGTAACCCTCCACAAATACAACCCCTTTTTTAATGTCTGATTGAATACTGTTAATTGAGTTTCATCATATAATGTGGCTGATAATGCTGATGCCCAGTCACAAGCACATGTGAACTTGTTTAATGTATTCTTTGTATAAATATATAAATAAATAAAAATAAAAATAACTTTTCATTTGATAATACATCCTAGCACTATGAATAACATCTATAAATTGTCCTGATGTCAATAGAATGAAAAAAAGTATTATTTATCAACAGAAATTTAAAATTCACCGTGCGACTGCCTCGGGAAATGTGACTGCAAAAGTATGAGAGCGCAGAGAAATTCTACGGCGAGCGTAGAAAAGCTACTGGCCGCAGAAATGATAGACTGCACGGCCGCCGTGGGAAATGTGACTGGGGTGTTAATTCCACATATCGAACCATGAATTTTCAAAAATCCGTGATCGAAATTTTGCATTTTAATCAACGATGAAGTATAAACATATAGCCAGTTTATCGAGTCAGAAAAACCAGCCGAGTTTAAGTTCATTTGCATTGCGGAGCAACATAGTATGATGCATGATTGATATGATACCTGTCTCGCAATGATCTCCAGTAAAACCACTTGGACAGATGCAAGTATACCCGTCCTCTTCTTCAGTACATGAACCATCGTTAAAACAAAGGGATTGTTCACAATAATCTGAAAATATATTCAAAGCCGTGTAAAAAGACTGCATAATCGTTAAAGTGGTACTGAAACAGCTTTACTTGATTTTGATTATGTTCATGCAACCCTAAGTATTGATGAGCCACATTTGTTCCGATTCATCCGTCGTTCTGTAAGTCTGCATATTCGGAATTTTGATGCAATTCTCAATAGTCATATCTTATTTTTCAAATATAATCACTCCTTCCACACATTGTCTGCATCTTTCAATTTTGCACAAAGAATGCACTAATGTACCTAGAATTGTAAAGAATATTTTTTTCATAAATTGGATAAAAAACTGAATTTTCTAGTTTTTTATACATTTTACAAATGTGAGGAAGGGGTGATTGATCTTTAAAAAATAACATGTGGCTCTATTGAGGATGGTATCGAAATTCAAAACATGCAGTCTGACCTTTATGTTTTGTTCAAAATTATATTCAGTTTTGAACAAATACTCAATCTGAGGAAATCTATTAAGAATTCTAAAATAAAGCTACCTTCACCGAAATTACACCTTGATAAGAAAAAAGAATCTGTTTTGAATAAGGCTCGGTGTGATTTTATTTTTAGACAGCATCTTTTGATTTAAAATCTTAGTATTATCGATATTCCAAACTGTAATCGTGGCTTTTGTTGTACTTACCGATCGCTAGACACGTTGCATCTGATCCATCCCATCGATATTGCCTGCCGTGCTTTTCACAGACTCGAACACGACTTCCAACCAACTTGAAACCTTTATCGCAGCTAAACAAAGCATATTTCTTCACCTTACTCGATCTGATTACCAACTGATTACCATTTGGAGGTGATTCTAAAAGTTGACAACCTGGCCAAAAATACATTAGGGTCATTCAAAAACTTTTAAACACTGCATGTCAATGAAAGATGGCGAAGTCGTTTGTATCACATCATTTATTTTTATAGAAGTGTCGCCATCTTTTGAATCAAGAGTTATATAAAAACATGAACTTTGTCAGCATGGGCATGCACTACTAAGAATCTCTGAACTTCAAATGCTGTTTTCTACGTGAGCTTTTTTTCTTGGTTCAATATAAATATGCAAATCAAGCTTTGTATCATATTTGATTAAGTGGTAAATAACATGTTTCAATATCATATAAAGGATTGGTATCGATATGGCGATCTGAATTCAACATTGTTTTCCCATTAAACCAATTATTGAAAACATTCTGCAAAAACACTGATTGACAACAATTTGATGCGAAAATTATTTAGATATTTTTTTATAATTGTTTTTGATTTTTAGTGCAATTTATTTTTGTTCCTTTCAACCAATTCTTTCCGAACCTTGTTGGAACAGAATAGCATATACAACATTTTCTTAGACCTCTCAATATTAAAGTTATACAAAGGAAACTTTGATTTTTATTTCATTAACAAGATACTTTTTTAAATCAACCAAACTTTCCTATGTACTTTACACTACATTGACAGTTTTCCAAATGTTGTGATCGTATTTTATTTTAAGGGCTTTCCTGTAATTTCTTGTATATGAGGCCTAAAAGATAAGTGCTCGTCTAAAATTATTCCCAAGTGTTTGTGGTGACCTGATCTATAATTTGTGTATTGCTTTGAAAGACAGGAGGGTTGTTTCCTTCTAGACCCCTTGAAATTAATATCTACACTTTTTGAAGGAATTGAGAATTGACTTCCATTTAAGGAACCATTCTGAAAGTTTATCTTGGTCAGATTGAATTTTTTGTGGAGATCAAAGATGATTTTTTGTCTGTCACAATGAAGAAAAAAGAACCTTCAGCATACAGATATAATTGGCTATGATTAATGCATATCTTGTTGCATCTCTTGTTACATTGTGAACCTGTCCGAACCCTCCTTTTGATAGAAAGTCAAGCCTTCTTCTTAAATTGTACAACTATAGTCTTGCAGACAATTCTATCATCTTTTCAGATTCTAACTTTAGAATAGCATTGGCCAAATATTATCATATGCACCATCTAAATTTGCACTACTGAATATAGCTTGACGTGCAATCTTCTGATTCTTCATCATACGTTGAGCCTTTGGCCCTTGGTCCAATGTTTCACTATATTGCCCTTTGAAGATGAGGCTATTCACGGTCCCGTTTACACCGTTCCGTATTAGTGGTTTTGTTGACATTATTACGGAATAAATCATACCATTTCGAAAACTGGTGACATTGTCCTACGGAAATTGAGATTATGTTTCACAGCAAGTTCGCACGGCGATACTGTATTGCACATAAATTGTACTCTAGGTAATTGATCTACTTTCTATGGACACCAAACACATCTCTGTCGATAGAATAATGAAAAAGCCTTAGGGTCCCAACCTCCTTTGTTTATATTTACAAAACGTTAAAAGATGACAAAAGATGTCATAACTTTTTAAATCTTAAACTCTTGCAACCGATTTCACTTGCCAGCGACAGATACTTTAGTCTTGTACGAAGCGAACATGTCAGTTTGGTTCGTAATATCTCCAAATAAACGATTTCAACATTTTAAAAAACAGTATCGCCGTGCGAACTTGCTGTGAAACATAATTTCAATTTTCGTAGGACAAGGTCACCATTTTTCATGAAATTGTAAGATTTATTCCGTATTAATGTCAACAAAACCACTAATACGGAACGGTCTAAACGGGACCGTGTATTGGTATATTAACCGAATGAAGATGTATTTGATTAATCTTACATAATCGAATAAAACAGGTTGTGAATTTAAAGAACCAACCTGAAGAACATGTATGAGACGTGTATTCAATAAATATCGCCACTTATTTGTAGAAATGTGAAAATATTCTTATATTCACAAACCAACGATCCCCCTACCTTTAAGCATTTTGTCACGTCGGTTCCCACAAACGCAATCGGATATCATCAACACGGTCAGTATGGCCGTGAGCTTGAGTAGCGTCAGTACGTCCATCTTCTTAGTTCCTGTATAATTATTCTGGCCTCGTTAATAATAATTCACATACTATTACAAAGCTTCAATAGAAAATATGATTTTAATTTTCAAGGATTATTAGACTCCAGATTTGATTGGTTTTGTCAGTAGGCTATCTTTTATTCCAGTTTTATTCATGAAAATATACAGTTCAAGCAAACAATAAGGTATCTAATGTTGAATCTGGATATTAGAAATTTCTTAACATTCTAAAGGTATCAATATTTCAGAAGCAAAGAAATAAAATATGCAAAGTATCCATTGTATTCTTGCCAGTATTCTTCTTCTTCTTTTTTTCCTCTTCCACGCAAGTTTTCTCGGCAACTAGAAAAGCTTACTCTACGCAACGTGCATGGTTAGTTTACAAATGTGCCTGCGATGATTGGAAATTAGCTCAAATTTTTTTCTAGGTCAAAGGTCAAGAACTAGATCAAATCTTGAGTTTTCACTATTTCACCACTTTTCTCAATTGTCCTTCAATATTTTGCTCCGGTGTAAAAAGGTAGGTGGTCCTATCAAATTTTGGTCCTACTCTCTATTGATTTATATGGTGACCTAATCACAATTATTTTCCTTATTATTTATACACAGCCAGTGCAAGTAAGGGCCATAAGGAAAGGGGACCATAATCTCAGGGGACCATAATTTCTTTAACACCGGTGTGAAAGAAATGATGATCACAGGGATTATGGTCCCCTTTCTTAACGGTCCTTACTGGCCCTGATTGCGTATAAGATAATGAGGGAGAGTTGTATTTAAGTCACCATATAAATCAATGGAGAGTAGGACCATAATTTGATAGGACCTCCTACCCTTTTACAGCTGGTTTTTTTCATCATGTTTCTTGGAAAAAAGGCTAATTCCGGATCGCGGAAGGTATATCGATTTTTTATTCCCCTTACCTTTTTTGAGAAATAAGTGTAAGCAAGGACACAAAGGTGTACAACTTGTCCCCACCATTGGGTGATGCTGTAATTTCTCATTCTCGGTGCCCGGAGACACGACTTTAGAACAAAAATATAATATGGTCAAATAAGGTCACATTTACCTAAAATGCCCATAAACCGATCAATTTTAGATTTTCGTACAAATAATCATCCCTGAAAATATAAAATGGATGCTTTTAAAGGAGAGCTTGAAAGGCGTATACAAGACTTTACAGAGAAGAGTTTTGGACGGAAAATCCAAAATGGCAACCAACATTCGCCCAGTATACCTAAAACCAGTAATCAGTTGAGATTTTCATATAAAGAATCATCCCTGAAAATTTGACATTGATCAATTTCGAATGGTGTTATAATAAGCCATTATTCTTTAAACAAAATATTGTAGTTAAATGCTTTTATATATCCAGAAGGATATCAAGCTGATAAGTATATTGTATTAAATGCATGTAATGTTACTACTGAATAAAAATAAATAAATAAAATAAATATCATACATCAAGAATAAGACATAACATTTACCCAGAATGCCCAAAACCTAATCAGTTCTAGATTCTTATGCTAAGAATCATCACTGAATATTTGAAATCGAATCGTAGATAAGACTTTTTTCGACGGAAAATCCAAAATGGCCGGTAAGCGGACCTCAAAATCTACTTTGCTTAAAAATGTTGACACTACAAGGCCTACGTATGTCAAAATCTTGGTGAAAATAGTTTTCCTTATTTTTGCGATTCTGACGCTACACTTTAATTATTTTCTTCGTAATTTGATGTACATATAACCAAGAGAATGCTAATAGTGTTAGCTTTTCGCCGTCAGAAAGTATTCTGACCCATTTTAAGATATGGTGTCCGAAAAGTAGGTCAAAACATAAGGTTCTCATTTAATGTGTGAGTTATGAAAGAATTGTAGTATTTTCGCAGCCAGAGAGTATTTTGACCTATGTTTGAGATATGGTGTCTGGAAAGTAGGTCAAAACAAAAAGTTCTCAAAATTCAACGTTTGGGGTCTCAAAATAATGGAAAATTTTCTCAGAATTCCGAATCTGACATCAAAGTGTATGACGTTTTAAAATCTCGAAAAGTCGATATGATGATATTCCTCCTACTTAGCTACTTATTCAGATACTTACTCAGCTACCTGCTACGCTACTTACTCACCACTCAGCTACTTTACTCAGCTACTTACTTAGCTATATTTAGGTCAATCCAATCTGGAATCTTAAATTGAACTTGTTCAATTGACGATTCGAGTTATTCATCATAAAGTAATGAAGTCATCCAGGCGTACACTATAATGTGAATACAAACGTGTAATCTGTGTTCATTTATGTTATATATTACAAAAAGTTAGAAGAGGTTACGCTATTGTTGACATAATCGATTTGAAACAAATATACAAGGTGTTTCAAAAATTACTAATATATAGCCATTAACTTAATACTGCATTGGTCCTATACACATTTTCACAAAATGTACACTCCCCTCCATAAGTTTGGCAATCTTAGCTCCCCCATTGAACTACGTGTTAAAGCTTCTTTAACTTTGAATTCTTATTTACTTAACCTGCGATTGAAAATACTTAATATAATATTGATGAAAACGTAATTTGACTTAAATTTTCAATACCTCCCTCAGTTTTTTTCCTCGATTACAATAGGTCGAAAATTGATGACTTTAATGACTTTTTGAAAATCTACATTCCCATGTTAACCAATGGGAAATGGTAGATTTGCCGTAAGACATATGGACAGAATATCCATCCATCCGAGTCCTTGCAAAAAATACAAGTTTGTAGGCAATTGAATTTTCTAACGTTATTTAACAAAAAATTGATACGTTTCTTCAAGTTCGAAGTTATAGGTCTTTAAAGTCAAAATTGTTTTTCAAAAAACCTCTCCCATGGAAATAACACAGGAGGCGAAAAATGATTTCAAAAATGATTTTGAAGGTTTGTAACTTTAGTATTCATCAAGTAAACTAAACACGTAGTGTACAAAAAAAGTTAGACAGTTCAATTTTCTATATAGAAATATTTTTTGCTGGATCTTTTACTGAATAGATATCCTAATTTCTGATTTGCCCCGAACCGATCATTTCCCATTGGTTTAGATTGGAATGGCGATTTTCCCAAATTCATCAAATTTATCATCACTTTTCGACCTATTGTGTTAAAGGAAAATAAAAGCTTAGCTTTAATTCGCGAATGCAACTAACGGCTTCCAGCTACCGGATTAACCTACTATATTATGACTAACTCATTTAAGTATGAATGGAATATTGGCAGGTACTATTCATATTTAAATGAGTTGCTCACAAAATTGTAGGTTAATCTGGTAGCCGACAGGCGTTATTTTCAATAGCGAATACAAGGTTAGTTTACAAAAAAAATGACAAAGATAACAAGACTTAAAACCTAGATTAAGACATATGTTTCACCCAATCATTTATTTGTCAATGAACGTGAAAATTGAATACGTTGAAATGTAGTGAGGCAGAGTCATTCTATGGACGGTTACAATGCATCTTGTTTTCTCCAACACAGGATGCATAAGCCATTGCGTGTGCGACATAACTTTGTTCCTGTACTCCATAGAATAAATGCGCCATGGGACCATTTGCCATGACAATCACGTCCTCTCCGCTGTGAGTCTCGGAGCTTCTTGGTACTGAACTCTGTTGGCGATAGTTGGGATCACCTATATTATTAGAGCATACAGTAAATAAATAAGTGTCATGCATGTTTTGCATTTGGATGTAATTTTATTTCTGGTATGATACTGTACCTACAGTGTCTCAGGCATACAATGGAACATTAGCCAAGTTGTCACAGTCGAGGGGAAAGGAGAATGAATAATGATTATGGACCTGAATTCTCCTTTCCGCAATTCGCTCTCTAATCGAGAAGGTACGAAAATATGTACTCAAAAAGCCCCCCAAAAGGACAAAATTTGATCGGTCGATTTTTTCCAACGACGCATTTCGCGTAGCTATTTGCGTGACCTCAAAGTACTAAAAATAATTCATTACACAGTTAATTTTGTTTTTACACCAGAACGCTTAATAAAACAATGACACCATCAGATGTATCGTTATTTGTCAATGTTATAACGGTCAGTAAACCAAATATATCCAATAAAAGTTTGTATAATCAACAAAAAAATTCGGAAACGAGTACTATAGATTTACTTTCGGACACTGAATGGATGCAATATGAAGATGAGTACTTTAATTCACAGTTTTTGCATTGATGTTGCAATTTGTAGTATAGCGGTAAGGATGGATTGAAAGGGTGGAAAGTCGAATGAAATTATTTTTTCCAATATGGCGACTAGTCAACTGACCATATGATCCTCTTTTCACATGTTGTTTTCACAACGTTATGAGCCAATACTGTACAATGATAAAAAAAAAGCTGATATATAACGTTTAAGTATAGACCAATCGTTTATGATACTTTTTTCGTTCAATCGGACGTAGATTTGATTAATATAGCGATTGAAAAACATGGATATCAACATGCTAAACCAATGGGGGGAAAACAAAGAATTTGTTCCCCTGCGAATTGCATCATGGGTAAAATTTTGTCCATGACTTCCGTGTCTCCTCGTTTGAAGAGCGAACCGCGAAAGGGAGAAGGTTTACATAAAAGATCCTAGTGCGTACTCGTATCGACATTCTCCAGATCTTCTCGAGTCGTTATATCCTCAGGGTCAGCTCCAGTATTATTGTAAACACCTTGATATCCTGGACCATTACCATACGTCAGAGTTGTGTAGGGTTTGTCATCAGCTGCATGAAAAAATGTTTTGCCTGAAACACATTTATTCAGATAAATTATTATGAACAAAAACGCAACAAATCTCTAATAAATTCATAAAATCCATTATGCTATGAAGCGTTTTCAGGTGCATCAACTAGGGGTTTAGGATGTATAAAACATACAACTTGGTCTTTTTATATTGTACGATGGAACAAACCAAATCTCTAACAATTTCTATCACCTACACTGGACCTACATCTAGGCCCCGCTGACATCGCGAGCAATGAGCTCATGTTAGAAGCGGGGCCTTGAAAGATAAAATAAGATAAAATTGAAATATAATTTTTTTTTCTCTGAAACTTTAGTAAGTGAAACTCAGTACATCTTTATTTCATAGCACAATGGCTATTTCAATTGCAGGGCAACGACGCTCATCAACTATAACTATATTTTATCACATCTCTCAAGGCCCCGCGAGCTCATTGCTCGCGATGTCAGCGGGAATTTGCTCGCGATATGCAGGGACTGGATAGTCACCGTGACCTAGCAGCGTGTATTTGATCGATATCGGATTTATATCGAGCAGATTATGACATAATCTGCCTACCCAAAATGGGATTTCCTCTTTCACTGTATCCACCAAATGCCAGTACGTGTCCATGATCAGCGGTGACTACAATAAGAGTATCATTTTCGCTGGTCATGTTGACAGCGGTCTCAACAGCACGATCAAGGGCAATTGTCTCTAGAAGGGCACGTGCTGCCCTACCGGCATGGTGTTCAGCGTCAATAAGTCCACCTAGAGAAAAAGATAAGTACCACGTTAAATGATAAGACTATAGGGAAGTCTAACGAAATGTATCAATGGATTAACTCTGGTTTCTGAACACGATACAAATCCTAACATTATATTATGATTACATACTGTACCCTCTACTAACAAGAAGAATCCATTTTCATTTTTGCTTAGTATTTCGATTGCTTTTTGTGTCATTTCAGAGATCGATGGCTCTCCAGCGATGTCACCACTTATTCTGTCAGCATCATTATGCATGCTCTTGCGTTCAAACAAACCTAAGAGTACAATTAAAATTATATTTAAGATTGTAAAGTTTGTAAAGATTTGCCCTCACATCGACATTACTTTGTTTGTGAGAATGAATTTCAGAACATACTCTTTTTGTTCACGTATTGGTAATTATTGAAGGAGAGGAGGCAGATGATCGAGACATGTATGATGACATGTATAATGACATAACGCACAAATGGAGGAATATGTATCAAGGCAAAAAGTGACATTGTGGGAAGTCTTTACCCATAAGGTAATCTGTGTTTGCTGGGTCCACCTCATTGAAGGCTGATATATTCCAAACATAGGCTGGTCTCTGATTGATACTCAACTTATGATCGTACCATTCCTAGAAATAATGCAGCTATTATCATTGTTCCACACCTGCGGATGACTCTACCTGCAGTTAGTATCATTCACGATGGTGGTCAAAATTATTTTGTCTTTGATAGACCAACGATAGACCAAAAAACGTTCCAGTTATAAAATATATACTGTGCTAAAGATTATGAAACGATTGGACTGGCCGTCATTCGTATGTATGTTGAAGTTTATTGGTTAGGCCTACCTGAATAAGATCTCTGCCGTCCTCTCTGAAACCAAATTCCAGGGGATATTCCGGGTCCTCTTGGTTCTCATTCATGAAGTACGAACGTCCACCTCCCAATATGACCTGCAGGTGAATTTTGAATCAGGATTAAATTTAGGGCCCCCAAAACCAAATTTGGGCCCAAATTTAAGGCCCATTTTTGATAATTTGCTCCCCCTATGGATCCGCCAGTGGGTCTTCTATGATTTTTTAACCGATTGGCTTCGTATGACCTTTCTAAAAAAGCTGCAAACATCACTAGAAAGCCAATGCCTTGCTATTACATAGATCAAGCAAAGGTGATCTCAACTACCTATAATAAATAAAATGGGACACATTTAAAAGAGCTGATATGAACCAAATGACATGAAAATTAAGGTAAGTTTATACATTACTGTTCATGTAAAATCAAATTAAACAATGCAGGTTTTCATAATTTTTTCTCACGGCAAGATATGTGAAGCATTATTTCTGTTTTTGAATTTGAATTTCTTATAATTTCTCTGATTTCATTGTACAATTCTTTATTTCTTATTTTCTATGATTTTACTCAAAACTTGTAAAATTAAGAGTGTTATTTGTAGCCTGGACAATTTTCTTTATGTTAGGAATAAAATTGTGATAATAATGTGAATTATCTTTTCTTATCAAAGCTGATCTTTTGATATACATGAACGACACATGGTTTATCCATGTGATTTAATTATGAAATGATACAAAGTGTCCCATGTTTTATTGCCCACCCTGAATATAAGCTTACGTTTTCGATTTTGTTAAATGAGTCCAACATTTTTCCTTAGAATAATCAATACAGTGCGAATCTTTCTACAATGCATCAATGCATTCATGTTTAACGACCTAATGATCACTACCTCAATATCAGTATTATTGACAACGAGTTGCTTTGTTATATCAGGACACTGTGTCTCTTCTGACTCTGGTACTTGATGATCTCCTTCCCAGCATCGACATGGGGAGTGTGCAAACGCCGCGGCTGGGGTGGCGTCAGTCGGTCTTGCTGTCGTGATCAAGCCAGCTGCTTTACCTGAAGGAGAACATTTAATTGAAGTTATGTTTCCATGAGCGGCTTAGAGGCAGACTGACAAAAATGCGTCCATTTGGGTCCAAGCACTGCGTTTCATTGCTTAAGTCTATGAACAATCTTTATCCAATCTTTCTATTAATACAGGATGTGGATAAGGACCTGTCATACGTATTTAACCATCACTTCCTTTTCCAGCACGTAGAACGGACGGCAAATAATAATGACAACTAGCTCATAACATTGACGAACCTTCTCTCTTTGACCACCTAAGAATTGAGTCCACCTCATGACCAGCGACAGTGTCACACATCAATGGGACTACTTCCTCGTCTACTCCTATCACAAAGATGCTCGTCTTTACACCCGTCAACATAGCATTGGCTGTTGAGGCCGAATCGGGGGTTTGTCCATTCACTGAATAAGTCTAGATTGAAAAAATGGTTTTAGGGTGATGTAAATGACCAGAAGACAGCAGCTACGATGAAGATATGCATTACTAAGTTTGTTTTAGGGTGATGTAAATGACCAGAAGACTGTGCACCACCTTCGTTTCATTGAAAGTTACCACATGATGAAAAGAGGGTCATTTTTACACGAAGACAGGTTCTAGTTTTTAAAAAATGAATTTTTCATCCTGTGCCATTATCATGGTAAAAATTCAGGTAGAATGAGTACAAAGGGTCTTCTGACTTTGCATATATTAGACCACTGATAGTAAGAACCATTTTCCATGTGTTTAACGTCTTGGTGGAAACAAAATATCACGTAAACTGGTTAAGCAAACTTTTTATGTTTCGTGGCTTCATTTAACACTTATTTCGTTTGGAATGACCTTGAACCCTTGTGCATTCTGGTCCGCCAAACGAACGAACATTAAATAAGGAATTAGCGCACTCGGGTTTGACTGTAAACCTCTTGCTCACTGTCGTATAAATTATGAATGTAGTAGTTTCTCACGGGTGTCAACGGAAAGAAACAGTAAAACCTGCTTTCCCGAACCCGGAAGTATGTCCTGAATCCGCTTCGCATGCCTTTGACTCTTTCTCCACTCTTGGGAGAAACCAATGCCGTGGAGAGATCTGGAATATCTCAAAGCGTGTTTTAATCACCCCCTAACGCACAATATTGGTGCTTTGCTAAGATTTAGGCCTACTTTTCAGGCCCGTAGCCAGAGGGGGAGCTGGGGGAGCGGAAGCTGGCCAGAAATTCTTTCAAAATCATGCAGTTTTTCACTATTCTGAGAATTTTTCACATTATTTTTAGCCAAAATTGTGAAAAAGCTCCCCCCCCTGGAAAAAAGCTCCCCCCCCTGGTAAAAGCTGGCTAGGGCAAGCTTTTACAAATGAGAGCCCCTTTTCGGTAATACAGGCCGAATATCACTAAATGGCCATACTCAAAAAACGAGGCACTGCCCGACCTCCCCTTCGGACTGAGACTCTACAGTGTAAAATGTCATACTTTTGCCAACATGCTGTGGGAAAATTTGTCCCAGCTTAGTTGATGTTCTTCCCCAGTTCCTCCTAACTGTTGTCCTCTGAGAATCCTAGCAGCCGACATCGTGGTGAGACCCATTCCGTCGCCAATAAATATGATCACATTCTTGGCGAGATTCGTATTAAGACCCCGGTTTGCGGCATAGTTGACTGTGTCTTGACCCTGTCGAATCCACTCAGCAGATCCAACCGACTTCCCTTGCATTCTAGCTTGTTTGTTCTCTTCATTCCGCTTCAAAATGTTTTCTTGGGCCATGCGAATCAGTTTACCGATATCGTCATTATTTTGAAAATGGGTTGGTATTCCTGAATATTAAAGAGGCATTCTTTTTTAAGGTGTTTAAACAATTTTTGTTTTTCAGTTCTCATTCCTCACATCGATAATGATGTATTCAAAAACAATCCTCGTCCACCTCATATCCCAAGTCAGTGGCGTAGGAACAATGTACGCCAAAACGCCAGTGCGTAGTGTTGAAAAGTGAGAATAAAAAATACTTTTTAACTTTCCTATGTTCTTTAGTCATATTTTCTCATTGTTTAAATTGTAAAAGTAGCCTAAAGAAATGTTTTGTGGATACCATATCATTATTGGTCTGTCTGGCAAATATCATTTAACAGATTGAATTCCCTTACCAACATGCTTTATTTCATGAAAATCGAGCCACTATTGACTGTCTTATAAATACAATTTCGCCAAATATTCGTGAATCGCGTTCTCTTCACGAATTTGAGAGGAAAGCTGTTTTTTTTTTCAAAAACTACTTTATGAATACCTTTGACATTTTTTCTGCATTTTCCGTAATGCTTATGCTAACTATGGTATCATATAATTATAATGATGAACCTCTTTAAATTTAGATATATATTTTTTTTATTCTCCCGTACCCCAATTTTTCAATTTCACTATCGATTTATATTCCGTCGCTATGCAAAATCATAGACACGAAATTATAGTTAAGTCAACAATTATCTATTTTCTTACTAAATCACTAATTGTTATTGGTAGTACTTTTTGAAATATGGATGTTAAAGACAAAAACAACTTGAAAATGCTGATTATTCAATTACACGTTCCATTGATTTCAGTTCTAGAAAAGCGATAACCTAGTTTTTTTTCATTTGACAAATAATAGATTCTTGTTTTATAACATTTTTTGGCATCCCCTAAGTCACGTTGACCTCGATTTGACCTTTGTGGTGGGTGTATTTATTTGTTTCATTGATCACGAATGCGTTTCTTTATATCAATTGATCAAACTAGTTTCTTTAATCTGTACGTATTGTATTGCACGGTACACGATGGAATCCGACAATACTATATATCTTCAGATCTTAATTCAATTATTCGAAAATGGTTAAAAAATCTCTAATTGTTTTTTGGAAATTGGTCGTCTCAATCGTTCGAGATATTAGCAAAGTGAGAATGATTTGTGTCGAGATTTAAAAGATAGGCTTTCCAAGGTGATTTTAAATGATGAAAATCATTCGAACATTTTAAAGCACATTAAAAAGGTATCGGGGATTTAAAGCTTGCATATGAAATCGAAACGCCAACCTATACGTATGACCAATCGCCCATACAAATGCATCGCTTAAGTATTTCCGTTCACATTTAGGTTGTGAATATTGCAAGCTTGAAATCTCTGTTACCATAAAATGACGTTTTACGAGCATTAAATAGGCGTTTTGATATAGAATATTGACACAATTGTTTCATATTTTTTGGCGGGATTTTTGGCGTAGTGTTGAATTTACACCTTCCTACGCCCCTGCCAAGTATAGAGCTATATATTTGCTATGTCAGTGACATTGTCCCAGAAAATATGAATTTTGTTTTAGATAGCCTTAAAAGACACATAGATCAACGTCAATGCTATGTATAGGTCAGTAATAGGTTAAATCTCGAATCCAAGGTCATACATAAACTCCAGGCAACTTGTTATTAAATTTAAAGCGAATTTGACCTTGGAATTTTTTTTAATTTTAATAAACTTTAAAATGCTAATATATGTAAGGCCTTTAGAGGAATTCATATCCTGGCTTTCAACGAAAATTATTGTCGTACTAGAATAAAACTACCATGTACACTTCCATGATCAGTCTTTTTAAACGTAAAGTGCCTCTCAATTAATAACAAATTATGAAAAGCAATTACTGTCTGCTAAATTTCCGTCTGACACTCAAAAGCAGTATTGGCGTACTAAACTCACCTATGTCACAATTGTCACCTGTATACCCAGGTTTGCATACACATGTATAACTATAGACTCCATCAATACATGTCCCTCCAGGTGAACAAGGGTCCGGTGAGCAATCATTTATATCTGTAATGAGGGAGATGTTTATTTACTTACTAAATTGATACAAACTTTGATTCAGTCTTGCCACCCCACCCTCCCTTAAAATCATTTTTATTTACAGCAATCTGATAATGAACTTGTACCCCATAATATTTAGACTAACAGATGTATTATCAGAAGGGACTCTGCGGGACCCCATTTGACTCGATGTCGCACCATTGGTCAAAGTCGCACTTCCACGGAATTATGGATCAAAATGGCCGCAGCAAAACCTTTCTGTGGGACACGACAGTGCAAGGTGGGGCTCGATGGGACAACGGGGACAGTGTCCCATGACAGTTCGTGAGACTCGATCGGGCACGGTGGGATTCGATTCATATGCGATAGGTGGGACCTCTTTTGTTTTGATATTCTTAGTACCATATTTGTCAAAGTTTCGGAATTCGGTCTAGAATCATCGGTAACACCCCAGTCACATTTGTCGTACGGAGGCCGTGCGTCGACCGCAGATCAATTAATCAGTGTATTTCTGCGGCGAGCGTAGGAAAACTACGCTCGCCTTGCGGCCTCCGTACGGCGTATCCAGTTTTTTACAGGCCGCAGGGTCGCCGTAGAAATTATAACTCGGAGTTATAATATTTGTTCATTTCTGAGGTCCCCGTAGAAATCAACTGGCTTAACAAGATTGAATCACTATTTGTCAATGTTTCACGATCACTTTTCATTTGATATTACTATGAATAACATTTATAAATTGTCCCGATGTAAATAAAATGAAAAAAGTATTATTTATCAACAGAAATTAAAAATTCACCGTACGGCTGCCGTGGGAAATGTGACTGCAAAAGTATGAGTGCGCAGAAATTCCACGGCGAGCGTAGAAATGTTACTGGCCCCAGAAATGATAGACCGCAAGGTCGCCGTAGGAAATGTGACTGGGGTGTTAGTTCCATTACAACCCAGTCACATTTGTCGCACGGCGGCCGTAAGTCGACCGCAGATCAATTAAATCGGTGAATTTCTGCGGCGAGCGTAGGAAAACTACGGGCGCCTTGCGGTCTCCGTACGGCGTATCCAGTTTTTTACAGGCCGCAGGGTCGCCGTAGAAATTATAACTCGGAGTTGTAACATTTGTTCATTTCTGAGGTCCTCGTAGAAATCAACTGGCTCAACAAGATTGAATCATTATTTGTCAATGTTTCACGATCACTTTTCATTTGATATTACATCCTAGCACTATGAATAACATTTACAAATTGTCCTGATGTAAATAAAATGAAAAAAGGTACTATTTATCAACAGCAATTTAATATTCACCGTGTGGCTGCCGTGGGAAATGTGACTGCAAAAGTATGAGAGCGCAGAAATTCTACGGCGAGCGTAGAAAAGCTACTGGCCGCAGAAATGATAGACCGCACGGTGGCCGTGGGAAATGTGACTGGTATTTTTCATTTCTGCGGTGCCCGTAGAAATCAAGTGTCTCAACAAGATTGAATCATTATTTGTCAATGTTTCACGATCACTTTTCATTTGATATTACATCCTAGCACTATGAATAACATCTATAAATTGTCCTGATGTCAATAGACTGAAAAAAAGTATTATTTATCATCAGAAATTTAAAATTCACCGTGCGACTGCCTCGGGAAATGTGACTGCAAAAGTACAGTATGAGAGCGCAGAAAAATTCTACGGCGAGCGTAGAAAAGCTACTGGCCGCAGAAATGATAGACCGCACGGCGGCCGTGGGAAATGTGACTGCCATGGGGTGTTAATTCCACATATCGAACCATGAATATTCAAAATTCCGTGATCGAAATTTTACATTTTAATCAACGATGAAGTATAAACATATAGCCAGTTTATCGAATCAGAAAAACCAGCCGAGTTTAAGTTCATTTGCATTGCGGAGCAACATAGTATGATGCATGATTGATATGATACCTGTCTCGCAATGATCTCCAGTAAAACCACTTGGACAGATGCAAGTATACCCGTCCCCTTCTTCAGTACATGAACCATCGTTAAAACAAAGGGATTGTTCACAATAATCTGAAAATATATTCAAAGCCGTGTAAAAAGACTGCATAGTCGTTAAAGTGGTAATGAAACAGCTTTACTTGATTTAGATTATGTTCATGCAACCCTATCTTATTGATGAGCCACATTTGTTCCGATTCATCGGCTTGAGCCAGGCCGCTCTGTAGGCCTAAGTCTGCATATTCGGAATTTTGATGCAATTCTCAATAGTCACATCTTATTTTTCAAATATAATCACTCCTTCCAGACATTGTCTGCATCTTTCAATTTTGCACAAAGAATGCACTAATGTACCTAGAATTGTAAAGAATATTTTTTTCATGAATTGGATAAAAACTGAATTTTCTAGTTTTTTATACATTTTACAAATGTGAGGAAGGGGTGATTGATCTTTGAAAAATAACATGTGGCTCTATTGAGGATGGCATCGAAACTCAAAACATGCAGTCTGACCTTAATGTTTTGTTCAAAATTATATTCAGTTTTGAATAAATACTCAATCTGAGGAAACATATTCAGAATTCTAAAATAAAGCTACCTTCACCGAAATTACACTTGATAAGAAAAAAGAATCTGTTTTGAATAAGGCTCGGTGTGATTTTATTTTTAGACAGCATCTTTTGATTTATAATTTTAGTATTATCGATATTCCAAACTGTTATCGTGGCTTTTGTTGTACTTACTGATCGCTAGACACGTTGCATCTGATCCATCCCATCGATATTGCCTGCCGTGCTTTTCACAGACTCGAACACGACTTCCAACCAACTTGAAACCTTTATCGCAGCTAAACAAAGCATATTTCTTCACCTTACTCGATCTGATTACCAACTGATTACCATTTGGAGGTGATTCTAAAGGTTGACAACCTGGCCAAGAATACATTAGGGTCATTCAAAAACTTTTAAACACTGCATGTCAATGAAAGATGGCGAAGTCGTTTGTATCACATCATTTATTTTTTATAGATGTGTCGCCATCTTTTGAATCAAGAGTTATATAAAAACATGAACTTTGTCAGAATGGGCATGCACTACTAAGAATCTCTGAACTTCAAATGCTATTTTCTACGTGAGCTTTTTTTCTTGGTTCAATATAAATATGCAAATCAAGCTTTGTATCATATTTGATTAAGTGTGTAAATAACATGTTTCAATATCATATAAAGGATTGGTATCGATATGGCGATCTGAATTCAACATTGTTTTTCTATTAAACCAATTATTGAAAACATTCTGCAAAAACACTGATTGACAACAATTTGATGCGAAAATTATTTAGATATTTTTTTATAATTGTTTTTGATTTTTAGTGCAATTTATTTTTGTTCCTTTCTACCAATTCTTTCCGAATCTTGTTGGAACAGAATAGCATATACAACATTTTCTTAGACCTCTCAATATTAAAGTTATACAAAGGAAACTTTGATTTTTATTTCATTAACAAGATACTTTTTTAAATCAACCAAACTTTCCTATGTACATTACACTACATTGACAGTTTTCCAAATGTTGTGATCGTATTTTATTTTAAGGGCTTTCCTGTAATTTCTTGTATATGAGGCCTAAAAGATAAGTGCTCGTCTAAAATTATTCCCAAGTGTTTGTGGTGACCTGATCTATAATTTGTGTATTGCTTTGAAAGACAGGAGGGTTGTTTCCTTCTAGACCCCTTGAAATTAATTTCTACACTTTTTGAAGGAATTGAGAATTGACTTCCATTTAAGGAACCATTCTGAAAGTTTATCTTGGTCAGATTGAATTTTTTGTGGAGATCAAAGATGATTTTTTGTCTGTCACAATGAAGAAAAAAGAACCTTCAGCATACAGATATAATTGGCTATGATTAATGGGTGACAGGTCATCTCAACCCCAAGTCATCTCAACCCAGTCCAACTCAACCCCAAGTCAAGTCTTTTGTTGAGTTTTACAGGGTTGAGTTGACTTGGGGTTGAGTTTTACTGGGCTGAGTTGACTTGGGGTTGAGATGACCAGAAAGCGATTAATGCATATCTTGTTGCATCTCTTGTTACATTGTGAACCTGTCCGAACCCTCCTTTTGATAGAAAGTCAAGCCTTCTTCTTAAATTGTACAACTATAGTTTTGCAGACAATTCTATCATCTTTTCAGATTCTAACTTTAGAATAGCATTGGCCAAATATTATCATATGCACCATCTAAATTTGCACTACTGAATATAGCTTGACGTGCAATCTTCTGATTCTTCATCATACGTTTCAAAGCCTTTGGCCCTTGGTCCAATGTTTCACTATATTGCCCTTTGAATATGAGGCTATTCACGGTCCCGTTTACACCGTTCCGTATTAGTGGTTTTGTTGACATTATTACGGAATAAATCATACCATTTCGAAAACTGGTGACATTGTCCTACGGAAATTGAGATTATGTTTCACAGCAAGTTCGCACGGCGATACTGTATAGCACATACAATGTACTCTAGGTAATTGATCTACTTTCTATGGACACCAAACACATCTCTGTCGATAGAATAATGAAAAAGCCTTAGGGTCCCAACCTCCTTTGTTTATATTTACAAAACGTTAAAAGATGACAAAAGATGTCATAACTTTTTAAATCTTAAACTCTTGCAACCGATTTCACAGCGACAGATACTTTAGTCTTGTACGAAGCGAACATGTCAGTTTGGTTCGTAATATCTCCAAATAAACGATTTCAACATTTTAAAAAACAGTATCGCCGTGCGAACTTGCTGTGAAACATAATTTCAATTTTCGTAGGACAAGGTCACCATTTTTCATGAAATTGTATGATTTATTCCGTATTAATGTCAACAAAACCACTAATACGGAACGGTCTAAACGGGACCGTGTATTAGTATATTAACCGAATGAAGATGTATTTGATTAATCTTACATAATCGAATAAAACAGGTTGTGAATTTAAAGAACCAACCTGAAGAACATGTATGAGACGTGTATTCAATAAATATCGCCACTTATTTGTAGAAATGTGAAAATATTCTTATATTCACAAACCAACGATCCCCCTACCTTTAAGCATTTTGTCACGTCGGTTCCCACAAACGCAATCTGATATCATCAACACGGTCAGTATGGCCGTGAGCTTGAGTAGCGTCAGTACGTCCATCTTCTTAGTTCCTGTATAATTATTCTGGCCTCGTTAATAATAATTCACATACTATTACAAAGCTTCAATAGAAAATATGATTTTAATTTTCAAGGATTATTAGACTCCAGATTTGATTGGTTTTGTCAGTTTTATTCATGAAAATATACAGTTCAAGCAAACAATAAGGTATCTAATGTTGAATCTGGATATTAGAAATTTCTTAACATTCTAAAGGTATCAATATTTCAGAAGCAAAGAAATAAAATATGCCAAAGTATCCATTGTATTCTTGCCAGTATTCTTCTACTTTCTTTTTCCTCTTCCACGCAAGTTTTCTCGGCAACTAGAAGAGCTTACTCTCCGCAACTTACAGGGTTGGTTTACAAATGTGTCTTCGATAATTGGAAATTAGCTCAATTTTTTTTTATCTAGGTCAAAGGTCAAGAACTAGATCAAATCTTGAGTTTTCACTATTTCACGACTTTTCTCAATTGTCCTTCAATATTTTGCTCCGGGTCTTTTTCATCATGTTTCTTGGAAAAAAGGCTAATTCCGGAAGGTAAATCGTTTTCTCTTTAGAGACACGATTTTAGAACAAAAATATAATATGGTCAAATATGGTCACATTTACCTCAAATGCCCATAAACTGATGAATTTTAGATTTTCATATAAAGAATCATCCCTGAAAATATAAAATGGATCCTTCAAAAGGAGAGCTTGAAAAGGCGTGTACAAGACTTTACAGAGAAGAGTTTTGGACGGAAAATCCAAAATGGTCACCAACATTTGCCCAGTATACCTAAAACATAATCAGTTTGAGATTTTCATATGAAGAATAATCCCTGAAAATTCGACATCGATCAATTTCGAATGGTGTAATAATAAGCCATTATTTTTTCAACAAAATATTGGAGTTAAATGCTTTTATATATCCAGAAGGATATCAAGCTGATTAGAGTATATTGTATTAAATGCATGTAAATTACTACTGAATAAAAGAAATAAATTAATAAAATAAATATCATACATCAAGAATAAGACATACCATTTACCCAGAATGCCCAAAACCTAATCAGTTCTAGGACTATGCTAAGAATCATCACTGAATATTTTAAATCGAATCGTGATAAGACTTTTTTCGATGGAAAATCCAAAATGGCTGGTAAGCGCACCTCAAAATCTACCTTGCTTAAAAAATTTGACACTACAAGGCCTATGTCAAAATCTTGGTCAAATTGATAGTTTTCCTTATTTTTGCGATTCTGACGCTACACTTTAATCATATTTTTCGTAATTTGATGTACATATAAAAAAAGAATGCTAATAGTATTAGCTTTTTGCCGTCAGAAAGCATTTTGACCCATTTTAAGATATGGTGTCCGAAAAGTAGGTCAAAACATAAGGCTCTCATTTAATGTGTGAGTTATGAAAGAATTGTAGTATTTTCGCAGCCAGAGAGTATTTTGACCTATGTTTGAGATATGGTGTCTGGAAAGTAGGTCAAAACAAAAAATTCTCAAAATTCAACGTTTGAGGTGTCAAAATAATGGTAAATTTTCTCAGGATTCCAAATCTGACATCAGAGTGCATGACGTTTTAAAATCTCGAAAAGTCGATATGATGATATCCCTTGTTAAGTCAATGGCGCAAACATGATTAGCTACCTACTTAGCTACTTATTCAGCTACTTACTCAGCTACCTACCTAGGTACTTACTCACTATTCAGTTACTTACTCAGCTACCTACCTAGGTACTTACTCACTATTCAGCTACTTTACTCAGCTACCTAATTAGCTATATTTATGTCAATCCAATCTGGAGTCTTAAATTGAACTTGTTCAATTGACGATTCGAGTTATTCAACATAAAGTAATGAAGTCATTCAGGCATACATGTCATGTAAATACAAACGTGTTATCTGTGTTTATTTATGTTATATATTACAAATTATTTGCACTTAGAAGATGACACAATCGATTTGAAACAAATATACAAGGTGTTTAAAAAGTACTAATATATAGCCATTAACTTAATACTGCATTGGTACTATACACATTTTCACAAAATGTACACTCCCCTCCATAAATTTGGCAACCTTAGCTCCCCCATTGAACTTCGTGTTAAAGCCTGCGATGAAAATACCTATAATATTGATGAAAACGTAATTTGACTTAAATTTCCAATACCTCCAAATTTTCTTAATTTTTTCCTCGATTACAATAGGTGGAAAATTTATGATAATTTTTGAAAATCGACATTCCCATGTTAACAAATGGGAAATGGTAGGTTTGCCGCAAGACGACAGAATATTCACCCATCCGGGTCCTTGCAAAAAATACAAGTTGGTAGGCAATTGAATTTTCTAACTTTATTTAAAGATTCTCGCAATCTTTATCCAATCAGCGTTTGCGAGTGTGTCTGCTCACGTATAAAAGGCGAATCCAACTCAAATCCATGCAGGGGTGTATGAGGTACTCGAATAGGAAAGAGCTCGTGAACTCTGAATTTATATGCACATGGTCAATGTTTACACATGTTTGGAGTTATTGAAGAAAATGTGATATGGGTGTGGTTCCGAATTTGAAGTCATTATTGGAAAATATGATTTTAATACAGGGTGTTAAAAAAAACGCAACCCAAAGAAATCGCTATATCTTGAAAAATACTGGTTCAATTATGTTCATATTTTCAGGAAATAAAGAAGAGACTGTGTATGTATAGCTCCTGTAAATGGTTAGTTGTAAAACATGATGCCTTGGACACCTGCTCAAAAGACAGTTGTACTAGGAAAATATGAAAAATGCAGTCAGGGGTGACTGCAACCGCAAAAAATTAAATAACTATCTAACCATAGTGTTTTGGCTCTTCAAATTTGGCACAAATCATCTTCATTCACTGTTTGTTAAATCTGTAAAGTGAAATCAAAATCACTTCAGGGACTTTACAGTCATGGTTGAAATGCTTTCAAATCGCAGTCAAACGCCCTGGTTCGGGGAGCCTTAAGAAGGCATTTTGACCATGACTGTAAAGTCCCTTGAGTGATTTTGATGAAACTCCACAAATTCACCACACATTGAATGAGGATAATTGGTGCCAAATCTGAAGTGCCAAAAAAACATGGTTAGAAATTTATTTGGTTTTATTGCTGTGGAAATATTTTTGCTGGATCTTCAAGTGAATAGATATCCTGATTACTGATTTACCCCGAACCGACCATTTCCCATTGGTTTAGATTGGAATGGCGATTTTCAAAATTTCATCAAATTTATCATCAATTGTCGACCTATTGTGATAGAGGAAAATACAAACTTAGCATGGAATAGTGGCAGGTACTATTCATATTTAAATGAGTTGCTCATAAAATTGTAGGTTAATCTGGTAGCCGACGCGTTAGTTTCATTCGCGAATACAAGGTTAGTTTACCAAAAAAACTGACAAAGATAACAAGACTTAAAACCCAGATTAAGACATATGTTTCACCCAATCATTTATTTGTCAATGAAAGCGAAAATTGAATACGTTGAAATATAGTGAGGCAGAGTCATTCTATGGACGGTTACAATGCATCTTGTTTTCTCCAACACAGGATGCATATGCCATTGCGTGTGCGACATAACTTTGTTCCTGCACCCCATAGAATAAATGCGCCATGGGACCATTTGCCATTACAATCACGTCCTCTCCACTGTGAGTCTCGGAGCTTAGTGGTACTGGACTCTGTTGGCGATAGTTGGAATCACCTATATCAGTGAAGCATGTAGTAAATTAATTGAGATGCATGCCTTCCATTTAGATGTATCGTTAATTCTGTTATGATACCCATAGCGTCTGATGCATATAACAATACTTATCTATTTGCTAAGTTCATAAAACGTACGTGTTCGCGGCCGAGGGGTAAATAATTTTGGACTTGAATAATTTTACATAGAAAAAATTCCTAGTGCTTACTCGTATCGACATTCTCCAGATCCTCTCGAGTCGTTAGATCCTCAGGGTCAGCTCCAGTATCATTGTAAACACCTTGATATCCTGGACCATTGCCATACGTCAGAGTTGTGTAAGGTTTGTCATCAGCTGCATCAACTAATGTTTTGCCTATAAAAACAACACATTTTATAGGATATGTTGTGTATGGTTTATAATCAGGTAAATTAACTAAGGTTTTAGGATGTATAAAATATAAACCTTCGCCTTCTTTGTATTGTACGGTGAAACGAACCAAATCTCCAACAATTTTTATCACCTAGTAGCGTGTATTTGATCGATGTTGCATTTACATTGAACAGATTATGACATAGCCTACCCAAAATGGGATTTCCTCTTTCACTGTATCCGCCAAATGCCAGCACGTGTCCATGATCAGCGGTGACTACAATTAGAGTATCATTTTCGCTGGTCATGTTGACAGCGGTCTCAACAGCACGATCAAGGGCAATTGTCTCTAGAAGGGCACGTGCTGCTCTACCACTGTGGTGTCCAGAGTCAATACGTCCACCTTTAAGGAAAAGATGATAACACGTTAAATGATATGAAGTCTACCTGTAAAGAAATGTATCAATGAATGGATTATTGGATTACCTCTGTACGATACCTAATATAATAGAGAGGTTTCGACACCGCTCTATTATATTAGGTTAAAATACTGTACCCTCTACTAGTAAGAAGAATCCATTTTCATTTTTGCTTAGTATTTCGATTGCTTTTTGCGTCATTTCAGAGATCGATGGCTCTCCAGCGATGTCACCATCTATTCTATCAGCGTCATTACGCATGCTCTGGCGTTCAAACAAACCTAAGAGTACAATTAAAAGCATTAAAGATGTTATAAGACATCGAGATTCATTTGTTTATTTCTTTATTTGTTTGTTTGTTTATTTGTTTGTTAATTTGTTTGTTTGTGAGAATGTATTTCAAAACATACTCGTTAGGTTCACGGATGAGGAATTTATGAAGGGGATCGGAGGGGGACAGATAGTGACACAAAATGTACAAATGAAGGAGAAGATAGTCATAAAACTAATGACAGTTTTTCATTTACCCATAAGGTAATCTGTGTTGGCCGGGTTCACCTCATTGAATGCTGATATATTCCAAACATAGGCTGGTCTCTGATTGATACTCAACTTATGATCGTACCATTCCTAGAAATAATGCAGCTCTCATATAGCAATAGCTGTAGCATGGACCTGGTACCTGTACTCATTTATAGGAGATGCATTTGCCCGGTGGTATCTTAAATGCATTTTGTCGCTTTATCAGCATTCATTACGCCCAGTTTGTTTGATGCTTCTATGATATGACCTTTATTAGTTTTACAGAAAAAACTGTGATGTGGAACGCCTCTGTAAGGGGAACACCTCTGTAAGATGGAACATTTTCGCCACGTCTGTCAGTGAAACACTTCTCAGTTATGAGACCCATTGATTGAGGTAAGCTTCTGCTAGTGGAATACTCTCAAAGTACAAGCACCACCATGCAAAGGCGTTCAACCCGTTTATGAAATCGTTACTGGACTTAAGTTAATGAGACGATTTGATGATACTAATATTTGAGTTCATTGCCAGAGACCTACCTGAATAAGATCCCTGCCGTCCTCTCTGAAACCAACTTCAAAGGGATATTCCGGGTCCTCTTGGTTCTCATTCATGAAGTACGAACGTCCACCTCCCAATATAACCTACAGGTGAACAACAATTTAACCTTAGAATTAACCACTGCTTCAGTAAGTGTATTAGTGATGTCTGATATTCATGGTCATAAAACGTGCACGGGACTCGTGCACGGGAATTTTACGATTTCTGCTCGAAAATTCAACTTTGCAAGATTTATTTCTTCATGAGAAAGTTTACTAGTATGATAAAATCTGTGACGCATTCTATGAATTTTTGAACCGATACGCTTCTCAGGTATGAGATCTATTAAAAACTCGCACACATCACCATTTTCAAATAATAGAAAAATAATACATTATTATAAAAATCTTTAGTTTTACTGAAATAAAGTGTGCACCTTTTTTCAAAATAGACATGAAAAGGAATGACATAAGCCAGAAATAATCAAAAATTGAAACATTTTTTATAAGGCTGCTCGCTAGATCTGATTCTCTCTTTAAAGATTCTCGCAATCTTTATCCAATCAGCGTTTGCGAGTGTGTCGGCTCACGTATAAAAGGCGAATCCAACTCAAATCCATGCAGGGGTGTATGAGGTACTCGAATAGGAAAGAGCTCGTGAAATCTGAATTTATATGCACATGGTCAATGTTTACACATGTTTGGAGTTATTGAAGAAAATGTGATATGGGTGTGGTTCCGAATTTGAAGTCATTGCTGGAAAATATGATTTTAATACGTGAAATTATATCTATAAATACAGCACTAAAACTAACAGTACACATGAAGTACATGTATGATTGTGTCCAGAAATGTTTGAAACCCTTACAGAAAATTCTGTCTGCATATTGTCACCATTGCTCTTTCTTCCCGCATTCTAGTGCTGTTTGAATGAATATATTAATTAATGTATTTCTAACTAAAATATATCACATTTTTTTATAAACCACAAACATTTAGATCATAAAAAAATCCAATACTTGAGTGAGCACGATATGCAAGGGTTACTAAGTTGATACAGTAAATGACCACTGATATTGTGTTAGCAAATATGTATTAGCAGAATACGCTGTGTGCGTGGACTAACACCCCTCACTTTCATAGTGAAGTGACTAATTGGTTTATGTTTACGTTTTAATGTGTTTTGGTTTCCTTGTTACAGCAAGGGGGGCCAGTAAAGTAGACTAACATGTTTGCATGGCAAATTTTGATCGAATATGTGAGACACTTTAAATGAGTTTAAAACGTTTAAAAAGTGATCAAAAATAACCAATACAGGGCATGAAGAGGGGTTGCGTGGAGGAGAATTGATATGTCTTATATCTATAAGGTAGCTGGATCAAATCATTTGCAAGAAATTTTTCATCAAGACCTAATGATCTACCTCAATATCAGTATTATTGACAACGAGTTGCTTTGTTATATCAGGACATTGTGCCTCTTCCCACTCCGGTACTTGATGGTCTCCCTCCCAGCATCGACATGGGGAGTGTGCAAACGCCGCGGCTGGGGTGGCGTGACTCGGCCTTGTTGTCGTGATCAAGCCAGCTGCTTTACCTGCATGGTAAAAAGTTATCACAGCTCAATAAATGGGCAAACAGTCAGAAAAGAAATGCCCCCACTCCGATCCATTACTTTCAGTTTCAGTTGCAAATAGAATGGGCGGCAAATAGTGATCCCAAGCTCATAACATTGACGAACCTTCTCTCTTTGACCACCTAAGTATCGAGTCCACCTCATGGCCAGCGACAGTGTCACACATGTACGGGACAACCTCCTCATCTACTCCTATCACCCAGACGCTCGACTTCACACCCGTCAACATAGCATTTGCTGTTGAGGCCGAATCGGGGGTTTGTCCATTCACTGAATAAGTCTAAAAAACATAAAACCTCTATTATGAAAATGAAAAGCCCATTTTATTTCTTCAAATATGCAATGGATATGAATTATTTTTTGATACAATGGGGGTGAGAGGTTTTCTTCAATGATGCAATTTGCTTTTGTTATCTAATAATTGGTCCGCACGTCCGTCGATAAATCTGCAGATCTGCACACTTTCGGATTAAAAAGTGAGATTAGATCTGAATACTGGTCTGGAAATTGTCAAATGGGGCTCATTTGCCTTTTTAAACTCGGGCCCACTTTTGAAACTGTGGAAAATAGAGATCAAAATTTCCAAACAATGAGTAAAAACGCCCTATTTTAGAATTAAGACCACTAGGCCCCGCTAGCTATCCCCCAGACCCTCCAGTGTAAAATGTCATACTTTTGCCAACATGCTGTGGGAAAATTTGTCCCAGCTAAGTTGATGTTCTTCCCCAGTTCCTCCTAACTGTTGTCCTCTGAGGATCCTAGCAGCCGACATCGTGGTGAGACCCATTCCGTCGCCAATAAATATGATCACATTCTTGGCGAGATTCGTATTAAGACCCCGGTTTGCGGCATAGTTGACTGTGTCTTGACCCTTTCGGATCCACTCAGCAGATCCAACCGATTTCCCTTGCATTCTAGCTTGTTTGTTCTCTTCATTCCGCTTCAGAATATTTTCTTGGTACATACGGATCACTTCTTCACTGAATGTATGGTCATCATCATCCTTTTGAGAATGGGTTGGTTTTCCTGAATTAAAAAGGCACTCTTTCTTAAAGGCGCGTAAATAATCTGTGTATTGCTTTTCAGTTCACATTGCTCGCATAAGGTATCATGAAACAATCGCCGTCCACCTCATATCCCTCTATAAAGTTATTTGCTAAGGCAGTCACATTGTCTCAAGATATAGATGAATTTTGTTTTAGTAAATAGCCTTAAGGACACATACACAGTCAATGATATATGACATAACAATTTTAAATGACAAATAGGGCCTACCTCCGTATGCATGCGCGGCTAAAGTTACCACAAGTAGCAGGGTAATGACTCTAGAAGACATGTTCGTTCGACCAAAACCTTCAAAATAAGTGAAGTGATTCATTTGCTGATGTGATATCTTGAATCAATAAAGACGCAGACCACCTGATGAATTTTTAAAGTTTTAGAGTTTTGGCGCAAATCTTTAGTGAGCACAGGGCTACATTTAACTTCAAGGAGCTACTTTACATAAATACCAATGCCATGATCTTTTGGCATGGTTTTGGACCCGTTTTTCAAAGATAATACTTGCTAAACGATTATGGTTACGGAGTTGGTCGACATACTTAATTAATATTCATTTAATTATTTTATAAACTAGATTGTTACCAAATGGTAGGTTCCCATTGTAATCATCGATCACTAATGTTATATTTGAAAATAACCTTGACTTGAAGATTAAAATATATATTGCTGTTCACACCTCACAGGAGGGGCCTCCCTACCTGTAAGTGAGTATCTCCTGCATATCAAATTGACACTCCTCTGCCCGCAACTGCTATAAAATGCCTGTTTTATATGTAAACCCACTGAACTACTGTAGCATAGCTTATATTTTTGATTTTAAGAGAATAAAAATCATAGGTCGCCAACGTTTTTGTTACTGTTTAACAATGTGCAACAAAATCAAAATACATTAAACATGTCATTGTTTGGTCAGTTGGTATCGTAGCCGCCTCAAACGGTAAAACAAACCCCGGGAACAAACCGTTGGCCCTATGTTTTGTTATATCAAAATAAACATGAGAACACCTTATTTAGAATAAGCAAATAAAAATATACCACAATCCATTCGAAATTTGCGTAATTTTCGATTCAAAACGTGTGAAAATGAAATGATATATTTTTAATGGTAATGTTACAAAATTTGACAAATATTTTTGGGGTAGGGAGTGAAAAAAGTAAGAAAAAATGTCCTGAGTGTACCAATATTCAAACCAACGTAATTATGTATTAAGGAAGTTTATCTAGGCTCGACAAAAATCGCCAATACTCTCTAAATCATCATTCGAAGAAATAGCGACCAATGGTAACTTCAGTAATCTAGGCAATCCCGGGGTATCACAGGAGAGGAAAACTTAGGCCCATGTTTAACGACCGTCTAGAACATGTTTCTGCCTCTCCTGACTAATAGCCACTCACTCAGTTACCGTCGCTAGCAAATAATTTTGAAAACTCATTATTTCAAGGCTTTCAAAGTTCTTGAATAAAGAATACACTAGACGAAATGATGTATGTTTGGGGATTCCTCTTTACCTCACTTTGATTTTCGTGACGTCATTATAAACATGAAAGATGGCATCCCCAGGATCAAATGTCGGAAAATCTACTTTAGATAATGTTTTTGGAATCATTCCCGAAGGACACGAAAAAGCTTTGAAGCAGGCATTTTATAATACAGCTGCTACGTTGTTTGTGGTGCTTGCATGTACAGCTGCAGTTGCTGTTTACTATGTTCTGGAGATATTTCTGAAGCCTTTGATGTGGGCACTTTTATGCGGAGCTTTTTTGCATCCTTTCAAAAATACATTTTCAAAAAGTATACAGAACTGGTTGAAAGGATTAAGGAGCTCTGGTACTCCACTAGTTGTAGGTGTTACATTGTTGCCATTGAATCTCATTGACTCTACATCGGAAAAGTTGGGAGGTGCACTTCTCAAGCATCTCAAATCAATCATCTGCGTAGCAGTCGGATTGCCAGTTTTGTACAGTATTTATCAATTTGGCCCAGTGCAGAAGATCATAGATGTACTTGTCTGTACTTTCTACGTATCCTCAGATCTGATTGCCATATTTGGATCAAGATGGGTACGTGTGATGTTTTTATGATTTTCCAATTTCAACCCATGCACATGTTTTAGAGTATGTTAGTCTCAACTACATGTACAATGTACCTTCATTACTTCACGCCAGATCTGTTTTATAATACTTTTGATCAGTCAATATAGCTAGCATTCTGTCACAGGAATTTTACACATTGAAAATGATCACAGATTCAAAAATATTTAATGCAACTAAGTTATTCGATTTAGAAAATTGTAAAAGCTGTTTACCTTCTTCTAAGGCCACTGTTTCATGGCCTTCTATGAAAGATATATTCCTGCATGAACAACTGGTCATAAAATTTGAAATCATATGTCCGCCATTTTTCCACATCACAATTTGAATTGCGAGATTTCGTCTTATTACCTCACCAAAAATCCCAAAACACACATAAAGTGATCAGTGCATTAGTTCACATCTTCTGGATCGCTAACTTAGAATTTACAGCCAGTTACTAATGTCAGACGTTAACGACATTTCGTCCAGTTTTCGGACATCACCATTTTTCTTGGAGCCATTTTGTTTTAATTTTAGACGTAATCCTGATGAAATCATGTCATATCTCATCAAGGAGCCGAGCGGATTCCGTTTTAATTAATGATTTATTTATCTGGTGATTTTTAAAATATTCAATAAATTTATGACACAGCGGCCAGCTTTTTTCAAATGGAGTTCACAGTATTCCAGATGGGAATCACCTCTAGCCAATAGCATTTTTTGGCCAAAGTTGTCAAATGTGAATTTTCAAAAAGTGAATCCTGCCTTGGCAAATGCTGACTATGGGCATGCATGTACCTATACAATTTTCTAATCAAATAACTTAATTGCATTAAATATTTTTGAATCTGTGATCATTTTCAATGTGTAAAATTCATAATATTCCCATCTCTTTTATTTAAATTTGCCATCAATGTCTTGTGACTTTGGCAATTATTTAGTTGTGTACATTTGTATCTGCAATAAAATATTGATGATGATTAATAAAAAAAAATCATGAACTGCAAAAATGAAGCTATGTTTCCATAGCTAATATTTACGTTTATTTTGTCTGTTGTGTTCAATACTAGACTGGTATGTTTCAGTACAGCTACCAATAAGATACATGTACCTTGGTTAGTCTAGATCTAATTTGTTTCAGTATTTTGTGTGGAGTCTAGCAGTAGGCTACATTCTATTGGTGATATTCTATTGGACACCCCAGACAAGTCGTTTTCTGCGGTTGTTATCGATCCCAGTCTGGTATGTTATAAACAATATCTAGATATTTTAAGCTGGAATAATCCTATACCTTTAAAAGCAGTTTTCTTCAATTCACACCCTTTATTTATATTCTAGTTCGTTTTGAATCCTTCTGGATCCTTTGAAACATACTCAAATATGAATAAATAAAGGTTGTAAATTGAAGAAAATCATTTTTGTTTGAATTATGAATGATACCAACCTGAAGAACATATTTAATCCTGTACATGTTTCCAACCAAAAACAAATTTCCCTATTATTCCCTATATGATATTTTAAATGTAACTTATTGCTACCCTTTATAGATGATCATGCTGACATCTTTCTTCGCATAGCCACTATACTGTAGCTTATCCTGTGCATGTGCCCATACCACATTAATTTCCATTCTTTACTTTTAGGCTTGGTATCTTCCTCCACATAGCCACTGTAGCTGATCCACTACGTGTGCCCATATTAATTTCCATTCTTTACTTTTAGGCTTGGTATCTTTCTCCACATAGCCACTGTAGCTGGTCCACTACGTGTGCCCATATTTGTTGCTCTAGTCATTATGATGGTGGTGGGCTTTGTTTCTGAGGTCTTAGAAGCAAGGAGAGAACATAGTCAAGGTGAAATAGAGAAGTTTTTATTCAGGTTTTATAGCTCCTTGAAAGTTCAAAGAAGACTTTGAACATGCATATTTAAATGAAGTATCTGGGATAAAGAAATATTTCTTCATCCTAGGAAGTATGAAAAGCTAGAAAACTTCCCCAATCTTCAAATTCAGTCATTTGTCAATAATTTGGGGCTTATAGGATGGGCACTACATGTAAGTGTGAATCAGATATGTGATGATATCAGTTATATATAATAAGATTGATTTGTACTGATGCACTATTAGGGCCAAACGTACATCCAACAATAAAAAATTACAGTAAAAATATTTAAATGAAAAATAAAGAAGATAAGACTACATGTACGTTCTTTACGTATATTATGTATTAAGTTATGAATTGTATCTTGTATTGTAGAAACAGTAGAATCTGCTTCAAGTCCTGTAGGTTCAGAGATTCCCACCCCACAATCTCCCACTGTTTCTGCAGCCTTGAAGGTTTTATCAGGCACTAACCAGTCAGTATCACCAGGCAGCTCTGAACACTCAACAGAATCTAAAATCAAACCACCAGAGACAATAGCTAGTCAAGAGGCCACCAAATCAAACCAAGAATCATCCAGTAGTGCACCAAGTTTAAAGTTAAGTTCTCCAACTGGTGCTACAAGTAAGCTTGGCTCGCCTGGAAGAAAAAATCCTCCTCCATCAACTCTACCTTTAGAGATTCCCAAGGAGAGATCTTTACCCGATAAGTGTTTCATAGGTTTAATGTGGGCAATAGGCATAGTGCAATTATGGAAGAATATATGGGTCCTGCAGTTGCTACCTCTGCCATTCGCATATGTACTGGTGAAAAAAGCATGTGAGTGTTTGATTTCTTTAGTGATCAATAATATGATCTGAAGAGACACATTGTCATTGTTTACAATATCATTAAGCTACATATAGATCTAGCCTTGCCCAAGTCGGTATTTTTTTTACTTATCTGATCTTGAATTATTACCGGCGGTCATAATAGAAATCAAGATAGTAAAAGAGACCGACTTGGGCAAGGCTAATATAGATCCACCTCATACTTTTGATGCAATAGGCACCATCTCTATTATTCAACATTTAATGTGACCAAAAGCCATAAATTGGAATAATCAACCTATTCAATATATTCTGAGAGTGTTATTTAGAAATGGGTAAAATGTACCAAATAAGTCAATGATGATCCGTAGTCATCATGCAATGGGAGATCAAGTTCTTAAGTTTGCTTCTCTTTGTAAAGTATCAGTTTTCTGATCAGTATTTGCAAAAACCCTTTGATAATTTGTATTGTTTAATTTATGATATTTGAAGCCATAATTGCTGTCTTTGATTTCCTTTTCTAGGTGTGAAATTTGGATTGCTAGAGTGTCTCAAATTTGGTGATATGTGGCAGAGGCTATCCACCTGGGCTAAAGAACGCAAAGATGCTGTGGCACCTAAGCCTGTTAGAGGTCTCGGGAAACTTATCCTGAGGGGAGACAGGAAGGTAAGAGAAAGTAGAAATAATGGGCTCCTAATTTGTTTTTTAATATGTATATTGATAAATATGAAATATGTCCAGTTAAATGCTGTCAGATGCCTCCTAGTGTCAACTTTTAAAATCAACAAGTAAAATCCATTCCATTTCAACACTTTACACTGTACTAAATATATGTAAAACAAAAACAACTTGATTTCTAAAAACATTTGCAGATAGTATCAGCCATTGAGACATCTACAGATAAGTTCATGAGTGTTGTCATTATCCTGGCCCTTTTGGTTGGGGCAGTCCTCTTCACCATCTTCTGTGCTGTTCAGGTGCACCAGGAGAGCATGCACCTTGTCTCCATCACCAGCAATGTTATGAATAATTCACTACAGCCAGAGATAACTGAGTAAGTGGAACATTTTTAACATAAACTACTGGAGAAGTGAGTAAAGGCAACAGAATTACTTTGTATGTCTCACTACAATTTATACATGATTTGCTCCAGTCAGAGATTATGGAGTTCAGTTTAACATACTGTATAACATGAAATATTGCCGTGGATATAAAGTTGCTGATTGCCGAATGTAAAACAGAAACGGCAACATAAAATTCGGAATTATAATTAAGTAATTGAAGATCGATCTTAGTGAGCGATAATATGGTAGTTGTCTAACGTGTGTCAACTTACTGTAATTAGTGTTGTCGCGATGTGCCATAATCGTACATCGATGCATCAGCAATTTTCAGTAGTAAACATCGATGCACATCGCGATATACATCGAGAAAAAGTTCGAGAAAAGTGCACTGAAATACTGAACGCTAATGCACTAAAATATCGAACAGAACAAATTGCAAATTGTACGCTGGTACATCCGGGAACATAGTAACTGTGAATTGAAAGTAAAGTAATTTTTTAGATTAATGGTTCATTTCGACTAGCTAAAACAGTTTTAAAGCGAAAGAATATCTAATCAGAAAACATTTGAAAATGAAATAAGACATGAAAAAAGGTAAGCAATTTGCGTCAAAATAAGATAGGCTAAGATAAGAAAGGGCGATTTTTAGCAAATTAAAATTTTTCAAAAACATCGATGTTTTGTTTCAGACATCGATGCATCGCCAGAACCAGCTTTAGCGATGTATATCGCGATGTATCGATTAATCGCGACAACACTAACTGTAATAGGGTAATTTTCTAACGAGTATCAACTTACTATACTTTAACAAACATCATAAATAAAATACGATAAAATAGAAGCTTTTATCCCAGCATTACAATTACAATAAAAAAGTTAATAATAAAAATGTTGCAGTTAAAATGCATGCAGTAAATTCTACAAAATATTAAAAGGATTGTCATGTTAAAAAGTTAAAACGTCAGAAGATATAATAGTATCCAAGTGCTTTGGAAATCCCAGTATTAAAAGTTTTTAATCCCGTTATTAAAAGTTTTTAATCCTGGTATTAATTGTCCTGAGTCTATTGAATGCGGGTATTATGTGAATAAATCACTCAAATTGTCACTCATAATATCAGGATGTCAGGTTTTCTGAGTCAATCAAATGAAGGTGATTAAAATTCAGTTGTAAATCAAAATTATATTAGGGGTGTCAGCTTAGCAATATTTTATTTGGCTTTACATTTAGGGGTGTCAGGTCGGCAAACTTTTATTCGGCAATAACAATTTTAATCCAATTCGGAAAATAAAGCACCCGGATTTAATACATGTTATACAGTAAAACTACTGAGGAAGTATATTCCCAGGTGTCCTGACAGCACTACAACTCACAAATGAGTGGTTGTAAATATTTTTTGTGGTTGATATTAAATGCTACATGGATATGTAGATGTAGTAAAGCCAGATCCAGTGCCTCTTGTATAAAATGTGATAGTCTGCAGTGATAAACCTTTTAGTCAAATACATAATATACACATAATTGTCTCATGTATACATATCTTTTAATGTTTTCAAAAGTAAATGGCTGCCAAAGAGAGAGATGCAGAAAGCAATGGATTCTGTTGCTGAAAATGCTTATGTGTATGGTCGCCAGTGGTTAGTCGATAAGATAGATACCATGATTGATGGACAGAATGCCAATAAAACATTAATTGAGAAACAAGTGCTAGAACTATGGGATAGAATGTATGCAGCCTGGTTTAATAAGGTGAGCTATTGTCACTGTGTCATGATGTGTAATATCTCAGAGAAAAGTCACCAGTTTCATTGGAGAAAAAATGTATTTATTTCTCACTGGCAGAAATGTTGGCTGCGAAGCATGAAAAATTATCAGGAAATTCCTCACTCCCTCAATCACACCGTCATTGTTTGGCTGTAAAGTTTGAAGAGTTCTCCTTTATTACTAACATGGTTCAATGAACCTGAGGTGTAATAAAAATTGTGGGGAACAATTAAGTTATTAATGAAACACAGTAATACACCATATAAATACAGTAACTATGAATAAGTATATTTAATAATATGTGTGTGCTGATGTGATTCATCTTGTTTGTTATCCAGTAACATTGCCCCGGTTACATGCCCATCCAGGGTTCATCCATAACCCTCAAATTATCATATTTTGGCTTTATTTTAGACAACAAAGCTTGATGGCAATCATAAACCAGAGCTACAGCGTCAGATGTCTATGACGCATATCTCCAATATATGGGACATTGCTCACTCAGCCGATGCTTTCAACTTTGATATTGTATCCTTCGTCAAAGAAAACATTGGCATTGTCACATCAGTAAGTACTTGTACTTGTCGATTGATGACTTCATGGAATTTTCTCAAGCCCATTTGAATAAATGAAATTGTATTTTCCGTATTTGAACGAAAGTTTTGAAATTGTTTCGAAAGGAAGTAAAATTATTGTGTAATGAGTAAAGCATGTATCTACTAGAGAGTGATCTGGAATTTTTGTACTACAGTATGTACAATGTTAAACATATTTTACTTTGATCTTTGGACTTTGAAATAATCAATAATCTATGATCTCATAATCCTCAATGTAGTGATTTCCAAAATATTCAAATAGCAATTTAACAGTGTGTAGAATTGTAAAGCTAATATCAAATTAACTTCAAAGCTGTCATTAATAAGAAACAGCCATAAAGAACTATAAATATATTTGGAAATCAGAAGCTGGCATAGGTTCATGTTAGCCATTGTTTCTCAATTTGGGAGAGTCTGGATAGACATCCAGAGAATGTTCTGGGTTACATTCACATTAGTCTATTATAATTGAGTTTCTTCAGAATTATTTTTCAACCTTTAAACATATCATCTGGTGCTTTGTAGTGTGTAGAAACTATCTATGGTGTTTTAACTGGAGAATCTTCTATTCTTCGCTACATCTCTAAGGTTATTGTACTGTCTGCATGTTTGTTATTGTACTGTCTGCATGTTTGTTATTGTACTGTCTGCATGCTCTGAGTTTATGGATATTGTATTGTCTGTATGGTTGGTTATTGTACTGATGCATGATATTTTTGCATGGAGAGATCATATTTAACTCTGAAAATTTTTATTAAAGAAGAAAATAAAACAGGTATAACATGTTCATGATGAAAACAGTCTAGCTTAGGAAAACTTGCGTTTTGTTTTGACATTCGAGCGTGGTGTGTTTATTAATGTAAAGACATTAGTATCACAATGAAATCCGTATTATTTGATGCATAGTGGCATGTAGTCATCAGTAGTTAACATTGGTGAATGTTGGTATTCATGTTTAGATGATGTTATAAGTTGTTTTGTTTTAAACCTATTTTGATATATAATTTAATAATTACATGTATACAGGGTGTCCCGAAAGTATGCCCCCCCCCCTAGGCAGACATATACCAGTGTCGCCATAGTAAGTGTCATATATCATTTTAAAGCTTATCCAAAGTTACATTGATTCACCAAGTATCATGGTTCAAATCTCAAATGTCAAAATTTAGTGTTTGGTCAAAATTAAGTTCAATTTTACGCCAAATCACTAGTCAATGTGTCCTCCCAGGCCATTTTAACAGCAGCAATTCTTTTCGGGTCGGATGGATATTGAGTTGGAAAAAGAGAATGGTGAGGGTAGAAACTCTAAGGAAGGAAACTCTTCTAAAGTCCCTTAACAGGTTTTAAGAGGGTTATAAAATTCCACACTTCTATTTGAAGAGCTTTTAAGGTCATATCTGGAAATAATTGCCGCTGTTAACATGGTCAAGGGGGACACATTGACTAGTAATATGGTGTAAAATTGAGCTTTATTTTGACAAAACACTAACTTTTCAAATGACTGTAACTTTGGGAGTTAAACCATGATACTTGGCAAATCAATGTAACTTCGGACAACTTTAAAATGATATATGACACATACTATGAGGACACTGGAATATGTCTGCCTAGGGGGTCCCCATACTTTCGGGACGCCCTGTATTCATGGTTACTCTTTAGAATTGTACTTATTTGAGTTCCACCTGCTTTTGGTCCTTTTTATTATCCCTTTTATTTATTTCCTCAGTACCTGTCTTCAGAATCTTCAACTTCTGATTTGAGTTGTCATGACAATGTAGTGCCACATTTTCACATTACATGAAGAGGGGGAGAAACCTCAGGGTTCAAAGATGACATACGCTTATAATGTACATCTGTATTGAGATGACATCGTCGCTGATTGGTTTAGCGAGTCGATCATTGATTGGTTTAAAACTAGGTCAATTTGAAAACTTTGAAAACCAAGATGGAGGGAAGTATAAATATACGTACTTCCGGGAAAGGAGGTGCACGGAGGAGGAAATTGTATGTCATCAATTGAATCATGGGGTTTTCCCTCCTCTTCATTACATGAAAAGTTTTTTCCAATGAATGGACATAATCATCTTTAGTTTGATCACCCATAGTTTATTAAATTCATTCTATCAAATCCCTTTTATATTGTACCTTTACTCACTGGCAACATTGGAGATTAACTTAGCACAGTTTAATATTACCATTACTTTGTAGGTACTGGAGTCTATATGGATGGTCCTGAAAGGGAACGTGAATCTCTTGCTTGGTCTAGTCACCAGCAGTCTCTCAGTTATCCTGGGAGGAGGAACAGCTATACTCAACTTTGTATTAGCTTCGGTAATTTAACATTATTGCAGTATTTGTCAATAAACTTATTCTAAGGGGCGGGGTCAAAATATCGATGTTCATATGGAGACGAAAGTAATTTCGTTTGGACAACAACCCCCCCACCCCCCCTCTAGACGAAAGCTTAGGTCACTTCAAAAAAACATTGATTTATGAGAGGCATAATCGTATCCTATTTGCCGGGTTATTATTACGGTGAATTAACACACGTTCTCAATTTAACTGCATTGAACTCTTCAAAAGGAGGAGGGAAAAGTACGGAATTTATTTGAAAAATGATCGAATTATCGTCTTTATATACCGATATTTTGGACCTATCACACAAAAAAGCTCACAAACTATTGAAAACAAGCCTTTTTATCAGAACATAGCGCCAGAAAAAGTGGGTAAGTGCAATTATTTTTTGTATATTAGATCCGAATTATCGATGTTTTTTTGGTCAACGAAAGTGCCCAAAAACCCCCTCCCCCCTCGCGAAAGTACTTTCGTCTCCATATGAACATCGATATTTTGACCCCGCCCCTAAGGATGGCATCAAGATATCAATATTTGTTCAGGGTTTTGCATTAAAACATAAAATTAAATCAGACACAAATTACTCATCAGAATGTTTTATATTAGCTTTTATTATGATCTTTTACTACACCATGTAATACTTTTTGAAAATGTCCAATGTTCACATTTTTAATGTTTCATAGACATGTGATCAAGAGCCTGATCTTAAAATTTAAATGTTTTTTTATATGGCCATCATGATACATCTCGGTTTCTATCAGTTCCCCATTCTTTGCAATGCAGAGATACATGTAGTTGAGTATTAGAATGCTAAATGTCTGATTGCTGTTACCTTTCAGGTTGTATTTCTTACCACACTGTTCTACCTTCTGGCCTCAAGTGGTAACACCTACAAGCCTGTAGAATGGTTCAGTATGTTGAACCCTGGGGGTGGGGCACAGGGCAACAACATTGGCCAAGCAGTGGAGGAAGCTATCAGGTATAGGAACACCTAGATCCATGTTGATTGTTATGTCAACACCAGTGGTGACATTTTGTTGGGTTTAGGTCCCGGGGTTTAGGTCTTGCACATTGTATAGTGATTTGACTCATAGCTAGGTTGATGTGTGATATAACTTTCTAGATAGCACTATGCTATGACTATGTGCATATTGTATTCTGATATGACTAGTGTAGATTTTAGTATGGAGACATAAGTGTGGATAACCTTTTAATACATCTATATTGATTGAAAATTGATATAATTACTAGTACATAGATTTTATTATGTATATAGAATGCTTTGTGATTATTTTTTGAATTGCATTATGATGTGACTTTTCAAATTAGCAAGTGATATGACTCTTTGGTTGGGATTGGTATATGACTATTATTATGTAGTTTGATTTAACTATTGCAGATTAATTTATAATATGATGATCTTGATTATCAAGTTTTATGACTACTGTACATGAATGTAGATTTTATTGTGATGTGACTTTGTGACTTAAGTGATGCTACTTTGATAGACTGTCTTTGTAATTTGTCTTTTGACATTTTTAATAGATTTTTTAATAAAATGAAAGAATAAAATATATTGTATTGCATGTTGTTGAGTGTGATGTGACTGAGTGAATCAAAAGCATTGAAATGTTCCATGTTTGTTTTGCAGTGGTGTGTTCCTTGCATCCCTTAAAATGGCTGTATTCTATGGTCTCTATACATGGCTGATACACACAGTATTTGGTGTCAATATGGTCTTCATACCTTCAGGTAATCTATAAGCAACAGAGGGGGGGGGCAATTGAGGCAAAGTGTAAAACATTCTAAAACCTCTGCTTGAACTGTCCCCCAATGGGTTGCAGCATGATGTATTCAATTAGCAAGATGTGACAGCATGATGTAGATTTAATTAAAAGATCAACCTTTGAAGTTCATATTTGTTTCAAAGTTAAGTCTTTGTATAAAAATTTGTTTTAGTTATAAAGAAACATGAAAGTTGACCAAGAAGACAATGAAAAAAATTATTCAAGAAAAGAAAACTCAAAACCAACACAATTTGTAGAAAAACTTTGTTGTATAATTGTATAAGCATGGGCTTTATTGATATGGGCTTCAGCTACTCGTTTTGCTCATATGGAAATATACATGTACACTATTAAATCATGATAAACATGTAATGCGTTTGTTTTACATTTACATGTACTTGTAGCATTGGCAGCTATATTTGGTGCAATCCCATTCCTTGGAACCTACTGGGCAGCTGTGCCTGCAGTGCTTGAACTATGGCTGGTCCATCAGGAGGCTCTCCTGGCAGCCATGTTGTTTCTTTGCCAGTTTGCTCCAACAATGTTCCTTGACACTGCCATTCTTAGTGATATTAAAGGGTAAGATACAAACACTTTTTGATGTTTAAATGAGTCATAGTCAAAGTATATCAATTTTAAACTCAAAATCAGTATTATTCCATGTACAGTACATGTATATTGTTCACAATTCACACAACTTTATAATTTGACAATGCAAGTGCTTGAGGGTTGATACTCCAGAGCTAATACTTCATATTCATGAACATCATGGTGGAGCAGAAGGGTTTCAGTTCTACTCATTGAATTATTGACATGTTTTGTTATTTTCCCATACATGTGCTGCACATCAGCTGATCTTGATCAAACTCTACTTTCTCTAAGGCTCAAAGGCAACTGCTTATGGTACTCTGATCAACATTGTTTTCTCTATTCCAGGGGTGGTCACCCATACCTGACTGGTTTAGCCATAGCAGGAGGACTGTATGTGTATGGCTTGGAAGGGGCAATAATTGGCCCCATACTCCTGTGCCTCCTTGTAGTGGCCATGAATCTGTATAGCACTATGTTGAACCCCCAACCAACTCCAAGCCAAGAGAGCAGAGGTAGGCATGTACAGCATGATGCTAATACTCATTTGATTAATTTTCCCAGTTGTTTGATTAAGTATATGATACCTGGCTTGTAGGCATAGCTTGTAGGCATCCAGATCTTTTTGCATCTTATTTTGAACAGTCTTCATATTTCTGATTTTGGTAGATGTTTTATCTTAATCTTTCATTTAATTGACTCATCGGTCACCTTAAAATAGAATCAATGTAATCTTTTCAAAATAGCAGCATTTCTAATTTTCACTGATATTTCTTAATATTCACATTTTGCACATGTAGGTTTTACATTAATAGATAGCAGTAGCTTACGTAAGTTAAATAGTTGTTTTATATTAACCCTTCCATGACTGACCCTCCCTGAATTACCCAAATGCGAGTAGGTAGTTACCAGTTTCACCACCAGGTGGCTGATTCGGGTCAATTAACATGGCAGGTATATAAGAAAGTTCCCTTAAACTTGAATATTATCAATTTAAGTGGCTCAATTTTCATATAACCCTTATGTGTCTGATACTTATACTAATGAAAATATGTCCAGTAAAGCAAAATATTATCTGTCCACTAAAAGAAAAGATATTTCATTTTTTGTGATTTTATAGCATGGGGTCTATGGGGAATCTCCCCGAGCTAGAAGTCACATTTTCAAAGAAAATTTTTTTTTCAAAGTTGATAAACACTTTTTAAAACCACATTTCTAGATGTAATTTTACATGTAGATTTCAAATATGATATTACTTTGACTGAATTTTGAATTTTTAATGACGTAAATCAAGATTATTTCTACTCGCATCTGGGTTATTGAACACAAAAATGCACTTTCCCATCAAACATATAATATTGAATAGAGGTTGGATGGGTGAGGGCCACTGGTAATAACTAATAACAGTTGGAATGTTATCACCCATTGGTTCTCCTGTTCTAACCATACATGTCAATGGCTAGGCGAACCTGATGGCTTCATCTAGCCCATGGATCTATCATGGGTCTATCATTAGGCCCAACTCTTTTGGTGACCTAAACCATCTCTAAGAAATGAGAACAGGAAATGATCCTTTTCTTGATGAAAATGACCTGAACTTAAAGATTCAGTATTCAGGCACTGTATATTATCGCCGATATTTTGAAATAATTAACAGAATAACTATCCGTCAGAATTGAAAACAATAAGATAACAAATAATTCGACCGCTCACTAAAATCGCAATATTAGCACTTAAAGGGGCAGATTTGGGACTCCTCCGTAATGGAAAGTAGATAGGGGAATATGTCGTACGATTCAACATGCAAAAAAGTCCAGGGGGTCTTGATTGTGCTTTCCTATCGCAACATCCCTCTTTAAGTTCTTAATCCATAATAAAATGTACTGTTAAGAGCACTTTTTCATCATACACCAAGTATTTAAGGTAACACCTTTTTATATGAGCACCAGGCATTTATAGAACACATGATAAAATGAAGTTTAATATTTCTTCCCAACCCTGCACTGGTTTTAGGATAAAGTAGAAGCTAAGCATGACCCTTATTGAACATGAATTAAAGTGTTACAGACAGTATACTGTGTGTCACAAAAAGGTGGGCCACAAGTTTTCTCGTATAACTTTTGTATCATCCTTGATAGATACTACACTGGTAGAATTGTAGTTTATGCAATGTATAAACACTTTCAAGAAATTTAATTAGACAGATACAAAATGCTGTACCAAACTAAACATAATGATTCTCAAACTTGATAGTTTTTCATCTTATGAGTTTTTAGCCCATATGCTTGGCGGGCAACTTCGGCTAAATGATCCTTTTCCAGAGGAAGAAAACATGATCTCTCTAATTTTGAGTATGTGCAGTCAGTCTGCAAGACCTTGCCACATTGTCTACAGAGTCCACACAAAAATTCAAAAGGACTCCAATGAATCAATCCATATTGATATTGCTAGTATCATAAACTGTACCTTGCTGAGTCTATTGGCCATTAACAATCTGATACTTCCTTTCTTTACTTCCTTTTCTTGTGGGTTTTGTTGAATTTCCTCTGGACCATATAGGCTATAAGAGTGTTGTAAACCTGTCAAATTGATTTTCATATAATAATGCTGTGTCCCTGCTACACTCAGTAAAATCTTATCATCCCACCATGTATTGCAGTTGCTGCTAGACGTTTAGTAGGCCGAAATCCAAAGATGGGATTTATGGACATGAAGCGGTAGGTTTGTTATTACCAGTTTTAGCAGTTTCTACTTGCATTGGTTGAAGTGATCAAATTTTTCTCCAATGAGTTACATGAATTTAGGTCAAATAGACAGATTTTAATTTGTATGGTTTATGTAGCAAATACAATTACCTCAACTGATCAATACTGTTTAATAGAAGGAACCAGTTATGTAATGAGAATTTTATTTTGTAAAGTTTAGTATTAAGACCAGTAAAGTTTGCATTTTTCAAACTGGAAGTTCAATATATGCCAAGAATTGAAATAAATTTCTTCACTGAGTCATATATGTACAGATGGATTTTCTCTCTCTTTCCAGGACAATAAGTATGCACTGATGGCTGAATGAGGTTGACAAGGAATTTTGATACAACACCAATTTATATTGTTTGCCAACACAGACAAACATAAGACCTACTAACTGGGTGGTAAAGTCAGAGTAGAAGTGCAATCTTACATACAGGTGTAGCTGAGTTTATGGGTGAATTCCATTAAGAACAATGCATTGACTTAATATGTTGTCTGCTATATATATGCTTGCCAAAAAGATACAAAATCTTGGAGCATCTGTAATAAGAGACTTGAGAAACCTTCCATGAATTGTTGACTTAAATATTGTGAGTTGACAATGGTTAAAGGGGAACTGGGTGCCATATTATTGTACATAACTTGGGATGAATATCCCATTCTACGCTGTGTTTTCCTGTCCACTCCCTTCAGTTCAAATGAATTGCGTAGGTGCATTTTGCATGTGAAAAATAACGATTTCATGACCAGGATTATTATTGTTCTACCTGTTAATGGAAAAAATCTTCCCAGAATTGAATACATGTACTGTACACTTAATTTGACGCTACTTAATTTGGCGGATTTGCTCAATTTCAAATATTGGCTGCTATTAATTTGGTGGAGTCAGGACTGGGCTCAACTTTTATCATTGATCTGGAAATAATCATTTCAGATTCATGTGTTCTACTTACTGTAAGTCTTGGTATAGCACTGACATCCAAATAGAAATACTTAAGAAAGTGAAAAAATTGCAAATTACTTTCCTGAGGATTTTCCAAAATAGATCTGAAAATTGATGGATTTTTAATTTGGCTGATTTCTTCGATCAATCTGCCAATCCGTCAAATTAAAACGGTAGCCAAATTAAGTGTTTCTACGGTACCTTGAAACTTTGGCTAGCTATCTGGTAATAGCATATATAGCATTTTGATATGAGGCTGATCACACATAATGTTCTTTTAACAACTCAAGAACGTGAGCTGAATTCCAAGTTATGTTTGCAAAATCTAATTGCGCAACATTGAAAGCTGGGAGGAGTGCGACTGTTCATAAGTACTTATATTCTTAAAATTCTGTTATTAAGCTCATATTATAGATGTACATGTGAAATATATTAGAATCATATTTATCCTAAAACTAGCTTTAATTCTCAGTTGCCATCCACTAAAAAGGGCATCAGTTCCACTAATACACAGATCAGCATTACATGTATGTTAACAAGGAATTATTAACCTGTGATATTTGAAAAGTTTCATTCATTGATCAGCCGACATGGTGAGTTTATGGAAGTGACCAACTCTTTCCCATGTCTATTTGTCTGTTTAAGATGAATTAAAACTGCTTTTTGACTATAAACCAATGCCCATATCCATATTATGGGTGTCCAATCCATATTATGGGTGTCCATTTTGGTAATTTACACCATTGGTCTTGGGGCCTTTTGTCTTATTTTAAAAAAATAATCTTTATTTCATCACGTGAGCCCATAAAATGGTGCAATTTTGTGCAATAGGCACATTGTCTTACTGTTGTACAGTCTTCAATATATACATGTGCATGATTTATTGTCTTATGTTAGTAGGGACACTATGCGTTCGATGTTGTGTTTTGTTGTCCTCTAAATAAGTGACTGTATTAATATGAAAAGCATAGCTTCAAATACCACGCAAGCATTGCCATATCAGATATTGTATTAGGTGTACTAGACTTAATTTAAAAACTTACAACTTTTTGCAATATTAAGTAGGTACATACATGTATGACTGTTAATATCTGCCTTTATCCTATGCCAAGTAGAGTTTTAGGGAGATAAGTTGGTAAGATATATCCTGTATCCTGATTTTGAGGTTTCCATATCCAGAACCTCCATATCTCCCGCCATATCTCCCGCTTCGGTGCATATCTTCCCGCTTCCGGTGCATATCTTCCCGCTTCTGGTAAATGCAATAAAATGATTTTGCATATGAATGATTTGTATATTTTTACACCTTGTAGTATTGAAATGACCATATGCCCCTGAAAACTCAACTTGGTATAGGATAAAGCAGTTATGTACGGTCGGTTTGGATATAGGGTTCATCCCTCGTGAGATATGCACATCTATGCATATATCCCTCTGGATAAACCCCATATCCAAAACCTCCCAGTACATAACCCTTATGTATTTTCTAAATTCTTGGCCATCTGGCTGATAACATTTGCTAATTTTGCTATATGTACTGTAGTTCATTTTACATCGTTTTTAAGATTGGCATGATTTGGATTTAGTAGCATCGTCGGTTCCCACGCAATCCAATCCAAATCATCTAAATCTGGAATATAGTTTATGTGACCATTAATAGATAAATAAATCAACTACTTCTCCGATAAAATGGATAAAATATTTGGTAAGTGTATTTGGTTAATATTTTATTAACACCAAAAAATCAGTTGTTAGTTTTAGTTGTTGGAATTTTGTTTTTTATTTAATATTATATTGTTGTTTTATATAGATGCAGGGTTTGGGTATGTTATCCATGTGCATGTGAAATTGAACACTATTTTATTTATTTTTGTATGTATTTTAACATACATATTATACAATTTTATGTACAATGTATTGTATCAATTCGTAGCCAAAATGAGAGATTGGCAGAGCATGGGCATGGGTTGAGGCAGGCATTTTAGATACATTGAGCTAAAAATTAATGTGCGAAACCTCTAAATGCCCCACAATAATAGCATTAGATCCTCTTTATCTTCCATTTGCCTTGCCTGCTTTCAGACCTTTGCTAGGCTCATAGTCTCATACTGTTGTGTTATGATTTTAAGTTAATGTAATTATTGGACACTATCATAAAATGATATTGAAAATTAATACGAGTTCTGTAACCATATACATGTATGTACATGTATGTATGTTATTTGTATTTAATACTTAATGTGTTGGACCCTGCATTAATACTTGTATAACCCCTAATTTTACCTGAAATATAAACCATATCAATTTCTTTACAGTTATGTTGAGAGTTTCGTTATCGTTGCAAACTAGAATTTTTGTGGTAAATATATCCCCAGTCCAGCCAGGGACTAACATTGCGAAAGTAACATTTTAACTCAGTATTTGGAAAACCTCTAATTAATTTTATTAATTTGGCTTATTAGTACCGGAGTACTGTTTAGTGTTCATTATACTAGGAGTGGGCACCATGCAGATTTATAGTCGTACCTTATAGTTAAAATGATGAAGGATCCTTTGTTCTGCATAGCATAGAATGATGTCACCTGCTATTTTGTTAGTCCCAAATACAAGGTATTGAAATATGACAAAATATTAACACCTGGTTGTATTTCAAAGAATGACTCCGGAGTAAATCGAAAGTAACATTTTAACTCAGTATTTGGAAACCTCTAATTAATTTTATTAATTTGGCTTATTAGTACCGGAGTACTGTTTAGTGTTCATTATACTAGGAGTAGGCACCATGCAGATTTATAGTCGTACCTTATAGTTAAAATGATGAAGGATCCTTTGTTTTGCATAGCATAGAATGATGTCACCTGCTATTTTGTTAGTCCCAAATACAAGGTATTGAAATATGACAAAATATTAACACCTGGTTGTATTTCAAAGAATGACTCCGGAGTAAATCGAAAGTAACATTTTAACTCAGTATTTGGAAACCTCTAATTAATTTTATTAATTTGGCTTATTAGTACCGGAGTACTGTTTAGTGTTCATTATACTAGGAGTAGGCACCATGCAGATTTATAGTCGTACCTTATAGTTAAAATGATGAAGGATCCTTTGTTTTGCATAGCATAGAATGATGTCACCTGCTATTTTGTTAGTCCCAAATACAAGGTATTGTAATATGACAAAATATTAACACCTGGTTGTATTTCAAAGAATGACTCCGGAGTAAATCTTGTAATTGCTGGTTGCACAAAAATGGTGGCGACTATGAATACGAGGGGTGATCATTAAGTTCTCATAATATCTCTATAATTTCTTTATTTTTCAATACATGTAAAATGTAATGGAATTTTCACAGAATGTGCAGCATTTGATGTCTTACTAATCCAGCAAAATATATTTAGAATTAAGAGATATTACGAGAACTTTATGACCACCCCTCGTATGTCACCATTTCTCAGTTATGACATAAAAATGTTATCAAATGTAAATGATCACTTGATACACCAAGTATACAAACACAACCTGATAATTGTGTTCTCATTATATTTATTTTATTGCTGATCTTTTATTTATTATTTTATTGTTTATACATTCATTTATATATAACAAGAAATATACAAGTTACATTTTGAAAATATCAATGGTAAATATACCACCTTGTTTTGCACCAAGAAAGTATATCGCTTCAAACTTTGCGTAGTTTATCACAGATAACATGCATTGAAAACAGGATTAAATAATATGCTAATAACAAAGCAAGTTTATCTCTTGACTTCAGTTGTATACAAAAATAATATCAAAGCAATGATAATAATCTCAGTATATTGTTGACTAATGCAAAAAACTGACCAGATAACAAATACTAAATCGAATAAATTAAACTACATTATATCCTTATTATTTGTGAATATAGTACTGCGCCCACTTGCTTTAATGCTTAGAAGATCACTGTCATCTATACGTCATCTATACTTCTATTATTTAAGAAACATAGACTGAAGAGCAGGTGTTATATTGACAAATACACTCCACATGGCTATGCAAGAGAGTGAGGGGTTCGAAAGCTTTTGTACCTAGCCCTAAGGGGTCATTGTCATTATCACACCTGCTCTGAGGTATATATTACAATTCAAACATGAAAACTCCCCAAAATTTTTCGAATATTCAACTTATGGTCTGCCATTACTACAGCCCTCTTGATGTCACAAATTACTTGTATTACCAAGGGTAGTGTTGACATATATACCCCAGGTAAAATGTTGACTTTGTTCACAGTTTATAGAAGGCGTGAATACAGTCATGTTCAAATATAATTTATATAAACCATTTCTCATAAATATGTTTAGTAGTATAGTTTTTACATGAGGTGAGGGTGGGGAAGTGGTTTCAGACCTAGGAAGGAGCTCTACTCCCTCCCAATTATTCTGTTACTACTCCCATCTAGGGCCTGGCATAATATATGCAGCCTTCATACCTTCGCTAGATGAAGTAAGTGCCAGGCGTTGAAGGGGCAGGATAGCACATTTTAAAAAGATGGAGCACCATATTGAGTCCCAGCTGAATGACTCTCAAATCTGCAAGTGTTTAGTGGTATTTTCTCTTGAGAGATTGTTGATATATCAATATCATGCGATAAATCACAAGAATGAAAATGATCAGACTATGAGAAGGCTCATCTATAGTTGTTGTTGTATTGCCATGACTAAACATTCTGATACTCATAGCATCTTTCTGTCTCACCTGAAGGGCTGGGAAGAAATAAAATTTCATGGTTTATCATGATGATCACTAGAAAGGATATGGCATTTCCCACCTGCTACACAGTAGATTTTTTCTTGGCATATTCTGGTCTTTTTCAATTAAGTGTAACTGGTATAGTTGCTTCTTGTTTGCATCCTTATTCATGAACTCATTCCAATCTTAAGGGACTCATGTATTTCTACATTTGATAAGGTGATGTGCCACCACCCACTTCTCCTATCAGGTTCGTTTATAGAATTTTGGATTTAATTATCACATAATCACTCTGCTGTTAGAAGTATCTTGAAAAACATGTATTTTCTGCCAGCTCCAGAAACAAAACAACCCATCAGAGAATCCATGAAATTTAGTATGATATTTCCTTAGGGCCGATATGGGCCCAGAGATTTATATTGTCACAAGGAATAAACACATTTTCAATCCATCTCTCATGTGCATTTTAAAGACTACATATCTTTCATTTATAAGTCCTTCAATCAATGTGTTAGGATAAGCACAGAATACAGCAAAGTGTAGTGCTGGACACATAAAAGAAGACTGATTAATATAAAAAAGCATTTATGTTAAGCCACAATGTCTTACACCAGCAAAACCACATAAACCAATTGAAATAGAAGTTTAGACCCCATAAAACAATCAAAGACTATTAAGGAACCGACATCAGTCTTCTTCCACCTTGTCAAGAGCTTACTACAAAGCACTTATCGTGCATATGGCCCATATTGTAAACCCTGACATTCCAGCAGAAGATGGACATGGATGGAAACTGAATGACTCCACCATTGCATTGGGTATTGACTGGTATTCTCAGACAAATGATTGTTGATATAGCAGATGAATCAGAAAGACTCCAGAAGATGTATCTTATGAAATCCAGAACTCTGAAGATGAAATTGATACTTAATGCTGACTTGTTCCCCCCACCCCTCCGAATTCTGTTACTACCCCCCTCCCATACAATAACTATATACAGTATATTGAGATAACTAAGAAGACCCAGAAAATACTCTTTGAAGAAGTCCAAAAGAAAGAATTTATTAGTATTCCTAAGGCTGATTAACTCTGCCCCCTCCCAATTCTGTTACTAACCTCACCCCTCCTCATGCAATAACCAGTCCAATGTAAATGTATCTCAAGTCAAGTTTAACTCTGTTTTTATAGAGAATAGCAATCATCTACTCTAGTATGGTGGCGACGCCCACTTTTGATTACTTGTGTAATTGTATGTTCTTTGACACTGACCAATCATGTAAGTTGTAATATCCCATATACTGAGATGAATATGAAGAAGACCCATGCAGAAGATGTACCCCATGAAATTCAGATATATGTAGATGAGATTTATACTTAAGGCTGATTAGCTCTGCCTCCTCCCAATTCTTTTACTAGCCCCCCCCCCCTCTGTACCCCCCCCCCCAATGCAATAACTATAACACTTAGATGTACATTATTTACCAGAAATGCTTGATATAAAATATAATCAAATAAGTCTAGTGTAAATGTATCTCAAAAGTCAAGTTGAACTCTATTTTTATAGAGTATAGCAATCATCTACTATTATGGGGGCGACGCCCACTTTTGATCACTCATGTAATTGTATGTTCTTTGACACTGACCAATCATGTCAGTTGCAATATCCTTTATATTTATCAAATGTTTGAACTGTACTGGTTATTTTGAGTGTGCTAAAATGTGCTGATATGTATTGATTCGAAAAATAATCAATATTCTACATGAGGTACATGTTCAGGTTTTGCAAAATTAAGGATATTTTGAACGAAAAATGTGGTTTCCATGACAACCATGAGTGACAGAGCATTGGAATTTTACATACTACCTCAGCATGATCCAATCAACTCCCCATAAAATTATTATGATGATTGAAGACTAACAGAATTATTTATCGAGTGATGATAAAGTACCCCCAGTAATTTTCCATTTTAGGGTCGAAAACGCCAATTTGACAACTTTCGCTCCGGATACGGCGCGTCAGACAAACATTTTCTGAAGTATCACATAAAAATACATAAGAAACAAGTAATTTCAATTTGTTCACGAACTAATACATTTTTGGGTGCTAGCTTACTACCTAATACAATTTGGAAATAATTACATTTCTGAATAAATTAATATAAAAATATGGTACACTATACAAAAACTGCACATGCAAGTTTTACTGACCTACTGCGTGCAGTACATACACAGATAGCATTTTAGCTGTATGTATTTAACACATTGCATGTTGGGGAACCCTTAAGAATAGGGCTCTACATTTGGACACACTTTCCTATATCCTGCTATATCTATCACATCTTCTGCAGAATTTAAAACAATTTATCTTGTGAATAACTTGTGAACTTATGAATCAACAAATCAATCTTATCTGATAACACCTGTGTACAGTGAACACCTAGGGAGCCACAAAAATGTGTTCACTATAGGTAGGTGTTCACTACAGAGGCAATCTTATACAGAACTCAGTGGAGCTTGCGCTGAGAAGGGATGTTCACTAGACGCAGGTGTTCATTAGAAAGAGGTGTTCACTAAGATAGGGTTTACTGTTCTGTCTAAATGACCATGTACACGTAGATGTTAATGATTCATTATGTTGTTAAAATGACCTAAGTTGACTAAATTCAGGTTAAAGTGCTTATATGGACAAGATGTAAGTCAACTGATCATAGAGCTGAGTCCATGTGACTTGTGATTTTGGTGAAAGTCATCAGCTCTGACATTATCAATATTTAAACTGAAGCTCCACATGGTCTATAACATAGGAAAAGTCCATATGACTTCTGATCATGTTGATGTTCCCTATGACAGTTCATGTGACTCCTAAAAGTCGATATGACTAATGATTGAAGTGAAGTTCCATATGACCTTTGATAGTTCATGTGACTGAAAGTCGATATGACTTATGACGGAAATGAAAGCCGATATGACTTATTACGGGAATGAAAGTCCATGTGACCCATGGTATTTCATATGCCTACTGAAAGTCGATATGACTTATGATCGGAATTGAAGTCCATTACATGTGACTATGATCGTGGTGAAAGGCCATGTGATTGCGGTGAATAGAGATCTTGAGAGCTCCCCAGTGCTGCCATCTGTTGGGAACGAGTCAGGGTGACATTAATTTTCTTCTGAGTCAGTTCAGTTCTTAAAGCACGTAATTCTGTCTCTGCTTGGTTCCTCAACTGTAAATAGGAGACATATATGATAAATGCAATAGCATAGAACATATAGAGAATAATCAAAATATGTACTGTTACATCATATGTATTGAAATTCAATGTCAATCATTTCAGAACATGGTAAACCGGTTCAAGGAGAGACATCAGCTGCAACATTTGGAATATCAATATTCATCATATAATTAGCACATGCCATCTTTAGAAAATGAGCCACAATACTGTCAAATATAATACAACTTATTCATAATCAATAATCTGTTAAATGTACCTTCATTTCAGCAGTAAGTTTCATTTTGGCAGTTTCCACCCGTCTTGTTAAATCTTCAATCTCATGTTGTACTTTAGTTGCCTGAACTCTGTAGCTATTCTGGAAGATAACATTATTAAGATGAAGATTTATTGCCCGCACATATCCAAGACCATCTGCATTCCTTGAATTAGACTCAGTTGAACTTGACTCAAAAGGACGAGACAAGTGACAATAGAATAAAAAGTATATTGTACTTACATATTTCTATAAATGTCTGCGATTGTAACTTAAATGTTTTCTGATCCTATTACTTTTCACATTGAATACAAAAAATATTACTGAAAAGGAAAGTATGATTTCAAAATCAGGTACACAAGGCATAACTATTGCGAATGGTTACAAAAAGTGTAGCAGGTTGTTACAGATGCTAAACACTTACAACAAATGGCAATGGCAGCTCACAAGTGTGAGTGACTTGAAAATGATTTATTTTTAATATAGCCCAGTGAGATTAGAATATATGGTTAACAAGGCATTAACATGCAAAATGTAACCACTATTTGTTACAGACACCAACTGCTGATTGCCAATCGCTGTCACAAAAAAACAGAGACCATAACAATATATCACCACTTTTTGGTGGTGACATAATAACAAATAAAGTTTAACTTACTTTTTCTGAGGGGCCCCCCTTAGCACCTGCTGCTCCCTTCTTGTGAGTATCTTTGGTGCCTGTCTCTAGATGTGACATGAGACGTCTATGTAGTACTTCAAGCTCCCCCCTCAGTCTACTACTCTGCTCCTCCAGGGGCGCCGTCCTCTTCTTCTCATCAAAGTATCTCTTCTTCCACTGATCTCGGGCTACAAGAATGTTATTCAACATTATCTCTTTGCAGTCAATGTATGAGATATCTAAATGAGCTGGGACGTTTCAAAATAAAATAAAATAATTTTTATTGAAAAGTTGTGGACTAAAACTTCCTTCTTCTGATTCTGTTACCTGATTGGTTAGTGGTTGGTTACTGTTATTATGTGTTGGTTGCTTTTATGTATCATACCAACCATCTATGCAGATATAGTCCCCCCCCCATGTGAACATGTTCTATACTGATCACTCTTTCAACTAAACATATTACGTGTATATAATTTTGTGTGAATAAATGAAATGTCAGATATGAATATACATGTAATTCTCCTATAAGTTGAACATACCCATGTTTCTCCTAGTCTGTGTCTTAGCCTGCATCTGTTTAGCTCTCTTCACTAATTCCTCTCTCTTCCTCTCAACCTCTTTCCTGTCTTCTTGAACTCTCTCCAGCTCTTTTGATATTTGGTCTCCTGAAGCAAATCATACCAGGGTATTATTAAAATGTCATTACTTGTTGAACTCTTGCTCATTGTAACAAAACTAACAATGGCTATAACTATATACTATTATGTCACTAACCTGTCGCATTCATGGAATGATTATGAAATAATCAACTACATCTACTTAATTAAGTTTTTGCACTGTCCATACATTATATCTGATGCTGAACTGTTTCATTGAGAGACAGAATATGTGAAAAGATTCTTTCAAGGGACCCCTGAAGACTGGTCTAGATCCCGGGTCTACATCATACACTCAATCTGCAATACCTTTAGTTTAGGTTGTGCAAGAATTCCAAAAGAGTTATACTCCACATTACATTCATTGTTCTTTCAGGCTGTTTTGGAACTTACTCTCTTCCTGTCTTAGCTGCTCTTCTGATTTATCATCTTCCTCATTCTGGTTTGGTGCATTGGTCTGACCAAGGCGTTCTTCTACACCATTCTGAAACACATCAAATAGCTGTATCTTAGGTGTGTAAGAACTTTATAGGCATTATTTCTTTGTATGTTAGATCTTACTTTGGGAAATAAGGGTTTGTTTTCCTAAAGACTGGGTGTGCTTTTTTGTAATACTCTTGCATGGTCTTTCCACTTTCAGGAACTTATGCTTTCATTACATAATTGTATACAGTACTGCATTATTTATGCAGCTATAAACTTATACATTTAAAATAATATTTGCAGAATGGAACAAATTTTTGGTCCAGGACAAAGTTTTTTGGCTATTTTTGGGCAAAATTGATTTGTCTCAAATAATAATAAAAACTCTCACTTTTAAATTTTCACCTATCCTTAAGTTAGTTAAGGCCTCTTCTTGCTGGCGGATCTCTTCTTCCAAAACCTTCTGTCTTTCTTCCCTCTGCCTGCTTCTCTGCTTCTCCTTATCTCTATTAACTCTACTGTGACCATCATCCAATGCCTCAACAGCATTATCTCGAATATTCACTTGATTCTTGTGTGATCGCTGGTCAAACCTATCATCTGATTGGTCTCTTTCTCTTGACTGTCTATGTTTTGAAAAATCTTGTGATCTCGGATTTTCCTGACTAGGTCTGCTGTTATTGCTCTCCCGCTCATGACGATTGTCTCTTGATCTACGAGGCTCATGACCTCTAGATTGTCCATGACTATCTGGGGTTTCAAAATCTCTTGAATCTCGACGTCTATCATAGGATCTATGTGATTGTTTGTCCAAGTGATTTTTATCCAATGTTCTTCTGGGATCTTTATAGTCTATGGGATCCTTATGTCTGTTATCACGCGATATCCTGAAATTGATAGAAATTAAATTAAAACATCAACTCCAATGAGTTAACGAAGACACGTGGATGAGCTAAACAATTAAATTTTGCACAGTTGTTATGCTGTTAAGATGATGTGGACAATTATTGATGTTGACATCTTGTGATGACTATATGGAGTTAGTTTTTTCATGCTGAATTGTGAATATTTAGGTGATGTACATACTATCAGGTGAAAAGAGGATATCTAAGTGGACGATACCTAGGAAGTGAATCATCTGTTCTCTCCCTATCAGAGGGGCTAAGTTCTGCTATACCAGAGTCTCCATTTGTCATAGGTCTTGGATCTTTCTTGTGTCTGCTAAACGTGGCTGTTTGAGAAGAATGAGGGATGTGGTCTACATGCATACTAGGTGTGGCACTTAATGGGGGTAAAGAGTAGTCTCCCTGACCCCCAGGATCATACTGGGTGGCTTTGTGCTCAATACTCGATGGTCTATGAGAGCTATGTTCAATTGCAGGGAATTTTTCACTATCATTGGAGTCACTGGATTTGGGAGTTTTTGTTGGAGATGGGCCTGTAGGGGAGAAGGCTTGGTTATCATGTGGGCTATAGCGCTCTGGATCTATTTCTGTTCCCCCTGTATGACAAATAAACAGGGAACTCAATCAATATATGATCTAGCATTATGATATTTTTTATCATCTGCACATATTGTAAACTATCAAAATTGCAACTTTTTCCATGCACACAAATAAAAGCAAACTTTAGACAAAGGAGAACATGTAGCAAGCTAGCACTCAATCATTTGTGGAGAAGGACTCGAACACATTCCAGAAAAAAGTTATATTCAATTTTACTATGTAGTCATATGAACCGTATGTCAAAAATATGTAAAAACAAACCCAAAACATCTTAGGACAGCTTGTTGAAGCCATCATGTCCATGAACAAATTTCTGAGTTTAATGAGATTTCTGCACAAGTGTATTTGTTGAGTGCTTCAGTCTAATTACCTCTGGTAATTATCAAAATGGATAGATCAAGAATTCAAGCAAAATTGCAAAAGTGTACAAGCGCACAGTTTTTAAAGGAAGCAAACCATAGAAGCAATTATTAACTTGATGAATAACTTTCAATTCGAGATGTCCACAGATGAAATACTTTTGATTTACTTTTTCAGACTGAAATGCATTTGATCAGGAGTTCATTAAAATCACCAATCATCAATCTTGCAGCTCGTGAATGTTCAGATTTAATTCATTATTGGAGCGATTGTCTGCATTTGTTCAGCATATTGGAGTAGACTATTTAGCAGGCTGTCATTATAATGCAGAAGCACAGAGCCACCAGTAAGAAAGATACATCACACCAGGATGCAGGCATGTAGCACACAAAAGACATGCATGTATAAAAAAAAGTATACTATATACACTGTACATGTAATACAATATGAAACATGCGTGTGGGTGTTCTGTGATTAAATGGTGTGGACAAATTTATACATTTACAGAGTGAACACATAAGACTGGTATATGCATAATCATGGTACAATCCAAGGGATTAGATTAGCCTCTTATTATTAAACCCTTGTATTTAATTAAGGGGGAGTGTAGCAAACAGTATGGTTGCTATCCTAAGTGGCAACAATTCCTTGAATACTGGCTGTGACTTAAGATTAAGACCAAGAAATATCTTCACAGTGAAGTATCATGAAACATACATGCAAAGATCATTAATTGTATTTTTATGAAACATACATGCATAGATCATTAATTGTATTTTAACAAAATGTTTATCCATCATTGTATTCAAAGCTATAAGTGAGTGATAATTCCAAAAGATGGTACATTTTTAACATTATTTCATATGAAAGATTCAATAATGCCAACATTTTTTTCATTTTTACAATAGAGTAAATAGAACATGTAGCATCATCAGATGCATCGCTCAATTCCATGATATACAGTATACTTTACCATTTCTTTGTCTTGGTTCTTGTTTCGACCTGTGTTGACCAGGACTGTCATATTCAATGGAGCGTGTAGAGTCTGTACTTGCTGAGTTAGTGTTTATAGTTGACACATCATCGGCAGGTAATAAAGCCCTAACAACTGCTGCTGAAGCTTCTAGCAAAAAGATTTCAGGAAGATAGTTCTGAAATAAGAATAATTGAATGATCTTGGGTGGTCTATAACCATGGACAGATACTATTTAGTCTGTATTGTAACCAATGAGTTTACCAACAGAATTACATAACAAGGCATTAAGATGCAAAATGTCACCACCTACCACCACCTACCATTTGCTACAGATGCCAAACTCCAAACACAAACCACCGAACATGGTGGTGACATAAAAATCTATGAGAATCAAAGGAAAGCAATGTCTAATTATGTTTATGCTGGAGAATACATATGTACTGTACATGTAGCTTAATGCAAAAATGCAAAAAATGCATAAAGGCAACCTGATACGCTTATTTCTAATTCTGTCTTAATGATTTTATAAGACATTGCCATTTGCATGTAATTGTCAATTGACTTATCTAAATATAAGTCTGCAATGTTAATTGTAAAAATTTAAAAAAATTAAATTAAAAATTATTGTCAGAATGATGTCTCAGACACTGTGCATTTCTTGCTGTTATACTTGGTTACTTACGTGAGGAGGCAGGAAACTTTTGACTTTTATATGGAGCTCCTGCTTGGCTTTCACCTACAAAATATGATGAGTGATAAAATAGCAAATAATATCAATAAAAGAGGTCACTGTATGCTTCCTTACCATGGAGGAATACCTCAAAACTGGTAGTTTTTCTCAAGATTGAGATGGAAACTGCAATTACTAGTAAATTTTTACTTTGAGTTATTTGCAATTTTGTCTTTCATAACATAATGCAAGTAAACATAATTCCATTACATTTTTTTGTGAATAATAAAAACTTTTTGTTTTCAAAATACTGAAGTGCTGTTCTCTAGAAGAGATCAGAATCAATAAGACACTTTACCTGCAGACAACTGGCAGACATGAAGGTTATTATATTATTGGTGATGCAAAAATCGATATCATACACAGTTGCTAACATAATTCTTAAAATCGCGGATTCGGTAGTATTGAATCTCTAATAAAGATGGCGCGAAAGTTTTTCCTTATAAGGTCAAAATATTTCCCATGATGCAGTTCGCGGGGGAACAAAATTTTTCTACCTTGTTTTTCCCCGTTGGTTTAACATGGGGATTTTCATACCCATTTTTCAAGCGATATTTTCGATCGAATCTCCATGCGATCGGAGAAAACAAACTATCAGAAACAATTAGTCTTTTAATAATCTTTATATAACATATATTTTTTTTCATTTTATTGGCTCCTAACGGGGTGAAAACAATGATTGAAAATGGGAGTATATTCCGGAAGAGAAGAAGTCACGTGACTAGTCGCCATATTGGAAAAAGCAATTCCATTCGACTTTCAACACGTTCATGCCAATATTACCGCACTACAAACTGTAACATCGATGCAACAACTGAATAAAAGTACTCATCTTCATATTACATTATAGAGTTACGTTGAAAACCCACAAACAACTGAGCATTTGACCAAAGAAGACACGTCGCTATTATCTAGGTCAAGTTTAGTGGTTCGAAAGCAAATCTTACATACTCGTTTCCGAATTTTGTTGTTAATTGTATAATCTTTTATTGATTAAATCTGGTATACTGACTATTAATTCAATGACAAAGAAGAAGAATTCCGATGGTGTCATTTTTTTATTTAGCTTGCGGGTGTAAAAACAAAATTGCGTAATTAATTTGATTTAGAACTTTCGGGTCTCACAAATAGCTACACGAAATGCATCGTTGAAAAATATTGACCAATCAAATTTTGTCCTTTTTGAGTACATATATGCACCATATATGCGAACGTTCTGATTCAAAGAGCGAACAGCGAAATGGAGAATTTCGCTCAAATCAACAAAAACGCCTTAAGTTGTGTTAGATGATGTGACTGACTGACATACGAGTAGAAGGTTCATATTTTAATATTTTCTGAATTTTTATCATCCTCTGAACTATCTCTACAGGGTGTCCGGAAAGTAAAGATACAAATGCTCTTATTTCAAGAGATTTACCTGTTAGGAGATGAAATTGCTCCAGAATGTGGAATGACATTATAACAATATATCCTGCAACTGTCATGACTTAAAGTATCAAAATGAAAAAAGTTATGGTTGTTATGGTAACGGGAGTCGAGGGTAAGTGGAGCAACGTCACAACCGTGTTCTACAAATCTCTTTCCTGCTCATATGATCTTGGCACTCCATCATCTATTCCTATATTATATCAAATTATGTACCACAACAGCATAGGGATTAGTAATGTAACATTATTTGATCATTTCATATTACTACTTTCATTGAATATCCATTATTTTCCCCATTATCGATACATTATTGGTGCATCTTGACCGGCGATTCAAAGACCTGACAAAACCGCTGCTGTCCATCTCTCAGATTGCTGATAACATTGTCTTCCAGCTGAGTCTCATTTGTATGTTGAACTTTTAACAAATATTGCTTTCAAATGGTCATTAAGGTAGAAGTCTAAAGAGGCTTTATCAGGTTAATATGGGGGATTGATCGAAAGGTTTAATGTCAAGACACTCCATTGTAAGATTTGTTTTTTGCTTTGTGAATTGGTGCATCGTGGAGATGCAATATTGACTTTCCTACTAATGGCCAAGGACCATTCTTCTAGGCACATGTATAATATTTCTTTCATTATACTGGTTAGTGACATAACATAGTTCTGATATGTAGCAATGACATCATTATATAAAAGAAAACACTATGGCAGCAATATGGCAGCAATAATACAATGATGAACAAAACAAAACATATATAGAAAATACAACAAAAAACACTTTCAAATGGTTGTCTTTTAGCAATTTTTCACTTTTTAGCGTTGTTCTGGAACTGCTCCACATATCTCTCACATCCGTAACCATAACAACCGTAACTTGAATACATTTAGACTATATGTAATGAAAGTTGGTAGATATATTGTAATATCGTTCCTCTACAATCTGTAGCAATTTCATTTCAAAAAATCAAAATTTCTTAAAATAAGAGTATTTGTATCTTTACTTTCCGGACACCCTGTATCTGTGTGATAGTGGTCCGTATCTGAACGCAGAGCTCCAGATACCTACTCCTTCATCCTGGAAGACTGGTAAGATGTCTTTAGCTCAGTGTTCAGCTGAGGGCGGATTCTGATATTTTTTAATCATATTTGTTATTTTGTTTATTATTATTTTCAAATTATTTATTCACAACATTAAAAAACAAACATATTTACAGACATAATATTAAGATGTAAGATTTAAAATTATTGTGTCAATCATATTGTTCCGGGATGTTTGATGAGACATGACATAGCACTTGTTTGTAAAATAAAATACATGTACAGTTAGGGCTGTGCCGGAACCGGTTCGGACGGTTCGGAATCGGAACCGGAACTTGGTCTCACGGAATCGGAACTTTCGGAACCCCTTTTGGTTCACAAATGAAAATAATTATGTATGAGTGAGTTCGACGGCGATCATGACGATATCGTCGTCCAAGTTTGTCAGGTTAACACTTACCTTTCCTGTCAAGCAAGTTTGAATGTTTTTACGAAAGAAATAGACTCTAAAATCTGTAAAAAGAGAGAAAATTCGATCTTTTTTCTACTTGTTTTCACTTCCGGCTGCTCTGACCATAATGCGCATGCGTAATTGAAAAAGTAAAACTTGATTTCTGTTGATTTCTCCGCTATTTATTTTGTTTATGCGAGTAATACACATGCAAATTGGATGTAGTTTGAAGGAAAACATCACTGGAGGAACAATGGTCACGGATATTAACGATTCAAAGCAAGTACTAAGGTAAGGGTCCGATATTGTTCCGAAACCCTTCGGAACATGATATTAAAATTCCGAATTCCGGTATTTTAACAAAAGTCCGCGGTTCGGACCGATTCCGGTCGAATGGCACGGCCCTATGTACAGTGGTGTAAGTGATTTAACTTTGTTATGTTATGGGAAGCAGTTTTTATTAAAAGTGCATATTCAAAGTTATCATTTTCCATTGACTAATTTTGTGCATTGATAAGGTTAATAAAAAACTGATGTTTTATTCAATTACTTATCTGATTATCCCATTGAATATTCATTTGATTGTGCAAGTATGTTTTACTAACACAGTTCAAACAACTAATAAATTCACACTTTTTGGACATTTGTTTACAAACATATATCAGACGGGTACATGTTATATACACAATATACACAAATACATACCACTAAATGCCTAAAAATATAATATTAATAAGATAAAATATATGTATATGTACATGTACATGTTATCATATGAGACAGAATTAATGATTTATTTTGGATTTTTTATTACGACCTACAGGAGTATAAATTATTAGTATATTCATTATCATTGATAATATCAAGCAGTCAATGTTTATATCTGAACCATGGTAGCAACCCATGAGTATGCCTGATGTATACTGACCATGAAAAGCCATCTAATCTGAAGAGTAAATATTGACCTAATAATTTTATAGGGTTCTCTGAGGTTTAATGGCTTCAAATCTATGAAATATTTCAAGCCAGATTTCAAGTTCAATATTCAGCTAGTAACCAAAAAGCCTCTTGGCGTCATTATTTCCTGAGACTTTTATGTTAGTCTCAGTTATTTCTAAGAAATCGTGTTTCGATGTATTTTGATCAATAGAACCTGGGACGATTGATAATTAATCCCTGTTCTACTCTTACAAAGATAGATTTAATTTATTGTATTCTACATTTGTTTAGGTTGAATAAAATCTTTGTCCACGGATTACTGCTAACTCGTCCTCAAGTGAAATGGCAAATATTCGGAATTACTTATTCGATTGTATCCCACACATTTTTTCTTTAATTCATATTTGAACAACAGTAATTGGAATATGAACTGTAACCATGTCACCATGTCAACTTTTATCAAGTATCATTTTCTATTATCAACTTTCCCAAAAATGCATTGATAATCTGAAAATTGAGTTGCAGCTTACATTTTTACATATGACCCGATTTCTTGTCCATTGATTGATTTGAATATCTAGTAGAACTTAAATGGCCATTCATCACCTTTATGATTGTGTACATTCAATCTTTGGATTACAACTATGTTAGGATATCAAAAGTCAACACAAAGACCTTTTATCTGCAGTTATCTCCTTTTATCACTATCATTGGCATTGTAGTGTTTATACCTTATTTTCACATCTTGATTCACAAGGTTTCAGTTGTACCTAGTGTTTATATGAAGGAACTTCATTTACCTAATGTGTCTCTAGATCCAGTGGAAAGGGCAATGGTATTTTCACTCAATTATTAATTTTCTAGCTTTAAATCTCTGTTCCTCAGGTGACATTATATTTACTTCTGATTTCATTTCACTACTTGTATATTCTTAGTTTGAAATATTGATGAAATTCCTTTTGCTCTAATTGTTAATAATTCAATTACCATTTACCATTAATAATCAACAATTTGGTTAGCTTTTACAGATCCATACTATATGTAGAATAGTACAAGGTTTAGAGTTGAAGCAATTTGCATGTATAGAGATTATTCCATAAAATATCTGAGGAAATAATCTCCATACATAATCTCATATTTCTGCCAATGAAACAAATTAAGAAACAATGAGATGAAATAGAATTCTGTTTGCAATCTATTAAGTATCAGGTAACCATGGAAACAATGCAGTAATGACAACTCCAGCTCTCTTAAATCATGTAAAAGCTGTCATGATTGACTACCATGTGAATTAAATCCTTATTTTTCTCTTATCATATACAATTTGTACTATTTATTTTAATATGACTGAAACCCCATACCTTGAAATCAAAAATGTTCTTTAACCCGAGTGTCAATCTAGTAATTAGTAAGTTGTAATGATTTGCTGGTAAATCACTCTTTTAAGATGCAAATTCAACTTTTAGAAAGGGTGGATTGTTCTTTTACAAATAATCAATTCATGATCACTACCAGGGGTATAAATGCTGTTGTTATGTGATGAAACCCATTTATTCATTTATATTTCATAAGTCAATAGACCATTGACATCTAGTTGGAACAAACAATGTACTACTAGTATGTGTAATAAATACTAATCAGAGTGCTTCTCTCTCATGTTTGCCAGTTCTTGATTTTATCGACCATGTATTGTTGATAGCAGAGAATCACCAGACCCCCCAGGCTTTGTAATGTATAGATCATATGGATATTGATATATTTAATAAAGCAAGTAAATGGACAACCTATTAAAGGGTACTATTAGTCATATTTATGTTTATTTTATAGCTGTTGCCAAGGACATGTTTTTTATCTTACATTAATATGCAGATATTATCAGTTACAATATCATGTTATCTTACATTTTAACATGGAGAACCTAAATAATAATACATGTAACAATCCAAGTACATACTGTAAGTTATCAAAACTTGTACAGGGCATATGTGGCAATTTTACTACAGAAGTCCAACCCTTGTCTGTAATCTCCAAAAGACAACTCAAATTTGATGTAACCTTAAGCCAAAGCTTAACAAAACAGAGACAGTTGAGATTAAGGATGTTTCTTCATTTATTTATCCATTTTCGGGTATACATGTTTATTGAATGATCAAGGCCTGGGGGTTCACTGAATATAAACCTTGACGGAGATCCTCGGCGCACATGGGGTACCTTTTTAGACATTTGGTATAGGCAATGGACACAAATTTTAGGATCTGGTATGAGAATCCCCGGGGGCCCCCCAAAATTATTACTTTGGATGTATGGGAATGGTCAGTCTTATATTTGGACATTTGGTATGGCTTTTGAACATTATTTAGGTTGGTATGGGAACCCATTGAAATTTGACAGATTGGTATAGGAATATATTGATACCTGAGGGCTCAGCCTAGGACTCTCGCTGAATTTTGGATACAGTTTTGTATACAGTGAACCCCCGGGATCTAGGCATGATAAAATAAGACTAGAATTAAGAAGAAGGAAAAAGATAGGGTACCTGAGTAAGACATCTGCCTACACTTTTGAGGAAGACAAAGTCGTGTGGGACTGCATCACTACCAAGCTGCTCAATGATCTCATCACGTAACTGGTATAGTTTCAACTCTGGCACCACTCTGAAATAAAGAGAGCGCTGGGAATCAATGAAAACATTCAGAATGATCCATTCCATGTAAATCAAGTTGAGGTTCTCACTTCTCAGTACAGTACAAATATTTAGGGCCTCACTTCCCAAAAATAAAGCCTATATGAATATTCAGACCTACTTTTTAAAAAAGATTGATCAACATTTTCAAAGGGGGAAGGAATTTTTGGGCCTCTCCCCTTATCAATGTGATTAGAAGCATGTAAATGAAAATACACTATCTATACTATACACTGTGTATATGATATGATGATAGATTATAGATTACAGTGTATGTATGCTGTTCCCAAGCAGCCAGTGGTAAATACAGATCTGAAAATTGCTTCTCTTGCTGTCTTGTGGATTTTTTGTATTATTTGTATAACAATGTTAGATAAAGGGATGCTTGAATGTCAAATGCACAACTTATGTTATTTGTTTTATAGAGTTGAGGCTTTATCTGTCAGGTCATAATTTTAAAGTTTATCTATAGTACTAAGACAAAGAAGTAATGGAATCAAAGGATTTTCATTTAGCCATTTAGCTTCCAGCTTAATGAACTAAAGTAGTATGGTCCATGTATTGATTTAATTCCAGTTCATGTGACCCATGGACCTTATTTAAACGCACAAGAAAGCAAAGTGATGAATGTCCTTGTCCAAAATAATATTCTATATACTGTACATTTACAGTATTGTGCACCTTAAAATGATTTAAAGAGACTCTATTGAGACTTCTCTGTGGCATTTTTTCTTTATTCCTTTTTGTTTTGAATTTTTAACACCATAACATTAACTAACTACTCAATATGCAACTTTTCACCACGTAGAATTTTAAAATATCAAGTTTGAAAATTCCATTTTTATAATGGAGCTCAATGGGAAAAACTACATAATTTGAATTATTTTCAAACGTAGCGGTGCGATTTTGATAAAATTGACAGATATAATAAATATTGGTAAGACAAAATGTTTGATGAAAAATGAAGAAAATTCACCGTCCTGGTTACGCAAACTATAGAAAAATCTGAAATAATCATAAAAACCTGTAAAAATAGATTGAAGGGGGTGATATTCATTTTTAATGTGCCTTTCACTACTACAGGGTAACCATAATTTTGGTACTGATTTGATTTTTCAATGACAATCATTTCTATAGTGTATAGTCAGTTTAAATAATACAATTGCTATATTTCTTTACTGAACAGTGCAATCATTTATTTATTTATCAACAGTAATGCAAATTACATATTATACAGTTAGTAAAATATTAAAATAATTCTATTAAAATTAAAGCATTGAGATGATACTTAAATAATTACATATTATATTGATAGGCATATTATATTATAGGATTTAAGCCAATGACTCAATGCATTGTAGATGATTAAATTTAACATATGTCCTGATTCTAGACTATGAACGAGGGTGGTAGTCCTAATTCAAAGCCTAGACTAGAAGACATAAGTGAATTGAAGCATCCACTATTCATTGAATCATGTGCTTTAATTCAATTTCACACGTTGCAAAATATTTTTTACAATTTCACTTAACAGAATGATATTTTTTCAAAGATATGTTGTACTTTTAGAATCATTTGCTTCAAAGAATTGAACTATGGCGGCCTTTACTCGTTATTTTACGATTTCTGCTGTAACTCGAAAAGTAGTCGAGCGATTTTGTTCATATTTGGTATATGAATACTATAAGCATGGCACACTGTCTAATGACTCTTCTGGTAGAAGGCGGCCATTTTAACGTATTTTACTATAACACGAAAAGTACTGGAGCGATTTTGTTCATATTTGGTATGTGAATACTATAAGCATGGCACACTGTCTAATGACACTTTTGGTAGAAGGCAGCCATTTTGAAAAATGGCCGTCATTTTAACGTATTTTACTATAACTCGAAAAGTAGTAGAGCGATTTTGTTCATATTTGATGCGTGAATACTATAAGCGTGGCACACTGTCTAATGACACTTTTGGTAGAAGGTGGCCATTTTGAAAATGGCTGCCATTTTTGCTGTATACTTTGTTTGTAAAAAAATGCCAGCCATGGCTGTTCGATGGGATTTGCTACACTTTGGTGTTGCTGTTGTCTAGTTGAAGGATGGATGGACGGACAAATGGAGGGGTCTCTATAGCTTATCTCCTAATCTTCGTTGGATTGAACAATTGTGAATATGGTTTGTTGGACAAATAAAACTGATTGAATGTCTAAAAGCAAATAATGAAGTGGTAATTTATTTAAAATCATTAAAATCTCAAACATGCTTGCTTTGGTCTAGTCACTTAATTCCTAAATGTCCCGTAATTAGTATCTATATACCTTATTAGATGCAGTGAAGGAGTTAAATCATTGGGATATGAATAAATCATGCAAAACATATTTTGTACATATTTCTCATCATTTAGGGTTACCCAGTAGTTTACAAGCTGACCTTTGCAAATTATATTTCACTTACTATCCTCATTCGCTATCACGCTATCTAGTTTCTTTCCAAATTGGCCTGGATTGCCTGGTTTATTGGTTTTAGCGAACCGTCCATTTCGTCGAACCATCATTTTGCTAAGGTTGTTTGTGATGAATTATACAATATTCAGTTACATATAACTGTACAGCAACTTTATGCAAGGGAGGGTTATTGTGTGAGAGCACATAAAGTACATGAAGTATTGACCCACTTGTCTCAGTGAATCTTATAAACAGTGCATAAAGTTTTTTCTATGCAATAGAGAGATTTCGCACCTAGTGAAAGTACAACTTATAACATATACTTATACTTATAGGTAAACGTACAAGGTGTTTCATAATGTGGGCTTTTCGTCAAGAAAGATCTTCTCGGACTGTAATAAATACAGGTCAAAGGGATGCCATTTGTACTTTCTTGAATTGTAGCATGTTTAGTTGATCCAAATGTGTTTGTCTAGAATAAAATAGGCTCATATATAGTACATATGTTATAGAAAAATAGGCTCATATATAGTACATATGTTATAGAACCATCTCTTCTCAAATTGACTTTTGGAGATGCTCGTTATGAAACACCCTGTATGTCATATGTTGAGCTACTGAATGGGTCGTTTCCAGGAATTGCTAGAACCTACTGGTTTGATTGGTGTTTCAAATTGATGGTTAAAGTATTTGATTGGATACTGTTCCCACTCAGCCAATTAATTTCAAAAAATGCTTGCGGTCAATTGTTCCACACACATGTAGGTAAATCTTTATACGGAGATCCAACTGTATACGTTATCATCTACGTAAATATACCGTTTTGTAAGTTCACTGAACTTATACTGATCATGAAAACATTGAAATAATCAACTTGTTTATGTAATGACTCACTTTAAAGAATCATGACTCACTTTAAAGGATCGTGTTTATAATACACTACAACAACTAGGACACTGAAGCAAGCATTTAATTATAATGTGCATAATCTACACGTGCAGATGACAGTGCATTCACAGTCTCTAGTTGATGGAGCTTTTCTATAACGGGAATAGTTATGTTCCATGAAGTACAATTTAAAATTGATTTTAGTAAATATAATAGTTCGACATGACCCTTTAAACTATACGTATACGTATAAGTTGCACTTTCACTTATGTGCGAAATCTCTCTAATGATTGGCTCACAGTTACTTATAGTGTAAGTTATTTTATTTCTATACAGTGTGGAATAGAGTGTATAAACTTTTACAGTTTCAAGCAGGTTTTAGTGTTTTCTGACCAATGATATATTCAGACTTATTCATTTCACGATAATATACTATAATATAATATACTTGTAATACTGACCTACATATCTGTATAGCATATCTTTAACCATCATTATAAATTTGAGAAATGTACAGGGTGTCAAAAAATATGTTGTTTTTTAGGTTAGTTTATTTCATATTAAGGTCAGGGTGCACTTTGATGAAATTTCATGACCATGTACCATTTGCTATTTTCAGATAAATATAACTCATTCCTCACATCATCTACATCTTTTATTCTTGCACAAAAGATGCATTAGTGTACCTAGACTACTAATTGAGGGTTGATAATTCTTCAGAACGTTTGAATAACTAGAATATTCAGTGGTTTACTTTTCGAAATTGCAAAAAAATTCCAACATGCAACCTGGCCTTAATCACATTTACAAAACATATTGAGGTCTGCCCTGTCAACCCTCACGCATTAGGTGTGATTGTCACGCATTTGCTGGAAAAATAGAAATCACGCATCAATTTAGTGTGTATTAAACAAATACTGGATGACCATGAGGTGGATATGCCAGAATACCTATCCGAGGAAAAAATACTAGGCGAAGCGAAGCTGAGCCTAGTATTTCTTTTCGAGGATAGGTATTCTGGCATATCCACCTCATGGTCATCCAGTATTTATTTTATTATGCACCTCCCTTGAGAAATACTTTATTTTAAAGAATGGGTCTACTAAAACAGAAGCCGAGCCTAAAAACCCTGGTGTTCGACAATCAAAAATTCCATTTATTCTCTCATTTGGCCTTATTCTTACGTATTACCTCCATATATAATAAGTTTGGCCGATCCGGTATCTAGCGCCACCTACCTTTTGTCAGTTAATCACAGGAAATTGAATAGAAATCCCCTGTTCTCATATCACGCAAATCTTTTCTCCCTCGCATTCATCTCAAATTCAACATGGAAGAGATTCTAAGAAAATGACGTCATCGACAATTGGACTCGTCTAAAGTATTTTTTCGAGGATAGGTATTCTGGTATACGGGATGGTTGGAGATCTTGTTGCTTCAATACTGGATAGAACGAGATCTTGCTGCCACGTATGGCAATAGACACCGCAGCTCTTAACCAATCAGATTTGAGTATTTTAATGAGGTGCATAATAAGATCAAATATCACGCAAATCACGCATTTTGTTGATATTTTTAAAAATCTTTTTTTGTGAAATGCCGACACGGTATAAAACCGAACGGCGAAAAAAGCGAACGCATTCTGTTCGGTCTTTGCACGCGATTGCCGTTTATGTCACGCATTTGGTACAAAATATGTGTATATATCACGCATTTCTTTCGAAAATATTTACAATCTAACTCTTGGGATATAAAAAATGAGGTGTTCAGATATACAGGTTTCTCTGTATATTTAATACATGTACCTATTTCAGAATATAAATCAAATTATCATCAAAATTAGATTAAAGCAGAAATATAGCTGTAAAATACAGAACTGAACAGTGCATAATAATGAGCAATAATTTTTAAGAATGGAAAATTATTCGATAATAAGAGCTTTTATGAGCAGAAAATTCCAGGACTTTACATGTACTAACTACAATATGTATGGTTTTTTTTTGTTTTTTTTTATTATTTCCTAATGCAAGATACAAGTATACAAATAACATAATACAATACTAGCAACAGCAACAGGTTGTGTAACACTTACATTTTTCTAATCAATATTTCAAAGTTAAATAAAAACTCCAAATTTGGATGGTTTCCCTTTTTGTATTTGCTTATAACATTATGTGCCACTGAAATAACTACATTAATTTTTTGATCCTTTGTCCCTATCAATTTTTCTGTTGGACTAAGATCAATATTTTTGTTAAATTTATCTTGACAATATTTTTTCATCAATTCCCAAACCTGTTTAATATGTGGACACTCAACAAAGAAATGTATGTGTCTCTTAATTTACATTTTTCACATTCATTATCATCTTTCTTTTTCATCTTATACAGTAGTTCATTTGTTGGGTATATTTTAAAAATTATCTTATAATAAAGGGTCCTAAGTCTTGACTCCTTCAGACATTGAATTGTTCTAAATAACAATTTCATATCTATGTCACCCTCTTCCCTCCATTTTTCAGGAATATTAGGTAGTTCTGTTTGATTTTTGATTATTATATTTTTATAGTCTTTTAATTTTGCTGTTGCTATAACAATATTATTATACATATTTTCATTGCTTTTGTGAACAATGGTTTTATTATACAATGAAGATTTAAACAAATTATATTGCATTCTTAACTCTGGTCTTGGGCCTATGACATTTAAAATTTCCTCAAACTCCCTTATTTTATCATTTTCATCAATACTCTGTCTAAGTTTCTTTATACCCCTTTTAACCCATTCTTCAAAATATATAACCTTTCTACCATATCTCAAACTGTGAATATTCCATAATATATCTTCATTGTTTAATTCATTTTGTAAATCTTTATTGTCTAACCATTGTTTAACAAGTTCAACATAAAATGATGGCATTTCATCCTGTTTTAATTTTGGTTTCAACAAATATGTATGTTATCAATGCGTAAATTTGTTTCAACTTACCTTATAAAGCCCATAGACACTGTCTCAGACACTATCTGGTTGATTGCACTGTTTAGATTGTCCCGCCATAACTCAGGTGGCACCAAGTACACATGTAGGTCCACCAACTGTAAAATAAGAAAAAACATGATATCTGAAAGTCAGATTGAGACTGTTAGAGACTGGTAATGGTGGGGGGGGTCAAGGGGGGTGGGGTAGCATCAAGTGACCATCTGAGATGGGGGTCCAAATTGTTGTGATTGAAGACATTATTTGATGCAATCTGAGTGTTTTTCAGATGAATATTTCATCAAACAGAATTGAAACGAACACTCCTTTATGAGATATTGCATACTTTCGTCTAAAATTAAATAAACAGCTCTAAGAAAAATGGCAGAACAAAACACACATGGATTTATGATTGGCGTAAGGGTGCAATATAGTCTAGTGGAAGCCTTAGACAAAGGTAAAGAGTAACAGACTGTAGGCTAGTTTCACAGGAATCTCATCAGAAAAATCTAGGCAGTTTCAGTCTCACCTAGGCAATAGGGCCCCCATAAGTAAGCCTCTAGGTATCTAATCTTAGGCTAGGCTAGTTCAACGTCGTTAAACTCAATAACGGCGTTCTTTACTATTAGGAATTTTATTGGGGCCGTTATTGAGTTTAACCTCTTTGCTATTCTTTCCTTTGATGCAAGTTCTGGATCCATCGAAACCATTTTGCCGCGATAACGTGCAATTGATACTTGACAATAATATAAAAACACATAACATCAAGCGATTTAACACAATATTATTGCGTTAAATGTTCATTTATACTCGTAAAATGAGGCTACACTTACCGATCTCTAAAATGACATTTCCGCATGTCCGTCATTGTGTCTGTTCGTCCGAGTGTCCCGGATCGTAAAATTAAACTACTAGCGAAACGAAATTGTTGTCAAATAGATTGATAATTATTATCGCGATAAATCGCATTAAAAGATAAATTTTGAGGATAGCAGGTATCTTTGATTGATTTATATAGCGCGTGTATACACGCAAAATAGTTATCAATTGCAAACCTACTGTTTGTAAATGCAGTGCCGCGATGACGGTTAATTTCTGATACGATTTGCAATTTCGATGTTACCGAAACTGACCGACATTTTCGTTATATTCCAAACCTGTCTCCAATATTTCCGTAATTATGCATCAATAGGGTCTAAAGGGGATACGGGATGGTGTGTATGTATTCATAAGGTATGTATGCATGCTTGAATCACATTCTTTGTGAAATATGACCATGGTTTCAGGGTTTAATTAGTTCCGCTTGTCGAAACCTGCTGAACAATTAAATTAACGCATCAAGGGCAAAATGATCATGGAGGTTAGACCTAGCCGGGCCATAAGACATGTCAGATAAGAAACGAGGCCCAGGCTAGGTCTAATGTTGTTGGACTAAGGCTAGGCTAGATCTAATTTTTTTTAGAAAAAATTGAGAATTTCTTGAAAAAAAATTAAAACAAAATTACCTGTTCTGATGGTGGCCTATTATCATATTCTTGTAATTGATTCATCGCATCGATATGTTATACTCATTTAATTCATATTTTCCGAATCTCATTTAATCTGAGAATATTGGTTTTCAACGAAATATTTGCGAACTTTTCAAATCTGTTTCCATGTTAAACAAATGGCGGGTCGTCACGTGACTATCTATAGCGACATCTTTCAATGACGTAAAACATTAAATCTAGGTAAAAAGCCATTGCTATCACAGATCCGGAGGAAGATCCAGCCCCTATGGGTAGGCTCAATGAATAAATAAGATTGTGTCTTGTCCTTGAGTATACTGAGCCTAGACACCAAGAAGAGGTACTGGCAGAGGTCCGTGATTGCTATGGTCAAATATTCAACAACTTTTTTACTATTTGGAATTGTTTGTTTATTAAAGTCGCAGGGTGATGGGTTTTTAGATGATGTTCCCTTATGTTATTTAGTCTTTTTTATATTTCCCTTTTGGCTTCCCCTACGTGGGGTACTTTAACAGAGTGACTTCTATGGAGGTACATGGGCCAACCGGGAAGTTTCCTTCAACCATAGATCTACATATTTCATAGTTTAAATTATATTCTACTAAAATCTATTACTGTTAAATTATATAATTATCTGCTTTAAATGGGCTAATTGAAGTCTTTCAGGTTATTGGCATTCAGGGGTAGGCAAAGACAGCTATTGACAGTAGACTGCATATTTCAAAGAAATAACTTATCTTTTAATATTTTTGAGTTGTGATGGGTTGATTCAAAATGTAACTAAACAATGGCATTTCCAGTCCAATAAAATGGTTCATCAAATGCTTATGGCAGCTATCTTTAAAAGGATGAATGGAAGGAGTTCTCATGTCTAAAAAGCTATCAAGAAACACTGCAAACCCCCTATCATTCAATAATTATTGTGAAGTTACCATAATTTTTTTTAATTTGTTTGATTTAATATCAAACAATATTGCAGTGCAAAAGTACTTTTGTACTTGCAATTGGCTGTTCTGTCTTATTAATCGAGGCTTTTCCTTGGTTACTCAGAACAGAATCAAATTCTCTTAAAGATGGTTATATGACACTCCATATTATGTAGTTGTTTTACAGTAGAGGGGGTGCTAGGTTTCAATCAATATCTCTAAATCTTGTTTTTGCCCTTTTACACTGCAAAGTGAAAAGTTAACAAAGTTTGAAAGTGCAGCAAGTTGTTTGGAAATCAACTAAAATTAGTAATCATTTTTCAATATTTTATTTTTATAGTTTTTTTCTTTTTTCCTTTTTATAATTTTCACAATCCAAATACAATAGGAAATCATTTACAATTTGGATAATAATCAATGATAGCTACAGAAGACTATTTATAAAGTCATCAGTACAAATAGTACAAATAGCAACGAAATGTTACCAGATTTTTTATGTCCAAAACTATGAGACTAGAATAAAGGACGAAGACATTAATTTTGTAGTATACTATTTTGTGCTTTTTGTAAACTGAAAAATAACTCCCTTGCTTTACATAATACAAACACAACATATAAGATATAATTTGGAAAAATAGAAATATAACATACAAGAATAATAAATATAGCATGAACCAACAGCAATGGACTTGAGCATAAAATTATTGAATCATGGATACTGAATCATGGATACATAAGTTTTTTATCCATTTACTAGCTCGGTTCACCTCTGTTCATTCATACAATATACTTCTCTATATTACGAAGAACTACTAGATCCCACCCATACTCCTCTATTTATGCAGTTGACAAAAATGATTCTTTTCTTTACAAAGCCAGCATTGTGCATTTTACATCACAATTATATAAACATAGAGAATATTTGATGTACATGTTCTATAGTCTAGCTAATTTGTTCATTATATGAACTGTATATATCAGTATGCATTACATAAACAAACAGGGTGTGACAATATAATAAGGATAAGAATTAATTAATTTTTAATTTCTGAATTTGTAAGTAATTTCATCCATTGTTTTTTGTTTCCCTCATATGTTGGGCAATGAGGAAGTAACAATACAGATTTGAGGAAGTAACAATTCAGATTTGAGGAAGTAACAATTCAGATTTGAGGCATGATTAACATCTTATGAGACAGCTAAATGACATAGAAGATAAATTGACTGATGAGATGTAGTTTATACATGTAATGTTAATTATATTGCTACACCCTGTATGCCCCTGGCAAAGCTTCTAGATCACTGTTAATAGGCTGCAAAATGAAAAATCCTTGTAAGGTTTATCTCGCGGATTTATCTAAAATGGATTTCCTCTACTACAGCCTTTCTTATGACACTATTTACATTTGATATGATACTCTGTGATATATTTACAAGACATGAACTTGAATTAGAAATGTCTGAGCCAGTGGTTTACAAGCATTCGAAAATACACTTTCTGTACCTTATTATAGTTTATGTACAAGCTATATACAATTTTACTAAGTAATCTTATATTGCCAAGTTTCTTATAAATTGTAACTTAAGTGAATCAGACTACTTTTGAGTTTGGTATTCTCTATGGGAACATCAATACATGCAATTTCACTTTCATACAACCATATGTACTAAATTTCATCAAGGGCTTTAAAGATTCACTCATTCTTGTGCAAGATGATTCAAGATTAATGTTTGGTGTTTGGCACAATAAATCTTGAATCTTCTTACACCTAACATAATATATATTTTAGCCTTAAGTTAGACGTGTATAAATACTGCAATTTGGGTACATTAACTGGTACTTTCCAATCAAATAATCATAAAAATCTGTATGTTTTATTCTTATAGATTGTAATGTAGCATTAGTGTCATATGTACTGCTTACTCCATTTTAAATTCAAAATAACATAATTTACCAAAATTTGAGATGCATCTCTTTCAGCACTGCACAGCGAGACATTGTATTAAATCATTTGAGTTTTCAACTCAGAAATCCTTAATAAAAATATTAAGGATATCATTCACTGTGACCAAGCATAATTTCAAGGCTTCGAAAACTTTTGACGCTTTTACATTCCACTGTTTTGATTGCCATAGAAAGGATTACATGGAGAAACAGTACAACCTTTGTAAGTGGAACTCCTTTGGTGCTTTAAAAAGAATTTCTCATTGGAGGTGTTCAATGAATAAGTTTACTTTATATTAAGTCAGAGGTGGCGTTAACGCAATTTTTTACGTTTTTTACTCACATTTTTGCAACTCTGACGCAAATATTCATTGTCTACCGAGTCTTTCTGACGCACGTTTGTTTCACATGCAAAATCCCCGCTTGGTACTTGGTTAAATTGATCCCTATACGTGAAAATACGTGATTGATCAAATTTATAATTTTGCTAATTCCGGAAATCTAACATTTCGTTCAGCGCAATCGAGCCTCCTTCCTACCGATCATTTTCTCATTTCGGTATTTCATATAATTTTTAAAGCCCCGTGATTCAGATTCAATGATAAACTTGAAAACATTGATCGATCCCTCGATTTGTTTATCTCGTGCTAGGGGGCGTATCAAAAATGCAATAAAACGAACATAACATTGAACAATAATTTATTAATTTCATACTCCCTTCTAAGGATTTTAGTGATCGTATATTTATCTAAATTACCGCATAAAATCTTCCCTTGAATGGAAACACGCTAGATTTCCTTCGCTAAGTTAGCAAGTTTCCTTGAGCCGTCCCCTTCATCAGCATGCGCAGATGTAATGCGCAGTAGGTTTATCAATGGTGCTCACAGTGACCGATCTATCGTAAGTTTTCACCAAGTATTTTCAATTAACTCCCTCAAGTTAAGATCTTCGATTCACTAGATCTGAAGCTGATCCTATGAAGATAGATAATGGGCACATGAAAATCCAGTCGATCGCACATTAAGGGGGGTAATGATGATAAATTAGGTATGAAAACAAATCTACTTTCGGTTTCATTTGATCAGCTATAATTACAAGATTCTACCGTATTCAATTTAAATGATGCCCAGTATTGTGGTCGGACTTATATTGCCGTTTTAGACTTTGGAATGATTGCAAAAATGTTGTTCAACATGAAACGCTTTGACCCCAATTTGTGTAACTCCACACAGGGAGAAACTCCTCTCCCACTCCATTCACACCCATGACTCGCTGGACCAGATAATCAGATGATTAATAGTGACATTTTTCTTGCAATTGCCTAATTAATTAATTGTTATATAGTTGTTAATGTGCTACTGTATAAGAGTACAATAAAAGGTATGCACAAAATCAAAAAATAGATTTTGTATGTGGTTTCTACATTTTGTATGCATTTTTACTCAAGAAAAACACTTTTATAGCTTTGACTCAACTTTTTTTCTTGTGACTCACTTTTTTGAAACTACCTGAGTCATGATGACTCACAAAAATATATGCCTACCGCCACCGCTGTAAGTTAATGGTAACCTTACTTGGAAAAGTATTCCACTTATGGAGGTATTCCACTAACAGAGGTGTTCCATTGTACAGGATTTACTGTTGATGACTTATTCATTTTGGAAACAAAAAAACATTATGTAACAGAACATGAGTAGAACCAGCGTCATAGAATATGACAAAGCTGACATTCTGGCAAATATCGACCAGGGACATCTAAAATGCAGACAACTGCAACAAACAAACAAATCATACAAACTAGATCTTGATACTTTTGATATAAATTAGGAATGTTCATTGGTATTTCTATCCACAATTAAGTGTTTGAAGCCATGGTCTAAGCACATGAAGCAATGCACACTAGATTTTCAAATATTATCATAATGAATTGAATTCACTGTGCTCAATTGAATTTTTAATAACCTAATTGCGACTATGACCTTTTCGTTTTCTTGATGGTTTTGTCTTGTGCTCATTTGTGACATTAGTTGACCTGTTGCGAGGGACAAGGAAAACGTTGCCATCAGCCGACTGCTGGAGAGAATAATCCTGTTGGTTATAGGGCTGCCCATTCTCATCACGCAATGAACTGAACACTTCTTGGTAAAGGTGTCCAAACTTTTCCTTCATCTGAATTGTTTCTTTATCAACCATACGCTTGGCTTTGGCCAGTTGGTCTCGCTGCTCTCTCAGCTTCTGGACTTCTTCATCCAAACCACAAATTAAATCCATCTTTCGTTTTCTGCAATTTTGTGCAGCGATCTTATTCTTTCCACGACGGCGTATATCTCTGATGAGTTGCAATTGGTTATCTTTGAGAGGGTGCTTTTGTAGGAGATCGTTGAATTCATCAACATGTGAGTGAATAATCTGATCCATGGTGAGAGGGATCTTCATTTGTTTAGCCTTCTTTTCATCTCTGGATGAGAACAGTGGCTCCTCCTTTATCTTGGGAGGCTTCTTCTTGGGTGCCTTCCTTTCAACTACAACTGGGGGCTGCTCTGGATAGGTATGATTGTGACGGATGTGTTTCATGTCAGGTACAATATGCTTGTATTCCGTCTCATTACTCATGGAGTGATTAAGGAACGAATCGTTGGAGGATGTACTGTAACGCTGGTCATAGCTGTATCGCTCATAATCCTGGTACTTGGACTGCTTGTTGTAGTCGCTTCCTCCAGTTGCGCCCTCCATACCATCAAATGGATTCGATGAGACAGATGCAGTCTCATTAATCTGAAATACAGGAGAGATTGATTTTCAAATCAAGACACAAAAGCTTAAACAAGTGAAACATTTTATGAAGAGGGAAGTTGAAATTCTAGATTATTTAAAAACCTTTGATTTTAGCCTCTGACAAAAGGCAAAAATAGAAAAAGGCATATAAAATATACATTTTTGAATATGGAAACAGTTGCAGTTTTGGTAAAAACAATGGAGAAAATTACCTGATGTGTCTAATGAAAGCCCTGATTTTAAAAATAACTGCACGAATTTTATTACGCAACTTTGTTAAGGGGGAACGTGCAAAAGACTATCCTGTTATATTTAATTTAAAGTAAAAAACATTTGCAATCTTTTTTGTTCCAGAATAGTGTCTCTTCAACAGTTTTACTATCTAATATCTCTTACCTGTGAATGTTGTGATGGTGAGAGAGATCCACCCATTGATACAGCAGAGTCACTGCTAGCATCATCCATCATTTGCATATCTGCAACATAACGCATAAATGTGTGAAACATACCAATTGGCTAAAAGTTAACTTGCTCAAATCAAAAATCCTTGTTTATTGCTAGTTTCAAGATTTGAATATGATCATCGAAAACTTTCTATGTTTATGAAATACTCATTCTCTCGGAAGGGATAAACAATAAATGCACAAAGGAGAATATTAAGTGTTCCATTTGATGTTATATCTTCAACGTGAATGTTTTCAGACACATCAAAGTAAATACACCTGTTCATATTACTTTGTCTCACAATTTAGCTTAGTCATCATCTGTTAATAATCAACTTTGATACAATAATTAAACTGATAACTCAATTGTTCATTTAAACATTGTTTAAAAGCTCGGGTACATTTATGTTGTGGGAAAAAACATTTTCATTGACTTTGGATTATACTGTATTATGTCTTATCCTTTTTTTTATCCTTAATGTTCCATGTGTAAATAGGAAGGAAGTGGGTAGGAAAAGGCATAGTGTTAATTTTCAGAGTCTCAAAACACTCAACACAAAAATATTTTCAATTGGTCAAAATATTACTTTTTGTGCTTTATCATTTCAAATCAAACCTTAAATGAAATCTGTGTAACAACTTTGTTGATCGAATCTAGATGAAAAGTTGTGTCACTTCTCAAGCTTTAAATTCTCACCTTGGTCGACATCCAAGTCAGGTAGATCATATGGATCAAGTCCCTCATCCTCGAGAATGGATTGTAACAGCCCATTGGTCTCTGTGGTGTTGGTGATGTTAGGGAAGAGATCTCCTGTGTCAAGGTTAAGTGTTGTTCCGGTGTTGTTGATTGATGGGACACTAGAGTTGTAGGATTGTGCTATGATGTCACTTGTGAAATTATTGGCTTGGGCATTTCTGTTCATGGTTTCGTCTGCAAGAAAGCATGTTCATTTATACTAGTATGCTAATTGAGGTTATATTTTGACATACTTTACAATATAATCTAGCTGTGCAACTGTATCACATTCAATTTCAGTTTTAGCTTTCTTCTTAGTTTATATTGGCTGGGGTTTGTCTCAAGCCTTCTTATTTGAATCATAAATAATGAACCATGTTCAGCCCCAATAAAAAACTTACTGATGCTATTAAACGTGCCCAATTGGGGGAGTGATGCATTCTGGAGAAGCACATTCTCTGTTGAGTTATCCACAGTAGGGGCCAACTCCTGCATGGTTACATTTGCTTCTGCGTTCTCATTGGTCAAATTCAGCACACTGACAAGATCTTGCCATGTGCTCTCAATATTGGTGTTTTGTACAGGCTCCACCTAATAATTAAACATCAAAAGTTAACAAATATTTCTAACAATTTAATATCTTTACGAGAGATAGATTGGCATATATCAGCAATGTAAAGACTTCATAACCTATCGGACAAGAAGGATAGTTGAAAAGTGTGTGCACTTCAAAGATTTCCATTTTACTCTGTTATCACACGAACTATTCATTGCTTCATGCAAAGAAATTATGACATATAACATTAGATCAGTTTACCTGTGGTGGCTGTTGCTGTTGTTGTGCAATGTTAAGTGTGCCATTGAGGATCATCATGCCTTCTTCAGCCTCCTTCTCCAAGATACGCATCGTTTCCTCCATTGAAGAGAAACTCTGCCATAAAAATCAAAAGCATTAACAATCTGGTACAACTCAAGTCTATCACCCTTTCCCTATTGCATATATACATGTATATCTACAGGGTGGGCCAATAAAAATTGGAACATTTTTCTATTTACGACCATTAATTTGAATTTTATACCTACCAGGGGCCATGAATTTGTATAATCCCCAATCTACTAAATCCGGATAAATTTTATCTTTTGGGATAAATCTTGGATTACTAATCCGATAAATATTTGGTGAATTTGTACGATCCGAGGATTATGAGGGGGAATCCCCAAGATTTATCCAATTTGCATTGGAATTTCGGATAAAATTTATCCAAAAAGTAATCTACCTCAAGAGATTAATCCCAGGATGGTCGAATTCACCCCAGGTGTTTGAAAATTGAGAATTGTCTCATACTGCACTGTTTTTTTTCTTCAAACTTGTTCTATTAAAAGCAAAACAAAATTGCCTTTCTGTTGAAACACTTCTCACAGCTGGGGACCCAAAAACTGCTAAAACGAGGGACTCTGTACAATAAAGCAATGCATCGACAGAAAGGCATTTTTGTTTTCCTTTGAATGGAACAAGTTTGAGGAAGAATGATGCAGTATAAGAATCACAATCCTTGATTTTCAGTTGGACCCCAAAGATTACACCATTAGTTTCATTCTAAATTATTTATATGCAAGTACAAAGATAATCATATCTTAAACTTACCTCATTTGTATTTTGTGTATTGCCATTGGTGATGTTGGGGCTTGAATCTGTTGTGTTAACCACAGGAACATTCTCTGCTTCGGGAGGTCCAGGGAGGTACTCACCTAGCAAACAAAACGAATCATTTATAAAAATCTTGTATAACATATGAGGATGCTTTGTAAATCTATCAAGATATCATTACTATTCATGAGTGTAACAGAAAATCTGAATTTTTTATTTCTGTTTGAAATTGAGGTCCACCCATGTAGCTCAGCGGTAGCGCAGGTACCTCTTACGCAATAGGTCCCGGATTCGATCCCGGGTTCAGGCAAGACTAAATTTGCTTGTTTGTGTGAAGTACTTCAGGGTGTTTGACTGAGTGGTCTGCAACTCGTACAAAAGGCTGTGGTGTGTACTTATATGTCTATGTATAAGTGCACATAAAAAGAACACAGGACTCCTTCAAGGAGGGGTTTCTGGGTCTATCTTCCATGTTAATTACGTAAATTACGACCGTATATATACGGGACATACCCAAGAGGTATTGCTCACCTTCATTGGTGGTAAACAAAATACAATACAATATACAAGATTATTGTTAGAGGTTTCTCCAGAATAAAATAGAGATTATCCTATGTAATGTTCAGGATATTTGGATTTGCCAGAGGCTATTTTTATAGATTCAGGTGGATTATCCTAATTATTGAAATTATTATACTGAAAGTAACTGCATCCTACACTGAAATTCAAAAATTGAACAAGTTTTGGATGGAAAATAAAAATTGAAAGATTAAAAAAAGTCTGGACCCACCACATGATCATAATATAGTACAAATAACTGGCAGATTACCATTAATTGTAGCAATTTATATTGATTTTGTCATATCCACCATTTGATCATACTTTATTGTATAAGTACTGAGCTCCTGGTATTTTTCCATGCGATTTAGTTTCTTGCTTTTCGTAATTGCGGTAAAATCGTGAAAATTAATCTTCACGAAATTGTCGATCAAATCCCCGGGGATTTGTGAAATTCTTATTACATGGAACTCCATTGCATTTCGTGATTTGTAAAATGTTCAGTTTTATTAGGTGATAAATGGGATTCTAAGCAACAATGTCAATCAATCCCCAAACAAGTCAGTCTCCACGGAATGCACGTCCAAAACAAATCAGCGCTCTAAGGGTTAATAGCCGTGAAATTGTGTTTTCTCAAAATTTGCGAAATTTAAACTCGTGAAATTAACAATTAAGAAAAATAGCCATTTCTTACCAGTTTCACTGTCTATGATCCAGTTTCCTGTTGCATAGGGGTCAAGCTCCTTTTGCTTTTGTGATTCCTGAAGGAGTTGCTCCTCCTGAAAAAACATGTAGTATAAGCACCCATCCATAACCACAATCACAGGATCTCAAGATTACAGGTTGAGGTTTCATTTTGTTTGTTTAGATGAGAGTTGATACTGTTCTGCACAGTGTAATTGTATGTATTTTCTATTGTTTTAATGGAGTGATTCATATTTACACAGAATAACAGGTGAAAATTAGATAATCTAATTGTAAATAACAAAACTGACAGTTAAAAGAAACTGTTGTCTGTTCTGGTAGTTCTATTGTTGCAATTAACTTTAACTTTTGCACTAATTGTTTTATGATCCTGGCTTATTGTTGTGAGCATCACCTGCATGAGTTGCAGATTTATCTACACGTGACCTGTCTGCTTAACAATTATCTCTTAATATCTCCAATAACATATTTTGGATTTACATATGACAATTATCTAAAACTTTTGTCTAACTAATCCCACATGCTACAAATGATTATTCAGAGTAGCATTTTATGAGTAATGGCAAATGTTAAAAAAGAAAGTTCAGTTAATGTCATTTTTAATCCAGTGTTTTCTTAAGTTATTCATTGATAATCTTTAAACAAAGGATCATTTAAAAACCATCTGCTACCAAATACTGTATGTCAATAAAGACAACCTTGATAATGAAAGCACTGTTCTGAAATTTTGAGAAGAATATGAAGGAACTAGTCTAACCATAGGTAAAAATTCCAGGAAAGTATCTACCCCTATTTGATAAAATATTTTCAAAAGCAGTGAACAGAAAAAATCAAATCAAATTAAAAGCTCTATTGAAAGTTGAAACAAATAATAGGGCAAACCAAAGGGCTCTCTTAGATTTAACTTGTCCATGTTCTTCATACAACTTCATAGCTTACCTTTTGCTTTTGAAGTTCGAGTTCTCTCTCTTTCTCAAGTTCTTTCCGAAGATTGATGTCGAAAACTTCCCTCCCGACTCCAAGGTCAATATCCTGGCGCCAAAGTACCTCAATGAGATCCAAGTCCTAAAATTCAGAAATAATATTCTAAACTTACTTGACTTTGTAAATTATAAATTGTATTTTCAATTGTATTAAGCTTATTAATAGCTGTTTTTAGCTCATTAATAGTAACTGTTTTAGCTCATTAATAGTTGCCTCATTAGTTAGTTTGCGAGTATCAAAACCAACAAATGGATAAATTAAATTTGGTTTAAAAAATGTAAACAATTATCATTTTTGTCAATTACTAATATTATTAAAAATATTATTAACTTTGTTGACATTAAATTAAATCAGAAGATTAACACAAAATTATAGATCGATAATCAAATAGATATAATGAACATTTACAGATTAAAAATATCAATAGTCACCATAAGTATTATTATCAACATCGGTCATTCACACATGTCCATAAAGGCATTTACACAATTAAGTTGGTCAATGTAAATGAATTAAAAAAATCTTACTTGTAATCTTTCAAATAAGAATGATTTCGTATATAATGAAAGTTGTTGTATCCAATAGATTGACATTTTACTGTGGTAATCCACATGATGACATTTCCGAAGATTTAATGGTTTAGGAAAGTTCATATATGTGGATATAGTTTAACTAGTTTAGAGGGGTGTATTGTTCTATGAGCCATTATATATTTAATTAAATCAAAAACTGCAAAGTAATGCTATTAATTTGTTGGTTTGAACATATATCTATTATTTCATTATTTGAAGCCACTTGAACAAATATCACTAATGGTAAAATACAAAAGCAATATGCAGTATATATTCATTAATTTGAATAGGATGCACAAAGTGTAAAAGGGATAAATTTAAGACACCTTTCAGGGGCATAGCCAGCTTTTAGTCAGGTGGTGCGACCGCCCAAAAAATTCGGTTTTTATAAACAAGCCAAAAAATAAGATTTATCTTGAATTTTACAAAAATCTATGTAACTTCCTTCAAAATCGCCCCCCCCCCCCTGGCTATGCCTATGCCTTTACTAACATGCTTTTGCATTTTATCAGTTCACAATAGATAAAATATTGTTTGGTCTCCAGGCCAAATATATACTCTGTAATAATATAGATAAATAATTATTTTCTACTTTCGACAACCAAAGCTTTTGCAATTGTTAACTTCAACTTATAGCTCATAATAAATAGGTTTGTAAAATCCTAATGTAGATGGTTCTGTAACAGGATGGTAGGAGGATGGTAGGAGTCAAATGATGCAAAGTGATACCATATGCCATCCAGTATGGGGGATTTAGGGCAACAAATTTATTACCTTGTTCCCATTGACCCCCATGTTAAAAAAACCTTGAAATGTGAACACCTCTCAATTTGAACAGTGAACAGTCATATTTGAAAAATTAACCTGTCTAATCTGAACACTTTTCATAATATTTCACATCATACAAAATTGTTCAAATATTGTTATGATACCAAAACTTTGGGATAAAAACTTGAATGGTCTTGATTATAATAGGGCTTTCCAGCATGACTAGATCCATTTGAATAGAATTTTCAAATTTCTGAAATGCCGTAAAACTATGTGGTCAAATGAACTATAAATATGTACTGAGAATGTGTTCAGATTTATTCAGAATCCGGAGTCTCGTGAATGCAAAAACCTCAAAATGTGAACACCTCCTAATCTGAACGCTTTAAGTCCCAATGGCGTTCGGATAAGACAAGTTTTACTGTAGATGGTAATGCTTGTTCGTAAATTTCTTCATCGTCGTTGCAAAACGTATGCATTATCAGTATTCCGGATGTAGAAAAGAAATTGAAAAATCGAGCAGGCATCTAAGTCTAAAAAGATGGCAGTTTGGAAGTATTTTGGGACTCCGATATCAAAAGGTTAACATATTGGTGATAGCACACTGCATATTATGTGAAACGCCGATCACATTCGCGGCAGATGCGTTATATTAGATTTTAATTGACGATTTCATTTCTGAATGTGATTTTGAAAAGTGAAAGTGAAACTGCCATCATCATACCCTTGCATCATTTTTCTTTAATGTTCCGTCCCATCCCAAAAGTACCGTGTCCCGAGGCCATTTGTACCGTTCCGTACTGTACCGAAAATTTTTGGACCGTGACACCTCTACTAATCACTAGTGTTGTCGCGATTAATCGATACATCGCAATATACATCGCCAAAGCTAATTCTGGCGATGCATCGATGTCTGAAACAAAACATCGACGTTTTTAAAAAAAATTCATTTGCTAAAAATCACACTTTCTATCTTATTTTGACACAAATTGCTTACCTTTCTCATGTCTTATTTCATTTTCCAATGTTTTCTTATATTCTTTCGCTTTAAAACTGTTTTAGCTAGTCGAAATGAACCAAAAACAATTACTTTACTTTCATTTCACCGTTACTAGAAGTTCCCGGATGTACCAGCATACTCTTATTAATTTGTTCTTTTCGGTATTTTAGTGCATTAGTGTTCGGTATTTCAGTGCACTTTTCTCAGACTTTTTCTCGATGTTCATCGCGATGTGCATCGATGTTTACAACTGAAAATTGCTGATGCATCGATGTACGATTATGCCACATCGCGACAACACTACTAATCACAAATGTTGCAAGTCTGAAGTGCATACTACAGGTTTTCTAATACATTGCAGTAAATGTCACTGTTGTCACACACAAAGATCTCTCAAATGCAAAATTGATCATAGGTTCTATGATAAAATCTACAAAAACAACATGCAGAAAGTTATTCGTAGAAATGATTTACATGATTATTATACCTCTTTTGTTAATTCACTATCTGGAAGGGGTAATTGAGCATCTTGTGTTACTGCCTCCTCAGGCAACTGAGACCCATTGTCATGGCTACCTGCACTTGATGATGTGCCACTGTTGTTGTTTTCATCTTCTGGTATGGCACTATTGTCATTTATACTTGGCAGATTTAGTGTGTCGGGGGTGACTAATTGCACTGTGATTTCAACATTGTTATTGTAATCAGATTTCTGATTTTGCGAAAGTTTTCTGAGATCTCTAAACACTGAATTAGTGTAATATTCATCAAAGGTGTTAACACTTTTGTGATGCCATGCTATAGGGCTGCCGACTCCATTGAATAAGTTCTGATGTAGCGTCAGTCCCGATGTCTGACCAAAAATAATTTCTTGTATTTGATTATCCTGTTCATTTACTATTCCAGCACTCAAATAATTGTCAAGATCAGTGCGCATCAGACTGAGCAGAAGCGCAATCTGTACCAGTCCTTCCGTAAAATATCTCTTCATCATTTTGATTATGTTTTAATTACAGATATCAGTGTTTCTGTATTTTGTTGTCCACTACCATCACAAAGGTCTTTGTTTGATATGTTCTTTGTTTGAACTTGTTTTCCTTTTCCTGTTGACAAAGAAATAACGAATTTTGCAAATTGATTTGAAGGTAATAAACATAATTTAACAGCTCAATATTGGATAAAACATTGCTTTCAAAGACTGATTTTTACGAAGTATTAATAAGATTGTGTAGAATACACTCAGCAGGTAAATTACGTAGATTTTTCAACATTTTTCATCACTCGATTCAATGGAATTCATGAATTTTCTAAAATCAGAGATAAGAAAGAAGTTATATTTAGGCCTTAAAAGTGTTATAACTGGTATCAATAGAGACAGACTCGTGTCTCTTTTGTTTCTAACGTTATTTATAAATGCTATTTTATCGTATATAATGAGATGGTATGCATATTTACCACATTATTTGACGTTTTGTTTGTTATGTTTTGCATCCATGATTCAGCACTTGCCGGGTGATGTCAATGAGTAATGCGCATGCGCGAGTCTAGAAGTGTTGTAATAACTACAGGGTAACACCAAGGAGGATTGGAAGCCAGGGTTCCAACTCGATATTCTTTAATCTCCACGCATGCGTCATTTGCTATTCGTGTCTGTATAGTTTGTACGACTGCATGGAGAATGACCCGATACTCTCCAACAAAGCTATCGCTAGGTGATTGTTTTGCAGAATATCGGTGTTGCATTCTGGGAGCCAATCCTCCTTGGGGTAACACACAATAATTTTTAAACACTCGTAGCAACTGTGGTTTTACTGGTAAACTGGGGGAATCAAATATCCTAACTAGGACTGTACAACCACTGTGTACAACTTATCATCTAAATATCTAAAATACATGGTTCTACAGAAACGAGGTTATGATAATGTCCCGGGCCATGTCTCCATGGTTTGGACTCATCTGTCAAGCTAGTTCTACGATCTAGGCCTAGATCTACATGTACTAATATTAGGGATTCTTGTAGGCCAAACTAATTAACTCCAAAACCATGCCGTGCATGGGTTTCCGACGCTAAAGTTAATGAATATTCCAAGTGACAATTAGATTTAATCTCACGCCGTCATCTCGTGTTCGTTACGATACCAAACCACTCAGCGACGCTATCGACATATTTTCATTCAATCGACTTGTTCAAACTCACCATATACGTCATCCTTCTGGCTGACTGGCTGAATTCTCCTTAGAAAGAGTGTAAAAAACAATGTACTACATAGTAAAAGTGTGGTTTACTTACTTGTTGTTGCTTCTCTTTATATCCATGTACATTTACTTGGTTCAAAATATCAACATCCATCTTGTTTGTTGTCAAGTAGCCTAGTAGGCCTATTGGAGTTCAAAATCTAGAACGTTGAGTTTTCTGTTCGCTCTACGTTTCTGTCGTTTCTCGTCAATATCACCTTTGGAATTACTATGCTACGGCCTAACGTATGATGCACTGTCTTCCTATAGATACCAAAATGAACTGAGTTTTTCCCCAAAATGAAACTCTTCGATAAAAACCAGTAGCACAATCCTTCTATTTTCCCATTATTTTGTTAACCCCTGTATTTTCTGTAAACATGAATTCAAAGATGACGTCATTTTATCTAGAATCCAAACTTTGCTGTTACACTTCCCTACGAAATAGCGTGTTTTTAAAAAAAGTTTACAGTTTTATTTCATGATTGTATAAGACAGACAAAAGATTATTTTTTTAATATATCACAATGTATATTTCATAATTTATTATTTTGTTTTGGGCTCACGATGGTTAACGTTTGCTATTTCATTGTACTAATAAAAGTACATCTGACACTGTACACAACGAAATACAATAACAAGTTAGAAACTAAATTAGTAGTCCCGGGGAATCCTGTATCATAGCCTGTATACAACAACGCCACCTTTTTAACGTTGCAACGATAAAATATACTGCGACTAAAGAAAATTAAAGGACGATTCTCGGTTTGGAGAACAGTCTCCTGGGCTAATAATTTTTTTCATGAAAAATATAGAAATATTACCCAAATTAAACTATGAATATTCAAAAGAGGACATTTAAATCTACAAGATGTAAAAATAACAAATTGGTCTGAAGCAGGGATAACGCTCAATTAGACCGATTCAATAAAATACAAGTCTCGATTTGGAGAAAGAAGTTCATCAGTGTACTGCGCTAACATTTTTTTGCGAAAAATCTAGAAATATTACCCAAATGAAATTATGACTATTCAAAAGAGGACATTCAAATCTATATTATGTGAAAAAAATCAAATTTGTCCGAAGCAGGGATAATGCTCATTTAGATTGATGAACTTCGTTCTCCAAACCGAGAATCGTCCTTTTCAAAGTTGATAAACTCTTTTCAAAACCACATTTTTATGTAATTTTACACGGAGATTCCAAATATGATATCAGTTTGACTGAATTTATACTTCTTGAATAGCCCGGGAGCAGTTTCATATTTACTTAAGTTGTGGCCCCTTTCCGATTAAGGAAAGATTAATCCAAGATACTAAGCTTACATTATGTTGGTGATTTATTTTACACTTTAAAGTGTTTGACAATAAATAAAACTGGGAGAAAACACTATTTTCTCGGAGACAAACTGGGAGGGTTGCCAGAGTGGGAGGGGCAAGGGCGTCCCCCCCCCCCTCCCAAAAATTGACCATTTCAAGGTGTTCTTTGATGATGTCTGTCTGGACACTTTTGCAGTGTAGAGGGAAGGTTGGTCCACTCGGGCTGGTCCACTCCCTCTAGAAGAATTTTACAATCTTAAACTGCTATTTGGTAATCTCTGGGCAGTATGATCGTATGGGTCAAATGAGCAAGGGTTGTCTCCCCCAAAAAATATCGATCGTTTCAATTGGCTAATTGATGGAGTCTGGGCACTTTTAAAGTGTCTAAGATTATAGGATAAAATCAGAATTTTCATTTCGATTTTATTTTGACTATGCTATTTGGTTATCCCTGGGCACTTCAGTCAATTTGGGATTAAAATGAAAGAAATTTATTTGGGGCCGGGGTAGCCAGAGGGGATGCGCTAGAGGAGGAGCAAGGGCTTGGACAAAGGCAAAAACATTGACCACCTCAACTTAATTGTTATTTGATGATGTCTGGGAACTTTTAAAGTGTCTGAGACAATAAATAGAATAAATTCAGAATTTTTGGGAAGGGGGTGTGAGGTAGCTATAGGCCCACTTCCTCAAGAAGATTTTTCCTCAAAAAAGAAATTGATTTTTTCTAATTTTTCTTTTTGCGAGCTAGTGCCAGAGCAAGTCCAATCTGTACAAAAGTATCGTATGACATTTTCAACAAATTTTGAAATAGAAATAATTTATAATGCCAAAATGGATCATAATATGCCATAATAACACAATATTTTAGTCTTATGAAATCTGGTAGTTCTGATAATATAAGGGATCTGATACGGGATTATTGGTTGATACGGGATCTGATACGGTATTTTGGCTTATACGGGATCTGATACTGGATTTTTGAATATCATTTTTATTCCCGGTTTATTTCCCTGGTAAAACATGTTATTATATTTACGTATGGAATAAACTTGCATATCAGTTCACCCTTATCTTATGTATCTGATAGTTATACAAACATGAAAAAATGTCAAGTGAAAATTAAATTTTCAAAATTGATTAACAAATTTTGAAAACTCATTTTTAGATACAATTTTAGGCCACTTTGGATTTAAAATGTATCACTTGTACTGTATTTTGAATATTAAATGATGCAAAATTTGCAAATCAAGATTATTTCTACTCGCATCTGTCTATGAGCAGCTATGAGATGGCAAAATCGATCATGAACTTTGAAACATCATATTACTGCGATATTTATTAGAAAATAGAATTAATTTATACGCTAAGGAATGCGACAGTTTAAAATTTATTCTGTGACTGGTTCGATCCCAGGTTCGATGAGTTTTAATCTATGGCCATATTTAGAATTGAGTTGGAAAAAATGACCCCTGTATTTAATTTGGCCTTCAAAAGTGCATATTGCGATTCGTAATTTGATTTTCAAGAGGCAAATCTTTTATGTGACATAAAACCCGCTTTCTCCGGAAAGGGGAGTGGAAACATAATCAAAACAGATCACGATGGTCATGTATTCATTAGTGTCGCAGATATTAGGTCCATCCCAGAGCGTTCAGCGAACAGCTCATTTATGTTTACGAGCGTCTCGTGGTCTCCTCCGCTCTCTTATTGACGCACGTTGTCAACGCAATCATTATTTGATCCATACGGTTACTATTTAACAACGCTATCTGCCTTGATTGAGAAAAATAGTATCACCACAAAGGGAGTTTTCTGGGAGCAAAATTGCTGACGTTGTCACAGCACTTCATTACAGGACTATAAAAGTGAAGTTGAAAATTAATCCTGATATTATTAAGCATCCGAGCTCTGATAAGGCGTCTACTGAAAGAGAGGAAAGGGCTAACAGGGAACGCACTCGACTGCAGCAGAACAATGGTGAAAGCAACAGTGGTACTTTCCTGTTTAACAATATTTCTAAATCTTATATTATGTTCAAATGGAGTATTTTTCACAGAAAGTAGAGAGAACGACTTTCCCAGATTAGGTAAAAAGAGATCACAAGGAAATTATGGGCTGTTTCGTACCAATGATAGGGAGAACGAGTTACCTAGAATTGGTGCTAGAAAAGGACTATATGCAGATCGGGGTGATGGAGAATTTAACGCATTTTCAAAGTTTGACAGCAATGAAGACGAGCGCGTGTCCCTCAAGGAATACCAGCATCAATTTGAAGCTTTGAAATTATTAGAACAATGGCTCATGGATGTGCTCTTTAGAGCTTGGGACAAGAATGGTATGTATGCGTAGACCGGTAACTGGTCAACTCGTACCCAAGACAAGTCGTACCCAAGACAACTCGTACCCAAGACAACTTGTACCCAAGTATACATTTTGTTTTGAATCAAGCGTTGACTGGGAATGTGAATAGATATACATATTATAATTGTAACATACTGTTCAGAATAGTTTAAAGTTTGAAGAAGAATTTTCGGAAGAAATTGATTTAATTTTGTGACATTTTGAGCTGAGTTTAAATTTGTATTGACTATTATTTTATATCGGTCACAGATTCAAAATATTGTATGTTTATATATGAGTGTTTGGAACAAGTGTCAGATCTAATGTTGTAATTATATTTATTTATATATATGTTTGACAAGCGCTTCAAGCACTTCTTTTATTTAATAAAAAAATGCTTTGCTGATCCATTGAGAAAAAATGTCGTCTAAATTCAAAAAATATTGAGGATTATTTGATTCACATTATAACATGAAAGCATTACAAACTCAATTTTTCCCCCAATATGCACCCATAATAGTGAAAATAATCTTGGGTACGAGTTGTCTTGGGTACGAGTTGTCTTGGGTACGAGTTGTCTTGGGTACGAGTTGACTAGGAAGCCGTAGACCAATACAGGTAATAATGATCTATGTACAGTAGCCACATCTTGATTCACATGGTTCCAGCTCAGATGCTCCAACTTCACCTTGATAATCTAACACCCTGGAAGTCGAAGTTCGCAGTATCCATGTTTAGGCAGGAAAGGGGTGATAATCCTTTTATTTCCAGAGAAATTGGAGTGCAAAATCCTTTCTCGTGTTAGGGTCTATTGCCAAATCTTTCTCTTTCGAATTTCATTTCTTCAGGTTGGGAATATTTCACTTTGGATAAATATTAGATACAAAAAAGAGATAAAGATTCAAAAACAGTTTGAAACAATTTACCACGAGAGCTTTAAATAGGAAAATAACTCGGAATAATTATTTTCAATTCAATCCAGAGATCAAAACTGGCATTTTCTAAGGCCTATTATCGATGCGATAAACTTAAATATGTTTCATAATTTGACGAATCGGTCAAGTAGTAATCAAAAGGTCACTTCTGATTCATCTCCAGTTGCATAAGCCCATTTACATTTTAGTAGCCTACATTTCTATATGATGTTGTTCATGACACTTTGCATGGCTTTTTAAACATATGAGGCGACATCGCAGTACCCCTTCTCGTCCAGTTGCCTATTGGACGGCTCTTTTATAGCTTCATGGGTTGGTGCTTACAGACCTGTGCCTAAAGTTTTACCTTATGGAATGCTTATAATTTATAAATAGTTTATAAGGTGGCACCTACTCGTCCAGTTAACATTTCTGGAGGGACATTCAAATGGGACCTCATCTTGATCTTGAAGCCCCATGTAATTGTATGAGTTGAAATAATTTTGATGTATTGATGTGTTTTTCTATTACCATTTCGAATATTCAAAATCCTTCCGTTCCCATGTCAAATTTTTAGATATGCGCCGCCGGAAAAAAGAGTGTGCGAGTGATTTAGACTCACAACTCGAGGAGATATGCTTAGACATGCAATTATGGTACATGTTACGAATAAACAAGGCATTAACATGCAAAAGAATGTCACAACCTGCCATTTGTTACAGACGCTGACCGCAGAACGCCGACCAAACACCGTCCAAACTGAAAAGAAGTTGGAGACCATACAATATGTCACCATTTCTAGTAGTGACGTAAAAATGTTTGACAATAAACATAACATTCACGGTCAAGTGAGATCTTGTCGATTTTGCTAATAGCAAAACGATTAATCCCATGGGAGTTACAGTAGTGTGTCTTTTATTGAATTGAACTGAAATGAACTGGGCTGACATACTTTGTTTTGCATTGTGATATTCAATCAACCTAGCATAATTAATTAAAGAAACCGATTTATGAACGTGTTTTGTTGGTGGATCTCTGAAGGAATCCACACTAATTACTCATGAATAGTAGATGGGGACCACTCCGGTTCTACTCTCTTTATACGCCCCTAATGATGTAAGTAGTACATATATACGAGGCATCTAGGCACTGCAACATGACGCATAGAATGGGTTGAATGAAAAGTTATGACTCCAAACCATCAAATAGAATATAGAACAGCACCATTAGAGAACTGGTAATGACTCTATAGAAATGGGATAACCCAAGGTGTTTTTATAACTATTATTTCACTTTATCTAACTAATCAAATGATTTTAATAGCTCAATAAATGAAAGAGAAGCAAAATGTTACCATGGAAACTGTGATCATTCGGAATATATTAATCCAACATTTTGCGTGTTTAATAATCGAAATAACTTTCTCAAATCAGATTTATTCTGTCGAGAGTTTATGCGGAATCAGACAAACAATGTTACATATCGTGAATAATTTCAATTTACTTGTAGAGCAACTAATTTCCATTGTCCGAAATAAATACTAGTAATACTGCACTTGATTTTGGCAAATTGTTTTTATTCAAAGGGAGGAGGCGTTAACAATCCTGCTACAGTACCCCCGTTTTAAAAAGTCGTCCTCGATTATATTTTAGTGGCATTCTACGACAATTTAATCTAGAAGTCATTTGCGTTCTAAAATAATTTACAAATAGAATATCGTTCTAAACAATGATTAAACCATCCTTATAGTACTTAAAACAATCGAGGAAAATGACAAAGATATACAAAGATAGATGGATAGTCAACGTGCAATGTGAATTTATATTAATCAAATAGCTTGTAATGCGGTCGTTGTTCCTTTAAACACATTTAGAAAATAGCGTTTTTAATTCATTGTTTAATATCTCTCAATTTGGAAGACATTGGCAACCTTTACGATTAGAAATCGGACTGGTAAACGAATATGTCTTTGCTAGCCGTGAGATATTTGCCAATGTACTATTTCTTCTATGTGGTGTGGTATTCTAATGAATCGTGTTTTTAAAAGTATTTTTTCACAGACTACAGACTTCGAATTATGGGTTTTCAAGTTTTGAGTAATAGTGACGTTCGTAACTGAACATAAGAACGATCATGTGTTGCTTCTATTCAAATAAAAAACCTTCTTCAATCGTCACGTACACGAAAATATAAGTTCTTTTTTTGATGTGTACCCATTAAATTATTGGCTTTGACGATCCATGTACCATGTTAACATTTCAGCAACGAGGGTTTTGGCCAGGAAATTTGAGCTTGAATGACATTCCAAATGACAAGATAGACGGGTGTCGAATTTAATTGCAAATATATTGCTTGAATTGTGTTTCGAGTCTAGCCAACACAAATCTTTCATGTACCTACAGTAATTCAACTGCAACCCATGCTCTTCCACTTTACTAGTAATAATGATCAATGGATAAGACATCTCTTGAAGCTAGATAATAGTTTAATTTTGATCAATCGGATATTTATATGCAGTGCCACAATTGCCCAATAGGCACATCCTTAATGAGAATGTAGAGTAGCATATACTCCAGTCCTCATCACTCCGCAGTGTCCTAAGTTAGTTCATCAGGGAGATGAAGCTCCTTTATGAAACATTTTACACGTTGCACTAGCTCACCATATTTCAAATGATGTTGAACATAACTTTCTATCTCAATAGGTGAAATAGTTTGTGAGGTAGTGGTTGATAGAGCCCATGGTGTGATGGAACCGCATTTTACATTTATCAACCTGTACTTGTTAACCTAGACCTGAAATAGACGTTAAATTGCACATTAGATCATTTCACCTTAGATCGCTATATAATAAAGTCATAGTCTCTCACAAGCTATAGATAAAGAGATACTCTTTTCTTTTTTTATCATAACTTTATTTCCATAAATCAAATAATAATACATACATACATATGAGCGGCTTTGTTAAAAAAAACATTACAAGCCACTTTGACCTTCTGATGAATCTGAATGTGAACTCTGTACTTTAAGTATCCGAAAATCTGGTAACACCGAATTTACCATCTTGATTCACAAGGTTTCAGTTGCTCCGACTTCATTATTAGTGTTATACCCACCTTGGAATTCGAATATGGAATTTACACAATTTAAGTCACGGGGTACCACCTATACGGGACGTATCGAAACCACTACGTCCCGCAAAACCATTAATTTTAAACCTACCAAGTGTTTGAAAATCAAGGATAGGATTGTGAGTCCCATTCTGCACCGTTTTTATTCAAACGTATGCCATTGAAAGAAAAACAAAAATACCTCTCTGTCGGTGCATTGCTTTAGTGTACGAAGTTCCTCGTTCTAGCGGCGTTTTGGTCCCCAGCTGTGAGATCAAGCAAATTTTCATAACTTTCAACTATAAATCTAGTTTTTTCGCCAGTCTTTTACTCATTCTCGCCAATAAATTCAAAATGGGCCCCCATTACAACCCTCCATGCAGTGCCAGTGCACATCTGCTCAAAATCGACCAATACGTCCCGTCGTCTTTCACGTCGTCTTTGTAGTAATAAACTCGACGGGGCAGTGCAGTGACCCCGGCCATTACGCCTAACCATCGACAAGGCACGGTGACAAAATATACCGTTGTGCACTTTAGATGTACGGTCTCACTATTTATTAACTGATTTGAAGCAAAAACTATGATGCAGGTGTGATGTATGTTTTGAAAAATTAATCTTTGGAATACTTGAAAGATTTCATGTTTGATTTCGTGTGTATTCGCTTTGGAAGACTTTTAGAGTTTCTGGTTACGTTAAAAGATTTTCGAGCAATGATCGATTTTTTTCGTAGTTAACCTACCCACAAAATTGATCGATTGGAAAATGTAGGGGTTTTCACATTTCCTTTGATCATTTCCTCCCCTGTCGCCTAAAAGTGTCGATTATTTTTATGAGAAAATTAGAAATGGGCGTTGTCAACTCGAATGTACGTTGTCCCTGTAATTGAAATTCATGAGATTATACGTAATAGTAAACAATGTAATGATTTCATTTCAAAATTTCTTTCACGAATTTGTTCAAGTATCCTTTTTGCCTTTTCATTTTATGAAAGTATTGTTGTGGTGGTGGTTAATTTGTGCCCATTTGGTGTTAGCTTCAATTTCTGTTTCAATTTTAAATGCATCTGACCCCCGTGTCTGTTAGTGTTATGAAATATACGTTGCCTGCATTAGGGTTAACTGTGTGAATTGAGTAAGTGCGATGGGACAACGTACATTCGAGTTGACAACGTACACTTATGATTTTTTAGATTACAGCCAAAACGTTTATACTTATTAAATCTTCAAAAGACCTTAATCGTGTTGTTTAAAGAAACATATTCTCATAAAAATATTCGACACTCTTAGACGACAGGGGAGGAAATGATCAAAGGAAATGTGTAAAAAACAGCATTTTCCAACCAATTATATGTGGGTAGATTGACTACGAAAAAAAATCGAGCACTGTCCGAAAATCTTTTAACGTTATTAGAAAGTTAAATGCCTTCCTAAACGAATGCACAAAATTCAAACATGAAATCCTTATAATCTATTCCTCAGATTATTTTTTTAAAAGCTACATCAAACCAACATCATTGTCTTTAAATCGGTTAAATAGTACATAGTAATATCGTACATCTAAAGCCATGTCATGTGTTATTCTTCTCGACAAATCAATTCGAGCCTTTCTGTATCTCGCTTTCATTTGCTGTATATCTCATTCTTCCCTGGTATATGGCACATTCCGCATGTGAGTGTGACACATACCGCAGGTGAGTATCGGGTATACAACGCGACCTCGACCATGAATAGTTGCCATATTCCGCGTAACACCGTGTATGAAATTATTTGAAATTTTATTTTCAAAGTTGACATTAAGGTTGAGTCATGAATCAAGATTTATAGACACATGCTTTTATGATGATTAAATCGCCTAGATTGTATATATTACAACTCAGTTTCATCTCAGTTTACATCTCAAGTTGTCACAAATGCGTCGTCAATTAATTTGAATCACCGGTTACTACACACACTGGGAATCAACTGAAAACGAGGACAGGTTGTCGTTGTCCGGGTTTCCGCGTGGCCGCGCTTCTGGGATCAGAATATTGAAAGAATTTTTGTTCTTTTCAATTGTATCACTATGGTGAACTGAATTCAACAATGTTTTTCTCTTAAACCAATTATTGAAAACATTCTGTAAAAACACGGTCCGTTATGCAATGTTGACTGATTGGCAACTATTTAATGCAAAAATTATTCATATAAATTTTATACAACTGTTTTTTAGTCCAATTGTTTTTTTCTTTCTACCAATTCTTGAGAATGAAATAAAATGTCTTTCCGAACCTTGTTGGAACAAAATAGCATACAACATCTTTTTAGACCTCTCAATGTTACATGTACAATGGAGATTTTGGTTGATTTTACAAAATGTATGCAAAAACTTAAAACAACCCCCCCCCCCCCAAAAAAAAAGATAAAAATTAAGATTAACATTTTGTTTCATTAACAAGATACTTTTTTAAAATCAACCAAACTTTCCTTTGTACAATTATAATATTGAGAGACCTAAACACGTTGTGTTTATGTCGTTTTGTTCCAATGAGGTTCGGATAGATGTTTCATTTCATTCCGAACATATGATACCAAGAACAAAAGAAGTGTCTGATGTGTTTTCTAAAACAATATATAGAAAAGGATATATGTACAGGTCGGGCCAAAAAACGCCACTTTTTCAAAATAATATAAATTTTTTAATTTTTGATACAAAATCATAATTTGCAGACCAAATGAAACTTGAGGTTGTTATCTGGCCATTGATCATGGATTATGAATTTGCAAAATGTTCCTGAGCTGATACGACCTGATGATCGCCAGGCTAATAGCCCTGGTGTAAACCCCAGTGAGTATAGGGTATGGGAAGGTCTCCATGAGATTGTATGAAGGCACCCAATCTAGAAAATTGCTCAACTAAACCTGGCAATTAAGACAGGTTGAAAAAAGCTTAGCTAACATTTTATTGATACTGCTATATCAGCAAGGCGACTAAAACTAAAATATATCATCAATTAGGGTGGCGCACCAATCGAACTCCCTTTTAGATCAAATATAATCTAGGTAGGTTGAAGGACTTGTTACATTATATTATTACTAAGAACCCGTGGCACTATATAACTGCAAAATTTGGGTTATGTAGGTTGGAAAATAAAAAAGTTGTAGTGTTTGAAAAAAGTGCGTTTTTGGCCCACCCTGTATTTATATGTTTCAAATTATAATGTTACCATCCAAAAGATGACCATATAATTAAATTGACGATGTGTTAAAGGGACATGTGCAATATGGCAAGTAATTTTAGAAAGTCGATCATATCTTTAACCATGAATACTTTCTGGGCATAAATAGAGTGGTTTTATTAAAACAATATGTTTTCTTTCAAGTGAAGTACCCATGATGATCTAAAAATATCAATCGACCAATTCGAAAAATTATGAATAGGGACCCCATGTCAACCTTTTTTTTCAAAATGTTGATCATCCTTTTTTGGTTTTTATTGCATGAAGCGATTATTCATCAACGGGTCTAAAACTTCTTCAAAAGTAGAATGGTATTGAAAGGCTAGTTTTGAAAATATCAATTTTCGATGACCAAAGTTATGGTGAAAACAATGGATAGCACGAGTTTTCCCAATGGGGGAATAACATGGGATATGTGTTTTTTAACTATAATGCATTTCAATACGTATCCCCTTTTCAGAAAATGTTAATATAGTGTAGAACAAACTTTCGATATGTTTAAATTGGGAAAAACAAGATCCTCTTTTTAGAAAATGACCCTAAACTTTTCAAAAAGTGCCAGGGTGCCTAATCCATAATTTTTCAGAGCAAGATCCTCTTTTTAGAAAATGACCCTAAACTTTTCAAAAAGTGCCAGGGTGCCTAATCCATAATTTTTCAGAGCGTTGGATTGATATTTTATTATCATGGAGACTTCACTTGAAAGAAAGCATATTGTTTTAATGAAAACAACTGTATTGATGGCCAGAAAGTTCCCATGGTGAAAGATATGACTGTCTAAAATCACTTGCCATACTACACATGGACCTTTTCAGAATGTTCTGATGACTGGAGAAGCACTTGTTCAAAAAGTTCACCATATCGATAAGTAGTTAATTTGTCGGGAATCCTAGTTTTAAAACATGGACACCTGGCTTCATATACACCTCGACATATCACAATCAAGGTATTTTCATAGACCTGATACCTATTAATGAGCTGCTATGAAAGCAGTGAAGGACCGATCTTGAAGGATGTGATACCTTATTGTCTTTTAAGTAGCTCAGTTTGACCATAAAGCCACGATCGTTTCGAATTAAATAATCCAGCTACATACGTCGACGTTTTAGACATTTCCTACCTCCACACCGTAGGTTGGTTTCAACGCCCACACGACGCTCGAATAGAAAATAATAAATATTGGTCCTGAGAATTGTAAAAACGTCAATTTCTTCAGATTTGGTATCAGAAAAAGTCCCAAAATGAAACATCACTAATTAGCCGTCTTCATTTAGCACGCTAGGTAATTTGTTTGATAACATGGGTTAGTTTAGACTCACATATGATACGATATTTGATATTTCAGGTGATGGTTTTCTAACAAGAGCTGAATTCGACAAAAGGCTGAAGAAGATAGCCCGAGAAATCAAAGTAATTGCATCACTATGATCGTGTTAATGATAACAGCCAGTAGGAGGAAATAACTCAACAATGAGAACACCTTGATTGGGCCCTAAGGAAAGACACTAGATTATCAACGCCACGGAACTTAGTACTTAAAAAATGTAAGACGAGTTCACTTACAGACAAAACAACATTTAAAGGATGAGGAACAAGTTTTAGGATCCTTCTCAACGTATGGCACCAACTTAATGTTCCAAATAAGATGTGCATGTATTGTATCTGCCAAAAAGGGATGATAATTTAAACTTTTATCTCTGAACAAACGCTACACGTGTAATATTCCAATTCAATTTTCTCTATATAGAACTACCCGTGTCGTAAGACATTATTATTGAGGAATGAACACAGGGAAATAAAACTCATCATTGCTATTTGAGTCAAAATACTTAATAATCACAACACTATGAATGCATGTGATTTTCACTAGGTCAGATGTAATAAAATTACTTTCGGAAAAAACTCTCATTCTAAAAAATATATGTGATATCCATATTCAACCTCCCCTCAGCTGGGTGCACTGATTGATGCATTTATTGGGTCACGAATGTCCTTCATACAATGTAATTTGATTAAAAAGTCATAGCATTGGAAACACCCCCGTCACAAAAAACCGCATGCGCAGAGTGTGCAATACTATTGTGATTGTGAATAAAAAGAACCGAGCCGCTTATTTGTCCTTAACTCACATTAGGGAATGCATCTGCCGGCTGTCGGCGTAACCTAATATGCATAAACTACTTTTTTTAACTTCCCACTAGCACTTAAAACCATCACCCGATAGTATTTAGTTGCAAGTAATAATTATCCGTTATGGGATATTCAATACTCAATGTGAATGGCTTTTTTTGACCAATTGTTCATTAGTGTCTTCTTCATTCAAGGTTTTATCCACCGGATACCAGCACGATCTATGAGCACGCCCGGTGATCGTGGAAATGGGACGCAGGGGGCGGGGAGCGGTCAATTTCTGCTGATAATTTTTTTTTTAAATGGACGATTTATTTTTTCAAGAAAAGTTTACAATTGAATTTCTGAATGAATAGGCGCACGGTATGGTAAAATATGTTTGGTCTTCTACGATTTTTTGAACCGATACGCTTCTAAGATATGAGATCTATTAAAAAGGCGCAGGGCCACCAATATGCACAAGTCAATGTTTTTGTTATTAATCAAAAAATAGTCTTCACACGACCTGCAATAAATATAACGTTATCATAACTAACTTAATCTGAATGCCATTGCTGACTTTATATAATAAGTTTCCAAACGTTATATAAAAAATAATCGAAAATAATTAAATTGGAACGAGGGGGAGCAATATGTATATAAGACATAAGAGATGTGATTTGACTTTAAGTCCTTTAACTCCAAAGGAGGAGGGAAAGTAGTGCAACAGATTCCGGACAGTCATATGTTAGATTTTGGCTATTTTCTGAGGATTTAAACAGGTGCATATATTAGACCAATGCATTCTCCCCAGGAAAAGCACTCATAGAGATAATGAAATAATTTTGACTTTGAGACACGGAAGATGCAAACAACCCACCCACATGTTTTTTTCTGAAATGTTTTCCTGATTTTCGACCCCTTCCACCTCTTTTCCTGGAGATAATGCACTGGCCTAACATATGCACCTGTTTAAATCCTCAGAAAATAGACAAAATCCAACATATGACTGTCCCAAATCTGTTGCCATACTTTCCCTCCTCCTTTCCCCATTTTTTCATTCTTCAGAGGTGTAACATCCAGTTTTTTACTAAGTTCATTTTTCAAATACAAGAGTTTGTGTGAAGTTGTTTCACTTTAAATACATATTGCTCCCCCCCCCGTCCGTTCCATTTTAATTTCTTTCGATTGTTTTTATACAACATACGGGAACTTATTCTAGAAAGTCAACAATGGCATTAATTTAGTTATGACAACGTCACTTGCAAGTATTTATTACAGGTCGTGTACATGTAGACTATTTACTCTTGGAGAGAGGAGGACAATTCTCAATAAATGGTACATATAGTTGGTTTGGTAGCATTTTCAGTTAGAGCACGCCTAACCATCGCGTAAGCAGGCGTCACCGTACAGCGTCAAAAAATACAGTAGTACAGTTTTCTGTACGGTGACGAAAATTAACTGAGTTGAAGCAAAAACTATAATGAGGGTTTTAAAAAGATTAATTAGATGAAAATAAATACGATTTCGGGTGTAATAAAAACAGCATTCTCTTAGGAATGGTTTTAACTTTCTAATTATGATAAAAGTTTTTCGAGCACTGCTCGGATTTTTTCTGACTGGATCGGCCCACATAATCGACTCGAGAGAAAAATGTTGCTTTTTCACTTTTCGCTTGGTTATTATTTTCCCTGTCGTCTGAGAGTATGGATTATTTTTATGAGAATATGTATTTGTTATCTACACATTTTAGAACAGATGAATATTCGGCAAATAATCATTCAGTGTATTTATTTAAAAAAGATCAGAACTATGCGTTGACGCATCAGCTGTACGGTGACGATTCATTAGACTTTATGAAGTGCTCTAAGCTTACTGTTCGAAAAAGAGGTAAAGAAACGTCAGATCTACACGTACATTATCACTGGTAAGTATCAAGCGAAGGTTACAGCCGTCACCTTCGCATTTAAGATGGCGGACAGGAAGTATTAATTTCGGTATTTTTAGTTTTCATGGAATTAACTATTTGAAAGTTGACGTAATGCTTTGGTATCATTTGAACTAAACCAGGCTTCTCTCCTATGACTAACAAAGATAGCCTACACAGCCATCTTTACCCCATGCAAGATATTGCATCTTTAATTCATGCTAAAAAGTCACACGTGCAAGATGAGATTTACTTGTGACATCCCTTGTTTTAAAACATCAATAACATAGCAACAAGAGAGTTTTTGGTTTCATGATCTTTACCGTATCATACATTTCCAGTAACCTTCCATTAAGCGGTGGAAGATATCGTTGAACTGTAGCGCCCATGCACTATATATGAACAAATGATCATACTCCAGAGTTTCCATTTCATGCAATCTTAGTCTCATTTAGTTCATCAAAGCATAGCGTCACCGTACAGCTGGTGCGTCACCGTACAATTTGATCTTTTTTAAATATACATAATGAATGGTTGTTTGCTGAATCTTCGCCCGTTCTAAAATGTGTAGTCAACAAATACATATTCTCATAAAAATAATCCATACTCTCAATCCATAATCCGTACTTTTCAACAAAGCCCAGAAAGAATTTCTTAAGTTTTTTACAAGTATAACCTTGACCTAACAGCTTGATCACTAAAACATGGTGTCTTGATTTGAAATCTGCCCTGCTATATCTAATAAGCTGGGATACATAAACCTCATATGCTGGGTTTAGTGGAATGTTGCTGTCCAAATGTGGAAAATTAACAATGTCAAAATTAAAGTCATCTCTTTTGCCATACAATTTACAATATACTGTTGTCTTGTTCAATGTTAATAAGAATATCAAGACAAGGTGCACTCATATCAGATTCTTTAGTCTTTTTTAATTCTAGCTCAGTAGGATATATCTCACCCACAAAGCCTTTAAATTTTGGGTTGTCTAAACTTAACAAGTCATCAATCGATCTGTCTTATTAAATAACTTTGCAATATGAAATTTACTTTTATCTTTCATCATCCTTTGTAAAAATTTATACTCATACGAGAATAGAAAAAGGTCTGCTAAAGGAGGAGCACAATCTGTACCCATTGGTATACCTACATTCTGACGTAAAACTGTATTTCCAAACAAATACATTATCAATAAGAAAGCCCAACATCTCACAGAATTAGATGAAAAACATGGAGTTAGATGAAGGGAGGAGGAGGAGAGTCAAACCAAAATGAAATTAACTTTGTTTTTCTACGACTGTTAATACTTGGACACCATTCCTCAGAAGGGCAAAATACCAATTTCTTAAAGAAACCTGATACTATAACAGCACACTTAACATTTGGATGAAATAACCCTCAGTGAATAACTAACCCGTTATGACTAACCACTTTCTGGAAGTCGAAGATGGTATTGCTATTGCATGTAAATTCATAAACTTTTTAGAATGCCTTACAATTATCTGTCTTGTGCCAAAACATTTTCAATCTATTAGATGAGTGTAGAAATAATCTTAATTTACATCATTAAAAATCATATTTGAAATCTACATGTAAAATTACATCTAGAAATGTGGTTTAAATAAACGTTTATCAACTTTGAAAATAAAATGTCATCAAAAATGTGACTTCTAGATCGGGATGCGAGTTTTGTTGATAATTAACCATAAAAGCACATTTCAGGTAGGCTACAAGGGCCATTCAATGAATCCTAATCATTTTCATTATAATATTTGAATAAAGTTGACAGTTTCTGAGAATGAAGGAAATGTGTGCGTTTAAAAACTGGGTTCTTTTTAGTTGATCATATGGGGGATGAGAGGGTACACAAAACAGTCTGTGCTTTTTATGTGTCGTTTTTCAGTGCAAATCTGTTTCAATGTCCATGTCATTTTTTCCTTTTTCAATCAATCAACAGATTTCTCAGCATTATGTTCCATAAGACCACTCTATCCCAATATTCTCCTACAACAAAAGCTCATGGCGTGCCCTCTATGGAATATCTTGCATGTTAATAGGCTGGCATACTTCAGCTGGAACAGCGTATTTCGCATCATCTCCTCGGTGATTCCAAGAGAACATTACAGGGTGGGCCAAAAAAACAATACCCAAGTTAAAGATGAATGATTCATATGACATACTCCCTCCATGACATCCCTGGTATCAATTTTAACCAATAACTCCACAAGAAAACAAGAGTTTTTTTTAATCAGATGGTGTCATAGGAAATTAAATGATTTATTTAAAAATGATATATAATACATGGCATGATTTAACAGACACTTCCCTCCATAAGTTTGGCAACCGTAGCTCCCCCATTTAACTACGTGTTAAAGCTAAGTCTCTTTACTTTTGAACTTTTATTTACTTAACCTGCGATGAAAATACTTACAAGTACTATTGATTGAAACGTAATTTGACTTAATTTATAATAATTCCAAATTTTCTCAATTTTTTCCTCAATCACAATAGGTCCAGAATTTATGATAAATTTGATGAATCTTTGAAAATCGACATTCCAATGTTAACCAATGGAAAATGTTAGGTTTGCCTCAAGTCATATGACAGAATATCCATCACTCCGAGTCCTTGCAAAAGATACGTAAAGAGTAGTTCAATGGGGGAGCTAAGGTTGCCAAACTTATGGAGGGAAATATCTAAACCCATATCTAAATAGTCGATTTTAGGGTATCGTGAATATACTGTTTCTGTTTGTTTTTTTGGTTTTTCGCAAGGGTTTCATACTTTCATTAAATGTAAAATAAACTAAATATTCACCGTGAAAATATTTCACTTCATCGCAGCGCAGCGCAAGTGCCAACGGGA